CCTGGCATAGTACAGAGATAATATGAGCCTATTAGAAACCCATCACAGGCCAGCTTACTTCCAGGGTCATGCTCTAGGTATGCCTGACATGTATGCCCTGCCACCAAAGACTGGCTCATATCTCAGCATCCAGGGCAGCTATTAATATGCTGTAAATTGGGTGTTGTAGGCGTCGCCAAGGGCTATTAGAATCCACTTTGAAGTGACTTTACTTCCAGGGTCGCTGCGGAGATATGGCCCATACACTCTGGCACAGGGGGGAGAAGTGGGGTTGCGAGTGGGTGCACAGCCACAATCGTACTCATTTGTTGTAGCCCTGATCGAGGGCTTCAAGAATATATCATAATATGACCTTACTTCCAGGGTTCCTGTGGAGAAAAAGCTTACTTCCGTGTCCGATACGCTTACTTCCGACGGAAGTAAGCTCACCGTCGGCCCGGACGCACAGCCACCGGCACGTAACCACCACCATTGTGTAGCCAAGAAGCGGGGCTACCAGAAAACCTTTGGAAGTAATAGTACATCCGTAACGGTTGCCGAGATACAGCCTTACTTCCGCCTTACTTCCACCTTACTTCCGTGCCACTGAGCTCAGTGGCAGGTTTTATAGAGATAGATTTCTGACCAGTCCTTGTCGGTAAGCGTGAACTCCGGATGAACACCGAGATCTTTCAGATTGCTGAGGAATCGTTCGAGAACGGTGCGCTTGGCACCCGGTGCGGCATCCTTTGTCGTAGAAATGAACATGAAAGCAAGCGGTATCCCAGAGCCATTTGCGTTGGAGGCAACAGCTGCAAAGAGCTCGAAATTCCCACCATTAGTGTTCCCTATTAGTGACAACATTAATGAAGGTCGTGACTGGACGCGAAGATGTGACATACACGTCGAGTCCATGGCCAGCTCCTGCGTGTGCGCCGCCCATCCTGAGATGAATTCCTTGACGTAAAACGCGACCACCTCTGTTCCTGGTTCTGGCTCGATCTCCATGCGCTCAACGCCGTGTTTCTCGCCTTTGTCCTTCAGGAACTTCTCCGCAGATGCAAGGGGCGTGTCCGCCAGCCGCCACTCCTTCCTGCTTGCCACTAGCCAATGGTAGTACACGGACTTCTCCTTGAATCTTATGCCTGGACCGCCGCGCTGATCTTCAACCTCGACGATATGTGACCAGATCTGTCGGGAAACAATGGTTAGATCTCGAGATCATCAACAGGTACAGCCGAAACTCACTTCGCCAGGTGTCTGATGAAGTGCCTGCTTCTCGATATAGGTTTTCCACTCATCGGGAAGCTCGATGTCATTGTACGGTAAGTGCGCTTCCAGGTGCTTCAGCGACACCTCCATGACATCGGACGTTGGGCTGATTGTCAGATGGAGCCAGCCGTGGCATGCAAAGCATGGAATGCGCCGGGAATCGCGCGCTTTGTCTCCCTTCGCGGCTTTGGCTGTCTTCTTGCGCGCCGCCGACTGACAGCAGCTGTACGTGATGACTGTATCGCTTGTACGTTTCCGCTCCTGTTTTCCTTCGTTCCTGGTGGGTTGTTAACTTCAAAACAGTGCATTTGACCAACAAAAACATACATCCAGCATAGGAGCATCGCTTCGCCAATGCTCTCAGACACCAGGTTTGCGCGCTCCACCACTGAGCACTCGCGCAGCGCTTCAGCGGCGATATTGACCTTCCAGTTCTTTAGATGGAACGGCCGCTTGTCCACGTTTCGAAGAAGCACAAGCAGCTCTTCAAAAGGCATCATTTCCACGCCCGCCGGAAATGCGTCTCCCTCTTCTTCGCCGCCGCCGCCGCCTCTGCCCTTCCCCTTTCCCGCACCCTCCTGTTCCGCAGCCGTTCCAGCGGCTTCTGTAGTGCTCGCCGCCCTCTTCCGCTTCGCGCGCAGCTCTCGCTTACGCGCATTGCCGACTTCCATGCACGCGGTGCAGATGGCGGTGAGTTCGCCCTTCTGCCCCCCGTTTCCGCTAATCTTCCTTTTGCTGAAAGCAGTGAGCGGCTTCTCGCTGCTGCACTCCGTGCATTTCTTCAAGTCCATGGCGCTCGAGCAGGGTTTTTGAGCAAAGCAGAGGTACAGGGCACACAAAAATGGGTAGGTCAAGCAGGATACACCGTCCCGGACCTCTGATCTTATCCCTCACGTGGTAAATACGACAGGTATCAATTGGGATATTCTACGACGCCACAAGCGCGCGCGCGCAAGGTCGCGCGAGGCGGGGAGGGTGCGCGCGGTGGCGCGAGACGTCGGAGTCTACATGCGCGCAAATAGACGCCGGCGGCGGACCTCAGCCACAGCGGTGTCCAAATACCGGGACAAATCGACTGGGACATTAACGTCTCGTGGCGACAGGGTCGAGGGAGGTCTGGGACATGCATGGAGACGACGGTCGCATCAGGTGGATATGTGCCATGGTGTATGTGGCGGATAAGATCAGCGGGGACGGGGACCTTGTAGAACGTCGGGGCAGTGCCAACTAGGGTGATGCCGGGCATGATCTACACGATGATTGTGTCAATACCACATGCCTTCGGGACATTAGTGGACGGACCTTTGATTCGAGAGCGGGCAATCCCGCCGTAGTTCGCAGTAGGTTGTTGTGCTCGAACGCAGCGATCGCCTCAGCAATCAGCTGTGGTCCAGGGTCGCAAGGGTTACTGTCCAAAGGAAACCGTTTGTCTTCCTGGACAAGAAAGAGAATATCGTGTTGCTGGCGGTCGACGAGGCAGACGTCTGTCTTGGCATGCCTCCATTCGCCGCAGATAAAGAAGGGTGTGTGCTTGCGAGTGCGAGCGACGCGATGACGTTTGACGTAGCCGAGACATTTGAGGAGCTCGACGGCGAAATCACCAACTGCCGACTCTTCTGCGGCCGCAGGCGCCATGGCAAGGTCGAGGAGGTTGATGAGTTCGGCGTTGCGATCCGAAACCATGTTTTCCGCATCCTGTGGTGAGGAGTTCGCCATCGACGTTGTTTGTTCCGAAGAAAGCGGCGGCGTCCTGGAGCTCCGTTCGAATGTTGTACGCGTCCAAATCGTTCACGGTCCAGTCACTGCCAGACTTGGCCAACCGGATAAGTTGAGCCATCGGGGAAGAGGGATCAAGAGTGCGCAGCGACTGGCGGTGAGAGCGAAGAGCGACTGACAGGGGGTGCCGGCGAACAGGGGTAGACAACGTGTCGCAGGCGCCCCACGCGCCCTCGCCAGTCTCCTCTCTCTTTTCCTCCTCGACATGCTCTGAGCCACACTCAACGCAGCCGCCCACCTCAAGGCACCCGTCTCACCTCTCGCGAGCGGCAACGGGGGCCAACCGGGACGACCGCGGAAAAGCACACACAAGCACGCAAGGAAGTGAGAGAGCAGGGAGGACGATTATGTGATTGCAACAGGACCCCATAGCACAATGCAGAAAACTCGGAACGCGATGATTAGCTCGGTGATAGGATGCAGATGATAGCGAACTTTTATGCCATACGAACGCCCGCCCCTTCCCTCCACTCGTGTCCCTCAGCCGACTACCCCCATAACCTCTACCGCCAGCGCACTCGACCGCGGACGCAAACTAAATGTCCACGTCACACACGCCGCGCACCCGCTCACTCCTGGATCTTCGCGAGGATCTCCGAGTCGCGGAACAAGAAGTACTCCTGCACACACGATACCCACGTCAGCTTGCGTCCACCCCGGCCAAGGGACGCGCAAACGGAGACTCACCTCGTCCCCAACCTTGATCGGGTTCCCGCCCCAGCCAGGCAGCAACACCCGGTCGCCCGCCTGCACGATCGTCGGGCGCACCGTGCCCGTCTTGTCGGGGGCGCCAGGCCCGGTCGCGATGACGGTCGCCTCCGGGAGCGGGCTGTTCGTCGCGGACGACGGCAGGTACACGCCGCTCGCGGTTTTCTACACCCCCCACACACGTTAGCCTCTGATACACGTACGCACGCGCGAGAAGAAGGGACACGTACCGTCTCAGGCTTGAAGCGGCGGACGAGGACGCGGTCGAGGAGGGGCACAACGGCCTTGATGCTCTTGAACGTCGCCTGGGCAGCCTGCACACACCTATTCAGCACCCAGCAGCACGCATTCCAGCCGCGGACAGCGCACCATTTGTGCAGAGAAGAGAGAACAGGGGGAGGAGACGAAGGAGGAGGGAGACGGAGGGAGACGGAGAGGATGAGCGAGTGACAGAGCACGTTAGACGCCGAATGACCGCGCCCGGATTTTCAAGCGGGCGCTTTGTTTGTCCCGGCCAAACAACGCCCTCGAAGGCTCTCGAAGTCGGCGCCCCTTCCCGACGCGACGTTCACACACAAGCCGCGATGAGAGACAAGGGGAATATATGGGCGTATTCGAGTAGGATGTGCGAGTAGTGTACATTGCGAATGTCGACGGGGACGAGCACAGAAAGCGAGGCGCGGGCTGTATCTACCACACCGAGTCTATTAAACTATCCTCAGACTGTCCATGGCCGGGCGAACGACGAGAGAGAGGCAGACGGACTCAGTCGATCATCATATCCACGTCCTCCTCGCGCTCCTCACCCGTCCGAGACGGCCCTGCTGCAGGCTCGCCGTCCCCCCGCGCCCGTGCAGCTGCCTGGATTCCTTGCACCAGCCGCCGCAACTCATCGTCCTGCATCCTCCCCGTGGCGTCGGTAGCTGTGACTCCCCACCTCAGCTGCGGCTGCCCGGCGCGCGGAGGGTACGTCCACGTCCCTTCCATGATGGCCGTGAGCGCAGGCAACGCCTGCCGCGCCGCCGCCAGAGCCGCAGTGGCTGGTCCCATCGCAGTCGCAGTCGTCCCAGGCGTCGCCTCGGCGCCAGCTTGCGCGGTGACGCCCTCGAGCGCCTGCCGCAGCTCGGGCGGCGCGTCGTTCATGAGCACGGCGTTCATGTCCGCCCGCCACCTCGCGTCCTGCGCTCGACGCGCACCACTTGCCTCCCGCGTCCTCTGTGAGGCGTCGGGCGCGGTCCCGCGGTCCTCCGCGGCCAGCCGGGTCTCTGCCGCGACCGCCCTCGCCTGCCTCTCCCGTTCCCTCGCCTCTCTCCTCTCCGAGCGCCCAACGACAGTCCCGCCGGCCGTCACGCTGACCCCAGGTCCACCAGCTGCTGCCGCAGCGGCCACCGCGGTCGGGGGAGGTCCGCCAGCACCAGCAGGACCGCGCGAGCTTTCGCCATGGTGGTGATGGTGTTCGCCGTCCTCCTCGGGGTCTTTCGCACTGCACCAGAACCGGTGGCCCTCGCTCCACGCCGTGCTCTGGCACTCCTTCCCGCAGTACTTCGCCTTCCGGCATCGTCTGCACTTCGCGAACTCCCGCGGGAACCGCTCCCACTTCCCACACAACACTACCGCTCCGTCAGTACATACACAGAAAACGAAGTCACGCGCCAACGACTCACTATTCGCACACTGCCGAATGCCCCCACGACTGTCGTCCTTCCGACACGCGTTCCGCATGATAACGCCCGCCCAGTACTGGATCTCCGGAGGCAGGCTCGGCGGGGGGTTCGACGACTCGAGCTCCGACGAGCTATGCCGGTATGTGAACCGCTCCACTAGCGCGAACACATTCGTCATCCTTGGACGACTGCTGCCGCTGGCGCTCGCCGCGGCGGTGCTGGAGGTCGCGGTGGACGAAGACGACGACGTCCGTTCTTTCTCCTTCTCCTTGCCGCGTCCGGCCGCGATGTTAAACGCCTTCACGAATGGATGCGTGTCCTTGTTCGTGGAGCCGCTCGTGGTGGCCGCCGGCGCAACACGACTCGACGATGCCGTCGCCGCTGACGCGGAGGCGGACGCACCGCTCGTGGTGCTGCTGGAAGACGCTTGCCCATACCGGCCTTCACTCGCGAGTTGAAGCGTCGCCGGGTGGAAGCTGGGGCGCATGGTGTAAAACGCTTCCCTGCAGTGCGGGTACTTGCTCAGATAAGCCAAGAGTTGCAGGCTCAACAGGACGTCCTCATCGCGATATGGTCCCGTCTCCGCCTCGCGCGCGTGATGGTGATGGTGGTGGTGGTGCGCGGCGCCGCCAGGTGTAGCCGTCGCAGCGTTGTTGCCCGTGTTCGCACCTCGGACAGTACCCCGCGGGGGCGTCGCACCCTCAGTCGGCCTAGGGAGCTCCGTGGCGGGGGCAGTGAGAAAGGCGCCCGCCATCGTGGGTCGTGCAACTGTCATGGGAAGGTTAGCGGTCCCGGCGCGCGGTGTGCGCTCGCCCGCCCCTGCATGCGTGTCAGCTACCGCACGCGCGGGAGGTCCATCGATCGCACCAGGAGCCCCAGGGGGCGCGCCCATAGCAAAGTCGTCGTTGGCTTCAAGGGAGACGATCCCGTCCTCGACGCCAACTCCGGTGACGACACCCTCGTCGTTTATCACGATATGAGGGTCCGAGTTCATGTCCATCGACGCACCCGGCCCAGCCGGCCCAGCAGCATCGGTGACGATGCCAACGGCGCGGCGGGAGTGAGTAGCACGGATCGTGCCTGTGTCTGAGGGCTGACGCTCAGGTGATGGTGAGGGAGCGTCGCCATCGCGGCTCTCGCGGTCCATGTCGACGTCACCATCGTCCTCGGTCTCCGTTTCTGGTCGTGAGTTGGCTGCGGATGTCGAAGTCGATGGACCTGCAGAGGCCGCAGGTACGTTGAGGCGCGACCGGTGGGGTCGTCGTGCGTTGGCGCCGCCGGCGTTCGTAGGTTGATCCCACACAGGACGTGCAATGATGGTGCCGCTACGGTCTCTGGCGGGCACGGCGACGGTGCCAGTAGGGGTATTGCCGCCGTTAGGAGTGGCGTTGGTAGAGGTATCTGCGGAGGTATCGGTGTCTTGTGCGCGAGAAGCGCCAGGGGTAGCTTGATCGGTCTGCATGGGCTCCTGCGGAGAATTAGTACGATGAACGCGACAGAGTTATATAGCATGACGCACGTCTTGCGAGATGTCGATAGATTGGTTGGATGCGTCATTTGGTCTATGCAAACGCTCGGCGGCGAGCTGACGCTCGAGCGCGCGCGCTATTGCCGCGGCTTGCTCGCGTTGCCTATTCTCAAGCTGTGCCTGCCGTCTCGCGAGACGCTGTTCTCTGGTCTCCCTAGGCATGCCGTTAGCGCCGAGGCTGGGGCCGATGGGGAAGCCTTTGCTAGCGAGCCACGCCTCGAGAATGCAACCGACGACCTCGAGTGTTCCGGCCTGGACGACGCGACTGCGGATTGGTTCACTTCCACGGACGCCGATGTTCACAATACACTGGAAAGCGAGGGAGAACCGATACGCGGCGTGCTTGTCGTAAGTCTTGGGGAGTAGAGTCGGAACAGGCTTGGGCGCATGGACGCCGGCGGGTGATAGACCGTAGAAACTGGCAGGATTGTCCGGCGGTGGCGGGGAGATGCAAAAGTCGTGCAGGATGCGGACGAGACGTTCGAGACCGCCGTCCATGGTCATGATCTCGCGAATGCGCGGAGAGGTTGAGGTGAGATAGACGAGATGGGTAAGGGAGTTGAAGAGCGGAAGGGGAGAGTTCGTGTCGAGAGCTGGGGGAGAAAGAGGTGGTTCGCAGTGCTCACAAGCGATCTACGCGTGCAGGACATACCTCTTCTGTCATAGAGCTGTGAGGAGATGCATACGCACGCCCGATTCTGGGCTGGGAACGCGAAGTTGGACTCGCGCATGTCTCGGGCGATGGCCGAGGTGGCTCGGGATGAAAGACTGGGCGTAGGATATGGAAAACGAGAGTGGCTCTAGGATCGTCGTCGGCGGGGAGGCCGACGTTGGGGTGGTGTGGTCGGACGACGTTGTGGATGGCGAGGAGGTTGGTTGTGGTCCCCGCCCGCCCTGCGATCTGACTGATCCCTTGTTTGCCGCTGTTTGTCCCCGGTGGCTCCTCGGTCGCTGCGCTCTTTCTCTCTGCCATCCTCTCCCTTTCACATCGAGTTCTCTTGTTTCGCCAACATATCTCTGTCATCTTGCACCGCTCGCTCGCACTGCACACCAAAAACATCACCGAGGACGGGATGCACGGCCACCGACGGTGCCTCGGCGCTGCCGCCGCGCAGGCTAGCGCTGGACTCACTGGACTGGGCTCTCGAAATCTGCGCTCTTGTTCGGATCTGTCAGGCTGTAGTCACCGGCTCCGTATCTCTTGTTTGCGTCAGACAACACGCCATTCGTGCGAGGACAACGCGGTAGTCGAGTACGACGTCGCCGGATGGTCGCGTGCGGGAGTGAGAGTGTGCAGACAGATCATTCGAAGAACCCTGGCATTCAGACACGAATGAATATCCACTACACGCTCATGTGTCTTTGCTTCTCAAGAAAACAAGAATATAAGCTTCCGGCTTCTCGCATCGTAAATTTTCATCTCGTCTTCCCTCTGTGTTCTCTAACCCTGAGCCGCTTTTTGTGGCTAACGCGAGTATCAGCATATATGCGCTACATGTTTCAGTGCGGCCACGGTCTAGCATATACATATATCTATGCGCATGCACATGGCTGTAAACTCCTTCGGTGATTAGGTGAGTAAACCATTCCCAGTATGCGTCATCTCATTTCCCGTTGCACACTGTAGGTGCGCCACAACAGCTCACTCAGCGCACCGTACAATCTTTACCCAGCCCGACGTCAACGCGTCCGGGTCAGGCTTATCCATTCGCAGATATCACGAGTCTGCTCGGTTTCGCCCTCTCCCACTCCACGTATCAACCCAGGCGTCGAGAACCACAAATGTGCCCACAATATCACAACGTGCACAGACGTAAGCGCAGAAGGCCAGTAGGGCGCGCCGACGACTGCTGGCGCGCGCGTATTCTGATTCTCGACGCACTACTGTGCCCTGTTGTCCTTCCCCTGGGAGGCGCGGTCGAGCACGGGCCCCTGCAATGCTCGCTGTGCCTGGACGCGGTGCTATAGCCCTTACCGACCTCCAGAGCAAGTATGGAAAATTGTACGTACTACGCGTCATCACACGTCAAATGAAAACTACTTCAGGCTGCTGTCCAGGTCCTCGCGTATCTCACCCTGGTCCCTGCGGCCGAATCGCCTGGCAGGAAGGTACCGCGCCCCGAGCGTTCCTCTTGTTCCTGCACTCCCGTGTGTACGCTAGTCCGCAAGCCTGATCTGCGCTGTTGTATTCCGCCGCGGCAGGGGTAAGGCTGTACTAACTCCGGACAGCAAATCGCCCACGATGACCGCTCAGAGGGCGGCGTGTCTGTGGTGGTTAGTGCTTCGCCTCGTGTTTTGATAAGCTGACTGCACGTCTTGTCGAGTAAGCTATCAACGCTGAAGTGAAGTGAGGTGTATGCATCACGTACGCCTCACGCCGTGTATCTAACCAAATCTGTAGAGCCCGTCATGTATGTTCACAATCGTACCTCGTTCAGAGTGCCACATCATTTGCTCATGCAGAAGGAAACCTCGAATAAGCTATGGTGCCCGACATTCGCGATGCAGGTTTGTTTGCATGTTGCGTCATCACAGTGCTGATTGCGTAGTGTGCTTCGCATCCATGCGACCAACCCCAATTGCCACCGTTGGTTCTTCGTGAGAGCTACATGCCATATGGGCGCTGTGGGCGGGTACACTTGGCTTCCTTCGCCACGATGTCCAACGGAGTTAACTCCAAGAGGCTGCGCGGGTTGGTCAGCCGACGTCCTCTTCAGTCAGTTCATTTTACATCTCCATATAGCGCACAGATCGCTGCTGACCGAGGAAGGTTCGACAAGATACAGTTCGCCGTTCTGACGCGCGTGTCTTTGCCGGTCATCCTGTCGGTGCTGCGGGACTAGGACGCTCCTTGTCGTACAAGTAGACCAGCACAATCGATCTCGGGCGAACTACGATGCCTACACCCTCCGAAGACGGCCATGCGTCTGCGACTGCACCAAACACCACCAAATGGGACTCCGAGCACGGCGCCCAGTCGGTGTCGGATTCTGGCCGTCGACGCAGTCTAGTCCAGAACGTCGTCCTCATCGCATCCGTGACCCTCTGCATGATCGTCAACGTATGTTCAGTAACGTCTTCATCTTCGAATGCCGCTGATCGTGCTCCGTTCGTGCTCCGTTATAGACTGCCAACCTGACAGGAGTCAGTATCTCGCTGCCGACAATTGGGCGCGACCTGAACATCGTAGAAGACAAGCTGCAATGGATTATGAACGCGTACTCGTTGAGTTCCGTATGCAATCGTACTCAATTCTGCTCAAGGGCGCGTTCAATTAACGATCTTTGCTCGCAGGGCTGTCTGCTTCTATTCTTCGGCCGCCTAGCGGACCTTTACGGTCGCAAACGGCTCTTCCTCTGTGGTTGCGCCTGGCTAAGCATCTTCGCTCTCGGTTGTGGATTTGCGCAAGGTGAGTATCAAACGACTTGACCACGTTATCTGCAGCTCACCCACATACACAGACGAGATCACCCTCGACATTTTACGCGGCATCCAAGGCCTCGGAGCTGCCGCAGCCATCCCTGCTTGTGTGCGTCTTCTCTTAAAGTTCCTGCGCGCGCAGTTCCTGTACGCATGGTCTGACGTCGATATGCTTTCCGCAGCTAGGCATCTTGGCCCATACCTTCCCGCCCTCCACAATTCGCTCCATAGCGTTCGCGACATTCGCTTCCGGCGCTCCTATTGGTGGTGCGCTGGGTAACGCCGTAGGAGGGGCGCTTACCCAGACCACCGAGTAAGACGCAACCACCACCTGGGCCAGATGTCTACTGATTACCGAATATTGCCAGAAAGGCGTGGCGGTCTGCCTTCTTGTTCCTCGCTGGAATGGCCGCCCTGTGTTGCGTCGGAGGGGCATTTTCGATTGACAAGGACGAGCCGTACCAACTCGATGACCGGTATGTCCACATGCTGTTGTTGCTTGTTCAGGCGTACTCATTGTCACATACACCAGGCGAGTCGACTGGCTAGGCGCTTTTCTCGGAACCTCCGGCCTGATCCTCATCGTATTCGCGCTGAGCGATGGCAACGTCGCTCCAGCCGGCTGGAAGACGGGATGTGAGTCGCGATTCCTCAGGCACAGCTGTTGTGTCCGCTACATCTGACTTCTTTTGAAGACGTGATTGCCATCCTCATCGTCGGCATATTGATCTTCGCGCTCTTCGTCTTCTGGGAACGATACCTGGAGCGTGTCCAGAACGACTCCGTGACGTCCGGGCGGTGGTGGACGCCCCCGCCCCTCATGAACGTCTCGATCTGGGGCCGCGCCAGCGGAAAACTGGGCGTGATGCTTATAATCGCCTTCCTCCAATGGTGCGGCTTCATCTCGTTCTCGTTCTGGATCACGGTACGTTACCCCAACATCCCGAAACAGAGCACCGGGAAAGAACTGACGGTGCCGTACAGCTATATTACCAGAACTATGTCGGGCTTAGCCCGGTCCTGACCATGGTCCGGCTACTGCCCATGAATGTGACCGGGTTCCTGTGCAACGTCGTTGTCGCGCTCGTCGTCGGCCGTGTCGATCTTGTCATCCTCATCGGTAACGCTCCCGCCTCCCGTGCAGCTCAGCCCATTCTGACCTATCCACTGTAGGTATCGGAACGACGTTTACCGCAGTCGCGAACCTACTCTTCACGGTGATCGACCCCGCGGCTCCATACTGGGCCTTCGGCTTCCCCGCCACGGTCCTCGCCGTCTTCGGCGCCGACTTCGTGTTCGCCGCCGGCACGCTCTTCGTCGCGAAGGTCTGCCTCCCGCACGAGCAGAGCGTCGGCGGTGCGCTCTTCAACACGCTCACCCAGGTCCGTTTTTCCTTGTTCTCCAGCCGTATTCGTAGAACCTGAATGACGCGAGATGCGAACAGGTGGGCGCGGCGTTCGGGACGGCGATCAGCACAATTGTATTCAATGCGGGGTTGACAAGGGCATCCCGGAAGTACGGAGTAGAGGTCAATGGGTCCGAGGCGAACGTGCCGCGGCCGGCTCAGCTCGTCGGGTACAAGGACGCGATGTGGGCGGGCTTCGCGTTCCCTTTGTGTGGTGAGTCCAGTGGTGTATTTTGGCCGCAGCTCGGTGTCGCGGGAAGACTGATATTTGGTCGGAAGGCGCGATATTGGCGTTGCTCTTCTTACGGGGCGTCGGTGTCGTGGGGCATAAATCTAGTCCAAAGTTTGTGGACAACGATACGACGACTAATGAAAAGATGGTGAGTTACCTTTTGTTCATTTCCCCTTGCGGGTGCGTGAACCCGTCGTCGACAGCAACTAATCGACTCTATTTTACAGACCAACAAAGTTTCGATGCGGGGCACAGATGCTTGAGGGCTGTCCTGACGTGTTATATGTCCCGCGTGAGAGTCGCTGCTACTACAATCTGTTCTCACGTTGCATTTTCACCCTGATACCACAACGCAATCGTTTTATATTCCCTGCGGTGCGTCGTTTTACTCCTGGTCCTTGGGTTTTGAGTCGCCCTCAGCACTGACCCGCTCAGCGTATCCTCATCTCAGGTGACTTGTGTGGGTAATCCTAGGATTTGACCATCACCGGGGCAAAGATGCTCTCGACGCCCGCCTTGACTTCCTCGCGTGATTTTTCTGTGTGGTTCAATGAAAAAGGAAAGGCACGATCGATGGTCTTCGATGGTTGCAGCCTTCTTCCAGCCAACGAGCTTTACGAAGCTCAACGACTGGAAGTTCCTGAATGTCGGTCGGTCGCGAAGTGCGATCGCCGATTTCGAAGTTGATCCGAAGCGCGGGGTGGGCGGAACATATGTTTTTCCCTTCGGCCCCGCGTGTGTTCTTCTTGCCCCGCCCCCGCACCAGCTCGTGGCGCGTCCCCGCGACGGCCCTTCTCGAGCGGTCGGGCACACACACTTGTCCACTGACCACACCTTCCCGGCCCGCCCGTCCCCAGGTGCGAACCCTATCTCCATTTCCGCTCAGCTATCTCTCTCGGCGATTCGTTGCGTCACCGCTAAACTGCTCTCGTGCTCAGAACACGCACGGGGGAGCGACATGGCGTGTATGCATCAGCCACTCTCCTCATCCATCACCGCCATCAATTCTCGCCTGCGCCTCTCCCCACGGGACTGGAGGTCCCGGGGTCGTGCCTGGGTCAGGCGACCCCTCCTCGCTCGGTCCGTAGAGGGTTTGCACATGCTCGGACACCCAAACTCTATAGCCTGCCCACCCACGCGCTGGTATAAAGCCGCGCTCAAGCCAACCCCTCAGGGTTTCCCCGGGTGTGGTCAAAGCGTCCTGCTTCTCTCCCAAGTCGGCGAACCAGCGTTTTCCCTGCTCTCGCTCACTCAGTCGCAACCATGGGCAAAGGCGTGCGTCTTCCACATTCCTACGGCCCTGTTCACGCTCTAATTGACGTCTGGTGTACAGTACAGCGCCGCCATCGCGTCTAACCCTGTACGTCCCTTTTGACTGATCGGTCGCCGCCACCACGAATTTACTGACACCTCCCTCGTAGTACATCGTCGGTAAGCTCGGCCTCGCCAAGCGCATCCTCCCGCAACCGATATTGACCACGTTCTCGGCCAGGCTCGTTCGCATGTATCGGCGGCGGTCTCTTCGGTCTGGACATCTCGTCCATGTCCGGTGTGCTTTCCAATGACGCCTACAAGAACACCTTCGGTAACCCCGGCCCCAATGCACAGGGCGCCATCGTCGCCGCCATGCCCGCCGGCTCCTTCGTCGGTGCGCTCGCCGTCTCGAAGTTGGCCGACGTGATCGGTCGCAAGTGGACAGTCATTCTGAGCGGTTGGATCTGGGTCATCGGCAGTATTCTCCAGGCCGCTGCTGTCGTGAGTGTCTCTTCCGACGAGTTCGCGTCTTCGTCATATTGCGACGAGATTATTGCCGCCGTCCCCGATACTAGATAGACTGCGGTTCTCTCGCGGGCTTCCTTCTACCGCTTCGAGATGCGGCTCTTGGTGTGCTTCTTCTCCCAGTGCAGTCCAGCTGACCCCCGGCCCGTCTAGAACCGTGGCATGCTCGTCGTCGGCCGTATCATCTCAGGCCTCGCTGTTGGCATTGCGTCTGCCATCGTTCCACTCTACCAGTCTGAGATCACCGAGCCCCGCATTCGTGGTCGGATCGTAGCTTTGCAGCAATGGTGCGTGCAATCCCGCTTCCTCCGCCTCGGCCGCGGGATGCTCACCGCTCGCACCTAGGTCAATCACCTGGGGTATCCTCCTCCAGTACTTCGTCCAGTTCGGATGCTCGTACATCAACGGCACTGCGTCGTTCCGGATTCCGTGGGGTCTGCAGATGATCCCCGCTATCATTCTCTCCCTCGGCATGCTCCTCTTCCCCGAGTCTCCGCGTTGGCTCGTCGACCACGACCGGTCTGAGGAGGCACTCGAGATCCTCGCCGACCTGCACGGTAAGGGCGACCCGAACTCCGAGCTCGTCCAGCTCGAGATCGTCGAGATTCAGGAGCAAGTCAAGTTCGAGCGCACGGAGGGCGCCAAGTCCTACCTCGACCTCATCCGCCCAGGCATCTTCCGCCGCGTCACGCTCGGCATGTCCCTCCAGATGTGGTCGCAGCTCTCCGGCATGAACATCATGATGTACTACATCATCTACGTCTTCCAGGGTGCGGGTCTCACGGGCCGCCGCGGCAACCTCATCGCGGACTCCGTCCAGTACATCCTCAACGTGCTCTTCACCATCCCCGCGATCGTCTACATCGACAAGTGGGGCCGCCGCCCGATGCTCCTCGCCGGCACGCTCCTCATGGGCTTCTGGCTCATGCTCGTCGGCGGTCTCCAAGGCCGTTTCGGATCGTGGGGCGAGGTCGACGGCTCGCGCGTCTGGGTCATCTCCGACCACGACGGCATCACCAAGGCCATTATCGTCTTCTCGTACCTCTTCGTCTGCAGTTTCGCCATCACCATGGGTCCCGTGTCCTGGACATACCCGGCCGAGATCTTCCCCATGCGCGTCCGCGCGAAGGCCGTCTCCGTCTCCACCGGTAAGCCCTTCTTTCGTCTGGCTTTACACGCCCGCTGATGCCTCGCACGCACAGCCGCGAACTGGGTGTTTAACTTCGCGCTCGCGTGGGCGGTTCCCCCCGGTCTCTCCACGATCGCGTACAAGACGTATTTCATCTTCGGCACGTTCAACTTCGCCGCCTTCATCCATATCTTCTTCATGTTCCCCGAGACGGCCGGACGCACGCTCGAGGAGATCGAGGACGTCTTCAACCAGGGCCACGTCTTCACCGCGTGGAACGTCAAGCGCGACGTCGGCAAGAAGACGCTCAAGGACGTCGTGGGCGACAAGGTCAGTCCCGATTTCTTCGTTTATCAGTGTACCGTACTCACCGAGCGTCACTCTGTAGCACGAAGTCCACGCAGTCGACAGCCGCGACGAGAAGTCCGCGGCGTAGGCCGAAAACTCCTTACTCCTCCACGTATCCTCACATTCCCTCCTCCGCCTTGCTATATCGAATTCCCTTACCCAGGCCGGCACGTGTTCCACCTGCGCCCGCGCCCACTCCTCTTGTATGTCCCTCAGCGCACTAATCTGTCCGCACGGGCGTGTTATTGTGACGATCATGACTTTCTGCATCTTGCATCCTGTATTAGTATAGTCAATCCCCGAGCTGTTGTTTGTTGTCGTCACCGATGCTCTGAGCACGTACGTTCGGTCGTACCCCGGCAGCGCTACTTGTGTTGAGTATGAAGGCGGACATACGCGAGTACAGCGGACTGTACAGGTAGGTTTAAGACGCTGGCATGACTCGGTCTACACTCACGGCAATGCTACCAGTGCCAGATTCGGTCTGAAATAATATACATTGGATATTCGTGAGGTAACAACACAAGCTCTGCACGTCAAAGAGGTACTCAATCCTGATAGCGGTAGCACCACAGTCATCAGCAGCTATAGCACCGTGCGGAGGCACTTTGTCGGACTTACCGATTCAGACGACCAGTCCATGTGCGCGAACACGGTCGCATCCCCCCATCCATCGTCCATCTTGTCAATCGAAAGGCCAAATATGCCCGGAAACCTTCCCCACATCTCCCGTTGTTCGGCCTCGTATCGCTGCCCGAGGGAGTGGCAGCAGGCCCGACATATCTTCTGCCAGAGTCCGGTCGTGTTCTCCGATCCAGATCCGTACCGCAGGCGCCATTCGAGCGTCTCAAAGACATCCAGGGTGAGCAAGCCCGGCATCGACTCGGCGGCCGCATCTTCGAGATCTCTCATCCGTTGCGCGCATGTGCCCTTGGATATACAGCTGGCTGCACACGGCGCGCCGGCGAGAGCTCCAACAATGCTTCCCGACTCCCGCAGCAGCCGCTCGCGAGCCACCAGACAAAGGGCGACGTCTTCGCGGCTGAGGACGTGGCGCTTGGGTCGCTGCTGTCCCGCTCGCCTGCCTTTAGGATGCCGGCGACCCCGAGCCCACAACATCTGTAGAGCGCGGTCGGAAGGATGGAGGTTTTGCCGGTCAATCGGGCGAGGTTGACGACCTCGACGATGTGATAATTCTCGTCCTTGTCAAAGGAGAAGGTCTGGGTCGATAGATCTGGGCCGCAGAAATCGATCCATGAGCCCAAGTGGGTGGTATAGTAGCTCGAGAGGTGACGCGCGGCCGTGTCGAAGATGTCTGGGATTTCGTATTTGTGTCCCATACGCATCAGTGCGGAGACTTTGTGGAAGCGTATTTCAGAGGTCTTGTTATTGAGGTATCTAAACCACGGCGGGAGCGATATGTCAATTCCATGACGGGACTGCGAGAGTAAGCTGGAGGTCGACCTACTTCGGCCCATCATATATGACGTGAAGCATGCAGCTCATATCGTACACATCATCCGAGACTTCAACAAAGGGGAGTCCTTGCAGGCTTGCGTCGTCGTCGGTGTCTAACTTGGCGGGCTGGGGAAGTGCGAAGGCGTCTCGGAAGACCGGGGAATGACGAGCGAGGAGGGACATATGGACACGAAAACCGGTATCTTGGGCCAGGATGACGATGCTACCATCTGGAAACCACCAGTCCGGATGTTGTTTTGTCATAACAGGGCCCATACTATGTGAGCTGGGACTGCCTTGAGCTATGCTGCCAGCGAAGGTGCGGTACGGAAACAAGGCCGTCTTCAGCTCGACACCGGCGACGCGTACGTCTTCATGGTAAAAAAAGGGAAACGGCACGCTCGAAAGATGGTTGCATCAAAACGTTAAAGTTCGGCTCACTGAAGGTTGCAGGACGTGGCAAATGTGGACCCCTTCGTGCAGGCTCTATCTACTTTTTCCAACGAGTAAGATTGAGGTCTGTCTGAAGATATGTCATCGCCCAGGTATCTGAATTATGAGTGGAGATGTCCGGTTCAAGTTTAAAAGGTATCGACGTACCCGTTGCCACACCAGTCCTACCCATCGAGCTCCAGATCCTCAGAGAAGTACTCGTACTTATCCACATAGGCTGTCAGCGACGCGATCTTCCGCCTGAGTACCGCGACACCATCCTGGCCCAGCGGCACGCGCACCCTCCAAGGCCGCGATCCTATAGACCGCGTCGACCGCCCAAAGGAGCACCCCGCGACAACCTCGCATGGCGGAGAGGGTCTCACTACCCTTCTTCCAGGGTAGAATCCTCCGAATGAGTTCCGTAGGCGACAGCGCCCGGAACAACGCCGTACTCCGTGAGCTGACCAACTGGAGTTCGCTATGCATTGAAATGGTGGCGAAGAACAGGGGATACCCGAGCTGCTGTAAAACCCGCAAATCTGGTTTCAAACGAGTCGCGATCAGCCACCAAACACCGTACAAACGCGCGGGACCCACGGTTCAATATATCCCATCCATCCACGACGCTAAACAGCCCGCCCATTCCTCCCCCAGCTCGTCGGGCTTTAACCCGAATATGCTCGGCATCCTCTCCCAAACCGCCCGCTGCGTGGCCGCGTGGCGCTGCACGATCCCGCCACGACATACGGGACAGAGCCCCGTCCAGCAATCGAGCGTCGCAATGTACCCGAGCCGGTACTCGAGCTCCGCCAGGGCGTGCGTCGTGACCAGCGCCGCGGTCCTCTCCGCGACCACCAAGGTGAAGAGCCGGATGCGGCGCTCGCACTCCCCGGGGGACGCAGTGCACTGCGCAGCGGATTCCGCGCGCGTAAGAGCGGCGACAGCGTGGCCCGACAGCTGCATGAGCCGCGCCGACGCCTACACGCAGATCTCGATGTCGTCCTCGCTGAGACGTTCGAAGATGCCCGGAGTGTGCCGCTCGACGCCCCGCAGGATGTCGGTGAGCCCGAGCTGCGCGCACCGGTAGAGCGCCATGGGGAGCATCGCAGTCTTGCCCGTGAGGCGGATGAGCCTAACGCTCTCGAAGAGCTCCGCCTCGTCGTCCTCGTCGCGCCGAAATTCGAACCTCGTGGGCACCGGGTCTGCGTGGCAGATATCCAGCCACACGTAGAAGTCGGCGGTGAAGAACTCCTCGAGGTATTGTGCGGCCTCGTCGACGATCTCTGTAAGTTCGTATTTGTGGCCCAAGCGCATCAGGGCGGAGAGGACAGAGAACGGGACTTCGCGGCCCATATCGGCCAGATACCTAGATTAAAAAGCGGTGAGTGGGAAACGCTGAGATGACAACGCGACGAAAGGAGAATAGGGGTACATACTTGCGACCGTCGTAAATGGTGTGGAGCAGACATCGCATATCATACGCGCTGTCAGAGACGTGGACAACAGGGGTATCCTGAAAAACGTTGTTGCCGTCGAAGCCGGTGGCGACGGGTTGAGGAAGTGTGAAAACGTCGTGAAGAATAGGAGAGGATCGCGAGAGGAGGGACATGTGCACCCGAAAACCGGTGTCTTCGGCGATGACGATGATGCTTCCGTCTGTAAACCACAAGTCCGGGTCTTGTTGGATCCCAGCAGCGTTCTCCATCGGTGTTGTGGTCTCGTATGTTGCAAGTGAAGGGTACGGATTGGGACTGATGGTGCGGGGCGAAAACTGAACGTCGTCCGAACAAGAAAGAAAAATAGACACATCCGAAAGAGGATCGCGACACACCGTTAGGGTTGGGGTTAGAGGCGAGAGGTCTTGCCTGGCCTTGCCCGTGTTTTATCGCACGAACTCCTCCCTTCTACGAACACAGTTATTGCAGAATCACACGGGCGCGGGGATGCACTCCGGGTACATGTTGAGGTGACGACAACGAACAGAGACACTACATTCTCTTGATTAGGCCTGGAAAACATTGTGAGCGTGCCGACTATGACCGCAAGTCACGAAAGGTGAAACAACGCGACTTACCTCTCAAATCGGATTCGTAGCATTCCATGTGTTATAGCGTTTCGCCCAAATATCTCCCACCTCTCCCTGCTCGAGGCAAAAGACGCTCGGAAGTTCATTCCACGCCCTTCGCTGCGTCGTCCTGTACTTTTGCACGAGGCCATCATGGCAGACGCTGCACAGGTCCGACCAGGAGACAAGCGCCGCGAAGGGGATGTGTCGCCAAATATTCGGCGACAGGGCGTTGGTGCTAAATATCTCCAGATGATTCTGGTGGACGATCCGGACGAATCGTTGGATCTGCGGTGAGCACGCCACCGGGGACTTGCATAGCGTGGCGCACGTCGCACCCTCGAGAATTGTAAGGACACGGACCGAAAGTGTCAGCAACCGCGTATAGCCGATAACACATATCTCGGTGTCTTCTTCGCTAAGGCGTTCGATAACGCCGGTGCGCCGTTTGCTGCCCCTCAGAATGTTGCCGATTCCAAGCTGGCAGCACATGTAAAGCATGGTGGGGAGCATCGCGGGCTTGCCCGTCAAGCGCGCGAGGTTCACGCACTCGAAGAGGTCTGCAGCTTGTTCTCCTTCTGTAAACTTGAAAGGGGGGGCTCGGTGTCCGTCTCTGCCTGCGAAACGGTAGTCCAGCCAGGTGTCCAGGTCGGTGGTGAAGTACTCCTTGAGATGCTTCGCCGCCTCGTTCATGACGTCTGTGAGCTCGTACTTGTGGCTCAAGCGCATGAGCGCGGCGAGGACCGCGAACGGGATGTTAGGCGTCATGTCTTGGAGATATCTGAGGGGGAAAGGCGTTTAGACAAACATCCCCAGAAGGCGGTCTTCCGATATAAGGCAAACGGGTGCGCACCTTCGGCCATCGTAGATAGCGTGCAGCAGACATCGCATGTCATGAGCCCTTTCGGAGACGTGGACAATAGGGACTCCCTGGTAGCTACCGCCGCCGTCCGATTCGTTCCCTGGGCCCGGGGCGGGCTGAGGAACTGCGAAGATATCCCGAAAGACGGGAGAGTGGCGAGAGAGGAGGGACATGTGTACGCGGAAACCGACGCCCTCGGCGATGATGACGACGCTGCCGTCTGCGAACCAGAAGTCGGGATCGTGTTCGATCAGAGCAGCGTCCATCGCGGAGGAGTCGAGGTCGTTTGAGACCATAGCGGATAGAGGTATCGTCAAACAGCGCGGATGGAGTCGACACCTCCTTCAAGTGGGGTCTGACCTCGAGGACGGGTACGGCGTTAGAATAGCGGGGGAAACGAAGAGAGTTCACACCATAACGTGAGGGTTGGGGTCAGAGCTTACACGAGACTTCGCGAGGTCCGATTTGCTGCAGCAGACACGTGTTGGCGAAGATGGTGAAATCCGAGTCCGGAAGACAATGAAAGGACGTACGTTATGCTGTGCCAGTGTGCATATCGCATGCAGATAGGATAGCACTACAAAACGTTGAGGGTCGCGTTGATTGGGACGGCGCAAGACATGAGACGGGAATCGCTTCACGCTGGACTGCGCGCAAGGGACTGCAGCGGGGGCGCCACCGTGCTGGCAGAGGCTGTCGAAGTGGCTGCGAGAGAACATCCATTCCAAGCCAGTCACCCACTTTTGCGATGATCCGGGAGGACTTTGTTTCCAGCGCCATGTATCACCACTGGATGCGATGCAGTCTGAGATCGTAGCCCCAACTCACAAAGGCACACCGGAGTCGACCGGGACAGCACTGCTCGCCGCACCTACGATGATGCCCTGTAGCTCCGGGCGAAGTCTGCCCGCCCACATCGACATCGATCGCGAGGCAACTTGCGCGGAAAACTCGCACATCATGCGAATATCGCGGCTCCTGCGGAAGCGGTACAGCCTGTTGCGCCCGCTGAGCCGGCTATCCCGGTCATCTCTGTGGAGCCCATCGAGCTGGTGCAGCCAGTCGAGCCTGCGACCCCGCTAGCACGCGCGCACCAGGCCGGGGGACGCAAAGTACCTGTCCGTTCGCTCAAAGCGGGAGCGACTATGCTGGTGTGGGGACTGTGGCGTGCGCCTGGACGGCACGGGGAACTACAAAATGAGCGGTTACGTGAATGGGGAAAGACGTGTTCTGCGACGTACCGATACTGGCATGCATCCGGTGTTCTATAGTTTTATTGCGGCGCGTCGGGGGCGTATGATGATCATACGTGAAATTGAAGCTTAAGATGTAGCAATTCAACAGCTGGGTTGGTAAAAAAAAACATGTCACAAGTGCCACCATCGTGCTGATTGAAGATGGTTTGCATGTGGTGGAGGATAGCTTTGCGGCGATTAGAGGCTGCCATGATGGAGGACTGTGGTGTGCGCTGACTCTCCGCGGACGAGGAGAAATCGACTTACCCACGTCGTGTCGACCGTGTGGACGAGGCGTGCGACGGTCGATGTAGGATAAGAAGGGGTGCGCCGTTTGCTATATTCGAATGCTACCATGTCAGTAAGGAGGTGGCGGTACATGTTGCGAACCACCCGGCTGCGCGAAACTTTACGGTTCGCAGTTCATGTTTTGGAAACTTACCGCGCTCGGAAAGGCTAATTGGCAGTGATGTCGAGTATTTGAATTCCACAGAACATACCGTCGCCATAGAGAAGACGCATCTGATGGGAGAGGAGCTCCTCCAGCTTCGCGACACACACAGCAGCAGCGAAAGCAAAGCCTGTCAATGGGGGCCGTATCTTCTGTATGTATGAAGCTGTAGCACAGGATGAGACGGGCAGCGGCGAGCGCAGTGGATGAGAAACGCAGTCGTTTTGTCTGAGGACAGGAACACCGCCCTGGGGATGTGTATGGTCCCGGTCGGCCGTTGCTCGCCGGTGCTCCTCCTTTTTGTCTGAAAATATTTGTGTCGTGTTTTTGCGAGAGGTCCAGGGCGTATAGAGGGTGCACGAGACGAGACGATGGGGAACAAGAAGCGAGCGTTGTTATCATTCTGGGGTACGAGTCCAAGAGGAAAACGTTCGCGAAGGACGACTAGCGCGCCGTGGGAAAGTTAACGCGCGACCGCCAAGGACGTCTCCCAACAACCACCGCCTCCTCCTCCTTCCCTTTCCTCCTCCCGCCACGCCTCTTTCATTTCCCTCCCTTTTCTTTCTCTCTTCACGACCTCTTGCCCGCTTTCCGTCCCCCGCAAATCCCGCTGGTTCTGGTAACTCAACGCGACACCCGACCCCTCCCCGACACCCCGGCCGCTCATACATCCTCCCAATCTCAAGCAACCCTAATGGCCTCTGCTTACCCGGCTGCCTACAGCCCCCGCACTCCCCAATCCAACATCCCCTACGCCGGCGTATCCACCGCACCAACATACCCATACCCGCCCCACAATGGTTACGATGCGAGCGCCGCATCCCTCGACAGCAACGATAGCGACGACCGCGACCCAACACACAAAGGCGGCGGCCTGCCGTCCAAGGAGGCCAACGGCTGGGAGCGGGGCAGGCCCGCCGTCGCTGCTGTTGATATCCGCGCCGTGAACCGCACCCCGAGTCCGACCCCGGAGGAGGCAAAGGAGCTCGCGAAGACCAGCGTGATCGACTGGAAAGCTATGATGAAGTGGAGCTACTGGTTACGGAAAGAATGGATATGTGCGTATTCTGTCGTGTTACGGCGCACCGAAACTCACCCTGTATGGATGTGCAGGGTACTACTTCGCGTTTGCTATCGGCTTGGCAGGCGTTATCCTCTTCACCGTCTACCACAAGCAGATTGTCGCCTGGCTCAGGCCTGCCGCGGACTGGATGCACAAGTGAGTTTTGCCTCTCGTATCTACTCCCTCCGCCCGCCCGCGAGGGGTGTCAGTTGCTGCCATCGCGCCGCGTAGTCAGATGCACGCATGCACTGTGCACGCCGCACGCAATGTAGCGATGTCTGGAAACTGCTTCAGGCAGAACTTCCCATCTCTAGAAGTGATAGACACGGTGTCTGCTCAAACATCAGACCCCAGTCACGCCGCCTGTCGTTGGTGGCAACGCCATATTCTCCTATTCGCCAGACATGCGTAGAGCGCCGCTGACAACTCCTGCAGTCTCCCGTTCGGCTGGACAATACCAATAGGTGTCTTATTCGTGATCTCCTTCCCCCCGGTGAGTCTCACGCATGTCCCATAACGACAGCTCTGAATAACATATCTCTAGCTATTCGGCCATGAAATCGTCGCTATCCTCTGCGGTCTCGTCTGGGGCCTCTTCCCCGGCTTCGGAATCGTTGCCGCAGGCACCTTCATCGGCGAAGTCGGCAACTTCTAGTGCGTCATATCTCCCGTTCCCGAAGTCAGAAGCTAATCAGCAACTGCACCCTGTCTCGGTTGCCGCCCATCTGTCGCGCGATCGAATTTGCCAATCTCTGTTTATGCCTGAAGCGCGTTCAAGTATTGTTGCGCGGCGCGCGGAGAGAAGCTCGAGAAGAACAAGCTGTCGTATGCGTGCCTCGCGCGCGTCGTGCGCGAGGGCGGCTTCAAGATTGCCCTTATTGCGCGTCTAAGTGCCATCCCCGGACATTGTACGCTGCTTTGTAATGTCACCTTGCGCGGCGGCTTGCTGACCCGCGTGCAGTCACGACCGCGGTATTCTCGACGTGCGGTATGGGCATCTGGACGTTCTCGATCGCAGCCATTCTCTCGCTCCCGAAGCAGTTCATCACCGTCTACCTCGGTGTTGCGCTCGAGCAGTCTGAGGACGGTGCGTGCCAGCTTCTCGTGCTTCGCATCCTTTGCCTGACAGTATTGCAACAGGGCAATCGAATACGCGGGACACGATCATCAAGGACGTCGTGCTGGGAGCGACAACGCTGATCACCTTCGGCGCGATGTGGTACATCTACCACAAGATGAACCAGGCGAAGCCGCGCGTCATCTACGATCGCCGCAAGGCTCGGTACGTCTTCCCCTCTGCTGTCTTTAGTTCCAGTCCTCATTTTTCTGTAGGCAAGCTAAGCTCGCGATGGCCGGTGCCCCCGGAATGCCCTATTCCGCCACTAACCCTGCCATTCTGGAGTCGACCGCGACCGTCTTCAACCCGAACGCCTCCGACGCGGAAATCCCGCTCACTGCTGCCGCCCAGTCCTTCGGCCGCCCGTCTTACCAGCAGTGGGACGGGCAAGGGCGCGCCGTCTACGCGCCGCAGCCGCACCGAGCGACCCCGCAACGCCAGCTCACAGGCGAGGGCTACCCGATGAGCGAGCGCCCGCCGCCGCAACAGCAACAGCAGCCCTACGGACACCAGCAACAGCAGCAGCGCACAAGTCCACTCCCGCCCGGGGCGGGATACCCATACCCGCAGTCATACTCAGGCTCAGGCTCTGGGTACCAGGACCCCTTCTCAGACAGCGCGCGCGTGCAGCCGCAACAGGCCGTGTCGTACCAACGCCAGGCGCCCCCGCGCGGCTACGGCTCGCCGCCGCCCGAAGCGTTTTCGCGCCAGAACCCGCCGCAAGCACAGACACATCGGCCCTCGCAGTCCCAGGCCGCGCAGCCCCAATACCGCCAGCGCAGCTCAAGTCCGCCGCCCCCAGCGCTCCGGCCCCCACCCGCGTCCGCCCCGGGGACCCCGACGCAGGGCGCGTACTTCCAGGCAGCGCGCGACGCGCCGCCCATGCCGAGTGCGCCCCCGGCCCTCGCGATCGAGGACCCGTTCGGGGACCCGCAACCCATGCCGAACCCGTACGAGAAGAGCGGGCATGCCGCGGAGGCGACGGACGCGACGTTCTACACGGCGCACGGCGGACATTCGCGCGACGTATCGGCGGAGGACGCGTACGAGAGCAGCGCGGTGCACACGACGGACCCGGTTGTGCGCGAGAAGGGCGCGCCGCCGGCGTACTTCTGAGGGGCGCGTGCAGACTGATCATGGATTTTCACTTCGGGGCTCGGATTGTTGCTTGCCGCCAGGGCATTTGGACTGACTCGCTACGTAGCCCTTGGGTAGGTAAGACCCTCCCGCACACCACCGCCGCTGCCACTGCGGCGTGCCCCTCCCCTCGTTTACACTCACTACCACCTCCCGCCCTCCTCTCCTCTCCTCCTCTTCCGCCATCTCCCAGACCCTCTACCCACTACCTTACCCCGCAGCCCGCCCCGCCCACTCCCACTCGCGCGGGTCGTATATATTCCCCGCCCCAGGCTCGCAGCACGGACTCGTACGCACGCCCGCCCGCCCGCACATGCATCTACATCTGGATTGAAGCTTCCTCCCCACCCACGCGCACACATTGACTTATTCAATACCGATACCACCTTCCCCCCACCGCGGGCATCCATTGTGCTACCGATGTCGGGCGCGGCGGCTGTGTTTTCGTACGAGTAGTGTACAATAGAGCTTTTATTTCTGGACATGGACGTCGACGATCCGCGCGTGCAGTGCTGTTGAGTGGGTGGCTATGCCAGCCAGCATCGTGTGCATGTGCCCGGTGGACGAGCCGAGGAGATCTAGTATATATGAAGTCGAAAAGCCTCCGGTGAAAGCAGCTCTACCACAGCACCTACCATGGAGGAATTGCACACGACGAAGCACGCACAGGGCATGAAAGCAGATCAGATGGCATTTTGCGCCGGGCGTGGATGGATACAGGGTGTGTATGTAGGGAGCAGTAGGTGGTCTATTAGTGTATCGGCGCAGTCCGAGTCAGTCTAGGTATGCGTGGTGAGAAAGTGGTGCGTCGGCTTGCGGGGGATGCATGATGCGGGGGCGTGTTCGTGAATCGTGAGGGGGGACTAGTATGTAGAGCAGAACCCGAGATATAACCCAAGAGAATGGGGAGTGAAGAATGAGATCTGGCAAGGGGGCGGTGGAGAGGCAGGGGAGACGGCGCGCTCATGCGTGCGGGGCAGCTTCGGGGTCGGGCGTCACGCTCTTCCTGCTGCTGCCGTCCTCCTTCTCTGCCTTCGCCTGTCGGTGCCCGACAACGCCCACGCTCCGGAGGAAGACGAAGCCGAGGATACCGCCAAAGAACCCAAACGCGCACCCCGCCCACATCGCGTTCTTGTACGCCGCGAGCTGCGCCGGCCTTGGCGCCGCAGACGCGGACGCGAGCGCGCCCGTGTCCACGCCGAGCGCATGCGCCTTCTTCTCGATCGTCGCGTTGAACACGATCGTGCTGATCGCGATCCCAAACGCCGTGCCGACCTGCGTGAGCGTCTGGAACAGCGCGCCGCCGACGCTCTGTTCGTGCGGGAGGCACACCTTCGCGACGAACAGCGTGCCTGTCGCGAACACAAAGTCCGCGCCGAACACGGACACGATCGCGGCGGGGAAGCCGAACGCCCAGTACGGCGCGGCGGGGTCGACGACGGCGAAGAGCAGGTTCGCGAGGCCGGTGAAGAGCGTGCCGGTCGCGATCATCCAGACGAGCGGGACGTGCCCGACGATGACGGCGACGACGACGTTGCAGAGGACGCCGGTGATGCACATCGGCAGCAGGCGCACCATGGTCAGGATTGGGCTGAAGCCGGAGTAGTCCTGGTAGTATAGCTGGACGTGTCTATTAGCATTGTCTAAGCAGCAAGTTGACCCGCAACCCGCGACGTACCTGGATCCAGAACGTGAAGGAGTTGAAGCTGCACCACTCCAGGAAGGCGATCATGAGCACGACGGCAAGCTTGCCCTGCGCGCGCGTCCAGATGGTGACGCTCATGAGCGGCGGGGGCGTCCACCACCGCTCGCGCGCCGCGTCGTGCTGCGCGTGCAGCTTCTCGAGGAAGTGCTCCCAGAAAACGAAGAGCACGAGCAGGACGACGCCGACGATGATTAATGCGATGATGTCTACGGAAAGTCAGCTCGGGAACTGCGGAATGGGAGGCGAGGCAAACGTACAGCCGGTCTTCCATCCGTTGGGCGCGATACTGCCGTCGCTCAAAACGAAGATGATTAGCGTCAGACCGGCGGTCACGAGGAAAGCTCCGAGCCAGTCTACGCGCCTGCGCAGTTGTCAGCGTACAGTCAGCGGTGAACATGTGCGAAGGACACCATACCGGTCGGGCAGGTCATGAGGGACATCGTTGTCAATGGATAGTAGCCCACCGAGGCAGCACACGGCGCTGAGACCTGTGAGGAACCAGAACGTAGACCTCCAAGTTTGCCTGTGGGCCGGTCAGCGGCGGCCTAGGTGTATATTGTGACTCATCGGACATACGCGGTGAGCTGCACGAGGACGCCTCCGATCGCAGAACCAATGGCTGCGCCTACAGGCGCGCCTGCGGCGAAGGTGGCAAATGCGATAGAACGGATCCGGGACGGAGGGAAGGTGTTCGCGAGAATACCGAGCTATAACGTGATACGGGTGATGAGGACAAGTCGCGCGCGCTAGGTGACGAAATGCCCACCCCAGCAGGAATAGAGGCGGCAGCACCGATACCTTGCACGCCTCGGAGGACATCCAGAGTGTTCTCATCTACAAGCGCGTGAGTACGAGAAGCACGGCGTGGGGAGCGGGAAACATACCTTGTGCGAACCCACAGCCTAGGCCAAGGATACCCATGAACCCACAGCCGAAGATGAATGTGTTCTTGCGGCCGAATAGATCTGCGATTCGGCCGAGGAACAGGAGCAGACATCCCTGTGTAACGGGCCAGTGTGAGACGAGTAGATGAAAACACGGGACGGAATACGCACCGAGCTGAGCGAATACGCGGAGATGATCCATTGCAGCTTAGACTCGACGATGTTCAGCTCTCGGCCGATGGTCGGAAGAGAGATAGCGACTGCGGTGTTATTCGCCGTCTGCGCGGGTCAGGAGCGAACGCGGAGAGGGTAGGGCGCAAGCGACTCACATTGAGGATCATAGCGAGCGTGACTGTGCAGATGAGAACAACATCCTTCGCAAGCGAGCGTGGTGGGTGTGGGGGAAGGGTCGTCGCGACGCTCGTCCTCTTCTCGTCGGTGGTGGACATTCTCTCGCTCTTGGCGTCGGCTGAGGACCGTGGTCGGCTGTGCGCATCCTGGCTTGTCATGAAGGTCGCGGTAGGGAGCACTGCGGCGAGGGGAGTGAGTGCCGAGCGACGAGCAGGAGGAGGGAGGCGAAAGGAGAGGCATGGCCGGCGGAGGAGATCGAAGAAATAAAGAAATCGAAAGACGAGCAAGGGCCCCGACCAGCGTCTAACCGTCGATCGGCATCCCGGCTGGTCGGCCGTCTCAGAGAATGACGTCGCACCATCGAGATTTGTTTGAGGAAATAGTAGAGAACCTCCCCGATTGGGAAGGGCGCTTAAAGTCTGGACTTAGCGTTTTTTGCGCGAAGAGGACCCGCCATTCGTGTTCCCTCCCCTCCCTCGCTCCGCTCGGGGGGTCCCCCAAGCCGGGAACACTCAGGCGGGCACACTAAAGCCTCGTTCGCGTGTTATTCCAGACCGGCTCCCTCCAAGGGGGACAAACAGTTAGCGGCGTCTAACCCCGGCAAAACCCGAACCCTAATCCCGAACCCAAATCCGAACCTTAATCCGAACCCTAACGGCTTCTTTTGCGACGTCATTATCTGAGACGGCTTGACAGCCCGGCATCCCGTGCAGATCTCAGATCTGACCCAGATGACACCGCCCTGACAAAGACGAAGCGTGCTCGTGCCCCTTTATGGCATCCGTAGTATTCAACGCCTCCTGCGTGGCCGCGCCGAGAATCATGCAGAACAAACACGAGAAGTCTCTCCATGTAATACGACGTTTGGGCGTCCGGTTTTTCCACATGTTAAAATTCTACCGTCGTATCAGCAGAAGCTAGAACCTTGGATGAGGACGAAAAAGATTCCGACACGGGGAATCGAACCCCGGGCTATCGCGTGAGAGGCGATAATGTTAGCCACTACACCATATCGGACTTATAGAGCCGAACGAGTGTTGTGTACAAAACCTAATGGTGCCCCGGCAGTGTTCTCTCGGTCCGCCATCACCATTCGTCTGAGCGCCAAGCTTGTGTTTAGTGACTGCCACCATGTTGCGGAAACCGCAGGACTTGATCCTTCCGAATTAACAAGCTATAGCTCTAGTGAACGCCAACTAACTCCTCGAGCTCGACACGACCAACTCCTCCTCGCACAATACTCGACCGCCCCCCGTTCTCTCTCCAGCTGTCTGCGTCCACAAATCCGTTTTCTCTCATCACTCTTCGATATTCTGCAACGTGCTAGCGGCCGTCAATCCGCCACCCACCAACTCAACTGCGGCGGAAACCTTCTCAGGGCTTCCTGTCGTACACGGCTCGGACGGCGCAAGCGACATGCGGCCCATACTGCGTGCAATCAACGACAGTCGCAAGTACACATCTTACCCATCTCGTATCCAAAGTCAACTAACGCGCGCGAGGCATGTTCTGTTCTAGGTGCCTGCGGGACTTGCTCCCCAAAGTTCTCATCGAGGCTTTGCTCGCACTGATGCGCATCAGCCGCAAATACGAGCTCCTGGTCCTCGTCGACGAGGCCGCGCGCTACCTCGATGACTACTCCACCGCTGATTTCGATATCTGACTGGGCCGCTCCGAATCGGAAGAGCCCGTAAACTTCTACTTCTCCGAGGGCAGCGGGGCGGAGCTCTTTGAGAGCATCAAGCTCATGCGCCTCACGAACGAGACCGCGATGCTGCAGCGCTTGGCGTTATGATAGCACAAGGGCATTGCATGTACGCAGTTCTTGCCTATAAGGTCCGTCTTGTTATGACGATGTTTATAAGCTGGCTATACGAGACTCAAGTGAGCGGATCCTTGTACTGTTTGCTGTCGTTCACTAATACGTGTTCTATCATTTAGTATGTCCGATGAAGCGCTCAGTGTCATTACTGAGGCCAGTGAAAAGTCCCGCATAGGTATACTTTGGCGCAATCATGACATCGCATATACGAGACTGAGTACACTTAGAATCGCTAGTCAACATACCCCTGCAGGTTGATCTTGAAGAAACCGACGAAACCCCCAAAATATACAAGGATGAGCATCTGTGGTTCAAGGATGGCAGCGCCTGCATAGTAGCGGAGCGATCAGGCTACCGCATACACCGGGACTTCCTCTCCCGTCTCTCCGAACCCTTGCGCGATATTTTTTACGAGGCCCATCTAGGCAGGCTGGACGTCCCCTTCTACTACGTCTCAGACAGTTCATTGGACATGAGGACGCTGCTCGACGCCATCTATGACGGCCGCAAGTGCGCACCATCTTTCTCCGACTGACAGGCGCTCCCCATACGAGCTGACGTTCCACTGGCAGGTACCTCAGCGACAGGGCCCCCGACATAGCCTTCAGCGAACTGTCCGCGCTCATGCGCCTCGGCCACAAATATCAACTGAAAGACATCATCGCAGACGCAGCAGGCTACCTCGAAGACTACTACACGCCCGACTTCAAGAAGTGGATGCGGCGGCGCACCGGAGCACACGAGGAAAAACTTCGCATATCGGAAAGCGACGAAGCTTCCGGCGCCGTCTTCGAGGCCGTCAACATCGCGCGCCTCACCTCCAAACCCGCGATCCTGCCCCTCGCGCTCTACCGCTGCTGCCAGCATAGCCTGCGTGACCTCATCTACGGCATCGCAACATCGTCCGCTCGCCCCCGAAGACGTCTTGCGCTGCGTCTCCGCACGCGACCGGCTCTCCCGTGCGTCGAGCCGCACCCTGGCCCATGTCATGCACTGCGCCGGGTGCGCCCCCGGCTGCGAGGAGCCCGACACGTGCGAGGGGAACATGGCGCGTCTGCGGGCGACGTTTAAGGAGATGCGCGAGGATCTGTCTACCGCGGACGCGCTGGCGGGGCTGGAGACGCAGCTAGGCACGCTGGCAGACCTCCCGTGCTGGCAGAGGCTGTACCACGAGTGCAGCGGGCTGCTTGTTGTCCAGCATCAGGTCAAGCAGCGCGAGACGTGGGACGGCCTACTAGATATCCTCGATCTTTTAGCTGAAGAACTAGGAATCGAGTGGGAGCAGCAGGATTGATCGGTGATTATTGGTTTGGCATGATCGGATTGACGGGTGAAACGCTGTGCCCTATGCGCCTCACGATTCGGTCGCTGACCAGCTCGTGCCCTTCCCACTCGCAGGGTTTTTTATGCTTATCATATTTCGGGACATACTACAGTAATATCCACAACATCCGAAAAGAATAATCCGCGAGAGACACTCGTGTGTCCTGCACCGAGTGGCGTATACCGTACGTTCTGGCCCGCACGCTCAGCTTGGCAGGGATCATGGCCCATACACATCCGGAACCCAGTGTCCACTTGGATCCAGCACCGTACGCGATAGTACAGTTCAAGGCCCAAGCGGTCTCCCCGTACATCATATAAACACTCCTTCGCCGCCCGGAACCGATGCAATGCTCCTGACCGCCTCTCTCTAGCACGCTCAAAGACAACGAAAACTCGCGACATGGTCGAACTCAGAATGAGGCCGGCCATTCAGGCATACGAAGCGCGCCATCTCGCGTACCTCCACGCCGTCTTCGCCGACGCAGTGGCGCTGGGCACCAGAGACAGCAACCCCAAGATCAAGCCAGACCCAGGCCTGTGGTTCCCAGACGGCAACGTCTGCATAGTGGCCGGGGACAAGAGCTTCCGCGTGCACAAGGGCTGGCTCTCCCTGCGCTCAGAGCCATTCAAGGTGAAGGTCTTCGAGGCGGGCGACCGGAGCGGCAGCGACGTGACGTTCCAGGGCGTCCCCGTCTATCATGTCCCCGACATCGCGGAGGACATGTCCACCCTCCTTCGGGCGATCTACGACGGCCGAAAGTGCGTATTCCTTCCGCGTTAGCAATGATCCTAGGGAAACTGACACGACGTACCAGGTATCTCCAGAGCCAGGCCCCCCACATCCGGTTCAGCGTCCTCTCCGCGCTCATGCGCCTCGGCCACAAATACGCCCTCACAGACATCGTCGCCGATGCCACCGCCCACCTCGAGGACTACTTCACCTCCTGCCTCCACACCTGGCTCCAGCGCAGCAGCGGCACGCACCCTGCGAAATTCTGCCTCTCAGACAAAGACAGAGCCGCAGGGGCCGCCTTCGAGGCTGTCAACCTCGCGCGGCTCACCGGCCAGCACGCGCTGCTGCCCCTCGCGCTCTACTACGCCTGCCAGCACTCCCCCGAGGAGATCGTGCGCGGCTTCGCGCGCGCGCGGGGCGCAGGCGGCGTCACGGTCGCCCGCCTCGACCCGGACGACATGGTGCGCTGCATCGACGCGCGCGACGGGCTCCGCCGCGCGTCGTACAGAAATCTCGGAGACGTCATGGCCAGCGTGGAACAGTGTCCGCCCGACTGCACCGCGCGCGACGCGTGCGCGCGGAACAGGGTGCTGCTCCACAGGACGTTTGTGCAGGTGCGCTGGGACCTGCTTACTACGGACGCGCTGACGGGGCTGGAGACGCAGCTTGGGGCTCTGGCGCGCCGCCCGTGCTGGCTGGATCTGTGCGAGAGGTGCCGTGATGGGCTTGTGCGCCGCCACCGGGTGAAGCAGCGGGAGACGTGGTGGAGGCTGCTGGATATCCTCGATCTCTCGGCGGAGGAACTGGGGATTGAGTGGGAGACCCATCAGGGGCGATAGTTCCGTGATACTATAACATTGGTAGGAGAATATCAGCAGTCGTTAAGAGTAAATGGCCGAATGTGAACTTGATCCTCACATGTCAAGTTTGACAAGAGACTGAATGTAACACCACCCCGGGCTCACACCTCACACACAGTGAGAAAGACAGCTGGAACGGGGTGACTGGCACCCGTCAATTCAGATCGGAGCGTACAAACTAGCACAACCGCGCTCGCGCGGGCACGACAAAGCATCATCACAGTCCGTAGCCCACGCTCGCGCGGGCCACGCTCGGGTATCCCTATCCCTCTCGATCTCATCGTATCCTCCTCATACTTCAACGGCGCTCGACCTAGTTCGGGAGCGCGTTGATCTGCTGCTGCAGCTGTGCGTACACGGTCGACACCGCGGGGCAGCCGACGCCGGGGCCGTTGATGTTCTGGAGCGTGACGAGGAGCGCGTTGATGCGTGCCTGCTGGTCCCCCTTGCTGCTGCCCGTCGGGAACGAGAGTGCGACGGACGGGTTCTTGACCGCGTGGCCGGCCGCGACGTTCGCGTTCAGCGACTGCGAACACGTGCTCCATCAGCAACACGTTCCCACTTTCAGCAGAACAACAGGAGAGACGTACGGCAATGAACTGGTCGCGCGGGGGCGGGCACGAGCAAGGGATGTTGATGTTGTTCACACCCTTGCAGTTACCTGTGCCGTCGGGGCTCGTGCCCGCAACAACACCGAAGTCGGGCACGAGCGACTGGTCAACCCCGCCGCTCGAGGGCGCGGGTGCCGGCGCAGGCGCGGGAGCAGGTGCCGGCGCGGGCGCGGGCGTCGACGCAGCAGAGCCCGCGATGGGGTCCGGGCCTGCCTGAATTGCCGCGACCTGGGCGCCGAAGGTGGTCGCCGCCTGCGGGCAGCCGACACCAGGCCCGTGGATGTTCTGGAGCGTGACGGTGGCGGCGTTGAGGCGCGCGAGTGCGGACGCCTTCGAGTTGTCCTCGGGGAAGGAGATGCCGACGGAGGGGTTGTTGATAACGTGGCCCGCGGCGACGTTCTGGTTCAGGAGCTACACGCGCGCGTAAAAAGAACAAGGGAGATGAGTACTTGGACGCGCGTGAAAAGATGTGGCGCGGGCGCGTACCGTAACGAATTGGTCGCGCGGGGGCGGGCACGCGCAAGGGATGTTGATGTTGTTGACACCCTTGCAGTTACTGTGGCGCGCGGCAACTTAGTGATTGAGCGCGGGGATGCGGATGCGCGCGCGACGTACCCTGTGCCGTCGGGGCTCTGGCCGGCGGTGACACCAAACTCGGGAATAAGCGCGGCGTTGACATCGCGGCGCATGAGCGGGCGCGAGGAGACGGAGGCGACGATAGCAGCGGCGGAGAGGGCGATGGTAGAGAACTTCATGATGATGTTGGAGAAGGTCGTGTCGTTTCTGTGTCTTTGTCCTGGAAAGGAGTGCTAGTAGGGAATGGCGGGTGCGGGGCGGAGAAAGAGTGTCGGGGAGATCGCTGCGTCAAGCGGGCGTCGTCGAGGAAGGATACGCACGGCGTAGAGAAAGATGAGAACCTGTTCCAGCTGTCGGGTGGAGGGAGGGAATGGAGGAAAACGAACCTCGGAGGAGATTATATAGACCGCCACCCGCGCCTCCACAAAGTCCAACTTTCCGAGCCGCGAGGCACCGACGACGGGCGCCCGGCCGAGCCATCACCCGATCTTGATTTCGCGACTCCTCCGTTGCCATCCCGACTTGTGCGTTTGTTTGCCTTTCCTTCCCATCGCGAAATAACTCCTCGGCCATATGAACGTATGCTTATCGCATCGCTACCGCCGAGCATCCGCGATGGTTCACCGCGACGTGTCTCACGCCCAAATCGACGAAGCTTGGACAGGATCGTCCCGGGCTTGTATGTCGAACAAGCACAAAGAGATGTCTCCTTTCGATCGGTGCTTATGCTCCCCGGGAAAGAGGGCACACACGCCTCCGACCCTTCTCCAAAAATGTTCTAGGCACACGTCCTGCGGGGAAGAACCAGCCACGATGCCGCGCCGGGTCCACCTCCCACCCGGCTCGGCGCCGCCGCCCAACCTCCATCGCAGCCCGCGCACTCCGTGCTCATCCAGGGATCGTCCCCACTCCACAGCCTAGTTCAACATGCCCGCGCGTCGTTTTGCGGCGCGCTGCACGTCACTCCGCCCCGCGCCGTCCAGCGCCCCGACAAGCCCTCTGCGCTCTCCCAAGGATGACATCAACGTGCATGCAAACGAACGTGACAGCATGATTGATCCTGTCGCCGTCAGCGGGACTCCCGCCAGCGCGCAGCAGGATCTTCGCGCTCTGCACCCGCATGCCCGTAACCAAGCCCACCGTGCGCGTATGCCACTGCGGAAATAGTATTCGGATGTGCTGATGCATCCACAACCGCAAGCGTGCCGTGTTGGCTTTGCGGCGTCGCGCAAACTCGAAGTCCGGCAGGGCGCGACCGCGAGGAGACAGATTGACCTGCGACCGGGATCAAGACTGCACTGGCGATCCATCGAAAATCGTAGATGATACCTGTACTATAACCATATTCGAGTCCTGCCAGGTCCTGCCGCGTCGCGTTGCGCAGTGGTGATTTGCGGATGGGCAGCGAAAAGCGATGATGGGAATGGTGTGTGATGATGGCCGCAATGCCACAGTACTGCCCGCCATCTTGAACTGTTGGTGGTGCAGTATCCGTGGCGCGAGGCTCGGACCGATAGGCGTGCGAGCTTGCAGGGCGCGTCGGTGCGTGACAAGGAGGATGTGGGTGTGGGTGTGGACTCAGGACTGTTACGCGGAGGCCGTCGGAAAACCTTTTCGTCGCATGCCATAGATCTGAATAGCCCGTGCAGAAAGGGAAGTCAAGTGCCAGCTCCAGCAACCCAGTCAGAATAGCTGTTGAGGCAAACGCCAGAGTCCAGACGAAAGCCGTGCGAGCGAGTGCACGCCGTGTCGCCGTCTGTCGCGGGGATGGATCTCCATTTGCGCGCTGAAGCTGCTCGCCCCCCTTGAGACGATGGAGGCTGGCGACCCCAGATAAGTACAAGGTTCTAGGGCGCAGCGCCGGAGGATGAGTCACTGCAGCGGCAAGGGTGGCGTAACTTTACAGCTTTCGAGGACAGCCCGAGTGGTCTTGAGCTCTATTTTGGTCAGCGTCAGTGCAGGCAGATTGGCCGTAGACATACCATGAACCACTGGCTAACCACGCGGCCGGTGCACACCGATATGGATTTCTTCTGTGGTCCATGGGCAATACCCCGCAATCCCACTAGGCCAAAGACGCTCACGAAAGTGAAACGTGCGTGCGCAGGGGCGCGCTCCGACGTAGAGTCGAGGGACTCCATCTTTCGTAAGACTGTGGCGGCGTGAAAACGACGGGATGCGGCAGACGATGAGACGAAAGAGATGCCGGGGGCGAAGTTGAGAGATGGGCGGACGACGAAGTCAAGGAGGTGTCGGTGGTTAGATATATCGTCAGATTAGAGCCAAAGATGAAGCCCGGGCGTGGGTAGGTCTTGACATTCATAGAGAGAACATTCAAGAGAGAAGATAGCCGGCGAGCTTGAAGAGAAAACCGCACGCACGGAGCTTGGCTGCTACCTCTGAGTAAGCGAAGAGCTCCAGCTAGTCGGGAAGGCATCCACTCAGTAAGAAAACGCACGATTTCTGCGTGTACGCACGGTAGACACAGCATATAGTCACTCACGATGCGTTGTCGTTGCATGTACCCCGCATCTCCCGCATCTCCCCGCGGCACGTATCCTCACTCAGTCACTGGTGATATTGAAGTGCACGGCCTGAGGCCTGATTGTCCGGCCAATGCGCATATTTGATGAGTTTCACCGTCGATCTACGAGTGCGTCGGTCCCTGGAACGAGGAGGACGACATGAACGGGCGAGGAAGAGAGGCCGGACGGCTCGTAGACGGCAGCTGCAGCAGGTGGGGTCGGAGGACCGGCCCGGGGCTCATTGATTTGTTTGCGCATGCTTCCCGTTTTGGATGAGCCAAGTTCGTCTCGACTCTGTTCAGCACGCGAACGAACTCCCTCTCCGACCACTGCGACCGCGATAACACAACGCCCAAAAACGCCCCAAGTCAGAGCGCATCATCACATAAACACGGTAAAAAAACCCCAACATCCTACCTCTACCGTTGCGTCGCATAAAAGGATCTTACAGCGGGGCGAATGCGTCGGCAAAAAACTTGCAACGCACGTGTGTCCCACCCAATATACTAGGGACTGCTGCGCAAACAAAGCCAGCGATCATATTTACATCTGCTCGTCCAAGTGGTGAGCCAGGCGCGATCTCATATGCGCGGGGTGGGACACTGACAACGGGCAAACAGAACGACTCAACCCAGCGAACATCTCTAACCCTGGCTCGTACAGCGGATCCCGCACGGTTCAAATCTCATTCTCCACTTCTGACTCGTGGGTAGCCAAAATCCCATAACTTGGCGCATACTCGACTTACCTGCCTGCAGCACAGCGCTTCCTCTCTTTGCATTGTTAGTCCACTCGATCTTGGCCACATCCCGACACTGTGAGATGTCGATATCCACCGGTTCAATATGCAGCTTCGGCGACTACGCCTCTTCCTTTACGTCGAGTATGTCTGGCAAGGTCATCAACGACCCCGGCATTCATGAAGACACGCCCCGGGCCGCGCAGCTCCCCGGATGGTGCAATGAGATACATGGCAAGATCTGCGTTTACGACGGCGACATAGGCTCGTATCTGCGCACATTCGTGCCCTCGAGAACGCCGTGCCCCCTCGACGCACCCGCCACCGCGCTAGGCCTGGAGTTAACGAGCGGCACCCCGCTGGTGCGTCCTGGTCACGTTTCACGCTCTGTACGACCACTCAGATTCTATAGCTCGATGTTTTCAGAGCTCTGGTAGCAGATTTCCCTGCCGACAAGAAGCCCTCGTTCTATGGAGGCCACGGCCAGGTCATCCCCTTCCCGTTCGCCGAGTTCGCCAGCAGACACCATGCATCCAAGCCGGACCTCGTGATGTCCTTCCCAGGCGTTCGACTCCCGGAGAAGATCGAATCGCCCGACTGGTCCCAGTTCTCAGTCGCCATTGAGGTAAAGGATATGGAAGACGAGGATCCGTTCGCGCGTTCCACAAGCACCGACTTCAGTGCCGCACGGGCCTCTAAATTCGTGCAGCTCGCAGTCAGCGCGAGGGTCCTGATGTTTGCCAATGGGTTCCTCGCCTCCTTCATGCTCGGGATATACGGCGACGTGGTCCGCATCGCCAGATTTGACTACACATGCTGTGTTGCTTCGGCCCCCGTCAGCTTGAAGACCGCCGAGGGCCTCCGTGCTGTCCAGGAGTTCTTCTGGCGGTTCGTACACCCCTGGGAAGGCGGACTGGGGCGGTCGTCGGCGCCGACCCTACCGTCCGGAAACTCACAACCGCAGATACAACCTGGCTCAGGGAGCACCTCGGGAGCGACGCTGACCTTCTTGACGACGTCGACATCGACGAGGCTCGCTGGGTGAAGGTCTGGGACGACGACAAACCCACAGACCCGAGGGCCTTCATCCTCTTCCGGCTGCTGAACGTGAACGCCCGGCTCTTCTCTCGGTCGACCATGGTCTGGCTCGGTATCGAAGATGCTCGTTTCTGCAATGGGGAGAGCAACGCAGAGACGGACGAGCATGTGGAGCTTCGGGTGATCAAGGAGGCGTGGCGCCAGGTGATTCGAATCCCGGAGCAAAAGTTCTACACCCGCCTCAAGGAGGAGATTCCAGATGAGGAGCGGATAGGCCTCCCTGATCTTCTCTGCGGCGGCGATCTGGGAGAAAGGGACGTCAAGCGGTGGGAAGCTGCCTGCGCGGCCAAAGTGTGGTGTGAGTCGATCGCATCACGCTCCTCTGCCGCTACCACCGACGTCTCATCCCTGTTCTCGTCAGCCTCCGCGGGCAGCTCTTTTGCTTCAACATCGTCGGCCCTGGAGGTTCCATTTCCCGTGCACCAGACGTCGTCTTGGAGGCTAGGAATGGGACCACAGTACCATGCGAATGAACGGAGCCATATGCGCTTTGTGATAGACACAGTGGGGAGGCCGCTATCTTGCTTCAAGACTACGAAGGAGCTCGTGATGGCGCTGCGCGATGCAATCGTAGGTGCGTACTTCTCCTGAATTTCCATCTGTCGTAATATATTCAAAACCAAGTTTTCCACAACTTGTAGGGCACCAGCTAGCGATGAAACGCGCGGGAGTTTCACACAGGGACATCAGCAGCGGCAATGTCCTCATCGTTGATCACTTGCCAGTGACACGCCCCCTTTCCTACGGAGTGTTACTCGACTACGACTACAGCTCGATGACATTGGTACCTCCGGATGACTTCGAGGATGCAGATCCTGCCGAGCTACCTCCTCTCTACCCTTTAGCGTATCTGGACAAGGTCGACCCGGAGACTATGGCTGATCTAAAGGAGAGAATGGTTAGTGTTGCGCATATCATGTCCCTTCAATTAGCCTACTCATCGATGGTCAGGGAACTTACTACTTCATCGCCCTCGAGCTTCTGGAATCGGGAATAGGACCCGTCATGCACGACACCCAACATGACCTAGAATCATTCTACTGGGTCCTCTTGTGGACCGTCTTACGCCACACTGCACACAACCATCCCGACGGTCGGCACCTGGCCTGCGCGAGCGTGTTCAAGTCCGGAGACGACCGTGATGCATGGAGCGCCAAGTGCGGTTGGGTGCACGCCAATGCGCCGTTCATCATCGACCAGAACTCGCCGTTGACGGACCTCATGGCACATCTCCGCGACCTCTTGCGCATTGCGAACGCGCCTTATGGGCCGACGAGGCGACGCATAACCTACGGTGCCTTCTTAGATGCCTTCGACGCTGCGATAGCCCGCGAGGACTGGCCAGACGACGATCCGGCCCTGCCGTTCGCTCCGCCGAAGACTTCTGGTCCTTTGGCATCCATGGACGCGACCGCCTCGGACGTGGTGTCGGCGAAGCGGCGGCGGATGGCGGATGCTACTCTTATGGTAGGCGGAAGCGGGGCGCCAGAGGACGGCCCCTGCACTGCGTCGACATCCCTCACGACCGCTCGCCCGCGGGGCAGAGGAGCGCGCCGGCCTAAGACAGCCCGCGGACAAAGCAGGACGTCAGGAGGCAGGGCGAGCACGTCGTCGGGAGGCGGCTCAGGGAGGGGTTCTGGAGCGGGTATGGCCTCGGCGGCGTAATGTCTATTCGTCGTGATCTTGGACGCCGCCGCCCGCGCAACACTTCCCCGCGCACGTCCAATCTCTGGCATCCGCTGGTCTGTTATCTCTCGGGCGCACATGGCTCCTGAACCAGAACGTCGCCACGGGCCACGTTATCAACGAACCCTGGTGGTGTCTCCGTCTACTGTCTGTCGTCGAACTTGACGGCGGATTGATGTGAACTATAAATGAGTTTTCAGCTGGTGCAAGGGTACGTGCTTTTCATTTGGCCATTCAACTCCAACAACTGCTGATAATTACCTACCACAGCCACTACGGAACCACGCCAACCGCGCAGGCCTTCTTCGGCGACACGGCGTAATGCCGCCTCTCATGTCTCCCACTCAAACCCCAGCTCCTCAGCCGAAAGATCGAGGATATCCAGCAGCTTCCACCACGTCTCCCGCTGCTTCACCCGGTGGCGGCGCACAAGCCCATCGCGAAACCTCTCACACAACTCCAGCCAGCACGGGCGCCGCGCAAGAGCCCCGAGCTGCATCTCCAGCCCAGCCAGCGCATCCGTGGTGAGCAGATCCCAGCGCATCTGCACATACGTCCTGCTCAGGACGGTCATGTGCCGCGCGCCACGCAGTCGGGGACGTGCGCCATGCCCACAATGTCGCCGAGGGCGCCCGAGGCGCAGGGGAGCCGCTCGCGCGCGGCGACAAGATCGGGCGTAATGACAACCTCCAGACGCCTCCATCGTCCTCGCTCGAAATGAGTTACCGATTAAACTGATCTTCTGCACCTAGCCCGCTCCCTAGAAGAGTCCTCGAACGTTTGGGAGTCCGGTGAAGCTCCTGCAAGTGGCTGGGTGTCAGCATGGGAGATAAGCTGCCACATTTGGTACATGTATATAGGGCGTGCCGCGGTGCTCCAAGCTCCAGAGCTCCATGAGCGCAGGAAACACGCGACGGTCCACCGATACGAATGCCACTGTAACCCCGTCCCTATACTACGCCCTCATGCAAGCTGCCCTGAGCGCCGAGCGGCCTACGCTGACTGTGCGGGTGCCCCGAAACGCCAAGTTCAAGCCTAAACCAGTGCAGTTCCGGTGCACACAAGCTTGTGAGTGTTCGATCTCCCCCAGCGCTGCGTGGATCTCTATGAAACGGCATGAGCACTGCCACGGCACACTCGGCAGATCCTCATTTGGGTGTCAGTCGTTAAGTCACATATTGGCCTCTTCGGCCCCTAGCGGAACCTCTCAATTTCCCTGACCGGCTTTCTGCAGCGCTCTCTCTACGGTAGAGTCGTAACCCGGTATCTCTGACCTGCACTTTCCTGGGGAGAGTCCGAGCCCAAGCGGAACTTACCCAAACTGCCAAGGCTAGCGATGCAGGCCGCCCTGGTTTGAACTGCACAACGGCCATACGAGGACGATGCGGTCTATGTATCCCGCCATCACGCCCTGCTCGTCGGCGGCAGAGCAGGTCCCGATTGCACCGGCATTGCGCGCTACTTATGATGGCAGGCCGTCCGAGACTTGCGCGAACGGTATAAAAGCCGTTGCAGTCTCGCCGAGTTTGCCTCAGCAGCTGGACCGGCCTTCATTTCCCTTTTCTTCTCTTTACGCTGAGCGTACCCTTTCTTCATTCTTTTCCTACTAAGCACTTCTTCCACCCACGACCAACGACACGACAACCTACCTACTATCACGATCATGAAGCTCACCACTGTCGCCCTCTCCGCGATGGCCGTAGCGGCCGCGTCCGTCTCCGCGCACCCCATGGCGGCACGCGCCATCGACCCGGCACTCATCCCGGATCTCGGCCCTTCCAATGGCTCCGGGTACGCCTCGATACATGCACCCGTGCGCAACCCATACTAACCATGCCCATTACAGCCCGTGCCCCCCATCCCGCGCCGCCTTCATCGAGGTGCGCATCCTCCCCTGCCGGCATGCCTGCCTCCGTCCTGCACTGAACTGACCACACGCATACAGGCACTCACCGCGAACGTCGCAGCCGGCCACGTACTAACGAACCCCGCCGTCGCGATCACATTCCCCACGGACCCCGCACCCGCGTCCCAGCGCGCGCGCCTCGACGCCACCGCCGCGACGCTCCTCAACTTCTTCGGCCCAGCCGACGGCTGCCCGCTGCCCGCGCAGCTCCAGGGGCCGGCGCACGTCCCGCGCGCGCGCGTCCCCTCGAGACCCGCGAAGACGGCGGCGCCCGCGAAACCCGCAAAGCCCGCAAAGTCGACTGCGAGGCCCGTGAAGACGAAGGCGGCCCCGCCCGCGCTCCGGACGAGCGTGCCCCCGAAGTCGGTGCGGCCCGTGCGGCCGGCGGCCAAGTCGGTGGCGGGGCCGCCGGGGAAGACGAAGGCGGCGCCCCCGGCGCTGAGGACGAGCGTCCCGCCGCGCACGGGCGGGAAGCTGCGCCTGCCGGGGCTGTCGGTGTTCGAGAGGCGCGCTGGGGCGGTCGACGCGCGGCTCGTGCCGGACTTTGGCGTGGCGAGGGGCGCGCGGCCGGATGGGTTCGGGAACTGCAAGGGCGTGAACAACGTGAACATCCCGTGTGCGTGCCCGCCGCCACGCGCGGAGTTCCTTTCTGTGAGTGCCCTTTTGCGCCATCTGTGTGCCACTGACAGAGCTGGATATGTGCAGGCGCTGAACGCGAACGTCGCCGCCGGCCACGCGGTCAAGAACCCGGGCGTGAAGGTGGCGTTCCCGACGGGCAGCAGCAAGGCGGACCAGCAGGCACGGATCGGCGCGCTGCTCGTGACGCTGCAGAACATGCACGGGCCGGGCGTCGGGTGTCCCGCGGTGTCGACCGTGTATGGGCAGCTGCAGCAGAAGATCAACGCGCTCCCGAACTGAGCGAGCGGGAGTGGTCGGTGTGCGCGGTGTGCTAGTTTGGTTTCTTTCAATGGAGTTGTTTCAGCTCTCATATTGAGTTGCTACTAGTGTGGGCGAGTGTAAGTTTCCGCCTTACTCTGCTTCAAGTCGTCCTGCATCCGGACACACAAATTCTGCCATGTGGCACTGACACTTGATTGTGATGTCCGGAGCAGGACTCCTGGGTTGCACACCCTTGCTGCAGTCATGGGGTGACGGCCGGGGCTTCACTTGAGTCGATTGCTCGTTTTTGCCACTGCAAGAGTTGCGACAACGGCTACATGGTCAGCGGAAAGGATGCCCCGGAGAATATTATCAAGGGATCTGCATTGGACGTTTAGCTGGCGAGCTCAAGTCTAGAGTAGACGAAGGTGCATGCCTTCGGGTGGACTCACATGTACGCGAGTGCTTTGTATGGGGAGCTTGAACCCGATGGCCCGTTAGTCACAAAGCACTGATGGTTGACAAGACACAGTCGCATGCCACACCATGAAACAGCCTGCCCATCTAATACCCAGATCTTCACCCTGAAGAGAGAATAGGCGTGGGGAGGAGGTCGCTCGATAGGTAGACTAGGCAGACGTGGCCGCACATGCAGCGCTCAACGTCGTCCGGGTTAAGATGCTCATAGGTGCCGTCATCCCGCTCGCCGCCATTGGGCAGGCCGCCGAGTCCAAGCTGGCAGATTATGTAGAACGTGTGGGGGATGTGCGCGATGCGCGGGGTGTATAAGGCAATCGCGACTCCGCGGTACACGCTACGAGCGACGCGCCACTCAGTGTACAACGCACGAGGGCCCGTACTGGTTGTACTCGCTCGCGTGAGTGTTGCTCAACGCTGTTGTGGCCGCAGTGAGACAATCCTTGTTATCCGTCCCGCAGCTGCTCCTGGGTTGCGGTTTCCGACGTCCGGACATGTCTTCGAGTTCGGATCTGTGAACGAGGCGGATGAGCGCGGAGATTTAGTGGAACCTGATGCCGGGGACGTCATTTAGAGCATGAGCTCTGGTGGCGCGTCCTTAAGTCATTAGGACAAGGACACGTACTTGCGGGCGTCGTAGATCGTGCGGAACGACGTCGGCACGCCAAGTACGCTGTCCGGGACATAGCAGACGAGACGACGCTGGATCGTTATGCCACTGTTCATTCGATCGTTCTCCTTGAACACGCCGAGAGAGAGATCGGAGAAGCGCAAGAGACAGACCGTGTGCAGACGGGGTCCGGATGGCCTAGGGACATCCGCAGCATCGCAGATGCGTCCGCTTTACACTCGCGGTCCATCTCACCAATTCGACATTCCACCTATGTCCCGGGGCGGCCCATTCGAACTCCAGTTCTTCCGTCGGCAGCTCGAGGATGTGCAGCAGGGTGAGCCGTTGCGCGACCTCGTGGTAGCTGCTCAGAAGGCTGCAGCATTCTACGCGCACTACAGCCAGTACGCGCGAGCTCGCCGAGCTGGATATCAAGCGCTTGCAGCGCGTCCGCGGAGACCAGCGCCGGGAGCACCTGTGCGAAGAGGCGTAGGGGCTGCGGGCACTCGCATAGTGCGGAGAGCACGCCGCGCGCCGCAGGACGTCCGCCATCTGCGCAGGCGCGGGGATGAGCTGCTCGCGGGCGGGGATGCAGTGCTGGAAGTCCGCGCGCGCGAGACAGACGACGGCCCCGGAGGTGCGCAGGAGGCCGTCCATGAGCTCAGAGAGCGCGCGCCGGCAACACTCGTACAGCGCGAGCAGGATCGCGTGCTTCACAGTAAGCGCGCGAGGTTGTCGGCTTCGAAACGTATCGGCGGCCTCGGTGAAGTTGAAGGCAGCATCGACGGTACCGGAGTTGCACCCTGCGACCCAGGTCCGGTAGTTGGTGGTAAACTGTTCTCGAGGTGGCGAGCGCCGTCGACGATGCTGTCTGAGAAATCGTATTTGCGGCCGAGGCGCGTGAGCGTAAAGAGCACTGGGCAGAGGATGTAGGGCACCGTCTCGATCGGTTATCTAGTGTATGTCAGCTTGGCTGCGTCCAGGGGTGCCAGTAGAAGTCGAGGGCGAAGTAAAAGAGACGGGGAGATGGGGTCGGAGGACGACGCCAAGGAGCCTGGAGGTGCCATTGATGGAGAACATAGCAAGACCAGACCGCAAGATGAAGCAAAGGTGTTTGATCAGGCCTTGGAAGGCCATGGAGGAGCACCCAGGCAGACGATAGTCGGCCAGCTTGGAGAGAAAACCGCACGCGCAGAGCTCAGCTACTGCATCTGGGTAGGCGAAGAGCTCCAGCTAGTCGGACAAGAATCCATTCGGTGAGAAGACTCACTACTTTTGCATGTACGCACGGTAGACACAGCCGGTATAGTCACTCACGATGCGCTGTCGTTGCATGTACCTCGCGTCTCCTGCATCTCCCTCGCGGCGCGTATCCTCAGTGATGATGCGGGTGGAGGAAGAGTGCATGGCTTGATTTCCTAGTTAATGTGCATATTGGATGAGTGTCGCCGTCGCCCTGAGAGCGCGTTTGTCCTTGGACAGAGAATGGGGACAAGAGAGGACGAGGAAGAGAGGCGGGGCGACTCGGAGACAGCAGCAGATGAGGTCGGAGGATCGGCCCGGGTCCCCTCTGTTTGTTTGCGCAAACTTCCCGTTTGGGATGTGCCGACTTTCAAGCGAACGACCACGACCAAATGATACCGCGACCGGGGGAGCACGATGTGCACTTACCCTCGAACCATAGGGATATCTTTGTGTATGCAAAAAAGCAGCTCAGGAATCCTAGGCAGATTCGTTGGACAAAGGGTCTTTCCGGTACAAGAGTCGCGTGTATGTCGTGGCACGGCAGCTTAGCCCACTTAATCCTAGCCACGATCATGCCGGCGCACTGCTTTTGTAGCTCATCGTCTTCCGTGGCTAGACATCTTCTACGACTGACATCGCAGGGCTCTCAGCAGAAGCAGCCGCCAACAGCTGCAACACTAACTCCATGCATATGTATCTGAAGCACCCGTGGAGACTATCCGAGCGTAATGCTGGTCAGACACCTCGTGTAAACGATGGCGCCGGTACGCGCTTCGTTGTTGACACGGTCGGACGGCCGTTGTCCAAGTTTGGAAGTACGAAGGAGCTCGCCGTGGTGCTCCGGGACGCCATCAGAGGTATGTAGGATCGTCTCCTGGTCCTGTTTACATGAAGGCAGTCCTGACACTACCTCACACAGGTCACCAGCTGGTCATGGAGCGCAGCGGCATCCTTCATCAGGATGTCAGCAGTAGTAACATCTTAATTGTCCAGGAGCCACACGAGCACCCTCACTCGCAGGGATTTCTGCACGACTTCGATGAAAGCGTGATGACACATGGAACTCATAAGCGAATGTCGTTTGACCCACCACCCCTTCAACCGCTCGAGCTTACAGACGACTTCAAGGACGTTTCACGCTGCAAGGAGCTCAGAGCAGTGAGTGACCTCCATCGCACCGACTAACACGATTCATCGTCTGATCACCCTTTGTAGGGAACACATCACTTCATACCTTTCGCACTCCTGGACCCCGACTTCACAGAGGCTGCTGGCGACTCCCCCCATGATCTCGAGTCGTTCTTTTGGGTCCTGCTCTGGATCATCCTTCGTCACACCAAGTACGAACGCCGAGGCAGCAAGGTGGACTGCGAACGGTTCTTCAAATGTGAATATGAAGACGACGAAGACCTGGCTGCCGGCAAGCTGGTGTGGCTCCTTCGCCGTACGAAACTCAATCCGGTCCTCGTGATCATCGGAAACACACCTCTCACCGCTCTCCTGAACTCTTTCACTGCGCTGATGTACGACGCTTTGTTCAGAATGGGAAGCGAGCGCGTCCCGCTCACCTACGCCGCCATCCTTCACATCTTCGACACGGCCATCGAGCGGGAGGACTGGCCAGTTCGAGAAGACGAGGCACTCCCCTTCGAACCGCTACCCGAGAAGTGGACTACGCAGATCATATTCGACAGAAAGAAGCCTCTCGAGCATGGGCAGAGCAAGAAGCGGTCCGCCGAAGGCGTCCAGAACGACCTCAACACCGAGTCACCAGGGATCCTGTTCCCGAACGCGTCGACCCCGACAGCGAAGCGTTCGAAGCTGATTCCCGCGATACTACGAGGCCGCTTCTGGTGGACAGAAGGAGCATAGGCTCGCGCATTATTGGCTCGCATGGCTGTGGAATACGCTCCAGGAACGCGAGCGAGCGAGCTGGGGTGCTGCTAACACGAAGAGTCGGGGCACGTAATGTTTCCGGAGGGTGAACGCCGAGCTATGCTTCCGGACGTTTACAGCATCGAGTCGCTCCATATTTTCCTAGTCTAACCAAATGCCATTCGGTCTGAGGCGAGCACGACGTGCCAAACGCGGGTGTTGATTTCTATTCTGAGGTTCGTTTACGTCGAGTCTACTAAGTGGGTATGAGAGGTGCACACCTGCGCTACAGTGCCTATGCCAGTGCAGACAATAGATCATAACACATCCTACGGGAGGAATCGACTCGGACCGGCCCGTCTTCGATCGGAGTGCCGCCAATCTGGTTTAGCCACTGTAGCCACAACCGATACCGTAACCACCGCTGCCCATGACCCTCGCGCACTCCAAAGACTCTCCGCACTCTAGAAAGTGTGAGTAGCGACCACTGCGATATCCAAAGCCTAGCGGGATCGTAACAGATAATGGCTCAGGTGAATAATATCTAGCAAGCCTTGTCAGGTGTCAGGGCCCACTAATGGGCGTACTATGCAGAATTCGAAATCACTGGAATTCCTTGCCCTCGATCTCCTGCGATACGGAAAGGAATCCATCGTGCACGACAGCCATCACGACTTGGAGTCCTTCTACTGGCTCCTGGTGTGGATCGTGTTACGCCACACCTCATACAACAGTCCATATGGTCGGAGAGAAGAATGCTCGCGCCTTTTCAAGCCTGTGAACAGTCGCGAAGCGAAAATTGCCAAGGGCGGGTGGCTGTATAACGCTGAGCCCCTCATAATCAACCAGAACCCCCCGCTGACGGACCTCCTGAAGACGCTTCAAGACCTCGTATACATGGCCGCGATACCGACCCGGAGCAAGTCCATGACGAGGGAAATCCTTACATACCGCGGTATCATCGACGTCTTCGAAAGCGCCATTAACCGCGAGGACTGGCCGCTCGGCGATCCGGCCCTCCCACTCACCCCGCCAAGGAACGACATGCCGATTATCATCGAAGGCGACGTTTTCTTCAAGCGGGCTGAAAGGGCTCTCGATTCCTCTGTGGAGGAAGATCAATATCCCTTGAAACGCGCATCCAGCGAGTCGAGCACACCTGCCATGACGTCGGCGAAGCGGCGGCGGACGGTTGTTACTCCTTCAACAAGTGAAAGCAACGCGCTGCTCGAAGACTTATGGTCGCGCTGCATCGACATAATGATCGTTCCGAAGCGAGGCAGAGAGGTCTAAGACTACCAGCAGACAAGGGCAGGCGTCGGGAGGCAGGAAAAAGAGACTCCAGAGCGCGCAAGGTTCCGGTAGATGAAGATTACTGTCTTACTGTCTTACCATACGGGGGGACCCGCCCTGCTAACAAACCGAGCAATGGCAGCTCACGTACTGGCAATTTCTTGAAAGTCCATCGCACAAGGTGCGTTGTGATACATAGTCTGCAGAAGGGTTACGGCTACATCAAAGTTCGGTGCTAAGTCTCAGTATGAGACAATATGTCGACCGGCGATGATAAGTATTGCATGAGTGAGTCGAGCATAAACGTATGAGGGGGTAACGAGTCGGGTCCATAGAGATACGCGATATGAAGGAGTGTGGGAGACTAGGGGCATAGTCATAACGTGAAAGGAGGGTGGGAGAGCGATTACATCAACGCGAGATCTTCCAGAGCCTCGCGTAGAGCGATGCTCATAGGCGGCCCGCGTCGTCGGGCCTGCTTCTGAGGGAGGAGCTTGCGACTCAAGTCAGAGGTCAAGTTACGCAAAGAGTGGAGCCTGCGCGGCCTCCCGAACCTGCCATCCACCGGCGTGTTCTCCCCGTGCAGGCGTAGCGTACGTGGCCGGTGGTAGGGGATGCCGTAGGCGTAGCATTCCTTGTGCAGCCTACATTGATCTGGTCAGCGCGAGTTTGACCTGAGATATGATGAGATACACGTACGCTATCTCGCCGCGGTGAGCGAGCAGTATGTCGCGCAACGACCGGGCGGTGCAAGACTTTCGTCCCCTGACGGGCGCCGCGCCCTGGTTGGATGCACTTTCGCGAGACTTGCCGTGGTACCTGCGGTAGGCAGCCATGCGCTCGACCCAGGGGCCCAGGAGACGCTGCTCCTCCGTCAGGTCCGGGTTTGCGTTCTTGTCCGGGTTGTTCTTGCCCGCTGACCAGTGCTGCACTTCCGGCTCCTGATCCAGGAATCTGCTTACTTGAGTCTGTAGCCGGCGGTCTGCTCGACATCAGCTACGGCAATACCGCGAAAGCGCGATATGATGTAGACGCACCTAGATGTATCTTCCGAGACACCAACTCCGCGAAGAGCTCAGCGGTTTCCGCGTCGTTGTCCGGCGCGACGTCAATCATTCGCTTGAGTTCTGCGACGTTGCGGGGGAGGCCGGATCCGCTGGCGCGCGCCCTGACTGCGAAGGCGAGGGATCGTTCGAGTGACTCCGTGTGGTCGAGTTCTTCCGCGTCCGCGCCGGGGTTTCCGACAACTCGCATCTCTGTAGGAGCCATGATTCAGCCTCTACAACTGTACAGAGAGCGAAGAAGCTCACTGTTGTCTTCATCCCTTGCCTTCCCTAAGCCCAGTTCTGAGGGGGAAAGGCGAATAGATCAGACGTAGGTGATGCGGCTAACACGGGACACCACTCACTACCGGTAGGCACATCCCGTCCCTGAGACGACCTGTTCGCGACGTTGGGGATAGTTTTGTCCATGAGGGGTTCCCGGCTCTTCGGCGCGCTACGACGATTCAACAACGCGAGCGACGGTCTGGATGTAGTTGCGAGCGAGTCCCGACTCGGAGCTGGGTTGGAAGAGACCATTGTGCAAACGATAGACCAAAGGATGAGCGTGATATAAGTGAGGATGGTAACACTCCGAGGCTGAGCGTGATATCTGGCAAGAAAGGGAGACCAACACCGTCAACAGTGAGGACCAGAAGGTGGCAGGTAGAGAAAGAGCTTAGTAGATAGCGCTCGACGAAGACGAGGATCTATATAGGATGCGGAGTTGTCGGAGTCTGCTGGGGTAGGACAATGGCGCCGCCGCGTGGATAAGGTCGTCCCGCCAAAAACAATGGGCGACTTCGTCGCTCGCCAAGGATCAGCGTTGAGTTCCAGGTGGTAATCGGTGGCGGGTGGTTTCCAAGTTAGGCACATGCCGAATACAAGGCTAGACAAACAATGACTCGGAGATTCGAGTACATTGCAGAAGCAACTAGGTTGCGCACGGTGATGCGGCGGATCATCCATTCGAATGCGCTGGCCGGTCTCCGATGAGAACTCTGACTGATAGTTCTACATCGTCAATCTATTAGAAGAGCACCTATAGGTGTTGTTAGCTCGCATAAGTACGGTCACGTCAGAACGTACAGATCATATTGCTGCTGGCTGTTTCGAGGGCTTCAGCATCAATTGAAACCTATGTACAGCGACAATGTCCCAGCTGCATCACAGCCTCGGGATCCCTCGTGCGGCCGGTTCCAGGAACTTAGGTCATAGATGCAGACGCGCCGCCCAGTGTCGTCCAGGATCCCTCTGAGTTACGTCCCATTGTCGTGGGACCAGACAGACATGAAGGTCCATGGAGAAGGATATAGTTCTTGTCGAGAGGCGTCCGTCCACCAGCAGGATTGCGCTACGGCGAAGTATTCCCAGTTTAGGGCAGGTTCTGCCAGGGCTCTGCATCCGTTTTCTCAGCCGGCGTCTACGAATTCGAACTCTGCCACCGCCGCGCGTCCGAATCCTTCAGACTCTTACCCCTCGCTGTATCTTCAAGGACGGGTCCCGGTACATTGACACTTGAAGCTCGAGTATCAGGTCCGAACGTTTGAACGCTTATATCGTCGTTGGAAGCCCAAATACCGTCGTCAACAACCGACGCCACCAAAACATTTACCTGGTTCGTGGACTTTTAGCCACACGCATCGTTACTCGAGCTAATTAATGGGTTCTATCTGCGCTAGATAAAAAACAGCATGCAGGAGGAACAGAGCAGAGCCCCGGATCCGCTCGGCAGCCTCAAGCGAGTTGACGCACTATGGTTTCCGGATGGGAACATAGTCGTCATAGCAGGAGAGGCCGCATTCCGGGTACACCAGGGGATTCTCTCTCGCCAGTCCGAGATTTTCAAGGACGTCTTCAACATGCCTCCGCCCCTTCTGAGTGATACCACCGAATCTAAGGAAGTAGACGGTTGTCCGGTCGTCCATGTATCGGACACCCCTTTCGATTTCCAGCAGCTTCTGCGCGCGCTTTACGACCCATTGAGGTGAGTTGCGGTGGCGCGATACGCGGGCTTCTACACAGATGTCTAACCTCAATTCCGTTATGCCAGGGTTTTTGAGCGCAACGATGTACCATTCGCGGTGCTCGCTGCGCTTACGCGTATGGCTCACAAGTACAACATGGAAGACTTGCTCTCGGTGTCAACCCGCCGCATCGAGAGCGACTACCTCCAATTGACCACGCGACTGTCCCTCAATATTGCCGGTCGCCCTGGCGAAGTCCTCATGGCCGTCAATCTATTCCGCCTCCTACAACGAGAGGACCTCCTGGTTCCAGCACTGTACCGTGCTTGCCAGCTCCCCACCTCCACCCTCCTCCGTGGAGAATCCCGCCCGGACGGCACGCACGAGATTCTCAGCGCGCACGACCAAGAGCTCACCGTCGAGCTGAAGAGGGAGCTCTCGAAGCAGAAGATTTTACTCTTCTTTGCCGCGCTCGTCGAACTCCCAGCAGAAGGCCAATGCTCGCAGCCTCCGACCTGCACGACTGCCATGCTCGATGCGCAGCGCAAGTATCGCCAACGAGGTGCAGAGGTGACAGACTCCGACCCTCTATCCCCTGCATTCCGTGTCGAACTCAGTCGATTCGCGGGTGGACCGTTGTGTCGTAACTGCCTCGACAGCATGTTCGTCCGCGTGGAAAACGTCCGGAGCTACATTAGGAAGACTATGCTCCCTGAGTTCATCGGTAATTTCGACGCAAAGCAGTAGATCGCTCTGCACTTTTCCAGCATGCAGAAGCCACAACGCATTCGGGATGTACATACGCCACACGCCAGAGAGATAGCACTTGTCATACAACCTGTACATTGCAACAGGATATACCTTCACCTGCGGTCCCGCTGATGGAGCGGCTCGACAGGTCAATCGTATTACGACACCTGAGCATCCTAGCTATTGTACAAGGCTATAAGCATCAAGGCATCGCGGTACAGTATAGAAGTCTAGTCCATGTCCGAGGAAGGCGAGACCACCGTACAGCGTCATCTCCTAACTGACACCATCCACCTACGTGCATAAGTTACACGCGCTTCGCCTGTGTAGCTACGACCAACCCCGGCAGCGACCCCCATCACCGACAGCCCCAGCCATCGTCCATACTCGAAAGCGCGAACCCAACAATATGCGCGCGCGCCTTTCACCCTCTTGCCGCAGGGCTCGCACCGCGGTACACGTCTGGCTGCCATGTTCCAGGAGCCGGCGGTGGCGGCCCTGGCGGCGGCGCGTACGCGTACCCGTGCGACGGCGCGTGCTGCGGCGTGGGCACCTCCAGCCTGACGCCGTCGAGCTGGACAGTCTCGGTCGGGCGGCCGAGCAGCGGGTCCGCGACGTCGTGCGCGAACGCGCTCTCCGGGTCGGGCTCCAAACCGGCCGCAGCGCGCAGCTTCGCCTGTCTATGTGCGCGAGCGTGAGGTCAGCGCGCGGGACTAGAGTAGGATGGATTACGGGCGAGACGTACCTCGCTTTGCGCCGGCGGTAAATGACCTCCTCCTTGATCCTCTCGGTCTGCACCTTCACGTAGTGCATCGCGAAGATGGTCACGACGATGGTGATGATGATCACGATGGTCTTGATTGTCTTCGTCTTTTTGGACACGTTATCTGTCGTCGCGCGCTCACGTTAGACAGTGTCTGAGTGTTGCGTGCGGGGATACTTACCGGTGCTCTGCGCGGCGCCGAGGTAGACTGTCGCGAGCTGCTTCGGTAGGGAGAGGGTAGCTGCGCCCAGGAACGTGAACACACCCATTCCGCACGACGCGAACACGGCGGTGGTGACTGTCCGAGGTGCGCCATCAATACGCGTCTTGCGGAAGTTCGAACGCGACGCGACTTACAATGTCCGGGGATAGCAGAAAACCGAATAATGACCGCGATCAAGAAGCCGCCCTGACGGACGACCTCCGCAAGCAACGCATACTGCAGCTTCTTCTCTTCCCATTTCTTGCCGCGCGCCATGCAGAACCACCGGAACACGCTAACGAACATCGGCGTCAGCATTTGCATCTACGCGCCGCGGAAAGGCAGACGCACAAGTAGTTCGCGAGCTCTCCGAAGAGGGTGCCTGCGGCGACGATCCCGAAGCCGATCCAGATGCCCCACACGTCTCCGCAGAGGACGGCGATGATCTCATGCCCAAACAGCTGCGGCGCGCGGGTGTGAGCGGGGGCCGACGCTGCGCCCGTGATGCGGACTGGGCACTTACAGGAGGGAAAGACATCACAATCAGGATCGCGATTGGAATGAGCCATCCGCCTGGCGTCCTGGAGGCGGACTCGTGAGTCCCTGCTCGCGCCGCACAGTCGGTGTCCATTACTCACCTACGCATCCAGTCTGCGAATGGCCTCAACCATTCGACAATCTTTTGCTGGTACACAATGAAGAGGACGACGATTGCGATGATGACGACAGTGATAACGAGACGAACTGTAAACTGTTCAATACGCGTGGGCGCGAGGAATTCAAGATGTGCGTACTCAGTTCCTTCGGATCTTTGAATGTCTCGGGGTTGAGAAGCGCCAGAAGAAACCCGCGTCGTTTCTTCTTCTGTGGACTGAGGACCTCTGCTTCTGATGGGGTCGGACTGGGGGTACGGGTGAGGTATCGTGCGTCCCCTCTGACATCGGTTTGTGTGCCGCGGGCATACTCAGGGGCCGAGTAGGTTGGAGGATACTGTTGAGAATCAACGGGGCTAAGAGTGAAGACATATGAGTGAGCCGAAGTGCGCAGCAGCAGTGGATGCACGTACGCATACGAAACAGGCATGACGAGTGATCCAAAGAAACACGGGCGTAAATGGCGGGCTCAATGCAGACCTTGAGTGTGACGGCGGAGGTTATAACGATGCAGAGGGCGGTGGTGGTGGGGTGGACGTCGACTGGAGTTGGAGTAGCTTCCGTCGAGGAGACCGGACACTCCGGACTAGTTTTATAAGCTCGGACGACCACGGTGGGGCTCCCGACTTTGATATATGAAGTGCATGATCATCGCCACCTGTCGACATACAACCAGCGATCAGCTCACCCCCACGTTATCAACGTTTGCTGGCGCGGGTATGTGGACGGATATGTCGAGTGGCTGTGGTTCTGCTGTTCGAGGAGCCGGCGGCACTGGGCGGCATCAGCGCCGTGGACGCTTGCCGCTCGGTGGCGGTGCGACGCATCCCTGCTCCTCCCTCCACGACGCTCGCCATTGCTACCCTCTCTACTTCGCAACTTCGCCTTCCGGTGTACGAGAGGACCGCTCGGGTGCGTAGTGAGCGTCCATGGCGGCGGCTGTGGTGGACCTGCTGCGACGTCAGTGGCAGCTCGCTGCGATCAATCTCTGTGTCGGCGCGTAGGAGCTAGTTTCAACCTCGCGAGCCTCCGCGAAAATGAAGCTCCACGAGTCCACGGCCGCCCAAATTGCGCCCTCCAAGTTCTGAGGCGCCGTGCAAGCGGCCTGCACTGTCTGCACGATGTATCGGCGTGCTGAGCATTGATGGATCCACGGGCCGTGTTCTCCCATGCGAGTGCGGTGTCCTAATGTTGAGATTATCGATCATGATGTAGGTGGCAGAGTCAAAGTAATTAAGCTCGTGGTGAGTCTATTTTTAGTTCACAGAGTCGCTCACGCTCACGCTAACTTACCACCGCCCACCCCTATGCAAGGTTTGACATCGGTAGAGACATGTATAGGTTCCTCCACACGAACGGCGTTCAAGCCTGGGGTTTTGGACACCGCTTGCTGCGAAACCCCGAGTGACGTCTTTTTTAAACGCACCCGACAAGGCGAGGCATTCGGCCGTGAAGCTGTGGCCTTGCTGCGAGCGGCGTACCACCGTCGTATCGTACGCGGGCCCGACTGGTCAACGCACCCGTACTCGCTGCATCGAGCCTCCGTGGTATGAATTTCACAGGCGGCAATGTCCGTGTGTCCCCGCATGTCGTCAATTGCAACCACGTCGTCAAGCATGAGTGCGTCGCTCATTTTAGCCTCTTTCATCTCATTGCTCACTACGGATACTGCACCTCACAATCTAATAGTGAATTGCGTCTCCCTCCTGCTTTGCTTCACTTCGCATGTTTATCTTCCGCCTCTCCGTACGTGCCCTCCTTCTACCCTTGCCTCAGCTGTCATCTCGACGTCGCTCCTCTCGCAAAACAGTGCGGACGGTGAGTCGACACTTCTGGGTTCCGAGAGCCAAGAACATGGGTATATTTCGCGAGACTATGTCTACTACGGCTGTGCCAGAACGCGCGTCGCAGACGACGGGGTGGGATGTTCTGGGAGCTCCAAAGACGCACCCGCGCGGAGCATCTTGGCCTGTCTGATGACACCATTTGCGGCAGAAGCACGGGTTAGGGGGCGAAGACACCATAGCATTGAAGGTACGCACCGTCTCTTCCGCCGCTCGTAAATCACCTTCACCTTCACCTGCTCAATCTTCCTTCCGATGTACCATAGCGCGATGTATGTGATCGTTGTAAGCCCAACGATGATCCCGGCCTTCGCCCCCGCCAACGCACTGGTGTTAGACTGCGCGACACCGAGGTAGACCGTAGCAAGCTGCTTCGGAGAAGACAGAAGAGCGCCGATGAGGAACTCCCCTCCGCCCATCCCGCACGTAGCAAAGATCGCCGTGAGGACTGCACGATGGCGTTGGTGAGTTAGCGAGCGACGGATTCACTGCCGAGGAAGTGTACTGACAATGACCGGGATAGGACGTGTAGCGCATGATGGTGGGGACAATGAACCCGCCCTCGCGCACGACTTCAGACCAGAGTGCGTACATCAGGTACTTGTCCTCCCACGTCTTCCCGTACTTGACGCAGCACCACTTGAACAAGCTGGCACCGATCGATGGTCACTCGAGCTCTGACACGGGATGCGTTGTGGTAAGGACGTACTAGAAGTTGGCGAGCTCGCCCAGGATGGTTCCCGCCGTAACGATCCCGAAACCGATCCAGACACCCCAGACCGTACCACAGAGGATCGCGAAGATACCGGAACCAAAGAGCTAGTATGGCTGATCAGTCCTTCGATCGGAATCCTGTCTTGTAGCCGAAACGGACATACCGGAGGGAAGGAGAGAACGAATAGGATCGCGATGGGGATCAGCCATGCTCCCGGGGTCCTGCACGCAAGGTCGGTCAAGCGGTACGCAAGGCATAACGAGAATTGACAACGAACCTGTGTAGCCAGTCCCCAAAGGGTTTCAGACCATCGATGATCTTCTGCTGGAACACAAGGAAGACCACTACGAGGGCTATGGAGATCCCCAGTATCGCGAAGCTCACTGCGCTCACATCAGGATAGAACACAGAGTACGCCCACAAAGCGGCGGAGGGTAGGTACGTACCGAGCGAATCCTTGCTCATGCACTCCCGCCACTCTGTTTTCTTCTTTCCTGTCGGGTTCCATATTGACCCCTCAAGCATCCCCGTCTCGCTCGGCGTGGGGCTGGGGGTGCGTACCACCGCCTGCCGTTCTACGTCGCGGAGCTCGCCTTCCTCGTGCACGGCCGAAAGCGGTGGTGGTATGTCGGAAGACGAGTCCTTGGACGCGTACATGTCCGGCGTCGGGGCGTTGAGGAATGTGGACGGGTGTGGCTGGGCATGCGGGTCGGAGGGCCCCCATCCGGCAGGTGCGTTGCTGTCGATCGTGGACGATGTGAGTGCATGTGGGTCCAATTGCAGGCGTGACGCACGTCGACATATGGGGCAGCGCGGCTTGTCCCTTGATGTGTTCCTCTCGACGTTTGAAATGCGATGTGTCGTAACGACCGTCTTCGTGAGTATGTCTCGATAGGTCGCGGAGGTCGTCAAGAGTGCTCTACATGTAGAGCCCGATGCTCAGATAGGTGCGTTCGCGCTAAGAGGGATCGGTGCTTTATGTACTACGAACGCATAGCTACTCGAGCGCGCCGTCAGACAGGCACCATCCCAAGATCAGTACACGACGATACCTGAACTTCAGAAGCTGTGCCGCGCAGACGCTGCGCGATCATGCCGCCCTCGGGGTGCATGAGGTGCGCAGCGCCTTCGTGGTGCCCACACCCACTCCGGACCCGTTTCCCCCGTATTCCTCCGGTATAGTCGCAGCAAACGCGGGCTGAAACGCTGTAAAGTTGACAGCGGCACCTATGCCGGTTGTCGATGATGATGCGCTTGGAACAACTAGCCGTATGCCACCCACGTGTAGAGCGGCCTAGTGGCATCACGAGGTTGTGGATCCTGGTGCGCCCGCGGCGGCAAGGTGAGCGCAGCGCTTCTTGCCGTTCTTCCTTCCGAACGGCGCCGGACACGATTAACTCACTTTTGAATTGCTGCGGATTGTTTACAACAGGGCGTCTGAAGTCATGTTGAAGGTTTCTCAGCCATAGGTCGCCCGTCGAAAGATGGTTCGTTGAGCGAGCCAAGTACTTCAACTCCATATACTCGGGCGCATGGGTGCAGTGCCACTCACAGACACGGCTTTCATAGCTTCTCTTCAGCAACTCGCGCTAGTACATTGAGTCACGATCGACTGAGATGCCGTTGCACTTCACGAACACATGTTCGCATGCAGACGGCCGCCTGCGCAGCAAAATCATACAATCTACACCGCCAATTATGACAAGCCTGGGCATACCGTTGCATCGTACGCGGCCAAATGTCGGCATCGATCGTTCCTCACAGATATTCCCTTTACAGAATTGTAGAAGGGTATGCGCAGCTTCAACACGCGATGTCCGCAGTCATCAATGTATTGACGAACACTCCCGAGTCGCAATGACTCACCCACAAATTCACTTGGCACTCCGAGGCCTGCAGGAGTACTGTGAGCGGGCTGAACCCTCGTCGCTTCGTCTTCGCTTGCACCTACCCCGGGCCTTACGTAGCCTCTTTGCAGACCCTGCCCAATCCACACTAAGTAAGACTCGTGAGTTATCAGATCGAAGTCGCGCGCGACTCACCTATTATGTTCACTTGAAGTGTAGCCTGAGGTCTAGCCGGGCTCGAAGGGGTCGGTAACATCAGACACCATATATCAGCATCGAAAGCCTGCTCAAGTCTGCCTTGAGTCACTGTTAGATTCCTGTGCACCTCCAACGGTGAGCACCACGAGCCCGACAAAACGAGAACAAAACCTCCGATACTGTTACAGCATTTAACGTTTCCAAAGTCCATCACGTCACAATCGTCCATCTGTCCAAACCCCACCCCCGATCTACGCCCGCACCCCCACCAACTGCGCCCCCGGCACCTCGTCCGTATGCCTGCGCGCCCTCAGCTCATGCCTGTCGCCCAGCTCCACCTCCACGATGTTGTTCACATCGACGCCCCCGCTCCCAGCCCCGACGCCCACATCGCTTTCCTTCTTCTTCCGGCCTCCGAACAGCCGTCCGACGCCGACTCTTCCCGCCTTGGCAGGCCGCTGCGGCGCGGGCATGTGGATAGCGACGCCGCCAGCGCCAGCGCCCGTCGACGAGGAAGCCCGTGCCGGGAGTTTCTGCGACGGATCCTGCGGGGCGGTCGGGCGAAGCGCGAGTTCCTCGTCCATCGGCAGCGGCTCCTCCCCGCGGAGCATTTTTGCTTGCCTGCGGTGACGAGGTACCTGTCAGCACCAGGAGAGGAGGCGGGGCTGTGGGTGCGTACCTCGCCTTCTGGCGCGCGTAGATGACCTTGCCCTTGACCTGGTCAACTTTCTTATTCACGTGGCGCATCGCGAGGATGGTCATCGCGAGCGTGGCGAGGATCACAACGGCCTTGATGCCGCTCGTCGTCGACTGGTTCTCTGTTCTCCGTTTGTCAGCATCTGCGCAATGTGCGGGGAAGAGGTGGAAAAATAAGACACACCGCCGCTGTTCTGCGCGACACCGAGGTACACGACGGCGAGCTGCTTCGGGAGCGATAGGGTCGCGGATACGAAGAAGCCCCATATTGTCATTCCGCACGTCGAGAAGATCGCGGTTAGCACTGCAGCAGCATCAGTGCGCGCCGACCACACGATATAAGGGCGGATACGCACGATGTCCCGGGATAAACGTGAGACGCATGATAGTCGGCACGACGAGCCCGCCCTCGCGCACGACCTGCGCGTAAAGTGCCCACGTCAGCCGCTTTTTCTCGAATTTCCTCCCGCGCGCGGAGCAGAACCACTTGAACGCACTGTATGGTAGGCATTAGCCTCCATGCGCACGAAGCAAAGGAGAATAAAAACGCACAAATAGTTTCCCAGCTCGCCAAGGAGCGTTCCAGCGGCGACGATACCGAATCCGATCCAAACGCCCCAGACGTCGCCGCACACGACCGCGATGATCTCGTGTCCAAATAGCTGGAGGGTCACATCAGCATAGTGCCCGCGCTACGATATAGAGGGGACATACAGGCGGGAAGGAGAGCACAAACATGATCGCGATGGGGATCACCCAGCCACCAGGAGTGCTTCATCAATAGTGAGTACATGATACATACGATGGATGAGATAGGGACTTACTCGTGCATCCAGTGCGCGAAGGGCTGCAGCCAGGCGACGATCTTCTTTTGTTCTACCAGAAAGAGGATCACGAACAGGAGAGCCCCGACCACCCCCGCGATAGTCGCTATACATCAAAAGGTATGGTTAGACAATTCTGTATCTATCTACCAGCGGTAAGCCGCAGGAGGATACGCACTTATCCCGCGGCGGTTTGCATACTGCCGCCAGTCTAAGCGGCGTCGCCAGTCGCCAAAGAGCGTCGTCTTCGATGCGAGCACCTGCGCCTCGCTCGGTGTCGGACTCGGTGTGCGCAGCACCGCGCGCACATCGACGCTCCCCACCTCCTTGTCGCCATCGTAGGACGGCCCGCGCGCGTTTGGGCTGTACGCCAGGCTCGGTACCTCGACGGTGTACTCGGGGATGATGTCCTTGTGTTCACGGTCGCGCGCACCGCCGAAGCCGATTGCGGTCGCGGGGACTGGAGGGTACGCGTGCCCAGACATCGATGGCGGCAGCTCTAGCGACTGTGAACGGGGGCCGGAGGATACCCTGCAATGTGCGATGTGAGTGCCGCCGATCTTGGGAAGAAGGAACGGACGCACTCGACGTACTCGTGTATCATGGGTACTCGTACACCTCAGACACGATAACAAAACCAAAAGTCAGCTCGAAAACGGCACACACGCAGAAGTCGTTGCAAAGGTGTCGCGGAGGAGAAGGCGGAAAAGAAAAGAAACAAGTAGGCGAGAGATCTCCCTTTCGGCGTCCGCTCCTTATGTACGAACGATAACGTCTCCGCCCTGGAGCTCTTTCATACAACGCCTCGGGGCGAGGCCGACCGCCTGCAACGCCTGAGAACAGCGGGAAGGCGTACCCCGCGCCGTAAGGCACTGCCCCCCTGCACAACCTGCGCAGCTCCGCAGGGCCCCGCTGCAGGTGCCCCACGATGTTCTCAGGCCGCGGCTTCTTCCCCGGGTAGTTCGTGCAGATACGCTCTCTCTCCGGCCCGTCCGGCGTCTCAATGGACCACTGCTCAGACCGATTGGCCTCCCATTTTGCCTCCTGGGATATCCCAATATCGTCTGCCAAGACATTGCGGAGTTCCGCTTGATGTATGGCAGGGAGAGGCAACGACGCTGCGGGGAAAGATGGAGGAGGGCTTGCGAAGTAACTTTATTCACGGCGCGTTCGGGGCACGAGCGTAATGAGCATGTGTCCGCGCCAGGCCCCGTTCGGGGTTTGAGCGACTTTCGAAGCAGGATCCCCGTGCGTGTGTGCAAATGTCGAAAACAATGCTGCTGGTAGAGCATTCGACCTGGAAAGGTAGTGGATGAGCCGCCTTGTGGAACGCGAGACCGAGCACAGGTTTCCATCGCGTAGACTGCGGCGATATAGATGCGCAGTGGTCCGGGTAGCCCCCGCAGATGAATTTCATCAGTACGCTCGGGGTTCGGGGTGTATATCGGCTTTCAAGTGCATGTTCTTCTTCCGAGCCACGTGTTGAGTGAGGTGAGGCCTGTACAAGCGATGGAGTTTGAAAGGCGTACCTGCTCGACATAGCATAAAAGTACTTCGGTATTGACTTGCGACATATCAAATACGTTGGAAATCATTGAAGGAGACTCACGTAAAAGGTGTACCGTCAGGCTGAGCTGTACGTGTGAGCATCTGACAAACGCCGATACGGAGCAAGCGTAGTAAGGATCGCTCACGGACATTTGGGATTCTCATAATTTCTCTTATTCATTTGTCTGAAAACTCGTTTACGATGGGTTTCTGAAAGCTGTTAGAATTTCGACTGAGAAAGAGAGTCTTTTTTTGAGGGGGGAGAGAGAGGCGGTAATGTGAGGCGCCCGTTCTCGCGGTTTGGCCGCAAACGGACAGACGCGCATCCCGATCCGAGCCGTCCCGAACTTTTGAGCCGTTGGCAACAAGTTCATACCTTACCTGCCCTCGAACACGTACCAGCGATATGTGACGATATTTACTCATCTCGCCACGAGATACGACATACTTCTTATAAAACACACCCGCGTCTACACCCGATAGACACATTCCACGCGACGACTCGAAGCAACTATGCTGTGCGTCTTCGCCGGCAAGTTTATCACTCGCAGAAAGAGATGATCGAGCAAGCCAAGAATCTCAATCCTGGAGCGTTTAAGTATGCGTTATCTGCGTACTCATGCACATGACTGAAATCCACCTCACAGTCTTCATATGCTGCAGCTCTCGCGCTAGCATAATGTGTCACGAGAGTCGAATTGCCGACCATAGTATGTTCTGGCAGGCTCACGGCCGCCCGCGCAGCAGAGACATGCGATCTTCATCACCACAAAGGGCCACGCCAAGTCTGAAGTGTACCTCGCGCCGTCTGCGGACGAATGCCGGAGGGAGTTAGCAGAATAATTCAGGGGAGAGCCGCCCTCAAAAGTGCGTGCGCAGCTACAAATCGCTACGCCCGCAGTGATCAACTTGTTGGCGAACGGACCCCGGGAGCAATCACTCTCACTTCGCACTGCGCGGTCCACCAGGGTCCAGGGCATGAGCTCAATCCTAGCTACGTCGTGCTCATGTGCCGCCTCGCTCGTAACTTCGATATCCCAAACTTCCACCAATCTACTGCAGCTCTAGGAATTTCAGCCAGTGTGGTAACGATCGTAGGACATATATGATCGCAACTCACCAGTCGGCTTGAGTTGCGGACCCTTCGTGTTGCGAGCTTGCTCAGGCCTGCCTTGAGTCACTTGAATTCTCGGACGCCTCCAGCGACAAGCACCGCGAGCCGACAAACCGAGAACAAACTTCAGATACTGTTACAGCACATGTCAAAGGTGCGTACATCGCAAACTTCCTTCTGTCTTCGACCTATACACATATCCACCGACAAGCCCGACACCGTGACGTCGCCCGTATACCTGTGGGCCCTCAAGGCCTCAACTCGCGCCTGTCGCCGAGCTGCAGCTCCGCGACGTTGTTCACATCGACGATGCCCACAGCGCTCTTGCGCTTCACTCAGCCTCCGAACGGCCTTGCCACACCGCGCACCGCCGCCACCGCTACCCGTTGCGGGACGGGCATGTGGATGATGACGCACTCAGCGCCCTCGCCAGTCAACGAACGCGTCCGTGCGGGCGGGTCTTGAGGGGCGGTGGAGCGGAGCGCGAGCTCCTCTTCCATCGGTAGCCGCTCTTCCCCGCGGAGCATACTCGCTTGTCTGCAGGTGCCAGGGGATTGGTCAGGGCGGGGCTCGGTGGGGCGGGACGGGGAAGGCTGGGCGGTGTATGAAGGTGCGTACCTCGCCTTCCGTCGTGCGTAGATGACACTGCGCTTGACCTCGTCGACCTTCCTGTTCACGTAGTGCGTCGCACAGGCCATCGTCGTGAGCATCGCGATCAGCACAACAATCTTGACGATCCCCGTCGTCAATGGGTTCCCTGCCCGTACGCATCAGCCATCCCTGCATCACATGGAGAGACAGAAGGGTGAAGAAATGAGATGAACCTGCGGTGGTTACGGCGGCACTGAGGTATACGATGGTGAGTTGCTTCGGGAGCGAGAGCGTCGTGGAGACCATGAAGCACCATACCGGCATCCCACACGTGGAGAAGACAGCGGTGAGCACTACAGCACGCGTCGCGATCTCTCAGCGAGCGAGACCTTTGGAATAGAGCGTGCAGACACACTTTGTCCGGGAAGAAACGACGATCGAATGATGGTCGGGACGACCAGCCCGCCCTCGCGCACAACCTGCGCGTACAGCGCCCAGTTCAGTTGCTTGTCCTCGAAGAGCTTCCCGCGTGCGTAGCGGAACGACTGGGGGGCACTGCATAGGTGTCGGGTATTAGTATGCACGCGTGTTGCGCAAGCGGGAGACGAGAGACGACATACTAGAAAGCAGCAAGCTCGCCAAGGAGCGTCCCCGCCGCGATGAGGCCAAAACCGATCCGCACGCCCCAGAGGTCTACGCACATAATCGTGACGATTTCGTATCCAAACAGCTGAAGTAGCGCTTTAGCTAGATCTTCGCGCCGTACAGCAATACGACATGGAGGGGACGTACCGGCAGGAACGAGAACACGGAAATGATCGCGATGGGGATCAACCAGCCGCCTGGTGTGCTGCATCGGAAAGAAAGTGGTGAGTACCTTGCACGCAGGGCAGACGAGGGCGAGACTCACTCATCCATCCATTTCGCGAACGGCTGCAGCCAAATGATTATCTTTATCTGGTACACCAGGAAAAGGATGAAGAGCACGTTGGCGCAAACAACCTGCGCGAATGTCGCTGCACATCGACAGCCGCCTCAGCACAATTTCTGACGACACGGTGCAAGGATGACACGCACCCATCACGCGGGGGTTCGCATACCGCCGCCAGTCCAAGTAGCGCCGCCAGTCCAGGATGCGCCGCACGCTGTCCATGAATTTCGTCTTCGGCGCGAGCATTTGCGCTTCGCTCGGCGTCGGACTCGGTGTACGCAGCACTGCGCGCACGTTCACGGTCCCCAATTCTTTGTCGTCCTCGTAAGACGACGTGCGTGTGCTCGGACTATACGCCTGGCTTGGCATCTCGATGGTGTACTGGTCGATGGAGTCTTTACTCTCTCGCGCACCCCAGTCAATCGCGGTCGCAGGGACGGTAGGGTAAGCGTGGCCGGACATCGGTATCGGTAGCTGTGGCGACTATGCACCAGACCCTGAAACGACCCTGATGCGTGGGATGTTAGCGAAATTGGTCCGGAATGAAGAGATGGACTTACACTTGTATCGTAGGTACCTATACACGTTCGCAGAACCAATTTGCAGCTCGAAAAAAAGCTCTCTCGCGAAAGCCGCTCAAGACAAAGTGACGCGGAGGAGGAGGCGAAAAAGAACAGAGATAAGTCAGCGGGAGAGCCGCATCAGTGTTCGCCCCTTATATACAACTGTGCCATGCTCACCGTAGAGGAGAGAAGCTGCCCATACGCGATGCCTGAGAACAGCAGGAGGGTGCACTCCGCGCCGGGGGGTCTTCCCTTCTTGCACAACCTACGCAGTCCCCACAGAGAAGGACCCAGACCGGTTCAGGTGTCCCGCAAAGTCCATAGGCCTTCTCCAAACAAACAGTGTCGATACGCTTTCCATTTGGCCCGTTCGGCATCCAGTGGAATACTGCTTTGCCGGACCGATTAGAGCTGTGTGCCAGCCCGATGCAAACCTTTGCCCTACCTCTCAAGAGGCTTCCACAAGCGCAGCCACGGAGTCGTCACCCGGCGTTGTGTCAGCAGGGTGAGGCTCGCCGCACATGTGATGTCCACAGCGCTCGGGACTTCAATCGCCCTCTGATTCTGTTGTAAGAGTTCGTCAGTTCTATAGCAGAAGGAATCCGAACTTACACCTACATGGAAGCACGGGCGTTGATGGAACTTTTGCAGTCCTCTTGCCTGCACGGCGACTTCACACAGCATCTGAAGGCGCTACACATGGAGTGTAAAAGTCTTCGGAGAGTGGACTGACGAGGCCCCTTTCTCGAGCGATGCCGTCGCGGAGCCTCAAGCCAGGTCCGCACAGGCAGCACTGCCAGAACGCGGCCGTCGTCAATGTGTTTCTCGCGCCGTTGCATTCAGCAAGGTCAAGAACCTCTAGGACGCCCCGCATCCGACTTCAGAACCGCAACTGGAAATGCTTCCGCCTCCACACTAGGTGAGTAGGCGCCCTGACCCCACAGCCTGTCCCAGGCGACGAGAGAGCAATAAAGGCAAGGAGTTTGAAGAGTAAAAGGGAATGTGCGGCGCCTCGTATTTGTGGGTCATTTGTAAGAGGGCGTCGAATGCTGAGAAATGCAATTTCTATTCAGCTTTGGGTGCGATCAGGGGCAAGCACTACGGGATAAATTCACGTGAGTCAAAATGGCGTGCTGCGGCGATATAGAGTAGCACACGTACCCGAACTCAGGGGATATCAAGGGCGGGGGAAGTTGTGTGACGCATTGGGAGAATCGACAAGTTGAACGGCGGACTTATTGTCGATCATATGTTCTTTGTCTCACTTGCGTCCATAAACCCGGCTGACGTTCGGCGACGGATGACGGAGTCCGTCATCAGGGCATAGCCTCTGGCGGCAGCGACGCTTGACTAAAGGAATAGCAGAAAGTAACATCAACGTTGCAGAGAGTGAAAGAGAGCATGGCGACTCGGAGCGGCCGCGCCCACGATGATTGTGCATATAGGCGCTCATGCGGAAAAGCCACGTGGGCGGGAGGCACAGAGGATGTGGCTTGCTGCGGCTTCAGTTGAAGCGGCAACACCGGGACTCTCATCGTCGAGGAGCCCCAAGAGCATCCCCCTCAAGTGGATATTGCACGGACCCGTATACGGTTCCATGACCCTCGAGACGTCCGACAAAGGTCTCCGCCCGGTATCATCTCGCCAATTACCGTCCTGCGTAACAGCAGCCCGCCTGCCTCACCCTACTATGCATCAAACTCACTCTTGCAGAATTTCTAGGACCAAGAATGGCAAAGATAACCAGGCTTACGAGCGCAGTCATACGCGCTTTGTCACTGACACGGTCGGATTACCGTTGTCCCAGTTCAGAAGTACGAAGGCGCTCGCCATGGCTATCCGGGACGCTATCAAGGGTGCGTAAGCCTAATCTGCCCATGTGCATTCTCTATTTACATTGCGTGTTTTGACATCGCATGCGTGCAGGTCACCAGCTGATGATAGAGTGCGATGGAATACTGCATCGGGATGTCAGTAGCGCTAACATTCTCATCGTCGAGGAGTCGCAGGAGCATCCATCCTCGATGGGAATACTGCATGACTACGATTGCAGCTCGACGACGCTCTCACAGGGAACATATTACTTCAAGGCTCTAGCTCTGGTGAACCCGCTCGTTACGGTGGCCGCCCATGATTCCCACCACGATCTTGAATCCTTCTTCTGGGTCCTCCTCTGGATCATCCTCCGCCACACCAAGCACGAGCACGAGAGCGGAGAGCGAGCGTGTCAATTTACATTTCACTATGGAGAGGACGCGCTCGCGACCATGGGCAAGAAAGCCTGGCTCGATCGGATAGACGACAACGACGTGGTCCTCGTCATCACCAGCAACCCACCCCTCACTGCTCTCCTGAGCGACTTCCATTCACTCGTATGGAAGGCTAACAAGGGAATCAGAACAGACCGCGTCCCTCTCAGCTACAAGACTGTCCTTGACGTCTTCGACGCCGCCATCGAGCGGGAAGACTGGCCTGTCGATGACGCAGCGATCCCATACGCGCTGACCAGCACGCCATGGGACAGCCTGATTCCTACCAGACCGCAGGAATCTCAAGACCAGGTCGGCGATAAGCGGTCCCGTACCCTCGATTACGACGGCGTGCAGAGCGACTCCGATGACCAGGTAAAGTCGATGATGTCGCTGCACTCGAGCGCGTCCGCCATGGCGGCGAAGCGTCCGAAGACAAGTGATTCCTGCCAAGCTCGGCAGTAATAGGGGCTGCGTAAACGTCGCGCGCCCGTAGCTCGCGTGGTTTCAAGGCATCCAGAAGAAAGGCGAAGAAGACGTCCGAAGCGCACAATGTTTCCCGGGTATGAGGTCTGTCGTGCTATGGCTTTCAGAGATGTAAACGGTTTCGCTGCGTGATCTTCTCGTGATATACCGCTCCTATGATACGTTGTGACGTGGATAACTCGTTTGTTAATGCTACTGGCACTTGTTGAGCACCGTCTCCTGCTTCCGTTCAGCATACGGGAAGCGTTCTTCATCCTGAGATCGCTAGGCGATGGTGCTTGCGGCGGCAGCGCTGCACTAGTACTCAACGCGCCACTTGGTGGGAACAAGGAGCATTGGGTACTGAGTCCTCGTCGGAGAGCAGCTGGGGACGAAAACCAAGGTGAGACCGTATCAGTGCAAGAGTCTGCAGGTCGCGAGAGCGAATCCGTCGGTGCTAGCTTATTGAGCGAGTGCAACGCCGTTATATAATCACGTCGTCGCCAGATAATGCGGGAATGCACGGAAGTATGTGGTATGTCAAAATCGGGAGACGACTACGTAGTGATATATTACAGTTGGAATATCTTCGGCAAGTCGAACTCCCAATATCTCTGGAAAGCCCTCCTAAGGTCCTGAAGGAGCCATCCATAACACGAATTGCACATGCAAGTCCTACTCCAATTCCACGATAGCTCCCCGTCATACGGTACGACCGCGCTACCCTCTCCACCCTCCAGGTTCATAGGCGGGGGATTCTGTGTATACTTGTCGCAGAAGTCTTCTGTACAAGTCGTGCCCCTCGCGCACGGCCTCCGAGCCACAAGCGAAACGTTCGACCGCGCAGTCTGCAGGACCAAGTCGCGGCGTGCCAGGAGGAGCTGCGGTAAAGCGGCTACGCAGCGTACGTAGTCCTCCTCGGACAGTCGCCGGACGACGCCGTCGCGCGTGATGCCGTCACGGAGGTAGAGCGGCCCTTGGACGCAGCATTGCCAGAGAAAGGCCGCCACGACGCTGGGCTTCGCGCCGACACATCGTGCGAGATCGAGGGCCTCGATCGCGTGGTCGTTGGAAAATACGAGGGTGGCATGCGAATCTCGGAATGATTCGCTGTGAGATAGATCTAAGCGTTTATCGCCCCAAGGTCCGCGTCGAGATACATTCGCCATCTCGCCAAGAAGGTATGACAACGTCGAAAGGATGCGGGTCGCCTCGTACTTGTGGGCTATCCGCATGATGGCGTCGAACATCGGGAAGGGCAAGTCCTCCGGGAGGTTCGCATGCGACCAGCGGGGTGTGCTGAAGGAGAAAGACGTATGAGTGAAACGTGTCTGGCCATGACCGCATCGAGACGCTTACCTGAATCCGGAAGATATCAGGACCAGGAGGAAGAGGCGGAGCGCTTCTGGTGGATCGGTGAGGTGGACAACAGGAACATCGTCCATCTTCTCGTCGTCCCCGGAAACAGCGTTGCCTATAGAGAACATGTCGTGGAAGATGGTGGAATGGTGGGCAAGGAGACCCCGGTACAGACGGAAGGCGACACTGTGGTCCGCCACGAGCACGACGTTCCCATCTTCGATCCAGATGTCCACATCGCGCTGGAAAGTAGGCGGAGTAGAGGTATCCGGGTGGGGTGAGGCCATTGTTCGTGTTGGCTTAGGAGAGCCAGCGGGGGTGGACGAGCGTAGGTAGCAAGCTACTCGAGCTTACCGCAGCACAGGCAATGCCGCAGATGTGCCGTGGCTTTTCCACTTCTCGAAATGTCCACGCGGACTGAACGTGTTTGTTGTATCCTTCTTTTCCATCTGGAATACTTCCTCAGCATGTAGCCATTAACTTGCGCCATGCCCGTATGTTGGTCTCGGATGCCGAGCGTAGAGCGACATTGCCCGATATTGCTTGCAGATTCGGGCACAGCCACGAGCCTCTGGTGTCAGCGACGCTTGTACAAGTACTTACCAACCAAGGGTATAAAGGCCGGCGGAGTTGTGTACAAGGACCCACACTCAATTGAGAGAGTAACGGTGAATATAGATCGACTGCATCGGCGAGATCTAGACGACTGCGAGCCTACGACAGTGATGCTGTAGGCGCCCAACATATACAGCCACGTGGTCGGGAGGCACGGTGGCTATGGCTTGCTGCCACCCACTCTGTGGCTTTGGCAGTTGTAGCAGTAACACTGAGACTTTCATCGCCGAAGAGCCCCAAGAGCATCCCCCCTCAAGCGGATATTTCTCGAATCCGAACAGCCGGGATCTGTGACCTTCGAGACGTCCGGCGACAAGGGTCTACGCGCGCTATCAAAGTCTTGCCCGGTGGCATTCAAGCCGTCTGGCGTAACAATAGCAGCCCGCTTGCCTCATCCTACCATGCATCGCACTTACTCTTGCAGAACTTCTAGGATCAAGAATGGCAGAGATTACCAAGTCTATGAGGGCAGTCATATGCGCTTTGTCATTGACACGGTCGGACGGCCATTGTCCGAGTTCAGAAGTACGAAGGAACTTGTCATGGCTATTTGGGACGCTATCAAAGGTGCGTAGGCCTAATCAGCGCACGGTGTTGCCATACAGCTGGTCCTGACATCACATGCACACAGGTCACCAGCTGATGATGGAGCGCGGCGGCGTACTGCATCGCGACGTTAGTAGTGGCAACATACTCATCGTCGAGGATCCTCAGACGCACCCTGCCTCGAAGGGGATACTGCACGACTACGATGACAGCTCGATGACGCTCTACCCCTCCGGCGAGGCCTCCGAGGATGTGCTTCCTGAACCGCCGCCCCTTCGTCCGCTCGAGCTTGAAGACGAGTTTTTGGGTGTTACGGGCTGCAAAGAGCGCACAGTGAGTGTTTTCAATCTGCGCATAGCAGAGAAAGACCACCTTCTGATCATTTTCTATCACAGAGGTCGTATCACTTCATAGCTCTCGACCTACTGGATCCCATCGTCACGGACGTCAATCATGATTATCCTCACGATCTCGAATCATTCTTCTGGGTTCTTCTCTGGATTATCCTCCGTCACACCGACCACCGACACGAAAGCCGCGAGGAAGCATGTAAGCTCACTTTTGAGCTCGGACATGACGGACGTGCCACGGTTGCCAAGCAGGGATGGCTCCATCGCACCCGGAGACTCAACCCTTGCCTCGTGATCACCGGAAACTCACCTCTCACCGAACTTTTGCATTCCTTCCATAAGCTGGTATACAACGCCACGATGAAGGAGCTGACCGAGTGTGTCCCACTCACCTACGATGCCGTCCTTCGTATCTTCGACACCGCTATCGAGCGAGACGACTGGCCGGTTGGAGACAAGGCCCTTCCGTACAAGCTGGTCGACTTGCGAACGTGGCCCAGCGTGATCGAGTCACAAGCCAAGACAGACGATGAGAATGACAAGACCAGGAAGCGGCCATGGGCCCTAGAAAACGACAGCACCCAGAGCATCTCCGAGGACGAGGTGGTGTCGATGGTGTCAGAGCTGTACTCGGGTGCGTCCGCCATGGCGGCGAAGCGTCCAAGGATGATCCCCGCGATGCTCGGTTCCAGCAAGCAAACAGCGGGAGCGTCGACGTCTCGCACCCGAGATTCTCGTGGATCGCGTGGAGCGCGTGGATCCGGCCAGCGTTTTAAGAAGGGAAGGAGCGGGTAAGAGCCCAAGGCGTCCGTAAGCAAGGGGAAGAAAGGGTCGGGGGCACAATGTTTCCGAAGCTTGAGGCCTCTCGCGGTATGGATTTCGGACATGTACGCTGTTTCGCTGCGCGATCTTCTCTGACTGTATCTATGTATCGCTATTATCATACCGCCATTATTTTCTACTTGTTTATCGATCGCGAAGCTAACCTTCGCTTAATCCTAACTGCGTCCTTCCTTCCGAGAACAGGAGTGACTCTCCGTTCGATGGGGTCGCGACGTGCCAGGAGGAGCTGCGGTAAAGCGACTACGCATCGTACGTAGTCCTCCTCGGACAGTCGCCGGATGACGCCGTCGCACGTGTAGAGAGGCCTCTGCACGCAGCACTGCCAGAGCGTGGCCGCTACAGTGCGAGGTCAAGGGCCTTTCAGTTGATCGCGTCGTCATTGGAAATATGAGGATGGCGTGTGAGTCTGATGACGTGGGAGTACATGCTAGCAAATGGTATACTGAAGACGAGGGACGAGGGAGGAGATGGTAGGTAGAACTACTAACACATCACAGCTGGAACAGTTTCGGGAGGTCCTGACGCCAATACATGTCAAATGCGTTCCCCAATTCCTGGAGTGAGCGGCTAGAACACGCTGCACACATGGTAGTAGGATTACTAGGATGCATCCATGCGCCGTACCAGACCCGACCATCCTGCGCGTCTGGGGCGGGATTCGTCATCTCTATAGCCGGGGGTTTCTGCCTGTACTTGGAGGCAAGGGCGTTGATGGAATTTCTGCATTCGTCTTTCCGGGAATACTGCTTCGTGCAGTTCTTGAATAGCGCCGCATTCGTAGAGTTCATCGTACTAAGGACAATGTCGCGGCGCAAGAGCAGGAGGCGTGGTAAAGCAGATACGCATCGAACGTAATCGTCCTCGGAGAGCCGACAGACGACAGCCCCTTCTCGGACTAGACCGTCGCGCAGGAATACGGGCCCGCGGAGGCAGCATTGCCAGAGCATAGCCGCCGCAATGGCGTTGTCCGCGCCGATGCATCGCGCGAGGTCAAGGACCCCGAGGATATCGTCATCGGACACCAGGACCGCGAATGGGAGTGATTCCACCTCGGGGGCGGGGCGGCATACGCGGTCTTCGCCCAACAGCCCATCCCGGGCAATGTAGGCGATAGCATCGAGGAATTTGGAGAGAAGTGGAAGGATGTGAATCGCCTCGTATTTGTGGGCTATTCGCAGGAGGCCGTCAAATGTGGAGAACGGCAGTTGCTCTGGAAGCTTCGGGTGTGACCAACGGGGAGTACTGCGAGTGAAAAGTGCGTTGTTCAGACATGACTTGTGATAGAAATATGGAATGGTGTGCGTACCTGAACCCGGAGGACATCAGGATTAGTAGGAAGATACGCAGCGCATCGGGAGGATCGGCAAGGTGAACGACGGGGACGTTGTCAATCGTCTCTTCACCGTCAACATCAGAGTGGCTTAGGGAGAACATGTCGTTGAAGATCGTAGCATGATGGGCGAGGAGACTCTTGTAGATGCGGAAGGCGACGCTGTGGTCCGCCACGAGCACGACGTTCCCATCTTCGATCCAGATGTCCACATCGCGCTGGAAAGTAGGCGGAGTAGAGGTATCCGGGTGGGGTGAGGCCATTGTTCGTGTGTGCTTAGGAGAGCCAGCGGGGGTGGACGAGCGTAGGTAGCAAGCTACTCGAGCTTACCGCAGCACAGGCAATGAGGCAGAGGTGCCGTGGCTTTTCCACTTCTCGAAATGTCCACGCGGACTGAACGTGTTTGTTGTATCCTTCTTTTCCATCTGGAATACTTCCTCAGCATGTAGCCATCAACTTGCGCCATGCCCGTATGTTGGTCTCGGATGCCAAGCGTATAGTGACATTGCCCGATATTGCTTGCAGATTCGGGCACAGCCACGAACCTCTGGTGTCAGCGACGCTTGTACAAGTACTTACCAACCAAGGGTATAAAGGCCGGCGGAGTTGTGTACAAGGACCCACACTCAATTGAGAGAGTAGCGGTGAATACACATCAACGTCATGGCAGAGAGCAAAGGAGATTCGCTGCATCGACGACATTGATGCTGTAGGCGCCCAACATATAAATCCACGTGGCAGGAGGCACGGTGGCGCCCAGAAAGGAAGCGACACGTCTAACCCATTTTTCGGAGCAGCCGCGCTGGCCGCGCACTCCGTCTCCTCCGTCCTCTCCTCAGTCCACCTCCACCACCTCCTCCCCGTCACCCCCTCCTCGCACCGGCACCCACCCCCTCGGCATTGCAACCATGAACCCGGCCATGAACAACCTCGTCATCTCCCTCGCCGCCATGCAAGGTCTGTCCGCGCCCGCACACTCCGCCAGCGCGCCGAATGCTCACCGCGCCCGTCCCGCTGTTTTTCCGGTCCCTTTCGGCTCGCTCGTGTGCAATATTCCGCGTGTGCTGTGCGTGAACAGTGGCGAAGAGGGTGCCGTTCGAGGACCCGCAGGTGCTCATCTACGTGCGCATTGCGTACGTCGCGACCCAGGCCGTCGTCCTTGCGGTGTACTACTACGTCGCGCAACAGGTGCGTGCGTCCCCGCGGGTATAGCGTGTGCTCGGTACTCATGTGTATGGGGCGCTGCAGATCCGGAAGAAGAACGACCAGACGGTGCTCAAGTATGGTGCGTACCGCGTTGTGTGCTCGCGTGACGCGCTGTGAGCTGGTGCTGACCTGGCGCGCTGCCGTGGCCGCAGTCGAGCCTAATGCGATGGTGCGTTCTTCACGTATCTCCGGGGAACTATGGCTGACGAGCGGCACAGAACAAAGACGGGGGCAAGCTGGTCACGACGACGGTGCGCGACTACGACCTGGGCGAGGTCTCGAAGCTCGTGCGCGCGGTGTACATGGGTCTCGCGATGATGGCGTTCATGCATCTCTACCTCAAGTATGTGTTTCTGCTCTTAGTCTACTACCACAGTCATTCCTCCCCTTACTTCGCTCTTCTACAATATCTCGCGACCCTCCGGTCACTCCGGACCTTCATCCACGCCGGAACTTTGCACTGACGTGTTACCCTCCAGCTACACCCAGCCGTTGTTCATCCAGGCACTCATGGGTCTGAAGACGCTCTACGACGCGAAGCCGGTCTCGATCCACCTGCTCGGCAAGCCCGCCGAGGGCGACCTCAAGCGGCCATTCAAGGTCGGCGGCATGTTCGGTGGTAAGTCCCAGCACTTTCACCTTTCACTTCCCCCTTGTCTAACCCCCGGCCGTCTCGCGCTGCAGCCGCGTCGGACCCGCAGACGGACAAGGCCGCGATCGACGAGGCCGAGAAGCGGATCGGGAAGAAGGACGACTAGAGCGTCGTGTCTGTCGTCTGCCGCTTGTGTCATCAGGCGCGCCAGTTGGGAGCGGGGGTGTGTACGGTACGGTACGATATGGAGCGGAATGGGACGGCGGCGGCGCGTCCGCTCTGACTATCCTGGTGTTCATTATTTGCCGCGCGTCCGCCGGAGGGGCGCTGCAAAAACATATCCTTGGTTAATACGTTCGGCTCACTCTCCTGGTGTGATGGTGTGCACGACGGCGCTGCGGGTTCCGTTCGGTCGTCTCTGGCAGTCTAGGTGATCTCATACTGTGGAATGCATCTCGGAGCATGCGCGTTGCGGCATGGGAGAATGGTCAAGGATGCGGGGTCAAATGTGCTGCGACGCTGATATACAATGATGCTCAGAAACTGCTGTTACTACTATTCATGCTCTAGAACGCCCCCTGGTCGCCCTCCCCACTCGCCGCGCCCCCGCCCTCATACTGCCGCCCGCGCTGGTCCGCATAGCCCGTCGCGAGCTTCTCCCCCGCCTCCTCACGCGACTGCACGCTCTCGCCATACTGACCCTGCGATCCCGGCGCGAAATCCCGGCGCGCCTCGTGCGCGAACGCCTCGCGCGCGCGCGGGTCGGCGCCCTGCTTCGCGTCCTGCAGCTCGCGCCCGACGGGGCCGCCGTCGAGCGACTGGTCGATCAGGCCGTTGCTGTTGGAGGAAGCGGGGGTCGGGTCGGCGTGTCGCTGGGAGTGTGGGGCGAAGGTGTCGGCGGAGCCGTACCCGCCAGAGGAGGTCGCTGTAGAGGTGTGTGTTAGGGAGGTGGTGGGGGAGGGGAGAGAGGAGGGGAGGAAGGGGACGTACTGTCGTTGGGGGGCGGGTAGTTGCCGGTCTTGTAGGAGAAGTCCTGGTCGGCCTGTCTTTCGCTCGCTGCGGGCGGGGTGTCGCGTGAGTGCGCAGCCACTTTGAGGGGTATATCGTGATGGCAGCGTACCGTAGTTGCTCATCGTGCTGCGCGTGTCGTGATGGGTGTATCGGGTGGTTGTGCGATGAGGTTGTGGTAGTCGGAGGTGCGGTGGTGAGATGAGCGCGGGGTGTGGCAGGCGGGGGTATATGTATGAGGGCGGGCGGGGCCATGACGTCGAGGTGCGGGGCAGCTCCGCCACAGGCGCGTACGCGTCGGGAGGCGCGTCATGGCCGAATCCGGAGACGCGACGCGACGCGTACCGGCGCCTCTCCGGCTACTTGTTTTCCTCTACTCTAAATTCCTCTCATGCTCGATAATCGGTGCAAGGATGCTCGGCGTATGCACGCCTTGACATATAAAGATGCTCATTCTGGAGTTCTATCGGAGAAACCTACGGAACTCGCGGTGTGTCTATTATTTGCACCGTACGTCCACTGCCTGCGAACGTTCAAACTCATACAAAAACGTGGTTGCGCTTCAAACAGACCGGATGACGGACATGTACGATTTGAAGCCGGCATGCATCTCAAACAAGGAACTCTCCCAGGTACAGCATGGATGCCTGTTAAACCAGTTGTTCTACGGAACATACGCGTGGAAATATCTTGGCAGGACCACGGAACGACAACAACTCACGCTTGCTGGTCATAACGGCCGGACAATTCTACTCTGATGACACGACCGTGCGGCGCGCTGCGGTGTTCTACACTGTTACGACCACAACCGCCTCCATCCCACCCGTTGTTGCTCCTTTGGTACATTTAAAGTAAGTTGTGAGGCACCCAATGTACCGAGTGAGCAACGGCTCGTGCAGCAGAGTTGGTTTACAAACACGCGCATAGGATCACATGCACAGATTACGAGTGTACACAAAGTCGTCACCTGAGCGAGCTCAGTAAGATCTACACAAGCACGCTACTCACTCGACACGAGTCGTATTCTCGATCGCGTTCCGCTATTCCTTGGCGCGCCGTGCGCTAGTTGCGCGCTGAGGCCCGATCGTCGCACGGACTGGTGAAAATGGCCCGCCGGTACCCCTATAGGCAGTGCATCTGTGTACGAGATCGATCTATTCGGCGCAGTCTACGTGATGGATACAGCTGTGCTCGGTCCGATAGGCGTCTCGCCCACCACCCATTCCGGACACACATTCTGCCCGTAGCAGTGTCTTCGACATCTGCACACGCCTCGCTACCCGCCAAGAGTATACATCCGCCCTCCGATCCTGCTTCGACTGTCATCCAAACCCCTTGCTCGGACACATCCCCATTACGCTCATGGTCCGAACGGGCCGCTACGGGCCATGCATGCACTTCTTTCCTGCAGTCCGCCCCGCAGCCCCACCGCCTCTCTCGTCCTCCACATCAAGCGCTACTCCGCGACGACTCGGTCGAGAGTCTTGGTAGGGTCTAGCGACGGCGGAGGCCAATGGAGTCGTCTCGCAAACCCAGATCGGCACAGCTTATCCAACCGCAAGATTTTTTAGGCGGGCCAAAAAGAGTGTGGACTCGCACGATCTGCCTTCAGAAGCTTAGGAACGTTGCCAATCATCCGGATTTCGACGCGTTCCCCTGCGGAGACTGCGCAGGTTGTGCGCGGAAGGCAGTGCCTATGGCGCGGAGTGCGCCTTTCCGCTGTTCTGCGACGTAGCGGAGGATCGGCCTCGCCTCTCCACCCCCTAGGACGGAGATGATATCGTAGTACATAAAGAGCGCGTACCAACGCGAGGATCTCCTGTCAACCTGCCACTGTTCTTTCTCGCCTTCTTCTCCGCCCCACCCCAGCAGAGCGGCTCCTTCGCGTGTGCTATTTTTTAAGCTTACGATCCAACTTTCCGTGCACCCATGACTTTTCACTCGTGCGTCTGTCTCCTTCATATAAAACCTCTCACACTCACATCGCACACACCAGGGTCCCTACCGGCTCCAGCTCACGGTCTCTAGAGCAGCCTCCACCGATGCCCGGCCGCGTCTACCCTCCCGCCCCAGTGACCGCCGTCGGCTACGGCGCGCGGGGCCACAAGGACTCCATCCCCGCATACACCGCTGAGGTGCCGAACCTGGTCTACGCCCCCAACGTGGGCGGGGCGTCTTACGACAAGGAGCCGGCGCTGGCGGACGTGCGCGCCGTGCTCCGCACCCCCAGCCCGACGCCGAGCGAGGTGCAGGTCCTCGCGTCGAAGACGAAGCTCCTGGGCGACTGGCGGCGCTTCCTCAACTGGCGGCGATATGCGAACGCCCGCTCGATGAGTGCGTATTTTCCCCAAACCACGCGGCTAGGGACGATGCTGACCCTTTTTTTCGACGCCCAGTGATCATCGCCGGGCTGATCGCTTTCCACATAATCATCATCCTCGCCGTGGTGTTCAAGAAGGATATCATCAAGTTCCTGCAGCCCATGGCAGACTGGCTGAACCGGTGAGTCGTGCGCTCCTCTCCCGTGCGTGCACGGTGCTCACCGCTGGCGTCCCCGAATGCAGCACGACAGGCGCTTGGGCGATCCCCATCGCGGTCATATTCCTGCTCTCCTTCCCGCCGGTACGTCCCCACCATGGCGCGTGGAGACCGCGCTCTCAGCTGACGCGTCCCTCCAGCTGGCCGGACAAGAGGTGGTCGCGATCTGGTGCGGAAACGTCTGGGGCGTGTGGGTCGGGTTTGGGATCGTCGCCGCGGGGACGATCGTCGGCGAGCTTGCCGCGTTCTAGTATGTGTTCCCCTGTCCCCCGCTTGTGCCAGACGCGCGGACGCTGACGCCCGGCCCTTCAACAGCGCCGTCAAGACGTTCTGCCTCGCGCGCGGGAAGCAGCAGGAGGAGAAGAAGCTGAAGTGGGCGCTGCGCGCGCAGGTCGTGCGCGAGGGCGGGTTCGTCCTGCCCACCATGCTGCGGCTCACCTTCCTCCCCGGCCACTGTGCGTGTTTGCCGCGCTATCTCACAGATACTGCACGCTGATGGCTGTGCTGTGCTCTTCAGTTCTCACCGCGTTCTTCTCCGCGTGCGGGATGTCGGTGTGGACGTTCCTCGTTGCCATGACGCTCTCGCTGCCGAAGCAGCTCGGGTTCGTGTACCTCGGTGTCGGGCTGGATAAGGACGGTGCGTCTCTCCTCTCGTCCCCGCAGGATCTGTACGCCGTACGTGGATGCTGATTCGGATGCGCACGTGCAGAGGAAAAGGCGATTACGCGGGGCATCAAGGCGGGCGTGACGCTCGCGCTGCTCGTGATGACCTTCATCACCATGCGCTACGTGAACAAGAAGGTCGACGAGGTCAAGGACGAGGTCATCTACGCGCGGCGCAAGGCGAGGTACGCACTCACACCCTACCCACCCTTCCCCGCCTCAGTCCTGACGAATTTCCCGGCACCTCCAGACAAGCTGGCGTTCTCCGCGGGGGTGCGCGGGACGAGGAGCTCGCGTTCCGCCCGGCCGGCTCGCAGGAGCCCCTCGCACCTGGGTCATCTTCGACGGGCGCGGGCGCCGCCATCTACATGCCCGCGCCCCAGCGGCCGAGGGAGGCGGGGAAGCTAGTCGGGGGCCATAAGAAGCGCGCGAGCGACGCGGGCAGCAGGGGCAGGAGCATCGGCATCGGTGCGGGCAACGAGATGGAGCTCGGCGACAGGCGCGAGTTCAGGTCTTGAGGGCGCGCAGGTGTAGGGACGACGCGCCGGGCGCGCCGCTGGGTGTGTGGATAGGTCGACGACGGATGGACGTTTACGGTGTGAATGACTCTTGACGAACGCTGTAATATTATCGGAAGTCTGCTCTCGGTTTATCGGATTCAGCTGTTAAAGGTCCAGAGAGTCTACCCTATCTCAAGGCAGGCTTGAGCAGGCTCCTTGTGAAGATGGCTGACATTTCGCTTCGAAACAGTGAGACTTCCGTCCACAGAATGGGCACTACGCAAATACCAGCTTGCATAAACAAGTATTAGATTAGAGGGTATGATACTAGTAGCAGTGATGTGCAGATACAGTCAGAGAAGATCGCGCAGCGAAACAGCGTACATGTCCGAAAGCCATACCACGAGAAGCCTCAAGCCCCGAAAACATTGCGCACCCCAGACCCCTACTTCCCCTTGCTTCCCGACGCCTTGGGCTCTTGCACGCTCCCTCCACGCGATCCACGAGAGCCGCGCGCACGAGACGTCGACACTTCCGCTATTTGCTCGCTGGACCCGAGCATGACGGGGATCACCCTTGGACGCTTCGCCGCCGTGGCGGACGCACCCGAGCGCAGCGTCAGCATCGACTCCATCTCATCCTCGTCCTCGTCCTCCGGGTTGCTCTCCACGCCGTCATCTTCGAGGGTCCTGGGCCGCTTATCGCCAAGCTGGGCTGTCAAGTCCGACTCAGCCGCTGCGATCAGGCTCTGCTTTGTTCGCAACTCGAGCAGTTGGTATGGGATTGCTTTATCCCCGACCGGCCAGTCGTCCCTCTCGATGGCAGTGTCGAAGATACGAAGGACGGCGTCGTAGGTGAGCGAGACACGCTCTTGGACCCTTCCCTTGTTAGCCTTGTATACAAGTGCATGGAAGTCATTCAGGAGATCGGAGAGGGCCGGGTTTCCAGGAATAGCAAGCACCGGGTCGAACACGTCCCGCCGATCGAGCCACGCAAGCTTGGCATCCGCCGCGGATCCGTCGTTTCCATATTTGAAGGTGCGCGCAGAAAGTGCTTCGTCACCTTTCCCTCTTTCATAGTCGGTGTGCCGTAGGACAATCCAGAGGAGAACCCAGAAGAATGATTCAAGGTCGTGAGGGGAATCATGGGCGTCCACTGCAATGCCAGGCCTCACGAGTTCGACGGCCATGAAGTAATACGTTCCCTGTAGCGTGCAACGATCAGGCGATGGACTGCCGTATATTATGATGGATGCACTCACTGTTCGCTCCTTACACTTTGCGACGTCCGGGAACTGTTCCGATAGTTCAAGCGGGCGGAGGGGAGGTAGCTCAGAAGACACCCGCGTGGAAGCCTTGTCAGGCGGTTCGAGCGTCATGGAGCTGTAGTCGTAGTCGCCCAGTATCCCCTTCGATGGATGACTCTGTCCATCCGGCTCCGGGTCGACGATGAGAATGTTGCCGCTACTGACATCCCGATGCAGCACACCGCCGCGTTCCATCATGAGCCGGTGACCTGTGTGTATGCAATCTCAGGACCAGCCACCTAGATAAATAACGGGCAGTTTGAGCATACGCACCTTTGATACCGTCTCGGATTGCCATCACGAGCTCCTTCGTACTTCGGAACTCGGATAACGGCAGGCCCACCGTGTCGAGAACAAAGCGAATGTGGCTGCGCTCGTAAACACGATGTGTCTCACCGCGTAAAAGTCTCCAGGTATACGTCTGATGCATAGGGCGAGGCAAACGGTTGAGGGCTGCTGTCGCTGAGCTAGGCGGCGTGATTGAGGGCTCGGTTATCTCGACATCCGATACCTCCGCGCGCGACGAAGTGGACGACGGAGATGCAGAGGACAGGGAGGATGGAGTAGACTCGGAGGATGTTTCCGACGAGGTCGATTCGGAGGTAATCAATTGGAAACCGTCGTCGCCTTTCCATTCCTCGCCAGCCTGAGCAGCGTCCCACCGCGCAACATCCCGGACACCGAGGTCACATCCGTGGAGCAGCTTAGGAAGACCGCACCAATCCTCTTCTGGAATGGTCTCTTTGAGCCGGGCGTAAAACTGATCTTCGGGTGTCCGTATCACCTGGCGCCATGCCTCTTTGATGATGCGCAATGGAGGCGGTGATTCGAGTTCACCAGAGATGCGAGTGTCTTCTATGCCGAGCCAAACCATAGTAGCACGCGAAAACAGCCTGGTGTTGATGTCTAGAAGCTTGAAGAGGAAGAACGCCTTCCAAGTCCCGGGATCCTCTTTGTCGTACACCTTCGTCCAACGGCCTTCGCCGAGTTTCACGCCGCGAATGCGATGCTTTCTCAGCTTGCCAAGACCATGCTCACCCTTAAGCCACTTCTGATCTTCCTCCGTGAGCCTCCGCATGGAAGCGTCGACACCCACGAAAGCGCCTTCCCAAGGGTGGACGAAGTTCCAGAAGAACCTCTGTATAGCGGCCAGACCCTCTGTAGTCTTGAGTGGGAACGCACGCGTAGCGACCGCGCAGGCGTGGTCAAAGCGAGCGAGGCGTACGACATCCCCGTAGATCCCAATCATGAACGTCGCCAGGAGGCCGTGGGCGTACATGATGCTACGCGCGTTGATTGCGAGCTGCACCAGAGCATCGGCACGGGTAATGCCGTCACCACCTTCGAAAGGGTCCTCCGCCTCGGTAGCCTTGGCTTCGATCGCCATGGAGAAGCCATCCCAGTTGGGACACACTATCTTGTCGGCAAGAGGTTCCCCAGGGAAAGAAACGGTGATGTCAGGCTTCGCAGGTGAGTGCCTATTAGCGTGTGCGGCGAAGGGAAATGCGATGGGCTGGTTGTGGCAGTTGTAGAATGACAGCTTCTTCTCCTGGGGAAATTCGTCTTGAAGAGCCTTGAAGATATCCATCTGTGCTCAGGTGAGTGTTAGACATTTACCGATACCGTGACCCTGGGGGACGCACCAGGGGGCCGTAGTTAGCGACTTCTCGACCCTTCCTTGGTACGAGTGTGGACGCTAAGGACGCGTCTGCGGGGGGTATGATTGGGCATTCGGTGCGTGCGGGCACGAACTTGTCGAGATACGAGTCGATATCGCCGTTGTAAATGTTGATCTTCTTGGAGAGTTCGCGACGCCACCCTTCGGCCTGGTGCTCCCTGCGTGCGCCTTGGCGAGTGTGATGTTCAGCGGCCGACTTATCGGTGCGGGGGGTTGGGTGTCCACTCATACCTGATGAGGACTGCGAGCAGCAGCTGAATACTGAGGACGTAGAAATCGACATCTTATAGTGTTGAGGATGTGGCTAAGGTTGAGTGAGATGGGACAATGCAAAGAAAGCCAGCGCCGTGCTGCAGGCAGGTAAGTCTGGTGTGCGGCAACTTCCGGGATATTAGCCACCCACAATCCAGTCTGGGTCAATGAACTTTGAACCGAGCGGGAGCTGCTGGGCCTTGAGACGAGCCAGGATTGGACGCAGGTGTTCGCTGGGCTGAGTCGTTCTGTTGGCCCATTGTTAGTGACTCATCCCATGGGCAGGAAATCAGGCCTGGCTTACGGCTTTGGTTGGGAAATTGAAAAGTGATCGCTGGCTTGGGTCGCGCAGCAGCTTATGATATATGGGGCGGGACGCGCGTACGGCCTCGCTGCAAGGTCTTTGCCGACTCGATCGCCGTGCTGTGAGACCCTTTTGTGCGACGAAACGGTTGGGCAAGGGATTCCTGTATCCCTATTGTGCCAAGTTAATGACGTTCTATGGCTTGGAGCGTACCGCACGTTGTCCTATCGCGGTCGCGGTGGCTAGGCAGGAGGTTCGTTCCAGGGCTGAATGGAGTCGACACGAACTTGGCTCGTCCCAAAGGGGAAGCATGCGCAAACAAACAAACGAGACCCGGCCCGGCCATCCGACCTAGTCTCTTTCTCCGACGTTCCCGTCACTCAGTCCGGTCCTGTCCTCTCGAGTCTCTCTTTCTCGTTCCTTGGATGAATACGATCGGATACCAGCAAAGAATGTACATATCTCATTCTTAACTTGCCGCGGACCAGAAACATCCATCGTGCGATTGATACCAGTCAGGGCCCGCCCACCGTAACATGAGGTTACTGGCAAGCAAGTACGTCAAGTTTAGACTGCATTCGCAAGTGGTAGAATACTGATGCATATTACTCGGACATGGTTCTCAGACGGCATGCACTGATAGGACCATGCCGGGGTCATTGAAGCCGCACACGCGTCATACTTAAGGATGTGCTGCGGTAGCATCGATCCATATACTTAAGACCAATACTCGCCATGAGTTCCCCCCGGAACTCTCCACCCCAGCATCTTCAGGACTGTCTGCCCTGACATCTACGCTATCGACACTTATCCAACCCCGTCAACCGAGACGATGGACCTCGGGGATCTCGCACCGATCCAGCGCCGGCCAAACACCCCCGCTGACGATCCCTCTCCCGATGCAGCGACAGGCCCGACCGACATCAGAGATAAGGAGCTCTGGTTCGACGATGGCAACATCATCCTTCTCGCAGGGGACGGTACGGCAGGGAGCGAGTCGACTGCGGCCTTCCGGCTGTACAAGGGCATCCTCGCGCGAGCCTCCCCCGTGTTCAGCGACCTCTTCGCCTCTGCGCAGCCCGTCGATGCCGAGGGCGAGTCGTTCGATGACTGCCCCGCTGTCCGTCTGACAGACTCACCTCTCGAGCTCGGACATTTTCTCCGCGTCCTATTTCACCCTGGCACGCGTACGTACACCGACCTCCCTGTCTGCCACAGCTGCGCGCGATTTCTCACAGGCTCACGCGCGTATACAGATCTCTGCGTCTGGAATCCACCCGCCAAAGCTACCCCTTCGCGGAGCTCGCAGCGATCGCGCGCATCGCACACAAGTACCAGGCCGAGACGGTCGCCGCGGACGCGCTCGACCGCATCGAGCGGCTCTTCCTCCCGCGCCCGACTGCGAAGCACTGGGTCAACTTCGTGCACCCGTGGGACGGGAGCCTCGCCAAGGCGCAGGTCCGGTACAAGCTTACCCTCGCGCCCGAGGACGCGGTGCAGGCCGTGAACCTCGCGCACCTCTTCGACAAGTCACTCATGCTCCCGCTCGCGTTGTACATGTGCTGTCTGCTGGACCCGTTGCAGTTGCGGAACGGGGTGTGGCGGAAGGATGGAACCCTGGAGAGGTTGTCGGACGAGGACTTCGTCCGCTGCATCAACGCCATCCCGATCATGACAAGGGAGAACTGCGACCATCTCCGGCGCATCCTGGACCATGCCACTGGGGTCCAGCCAGAGGGTTGCTCCGACCAGGAGAAGTGTGCCAAGGGCGCGAAGGAGGCCGTACAAGCTTTCGGACGACATACACTCTCCTTGACGGATCTCTTCCTTCGCGTGGACAAAAGAGCTGGACCCCACAAACATTTTAAAGTCGATGAGTATCTGTCTTGGGCTTGTGTCGCATGTCGTAAACAGCACCTGGAAACCTCGGCCCGGATGTGTCATGAGGCCTGGAGAAACCTTCCGCAGTGGTTGGGCTTCACAGACTTCCATGAGTACTGGTTACGCTTGAGAGAGCCAGTCGGATTGCGCTACACTCCCGGATCGTTTGCACCGCTCGCATTTATGTAGATCTATCGCCAGACATCTCGTCATAGTGTACAAAAATCCGACATTACCACAAGTCATAACATTTGCCACATCGATGCGTAATCTGTCCTCCACCATACATTCTCAGAGACCCTCTGTGAAGCGGCTGTCAGAAGCAGCCGCAGGAGCAGCAGCGGGCTCTGGCTCACTGGACCCCGGAGCGACGCCCGCCCCTGTATCGTCCTCGGTGGGGGCGACGTGCGGCGCACGGCCCTCCGGCGCCTTCTCCTGCTGCCGCTTGCTCGGACGACGAGACACCGTTGCGCCTTCCCCAGTCGCGGCGGGCTTCTTATCAGCCTGAACGCAAATGTTAGTAACTTATCATAGAGCGCGGAGGGGAAGATGCTTACAGGGTACCCATGTGCGCCATATTCCGCGTCGCGCGCCCCAGTGTGAGAGTACTCCGGCGGGCCCACGTCCTCCTCCGCGCCATCACGCGCCTCTTCGAACGCCGCGTCGTCTTCCTCATCCTGCTCCTCCTCGACGCTCGAGCCCTCGTCCTCGGTCTCATCAACGCCTTCCTCGTCGCTCGTGTACCCCACCGCCCTCACCGCGGCCGCGACCGGTCCGCTGCGCTCCATCTGCTCGCTCGCGACGAGATACCGCGCGCAGAGCATGCGGATATCGTTCCACCACTCCATCATGTCATCACGCGAGCGAGCGCGGAAGGCCCACGCGCGTCCACTCGACCCGCCGCGTCCGGTGAGCGAGTTCTTCAGGACGCGCAGCGAGCCGGTGTGAGTGCTGCCCGTGCCGTCCTTGCGCTCCTCGATGTGGAACTTGTGGCTCTTCGCGTTCGGCGCCGACGGAGGGCCGAGCGTGCACAGCGGGAGGAACAGACTGAACTGCGGGCGGTCGGCGATCGCAGGGTCCGAAGACGCGTATTCGTGCAAGAATCCGGCGGCGGTGAGAACGTAGTAGGACTCGCGGTACGTGCGCGTGTACCGCTTCTTCCGCTCGAGTAGACCGGTGTGCACGGGTATCACGCTAGGGTCGTCCTTGCTCGGGTACGTGATGTGCTCTGGGTTGCGCAGGGGCGTCTCGGGGTCGACCAGGTGATCTTCACGGGCTGCGAAAGAGATCCACTCGCGGTCAGGGGGCAGCGCTGACATATCGCGCTCGAGGTTGCCCCAGAGGTCGCGGACCGCGTTGTCCATGCGCGTTCGCCATTCGGCGAAGGTCGCCCAGGCAGACTGAAGCGCCTGAATCAGCGATGCCTCGAACATCGCGGAGGACGCCTGTGTGAGCAGCAGCGACTTCTGAAGGGCGTTCTCGGTGTGGACCTGCTTGGTGAGCTGACGTGCGACAGCTTGGTTGGCGACGTAAGGGTCCGTCCTAGCAGTCACGTTCAAGGGGGTATTCTTCAAGATGGAGATATTCGTTCCGAGGTCGCCGATGAGTTTCCCTGACAGTTCACGCTCTTTGGCGACGGCGGTTGCCAATTTGCCCGTATCGTTTTGGATGTTCTACGTAGCGTGCTCGTATCGCTGTACTCCTATGTAGTACGCAGAGAGGGGAACACACCTTGATATGCGCCTTGATCTCGACACGGAGCTTCTGGAGATGTTGTACAATCGAGCCGTCCACCGTACGCCCGAGATTAGCATGCTGATCAGCGATGGCACGCGTCTTGTCGCGAATCCCGTAGAAGATGTCCTGAGGTATGTTTCAGCGTGTCAGAAAACCCAAGAAAACGAAGATGACGCGTCGCGGCAGACCTGAAGACCGCCTTCTCCTAGGAACTGGTTCCCCGACCGGAATGGGACCTGGATGACGGCGCCGAGCTTGGTCATCTCCCTCGCGACATTGTTCTCAATATCTGCGATGCCTTCAAAGTAGGCAATGAGCTGCTTGACGATGGCCTTCCATGCTGTGAAACGTTCGATAAGAATGTCGGAAGGGCGAAGGTCGTGGGGCTGGATGTTCTTCTTGATGAGCGACTGGCTGCGCGAGACGGTCGAGCCGTGTCTGCTGCCGGCGCGGGAGAGGGAGGTTGCGCGTGAGATGGAGACTGTTTCGTTCATGGTGGTTGGGGGGAAAGATGAGTGGGGGGACAGGGCGAGGAGGAGCAGCTTTAGGCGAAACCGACGCGCGGAGAATCGAACAGCAGCCGCCTGACGTCATAGCTTGTCCCGATAAGGGAACTCTCCTAAAACCATAGCGCGACAGACAGCAAACCGCGCACAACAATTCGACGTAGGGAAAGGTATATGGGAAATAGCGTCGAAGATCGTAGATATGAGGTGGTATTGCATTGCTTTATTCAAGCTAGATTCGTTGGGCCAAACATTTACTAAGTCCCATCGCGCACAGTCGGTGTCGATGCATAGCCTTGGAAGAAGGACACAATGTCGGAGCTCCAGCACCCACGCTTCATATGTGTCATCATCGCGTATGTGACATGTTACCGTGGTTCGCGCGAGAGTGTCGAATCAAGAGACCAAGCTAGTCCGCGCGAAGAAGACCCTTCGCCGCTCAGCTTGAAGCAATGATCATTGGGAGGCGAGGTCGGATAGCCGGCCCGGCGTAGGTACATTTGCGCTTGTTTGCGCATCCTTCCCGTTTGGGACCAGCCAGGTTCACGTTGTGTTCAGCGGACCCGTCCCCTCCCTACACCGCCCCGGACACCAACAGCCGCGAACAGCAAGTGTGGCAAAGAATTTCCACAAGATTAGCCGGGGATGTACATGGGCGGAAGGAATCCAGGGACCCCTGCCCGATTCGTTGTACAAAAGGGACGTCTCGATGTTTTGCTGCATCATCATCCGCGGCGTCTCAATCTTAGCCACGATCACTTCGGCGCGCTTAAATCCGCCTCATATAAACTGTCCTCCACTCATTTCTCATCGCTCACCGCTCCCTCTCGGTTTTCACCCCCTTCGTGCAGTTAAGGCTCAGATCACAGTGTCGACATCGCCGTGTCCGACTCAACAGCCGCAGTAACCCCCACCCGCTTCACTCGCGTCATGCTTTCAAGGCCATGTTTTAATTGGAGAGGTGTCAATTATCGGGATAGAGAGGAACCTCCTGTGAATGAGGGCGACCATACACGTTTTGTCGCCCGCGTAGTGGTACGACCGTTGTCCAAGTTCAGAAGTACCAAGGAGCTCGCGATGGTGTTCCGGGACGCTGTCGAAGGTGCGTAGGCATTTCCTCTGATATTTATCCACGCGGCGTATCTTGACATTGCACACAGGCCACCAACAGGCACTGGAGCGCGGGGGTCTTCTCCAGAAGGATATCAGTAACGGCAGCATCCTCATCGTCGAGGAGCCACAACAGGATCTCTCCTCCAAGGGGGTCCTGCACGACTACGACTTCGACCCGATGATGCTCGGTAAACCTGAAGAGGTCTCCAAGTCAGCGTCTTCGGAGCAGTCACCCCTTCATTCGCCCGAGCTTGCAAACGTGCTCCGAGCTGCTGCAATCGAGTTGGCGACACGCAGAGAGCGTATGGTGGGCATTTTGCCTGACTATCATAAACCATCTCCTGATTCCATTCGTTACAGAGAACGCCGCACTTTTTGGCGCTCGACTTATTGAAGCCCCATGTCAATGGCAAACCGGTGCCGGCGCCCGTTCACGAATCCCACCACTGCCTCGAATCATTCTTCTGGGTGTTCCTTTGGATCGTCCTCCGCTGCACCGACCAACAGGACGGAAACGGGAAAATGGTGTACGAGTATACCTTCAAGGATTACTTCGAAAAATCCGCGAAGATGGCGCGGATAGGGTGGCTCTGCCGCACGAACGACTGCGAGAACGAAGCGGTTCTCGACATTCACAACAACCGGCCTCTCACCGGCCTCCTACACTACTTCCACACATTGGTGTGCGACTCGCGGCCGAAAAGGCCTTTCGAGGGCCCCCGTGTCCCGCTTACCTACAGCGCCGTCCTCCATCTATTCGACAGCGCTATCAAGCAGGAGAACTGGCCACGATACGACAAGGCGCTCGTATTCGACGGGCCCGACATGCGGACGACGTTCAAATTATCCGACTTCTGGCGATGCCCCGACAGTGACCATGGGGGGAGCAAGAAGCGGCCCCGCGATGACGACGGCGTCGAGAGCGACTCTGACACCGAGTCGTGGGAGGCTCGCCGGAAGCGTCGAAGGGCACTCGGAATGATTCCCGCTATAAAACCTCCCAAGTTTGGCTGGCCCGGGTGGAAACTCGGAGCATAGGCGTCGTGCACCTGGCTCGTATGGCACGGGTGTATATCCCGGGAACATGGAACGCGAAGCAGCCCAACGAAGAGGGCTGAAGAGTAGTCATGTTTGGAGTTTCTGGGGCGCGGCGCTTTCCTTGCTATGGATTTTGGACTGTGTTGTCTTGCTGGATATTCTTTCCATGATTCGTATATTACCACTGTGTTGCCTCGCGGCCCCGGGGCACTACGCTTGATTACGGCGACAGTCGATCGAAAGCGATGAGAAGACGCATGCCCAGATAGCAATAGTTTGACCACATGTCACGATACGCCGAGTCCTGCGGCCAGTATTCATCGCTGCTGAGACTGCTCGAAGATATCATTATGCGTCGTCGCCGAGCGTCCAAGAAATAGGTACCTTATGTGGATTTCCATCCATCACTCGTTTGAGTCCAACATCCTGCATCTGTATCGGCTCGGCTGCCGCTGCAGTCTGGTCCTCGTGCCGCACGCGGAATCGCCGCCACTGCGGCGTCGAGTTCCACAACGGCACAAGGGGACATGCATGCTACGCCACCGACGCAGAACTCCAAATTCGAATTCACAGTGGGTCATGTTCGGCGTATCAGATAAAGGTTTTCGTTAGTCATTTTGCACCTTGCTGAGGTTGAGTGACTGCTGGCGTGGACATGCAGGACCGCCGCTGGGCAAAGTCGCACGAGAGGATGCCGGTGACATGTACCGATGTCGCGGATAGCCATGCGGGCCCGCTCGCCTCGTGCTGAGCTACTAGCTCTCCAAGTCGGGAGGGGGTCAAAAATCTTCTAGGTCGGTATTGTACAACACGAAATACATCTGTGCGTTCACATCTCTGCCTACCCTGCCGCATATGTATTGTCAGACCTGTCCTCCAGTAGCGTTCAGAGAGCTCACCTCATTGCAGTTATTGGCCTCTTGGCCGTTCAAGGTCCTCCGGTCCGAAGCTGTCTGGGAGGAGCTCCCCTATGCTCGTCTCCTTGACACCGCCATTCGGAATTCCCTCTGCGAGACGCTTCTCGTAGTCGGCGGGGACGAGGAGGATCGGCATGTTCTCCGCGCAGAACTCCCTGATCACCTGGCGGCACATGCCGCACGGCGAGATCGCGGAGGCGACGTCGCTGCAGTAATATGAGCGAGATGAAGAAGAAAACCGACAAGCAGCTTACGTGACGACGGCCAGAGCGGTGAATGAGCGGACGCCTTCGCTCTGAAAAACGTAAGGCAATATCCTATGATTGAAAGGTTTCATGACAGCATACCACGGCTTTTACGAATGCGGTCCGCTCAGCGCAGATGGTGCCACCTACGCCTGATTAGCACTCGGGTTCATGACGAAAACGAGGACAGTCACCGACCATATGAAGCATTCTCGATGTTGGCACCCTTGATTATCTCACCAGTTGTGGTGAGCAGCGCCGCACCGACTCTGAAATTCGAGTATCTGCAGTATGCGAACTCCTTCGCTGCGAGTCGGCGCCGAGGTGAGCCGCCGCGGGGAGCAGATAACGATAGTGATTAGTGAAGTTTTTAACGTACAGCGATTCCCATACCTTCAAATGCGGCTTTTACCAGACGCACATGGTCGTCGGGCTGTATAGACCAGGTAGAAGCGGACATGATGGCGGGATGAACGATAACGAGGTGTTTGCCATGGTTCTGAACTCTGTGCTGCGGCAGTGCGCGGCGGGTACGAATCACCGAGATAGGCAAGTGCTGTAGTTGGTGAAGCTGGCATATACTTCATACGCATCTTTTCGCGCACCACACTATTCCGTACACCATAAAAAACCCTCTAAGTCTCTATGAATGTATTTCTGCTCTTATGATCTCAAACGAATATATTTGGAGCGGGTTTGAGCGAAAAAGCTACAAAAGCACCGAGTGGCCCTAACCCGAAGTGGGCATAATGTTAGCGCCCACACCGGCCGGGGCCGGGACAAGCCGAGGCGTGAGGAAATTGGCGGTCGGGCGAGCTCGTCACCGTCTCGCCCGACGTCCTCCTCACTCCCAACAGCGACCATCACCCCTCCCCCGTCGTCCTCGCGCCCTCCTCATCATGGTGCGCCCTCTTTCTGCCCGCCTGGCGCAGGCCCTTCGCCCCCGCCGCCTTCCCCAGTCCACTCCGCGCGTGCGCCAGCAGCAGCGCTTCGCGTCGACGACTCCCAGCACGGAGGAGCTGCAGAAAAAGGCGACGGAGACGCTTGCGACCGTCCAGAAAGGTCTTGGCCAGGCCTTTGAGGCCGGCAAGAAGTTCCTTGGCCCCGTAGGAGAGAAGGCAGGCAACCTGCTTGGAGGTATGTCGAATTTTCCTGCGTGTGCGGTCGCATGTTCGTGCGCGACACGCGTGCGTCGCGACGGTGTTGCTTTGTGCTGCGTGCTTACTCCAGTCCCTTGTGCAGCGTACCGGGAACCGCTGCAGTACAACTTCGCGGTCTTCCGCGAGGTCCTAAAGCAGGTCTACGTCGCGGAGCGTCTCCAGCCCCCTCCCATTTCTGCGTTCTCCTCTGTCTACTCTTCCCTCTGGTCTCGTGCAAGCAACGTCCAGTACTGGCGCGAGCTCGCCCGGTCAGGCGACCTGACCAAGGTCGGCATTTACGCGGTTGAGGCGTACGGTATCTTCAAGGTGCGTTGCCTTGTCCTCTGAACGAGGCGCATTGCTGATAGACTGCTGCAGATTGGTGAGATCATCGGACGTAGAAGCCTGGTCGGCTACAATGTCCAATAGATTGATCTGCCTTACTCCGAGTTGTAAATTCGCCTTAATATGCTTTCGCTCCTTGACGCGTTCGTCTCGTGCGAGACACAACCCCAGTTGCGCGTGAACTAGCCGCACGTACATCCAGTGCTATCCAGCGGTGAATCAAAGCAATGCAAGACGGATCCTGAGATCTCGTTGTCGTCCCCGCCTTCTCCCGCCTGCCGCCTCTGCACTCGCTACCCGAGCGCTGGACGCCCGCGTCCGCGTCGATAAAGTGCACAAATGATGTGCAATCTTCTGAGTCGTCCCCGCGTAAAGTTACATGTTGGATGGTAGGTACACCGGCACGTTCAGATCGAAAGCATCTATAGCAGCTTCATACGTGTTACATTTCTGATACATCCATGTCATGTTCCTTGTCCTGCATCTCCCCCGCTCGGTCCACTAGTCGTCGTAAACGATGCTGATCAAGAATATCAGTACACATTATATACCTGCGGCACAATGTAAGGACACATACGAATACCCATGGAACAAATAGTCAGGCTGGTGAGTGTTCAAGGTTTCGACTGTGCATTCGCCGCCGTCGCGCAGCACTCGATACGCCTGCCACTGATACAGCGCCCCCCACAAGGGCACGAGAATACAAATGCACTCCAACGAGGGCCCAAGGGCACCTGCGAATACGTTTGCGGCGGACGCGGCGGCGTCCAGCGTAAGATCCAGCTGCGCCTCGCGTCGAAGCTGCTCCTCGGGGGAATGGCGCTCCCTCTCTACGCGGTCCAACACCATGACGCCCGGAAAGCTCTGGAAATCCAGATGGATCATGAGCAGCCGCAGGCTGGTGAGCCCGCGAAGAGCAGCGGCAATATCTGTCTTGGGGCACGGTCAGTCCTGATTCGCGCGCGTCGCGTGTAGTTGGCGACAGCGACACTCACCACTGGGGCGTCGACGTCGTCGGGGCTCCGATAGCGATGAATTCGAAGGACAGTGAGGTGCGTGTAGGAGTCCCCGATGTGTCGGAAGAGCTGGTTGTCTGATGCATCGGCGCAGAACTCTAACTCGAGGCGAGTCAGATTTGGCGTGTTGGTTTTGCGCAGTAGTCGTAACATCTCTGAAGAAGACAGGAGGGGAGAGGTCCAATGGACTTGAGCGTCGTCCATGTGCGTCTTGAAGTGGCAGTGATGCTTGTAGTATCGAGGCCAGCAGCGCAGAGACAGGCGATCCAGGCACGGTGGAAGATGTGCGTAAAACTGGTCGTCGGGATGCGGGTGCGTAATGGTCAGTCGCTCGAGGCTGTACCACGCGTAAGAGGCCCGGAGGGACGGCGGCCATATAGGCCTGGGCTCGCTGCCCGCAGGTTGGGCGAGGTAGAGGGACAGATAGCGTAGACGTGGCATCTTGCTGAGCGCCATGACGAGAGGGGGGGCATTCTTGTACGTGGGATATTCTCCGTTAAGGTACATCTGGGTCAGTGCCGGCCAATCCCATGTGTGCATGCAGTGAAGAGGGGCAGCCTCGCCGGGAAGAAGCAGATCGACTAAGGAGTTGTGGGCGCGCTCGAGGATCAATAGCACCTCACGCCGGTCAAGATCAGTTGTACGCGGCGGGATGTACATGCTGGGTGCGGAGAAGCGGAACGTCTGCAAAGGAATGACCGAGGGAAGAGAGACTTCTTGCGGGAGCTCTTCGTCTCGGTGACACATGGGCCCGTTGCTGAAGAAGAAGTGGCGTACGTGGGGAGTGGATAAAATCGCCTCGAGGATATACCACGGCACGCCATCGCGCGTAGTAACATCTCGATACCAGAGCCCGTTGGGTATCTGAACACTAACAACGTGCAGGTTGTACATTGAAAGCAAGGCGTGCTTGACGAACTGACCGAAACTCCGTGCCAGCGCTCGGAGACGGGCAAGCTCGGTCAACCAAGCCGGTGGAGAATCGGGGCCGAAGTACTCTGGTATGAGGTCGGGACGTGCAAAGGAGCCTTCGAACATCAGAGTGCTTGAATGCAAATCAGGACCCCGCAAGCTATCTGTGCCCAGCCAGATTACGCACCGAACGTAAGGCCATATTGACTGAGGGAGGAAAACCGGGGTCTCCGATTTGTCGAACGCGTATGACCAGACGACGCAGTCTCGAAACAGGATTGGCATACACGCGTCTCGAATCCATTTGCAGGTCAAGGAAAGAGGTCGTAATTGATGATTGGGGTGCAGGAGTTCGAATATTTCAAGGAGGACGTCGGGATGCAGGTGCCGAAGACTTCCCTAGAAGTACGCAATGCAACCGGTGAACTCTGGAATTGTGGGGATTTGAGCTGATAAGCTCACAGAATAGGTGATGCCACTCTCAGAGGCCATTTGGGAGGGCAGCCGTACTTGTACGAGGTTGCACTGAGGAAGACAGGGTGGCAAGCAGCGAGCGGTAGTGGTGGAACATCAGAGAGAGACTCGTTGTTACATGAGCGCCCGCCTCCGTTCAGGCTTCAGCGCTTATTAAGACTTCGCCGAGTCTGCAGACGGTGTGACCAGTACATATGTAGAAATCAGCGCTCTAGGGAAATCCCAGTCGGAAGACACCCCGCTCCCATTTTGGCGAGTGAGCAGCAGGTTGCCGGAGGCTGCAAGGTGCGCCTCGGGAGACATAGGGCGAGGGAAAAGATCTATCGTGGCTTTACTATAGCGACGGGGCCGCCCATACAATTTGACAAGTTATGTGCTAAGCGTAAGACTGAAAGAATATCATACAAAGTACATCGATCCTGAGGTACGAGCCTACGACGTCTCCTTCTCCTTTGGCGGGAGCTGGTGCCTAACGACCATAAATGGGACGTGTTCTTGCAAGGCCAACTGAACGTAAGGCTCCTCATCCCTCGGGGCACACATCTTCACCCAATTGGCGTGAAACCAGTTCTGCAGAGGAAGCATCAGACATATACAACATCCTGATTCCGGAGTCACACTCACCAAGCCGAAAACACAACGGTTCTCCGTCGAAAACATCAAGCCTTCCAGTGCGCCAGTCTCCGGGTGCGCCCCATAGATGAATTGATCGGCCAGAACTTCAACCCGAACAGTGTTCCCATCCAACCCCTCGAAGTAGAGCGCAACCTTGTGGAGCGAGGTTTGACCCTTCTTCGGGACGATGAACTCGGGTCCAGTCACCGATTTGGTCGACTGGCGCATGCGTATGGTATGGTCGCCATAGTGGGCGGCAATTTGACGGATGATGTGGGGGGGCAGCCACGATACGCTTGAGCCTATAACATCGCCATCCTTGAGCCCTTGACCTGAAGGATACCGACGTGAATCTCACCAGTATCAAGCAAGATGCGCAGACCCTGCTTCGAACCCTGGACCGGGCGGGCATTCGAGTTTGAGGGAACAGGATCGGCGCTTGCCGGCGCCGCTGGCGTGAACGGGATGAACTTCGCTTCAGCATAACCGAGCCCGCCGAGGGAAGCGTCCTTATTGATGAGTTCTATCCCGGTACAGGTGACGTCCCATGTTCGTCCATTGGCGAGGATTGCCTGAGTGTCTTGAACCACCTTGATCTTCGGGGAGAACTCAGGCATCGCCCCTACGCAAGGCCAGCGGGTGAACGCAAGAAACCTGATAGACAAGCGCAACATGATTATGCGGGTCAGACCATTTCGTCGCTGCGGGACGTGAACAGGACTTACGACTCATATAAACGAATCTGGTCGCGTTGAATGTAGTGCGGAACGGCACGAAGACCGATGTACAGCGTTATCCCCGGGGTCTCCTATATATCTGGATTGTCAGCTCCAAGTCGGCTGGATCGCTGAGGATAACGAAACAGCTGACTTCAACCGAAGATGCATACACATGCCGTTGGATGGCATACAGAAGACTCTGAATGTGTTTCGTGGGAGAAGATAACCGGGTGAATGATTAGCAGTGTTGTAATGTTGGCTGGGGAAACCGTAAGTAACTTACAGGATAATTGGATCCGTCCGGGAATTTTCCCTGGTCACTGAATCACCGATGAGCTAGCTGCACGTCGATAATCATTCCAATACGAGCGAAGCATACCTTTCTAAGCCGAGTCCGAGAGTTCCATGCATTACGTCTTTGTCTAACTTCTCGTTGACGGCGATCGCGAGGGCAAATACGTAAGGCAGAACGATGGGTTGCTCCCATCTTTCCCGGTCCCAGTCGTAGCACTCGATATGTGTGTTCAAGTGCAACAGCGTCGACTGGCTACTGAAGCGGTCCCGCCGTGGCAAAACTAGCACTGGAATTGTTACGCAGTGATTAGCCCAAACGAGCACTGCGACGATGAACTCAAAGGACGTGCTGGGATTCACTCACAAGCTTGACATCCATCCGCGTACGCCATGTGTCTCGCTAACCTCTTGTCTTCAGTGCGGGAAGCACTGTATCCGTGATGGAAGATTTTGCTATGTATTGGATGCGCCTTCCATGACGGTGGGGCCGGGCGGCAACCACCACTAGCCATCAGCTCTTGGCGGTCGCTCCCGAATACCCAGCTACCATAGGAGCTGATCAGCACCGTGACTGCGGCAATACTCCCAGTATTGAACTGCCTGGTAAAGACATATACGCACCTCAGACTCGAGCCCGTGTCAATATGCAAGTGAAAGGGCGGAAGGGGCGGATCCTCCGGACTCCTGCCCGGTTGATCAATTTGCTGTTGAAGAGGGTAGCCGTTTAGCAGATGAAAAGATCAGCCTTGCATATAAAGGTTAAACGTACCACACGAGCGAAGTACGCGGCGTCTACATTCACAACGTATCAGAAAGGCCGTATGCAATATATGTTTGTAGACATACTGCGAAGCAGCGCATCGCGCGCCGGTAGCGAGTCTTCACGGGGAATCGGAGGAATAATTTGTCCTGCCGCAGGTCTGTCTGCGCGTTTGTAGCCCTGTTCGTTGAAGCTATAGTCCCCGTGCGGCACGGAGACGTCGTCCTCGGTGACCTGTTCGTATAGCCAGCATGAAAAAATGAATAGCGATGACAAAGAGGCTGAAATGTCTCGATGGCGGTCACTCACGATGCTGAGTGGTGGTTGCGTCGGGCTGCATGGGGGAGTCTGTATTGTAGACGTGGCAGACGAAGACTCTTCGTCCGGTACTTCGGCGGCGGCGAGAGCTGAGTCTCCCTCGATAGATACATGGTGGATACACCACGCATCTGACGAAGCCTGTTTCGCGGCGATTATCATCAGATTCTGGCCAATACTGGGATGGCGACACCGCTGATGGATACGTACACGTTCTGCGGCCCCAAGCCGATCTGGAGCTACCAGACGTAAAAGGAGAGAGAGGCCTTCGCCCGTAGGTCGCGCACTGTCGGAAGACTGTGGAGGCTTGGGCTGTTGAGCCATGATACGTAGAGTGAGGAGAGTGATCAGGGGTTGAGGAAAGGAGTAGAGGTCGAGGGTTGGGGTGCGATTGAGGAGACGACAACCGATATTTTATGAGAGCTCGGGCTCTATAGTCGTTCCACCATCAGTACTGGCCCAGGCTGCTGCAAAGCGCCCTACAGGCTCGCACACTGATGGTGCTAGATGCGCTCATCCTCTTGCTCACCAGATGATAACATCTCATGACGAGGTGAACAATAAGCACTGACCTGCGTGAGAGCTCTAAGTCGAGGAAGTGTCCAGCATCACAATGAGAAGATGGATACGCAGAGCTGGGTGAGAAGTCAGACAACCTGAGCTGCCTATACCAGCAAACGCACGACGCACGAACACACCGAGAAGCAAGCCCTATCAGATAGGGCGGAATCATACCCATGCATGACATAGCGAGCAGCATGGGCGCAACGCATCTGTACATCACGATCAGCATGCTCCGTATCCAAGAAGCGTTCGCAACAATTGTGCAAGAACCGAAGACTCACCATGTGCGAGGTACAGAAAGAACTGTTCCCATGCGCCCACAACTTGCATGGGAAAGCGGTCGGCTTCGAATGCTGACTCTGATATGCCCGCAAAGGGCCCGTGAGGCTTCTGCTCTCTACCTGCGAGACTGCTGTGATATCGCCGAAGTCGCATACTTCACGAGCTGGCTTCAGCGGCTCATCGGCACGCGGAGACACATCAACACGGGGCATCCGCCACAGTGCCCGTGCACAAACGCGATGGGTGGAGTCCAGCAGGAGGCAAGGCCGGTGAAGGCACACAGACACCGCCAAGTATCTCTCCCGGCGCCTTTTGTGCGTCTCCACCAACCGACTTGCAGCCTCGCAAATGGGCCACTAGTCTTCATGCGCCTTCCGCTAGATCGAGTGAGTGACAGCGAGTCTTCAGCGTGTAGCCGGGCGCACCAGTATCGTCCTGCGGTGTCCCGCATACTGCGCGTGTGTCTAGCGACGCGACGACAACATTTAGCTCAAATGTGCGAAAAACCACTCGCCTCACTGCGAAATAAGAGGCGGCATGAGCGACGTGTGTTTCGCATGATTTAATTCGAGGCACGCACAACTATGCATAGGCACGAGAGATTCGACTTGAACGTGCTATCGATGGTGTCTTCTACCACTGGTTGAACCCGGAGTACCCAATTCTACACTATCGATGAAGATAGGCCGATGGGTGTTAGACTCGGATAACTGGGCTACGATAGGATTTTGCGTTCAGTAACGGTAAACGGCGACGAGGCGGCAGGAAGAGTGTACAGTGTCTGCACGCGGTGATGTCGTGGAGGTGGCGATGGATACGGACGCATACTCCTCGGCTACAGCGATATTTCAGCAAAATTTGCTATAGGATCTCCAAGGCTTGGGCGAGTTCCTCATATGTCGCCTGATGAGCACTATCATGTACGTGAACAGAGGCTCAGAGAAATTGCAACGTACTCACTTACCATGTATGGACATTTGCGCTCGCGCCGCGTCTCCCAGGCGCTCCACAAACACCGAGCGCAAGCCTGATGATCCAGGTCTTCAGCCACTCAGAGCGCGTCCATAACAATCAACGTACAACGTTCCTAGCCTTCTCCAGCACTTCCCTATTGAGTGCGTACGCGATGCCTGCCGTTCTATGCGAGTTAGCGTCGAGTACGCGCAAAAGGACCCGCGCACGGCTCTACGAGGCACCCGAGACCGAGGTACCCCTTCGTCAAGGGTTCTCGTCTCGACCCTCGGCGGAGCCCAGGGTGCGGATGGGTGGGGGAGAAGCGCGTGTCCAGATGGGAGGAGGCTTCGCGATCAGACGACGCGGTGGAGCACGGACGTCGACTGTGGCGCGTGCGCACTACGCGAAGGTAGCGTCGAATGTGCGCGGATGCTGCGCACGTAGACAGCCCGTGCGTGTCGCGTGGTGTTGTCGTTGCGTGTGGACGCGCATGACGAGGCGCATCCACAGGACTCAGTTGAGAGGTACTGCGCAGAAGTCCTGATGATGTCGATGCGGCTTTGCACCTCGAGAAGCACGGTGCTGGTCGGTAACGACGTACGCCGGGCCATACAAACCCCGAAGCGAAACATAACTGAAAGGGTGGAGATGAGACTGCGTGCGCAGGGCGAATGAGCGAGGATAGCGGGTGGTATGAGTGCGGCGCGCAGCGAGGATGTTGTTCGGGGCGACTGTGCTCTACGATGGTATTCCAGAGCCGTAGACGGCGCGCGGAGGGCGCGCATATGGATAAATGCGTCCGAATGGCATCATCCTGAACAGATAATTGGTGATGCTATGGGAGAATTGGCGAAGTCGCTGCTCGGATATCTAGGCGGTCAACTATCGCGCTCGCATCCGTACGTACCTCTCGAATCCTGTGACTCGGAAGGTGAGCTTGACCGTGCGGACGTGTTCTAAGTGGCTTCGATTTTTGGGTGAGCGAAGCGGCCCAATTGCCGTACGCGGAGGCTGACGTAGAGGGCGACGATGTTGTGACAGGGAAGCGGCGCAGTTTCATATATACAGCTGCCGCTCCGTCGGCGGTGTGCAGATTGACACATATCCTGTACCACCTTAACATCGGCAGCGCACGCAGTGAGCTCGCTATTTGCGGTTTGGAGCAGTCGCAAATATACGCACCTGGGGCTCGTGCCGCACTGAACGGTCACGCACATAAGGATGTTGCGCTAGTCTGGATCACCGGGTGCACTCAAGTGTTCAGCACGCCGCAAGGAAAGGTTGCGCGAGCGGATGACGTCATCCGCGAAGCGTATACTGCAGCGGCTTCCTGTCGAAGCGCTACCGTACGCGCGCGCACGCGATGCGGACAACGCCCGGCGAACGGCGAGTCGCTGATTGTGCGGGCGTGAGACGGAGCACGCGCACAGGAAGCACCCCGAGCGGCGACCTCCGAAGGCGAACATGAACGTGTACACAGGCGATAAGTCTAGCGGGCGACGGGGGAAAAGACGACACACCACGCTGGGTACAACACAGCCCGAGTGGGAGGTCCCCCGGGACCGGGGAGCGGGGCGATAGCGCGGGAGCAGGAAGGGCGCCGTCTGCATGTGAGAAGCGCAGCAGCGAACTGCCGTGGACACCTGTTGACCAAGCTCGCGAACGGCCCCGTGTACACTCGCCGAGAGCTGTCAGCCAAGGCTGTGTGCGAGAACGCCGCTGTCAAAACGTTGAGTGTGTATTCTGGTTGAAGGCGAACGCCGGCGCACCTTCTTGGGGGACCTCTGGTATCACAGTCGCCCCCACCTGCGGGGACCGAACCTATGGACTCGGACGTCTGGTTCCCAGTTGAGCGCGACTATCAATGGGAAGTAATAGAGTGAGTGACACGCTCGCTTGTAGTCCACAGAGGGTACTCACCGTATGTCTAATCGGAGCCGTCTGGTGTATTCACTTCCGACAGCCAGGACGACGTTTCGGTGAATCTACTCCTCGCAGTGTCCCCGTACGACCTGGAAGAATGCCTCCAAAGACGCCTTGCAAAGATTGTCGGGGAGTCGCAGGCGGATCAGCGTCGGTATATTGAACGCCAGAGACTTGCTGCACACGCTAATGAAGCGCTTCGCGATGCACACAACGCCGACGCCGGTCCGGTTGTGGACGAGGGTCCTCGGGGCCAGAACGGCTAGTCGCGGTCGCGGGGCTCATCCTTCACCCGCGCGAGTGCGAGAAACACGGGGTTCTCGCCGGGTCGTCGTTAGGCTGGATGCCCGACGCGAACATAGCGAAGGCGTTCTAGCGTTGCAGATGACCCGCGACCGCGTGCTGGAACTCCGAGGAAGGGCTGCGGCGACGGCGGCAAGGCGGTACAGTGCAGCAGTTTGGCAGATAGATACAGACAGGGTTGGTTCCCGTTTTGTCCGCGCGCCACACACGCTCAAGAAAGATACTTACGAAGCGCGCGGGCGCTATAAGAAGAGATGGGAACATGGGGAAGGCGACGTCACCTGCGTGTGGATTGGCCGCCGACGTAGTTCCCTCCCTTGTCCCAAGTTCCAAGTTCCCGCCCAGACGTCGCACGAGTGAGTCTTCGCCAGCTGGGCCTTTGGGCCGCAGAGGGTGATCGCGAACTTCGAAGGCGAGCTTGTGCGTGCCGGCCGGGGCTGGTGCGCGCGTCGGGGAGAGCTAAAAGCTACGCGCCAGCCTCGGCGTTCTGAAGCTTGATATGTAGATCGCGCGCGTCCGCCCGCCGACGTCATCTGCGGGGTACAAGCCAATCAGCGTCGATACCTCGCGAGAGGAGGTGCGACGTCACCAGTCACGGCGACCCCTGTCCGCCAATCAGGAACGTCCGCGACCGACGCGCGGGTCAACGCTGGGCCAACCACAACCCGGCGTGACCGCGGAAGAACGTCACGAACATTTGGGCAGGCGTTCTGCTCTGTGAGTGGCTGCTGCTGCGTGTCCACGGCGAGTTGGCGTGGATGACGGAATGTCCACGCGGGGGAGAGAGTGCGTCCGGGACGATGGGGATCTGATCCTATCAGAATGCATCTAGGGTGCGAACTTTATGCGCGCGCGCGACGAAAGGGTGCAGTCCGCGTTCGTGGCCCGCGTGTCCGAGGGAACGCCCACTCGCGGATGGGAGCGGTCGAATGGACACTGAATTAACACGAACGGTGCTAAGCCAAATGCGGATGCTCTTAATCAAGGGGGATGTTCACGTACATTTGCTAATAGACTATGCTATCTGTACGAAGCGATCCATGTCGAGGGCCGGGGTGATGAAGTGTCGGGAGCACCTGTCGAACTCGGGGAGGAATCACTTTGAAGGATAGTTCTATCCGGAACCTAGAGTACCTAAAGCAAAGCAACCCGCGTTCCGAATGATACTCGCAGAATCCCCCGCTCGAAAGTGATAAGCATGGTCGCAGATCCCTTCACAGGCGCGCGCTGTGCTCGAAATGCTGGTCGCGCCATATGGGGTCTGCTACTAAGAGATATTAAGATACTCGAGCTAAATGGGACAACATCAAGAAAGCCCGAGCGGTACCTACGCCGTTCAGGCCGCGTGCGAGGCTGACATAGCAACTCCCGCGAGACCCGAACCGCGTCCCTCGGGTGAAAGACTGAGTATATGCGGACGTATATGTACTCTCACTCACTTGAGTGATCAGAGCGAAGCGTCCTTCCCAAACAGACAGGTATGCGCGCACACCAATCCTGCAACATACAGACGTTGTTAGACTGTGACGAATGGTACACGAGTCAACTTGAGAAACAAACTCACAGATGCCATTTACGGGATTCACAGCTGGCCATGAGTTATCGAATTCGCTTTGGAGTACATTTGGCGCACGCCTGTGTCAGCAAAGTTCAACCCCGGACTCCGGTGATCTGGAAGATGGGTAAGCTACAAAAAGAAGGGTCTCTGTCTCGAAGTCGTAACAAACAGACCTCAGTTAATGACCGAAGAAAAGCCTTTTTAAAGACGAAACGTAAGGCAAACATCACCGACCGCGGGAGGCGGCTCGGGAGTCCGGGCAACTATGGTTGGAAAGTCTTTGAGAACGTTAGTCCCGCGAAAGGATGATCTGTCGTTTCGACGTTTCGTCAGCCTTCCTGTGGGGAGTGCGCGTCGCGCGTGGTCTCTTCCCAGATCAGCTGGACGTGCGAGGGGTCCGCGTTGCTGGCTCGCACATCCGGAAGATGAGGGGGGCCCATGTTGGCCCGTTCGCAGTAAGTCATAGGGCACTCAGAATTTGTAGAGGACTCTTTCGAGGGTTCTGTTGAAGCAGGTACGCTGACGGGTATTGCGACACGCCTGTATTCTTTGATAGAAAGCGTGATGAAAGGGCGAGTAAAACAGGTACCTTGTCGCCGATCGTCCCTGTTCCTGCCTCGCCGCCTCGCGCACTTGTTGCCGCACGCAAACATTTGTATATGGCCCGGAGATGCTACGACCCGTGGATGGAGGAATAGAGCGACGGAAGCTCGGAAGTATGGAGGGACGACGAACCGGGCGCTAGCAGAAACTTGGAAGGTCGCCGCCAGGTCGCCGCCCTGGGACGCTGGTGTTGGGATTCGGAAGTCGCCTTGGCACGAACGACCGATCTGGGGGAGCGATCGGGCAGCGTCCGAAGGCGCACCCGCATCGCGGGCACACGGAGATGGGGTGTTCAGAGAACATACGACGCGACAGGAACGCGCGACGTCTGCGTGTGCGACAGATGATGAACGTCGCGCATGCGCTGCTGCGCCCGGTACAGCTGTTGATGGTGTCTCCGAACCGGGGGTGCTGAGGTCCTCGGTTGCTATGCACGCTCGGTCTTCTCGTCCACAGTTCCGTTTGGGGGGCCCACCGCATCGACATCTCACTGATCTCACGCGCGCGGGTTAGCACGTCGCAGAAGACGAGGGTCCGTGCATAAATAGACGTGTACCCTTTTGCATCGTCCGCAGCACCCTAGCGGACGTCTTCCTCGCGACTAATTGGCGTCGTCGTGGGGCGGGGGATGGCGAGCAGGTGGCATGCAGCGATGATGGAGGCGGTTGAACGATGAGTTCGAGGATGGGGGCAACGTCGCGCACCCGACGCGCGCCTAGGCAACGCGGGACCGGCGCCTGGGGAAAAGAGATGGTGACGCGGGTGGATCTCCGATAAGATCTGGCAGAAATGCAATGACGTAGTCGCTCCACAACGCATCTAAGCTCCACCCGCCCTGCGCTGGTCGCCCCGCGACGCCTTCCCGCGCCCGCTCTGATCCCTCCCCCCCGAGGCGACACTCGCGGCGTTCAAAAGACAGTTTGAGTGTGCTGGACAGCGAGCGTGACCGGGGAAGAAAGCGCAGAAAGAAGGATAAGACACAGAGGGCAGTGTGAGAAGCGTGACGTCATTGTCCCACGGGTGATTAATGTGACAATTCAAGGCGCATGCGCGGAATCAAGAGGTCAAACAACTGCCCGGCTCTTACCTTTCTTCCACCAACTCCTCTCTCGCCCTCCCAGTCGCTCTCCCCGCTCCCAACACCATGGCCGGCGACCACAAGGTGCGTCCCGCCCTCCCGCTCCCTGCTTCCGACGCCCTGCTCACCGTGCTCCACAGTGTCCCGTCTGCCAATCCACCTTCACCAGGCCCCAGCATGTCGCCCGCCATATGCGCTCCCGTAAGTGGCTTCTCTCTCCAGCCCCCGCCCCTACCCGGTGGAGCGTCCCACTCCCGCTCCCCGATACCCCCGCCGTCGCTAACCATGTTCCACTCCCCAGACACGGGCGACCGACCCTACAAGTGCCAACATTGCGGCGATCAATTTGCTAGAAGGTGAGTTTCCGTCGGCTCCTAGGGTGGCTCTGCATTCTTGAGCTCCAACTGATGTTCGCGTAGCGACTTGCTGTCGAGGCATATCAACAAGTGCCACGCCTCTGAGAAACCACCCACGACCACTGCCCCTTCGAGACGGAAGGGCACCGCAGCCGCGTCGAGGGCCACAACATCCAAGCAGGCCTGCGACCAGTGTGTGACGTCGAGTCTTCCCTGTGATGGAGCCAACCCTTGTAGTGAGTACAATGTGACGTTTATGGTGATTGGCTCACCCGACCTGGTCTCCCACCAAAGCGAAATGCGTTCAACGCAAATGCCGTTGCACCTACGTCAAGTTCCATCGCCAGACAGCACCGGCAGGCCCGGGTCACCCGGCCCCTCCGACGATCCCGCAGAACATCCCCGGCCGCCATGCCATCTCCCTCGGCGCGCCCCGCCTCCCCGACGAATTCCTTCTCGCCCCTCCGCCGGGAACCATGAACCTATCGTCGCTATATGCGACAGGTCCCGCGCACCAGTACCCCATACAACATCCATCACTGTATGCTCAGGACTATGCATCTCTCCCTCCACTGGCGAGTGCGCTTGCACATTCAGAGTCGTTAGCGTCCGGAATGCTTCCAGCGCACACGCGCGAGGCCTTGGAAAACGATCCAGATGCGATGGCCCGTTATCGCGCCCAGGCCGAGCTCCTCACTCGCGCCGCTATCCACAACGGCAACATGGGAATCGCCCAGCCAGCGCCAAGCGCTGATGCCAGTGGCTCGTTGCCCGGCCTGTATGCTGCTGCAGGTGCTCAGGATGGTCAGTACACCAGATACAACCTCCCGCCTCCAAGCCAATGGGACCCTCCTATCGCGCAGAACCAGTACCAGCAGCGGCAGAAGGAGTACGAGCCCCAATATGGGAACCGTACCCAGACGCACTCGGTTTCGCCGCCGTACGCGACAGGCGGAGAGCCTTCGCTCCAATCCCACCCGCCAGTAGCGTCGACGTCTTCGTCGTATGAAGCCAGCGCTCCCTCCAACTACCACCACTCCAATCTTCCGCCAGCAGGGACGCTCTACCCCCCACAACACTCCCAGGGCCACCACTCGCATCACGGTCACTCACGATCCGAAGATCTGAGTGGTTCCGGGGACGACTTCGGCAGCGACGCAGGGAGTACGGGCACGGGACCAAGTCACTCAATTCCAAGCAGTACTAATTCGAGCTCAGTTCACCTACCGCTTCCGGGGTTCAACCACCTGCGCACCAAGGCGGATTTTGGGAGCAAGGATGGTTACGAGCAGCCGCGGTACCCATCTGAGCAGGGACAGAGCGGCCAGAGTCAGAGCCAGAACCCCCAAGAGGGTGAAGGCGGCTTCTCCAGTGCGTTCGGCCTGATGAGCCTCGACGACCCCAACGTCCTCGCGGGCCTTGCCAACGACGGTGCACCCTTCTTCTCTGGGCTCACCCCCAACGGCGCATCGAACAACCCCACCGGATTGTCGCTCGCCACTCCCACGCAGGATCTGCTCGCCCAGCTGAAGAGCGCAGGCGGCAGAGAAGCGTTGGAGAGCAAGGAGATGCGCGACTTCTGGAAGATGTACCTTCGCACACCGCTTACGGGCCCGAACGCCGGAGGCGGACTCATGTTCCCTCTCCAGACTCCTACTGGTCCCGGCGTGCAGCTGGGGCACGCGATGAGCAGCCAAGGCGGACGACCAAGTCCGTCCAGGCGGCACTCGCGCGTTTCGAGCTTACCGAGCATGAAGACCCCACCTCTCTTCGCCGACGAACGCCTCGGGAGCGTCTACAACCGCGGGCAGGAGCACTACGACTCGCACGGACACGCATCGCAGTCTCAGGGCCAACAGGGCGGCGTCACCGGCGCGTACAACTCGACGGTCCGCACCACTCTCCACGACGCGGAGGACCTGAAGAGCTACGAGCAAGCCGTGCTCGCTCGCAAGGCGCCGATGCAGCTCAACCTCGTGCCGAAGCGCAAGGGCTCGACCACGACCGGTCCCGGCCCTTCTGCCAACGCGATGGGCAAGAGCAAGAGCATGAGCCCCGTCGTTCCCCACGCGACCTACAACGGCCCGTCATCTTCGAACGCAGGGCAAGACATGGGAAGCGGCAGCAGCAGGATCTCGGAGTTGCTCAACCGCCCTGCATCGAGCTCGAGCGCAGGCACGACAAACAGCAGCGGGTCAGGGCTGTCTCTTCCCTCGAACGCGAGCACCGCGAACACAAGCCAAGCAAGTTCCTCGCTCGCGCACGCGTTCGGCGGCGCCAGCTCCAGCGAGCGCCCCTCGACATCCGACGGCGTCCCGCTCTCGCACTCGCCTCCCCAGCAACACCTTGTGGAGTGGGGCGCACCGACGTACCGCCCCTCCTTCAAGCGCATCGCATCGCAAACACTCGGCCCCGACAACGCCAAGCGCGCGCTACTTGGACCCGCGGGCTGGGACCACGACGAGGAGGACGAGGACGACGCGGTCCCCGAAGAGGAGGAAGAGGACGAGGAGCCCCACCCGCGCATGCCCATGGGCGCGCCCGGCGAAGGACGGCGGATGAGTCTGCCGACGCAGAGCTAAGCGGGCAGCGCGGCGTCCGGCGACCCCGGGGTGCGGCCTCCCCCAAGTCCGCACGCTCGACGGGCTCCGCCGCGGACGCCCCCCTTCTCCCTCTTCCCTCTCTTCCCCTACTCCACTCGCTTGCCCGCGCGCGCCTGCGGCGCGCGGCGTCTCTCTCCACATCGCAGTATTCGACGCGCGGCCATGGACGACGTGTTCGGCCACGCCGCGCGTCCTGTGCAAAATTCTGGGGGGTCACGACTGCGGACACGGCGCGGATACGCACGGACACGCCCGCGACGCGTGTCGCCGATAATACGATACGATACGACGCACTAGGATACGGCTACGATACGCTTGGAAGGCGGCCCGCGCGCTCACGGACGGACGACGAGCGCGGCCGTGTAATTTGCTCTCTCCGGGGCCCCGCGTGCGCCCAGTTGTTCATATTTAATGTACCATCAGTATCAGTGTAGATAGAACCAGGCGATGAGGCCTAGGGAGGAGGAGGGGGCGTACGTGGGCACCTCGGACGCGCATACAGTATAGTTTTGATGGCTCGGTGATCAGTACGTACTTTCTCTCCCGCTCCGCTCCCCCTGTTCCCCCCCCTGTTTTGCTAGTAGCTACGAGTCGAATACGCTGCCGTTGTACGAATTCCATCCTTTTTTGTTTGCCTGGATGGGTGGGATACATATGTGTGCGAGGTCGTGTACGAGGGCGAGGGCGGCGCGCGAGAGCGACGCGGCCCAAGCTCCAGGAAGCGATCGCCGAGGACGCCATGGGCCTGCCCTAAGGCAGAAGGCCGCTGTACCCGCGACGCCTTTCATACTCAATTCATACTTGCAGCGTTTGGCGGGCTCTATGTGTTCCTCTGGTGGTATGTCAACGGACCATAACTCGGCGATCCTATCTGGCTGACTTCGGAGGCTGTCTCTATGTTAAAGGCGAAAACTGCTTATTGGGGCTTGCTGCCGGGATGCGGCGTACACGTTATATAAGTTTCTGCTCATACTAGGCTCTCCGCCGGCTCGCTCTAGGAGCCTTCACCTTCCATTTAACCCAGTGTGCAAGTGCTGGAGAGGTAAAGCTTGTGCACGGACTCGAGAAAGGCTGTTGCTTTTGGACGGAAAGAGCTGACAATGAGCCTCGCTTACAGGTCTTCCCGCGCTTGGACAAGCGCTGCGGCCACTCCCTAGGTCAAAATTCCTCACTCCGCCGCCTCCGCATTCAGCAACGCAGCGACGCCTCTCTGGACGGTTTGAGGCTGGTCATCATTCTCAGCGATGAGGAGGACGAGGCAACGCGGGAGGCGTACGCCCGGAGCGGTTGTTTGTGTCTGTTAGGATCGGAAGCCCTTGCCAAGCAGCCGCAAACAACCGCCCGGAATCACGTCACTGCGTGTCACATGGTGCCGTGACCATTGTCTTTCCCGGATCCAGCCCGCGCGATCAACAAATTGGTCTATAGCGCGCGAAATCATGTGATGAAAGTTGTTGAATGTTCTGGGCATGCTCTCAAAATCTTCGCTTGGGCCGCGCGCGGGGACTCCGACGCGCAATTCGCACGGGGCGCGTTCCCATAAATGTGCGGATCGCGAACTCTTCTTGACTTCATCGGTACCGCTCTCCGGCCGTCCGCCGCTCTCGCCCGCGTTGGGTCTGCGCCACCCTCCCCCTCCGCCGTTATCACTCGAATGCTCCGCAGTAATACGGGCCTGCACACCGAGTCATCGCCACCTCTCCCAAAATAACCACTCGATCAACTCCATTGACGAACTCAACACGATTACGATGGCCACCCGCGCTCCTTTGTCTATCCTCGCTTTATCCGCTACCCAGACGGCCTTTCCGCCGTTCTATGACGAGAAGGACGGTGATGCCTGGACCACGAAGACCGCGCCGACGGACGAAAATACCGCGCCGTTGGACCCGGCGTCCGAGGACACTGAGGGTGGTGGGTGGCTCTCCAATCTGCTGCTGCGCGGCATCCGCCGCAGTCTCCGTCCTTAACCTCGCGTCCTGCCTCCGTAGCTATCCATGTTCGAGTTCTTGGTCCTTCTGGAGGTGAGTATCCTTTCCTATCGGAGCGCCCTAGTGCTGACGGTACGAACAGCTTTTAGCCAGCGTGCGATTTCGGCGCCTGAGGACCCCAGCTCGGACGATAGCTCGGACGACGAGGCACACTCTGGTACGTTCTCTCCTTGATCTGGTATCCTCCCGAAATCTCAACGCGCGGGTGTGTCTGTGGCGCAGACTGTGAAGATGCAGCAGGAAGTGATGATGACGACGATACCATGCGGAGGTTTCTTGCGTTCGCCAACAGGAACCGCGCCTCGGGGTCTGGCCTCCCGGCCATGTTGGCTCAGCTGAACCGCGCTGTGGAGGAGGCTGATGATGGTGACTCAGAGACGGCTGAGCTGTTCGTCTCTTGCGTCGCTGGGGTCATTCGACAAGGTACGCTTCCCGCGGTCTGGTCTGCGCGACGTGGTTGATCTAACAGAGTACAAACTTGTAGAGCGCCAGATCCAGACGGCCGTCGCTGAGATCCTAGAAGACGACCAGCTCACTGTCGAGTCCCCCACGACGAGCGAAGAGGGCTTTCCTTTCTGTGGCAGATGCGCCGCTACTCGGGACTCGGAGGAAAAGCGAGTCTTCGAGGCATGGCTGGCGCGCCGCGCTGCCTTCGAGGAGCTCGGTGTCTCGCGCCTGGACGGCGCTGACACTGAAGGCTTTACGCTCGCGCGGCTTGAGCAGCGGGGAAAGACTCCGGCCAAGCCGTTGCGGCGTAAGCTGCTGAAGTACCTCTGCGAAGTCGAGTGAGTGTTTCTTTTGCGTGTGTTCAGAACGGGAGTACTGACTTGCACCGGGAAGCGTCTATGATGAGTGTACCTACCATGGTCTTCGGTACCCGAAGCCGTACGCTCCTCAGGTCAAGCCGGACATCAAGCAATCGAGTCGTGCTTACGTCGTTGAGTCTGGCACGATCGGCGACAAAACTCCGCAAATGCACATCTAAGCACATATCTTCTGTCGTATTGGTTTCTGCGGCGCGACCATTGGTATCTACTGAGCTTCCTTCTGTGATTCCTGCGCTACGTCGTCGTCTAGCGCTCTACATCCTTTTGACTCTCGTCAAGCCACCATCCACCTTCTGCGACACCCTCTTCATCCAACCCTAGCGACACTACCCTCTCATACCGCGCCGCCCTTCTCCGCCGACACCTCCGCCCTGCGACACCCATCTTTTCGGCGGCACCCCGTCAACGCCACAGCGACACCACCTCCGGCTTCGCACTCGATCTTTACGACCCTCACGACGTCTCCTGCTATCGTTATTCGCACTGTCCTTCCAGTTACCTGTCCATTCCTTATTTGATCACGCCCCGTCACGACACCACCTTCTCTACCGCTGTGATCCTCGCTTTCCACGCACATAGCTTCCGCACCGACCTTCGCTTTTCTACATATTTCCCTTCGTTCTTTCCTTGGTTGAGTTACGTATCGTCTATCGTTTGCGACTGCCTGTTGATACCAGCACAGCCATGACAAAATGTGTATTATATTGTATGACTGCTTACGCTTACGACCAAATGTATGAGTCCCGTTTACAAATGGGAAGAATTTTGTGCGCTATGGACACGTCGGCGGGGATCAGCCGAGAGATAGTAGCTGCTGAGTGCAGAGGCCCACAACTAGTGCGCCATTCTCCTCGTTGGCGTTCGAATTATTTGGATTTTGTGCATGGACCGTACATCGGCCGTGCCGAATATGCGCAGAAACTGTCCAAAAGATGGTATCCACATTCTGGAACTTATTCCCCTGCAAAAAGATATCTTTGGGCTGCAATTGAAGTACAAGGCGTCTTGGCGGAACGAGTGGGACAATGAACAAAGGGCGCACCCCGCCGACTCCAGACTCCCATCACGTGTGCCTCGCGCTTAGCCCCCCTCACAAAACTCGAACCAACGACCAACGACGCATGGGCTTTCTGCACGTTTCACGCCCTCCCGCATTGACCATTGAGCACTTCACCGTAAACTCGCCCACGGGCGACCAGGAAAACCCGTCCGCCACGCTCCTCGCTCCCCAGACCCCGCCGTCTGGCAAATTCCGATTCCATTATTCGTCGTCTTCCAAAGACTAGCCACCACCATCGGAGACACATGTCTGCCTTCATTCTCGTCCGTCTAGGAGCCATGACTTCCCTACACAATCACCCCTGCCTAATCCCGTGTGGCCCTGGGTGCCCACCCGGTGGTCTCGTGGGGTTTCCCTCGCCCCCGTCGTCGTCTCGAAGCAAGCGTCCGCGAAGCCTCGACGAAGACAACAGCCAGAAATGTTCGCCCAAGCGTGCAAGGTCTGTCGAACATGGTACGTATATAATTTCTACCTCTACGCGGCTAGAAGTCGTGTGGCGTTGACCGAGCTCACCGTCGCTCGTAGCGGGAAACGTAGGCGAATCCGTCGGCAACAACAACGGTCGCGTTGCCTCCGGATCAGGGTGTTTGGATGCGGAAATCTCTCGGGCACACGCTGGTAGTGCTGCCTCCGTCGTGGACGCATCGTCGAGCAACGATGTGGCGTCCAGCAGCAACGTAGCTGCCGCTGTTCCATGTACGTGACTGGTCGTTGTTGGTAGGTACCGTACCGTGTATGTTGACTATGACGTCCAGGTCCTACGCCGGCGAAGAGACAAGAGTATCCAAGACTGGAGGACGCAATCGCTGCTTGCGAAGAACCAAGCGCAGGTATCTCGGGACCGCCTCCTACAGCCCCCGCTAGCGGACAGGTCGCGGGCTCGTTGCTCGCGCGGATCTCGCCACGCTCGTCCACGCCTGTCCAGAGCCCGGAGGAAGACGACTCGGATTCTGACGACGAGGCGACGCTTCTAAACATGGAGATCGATGAGTCCAGCGACGAAGAAGAAGACGACGAGGATGCGAAGATGGACTTCTTACCTGAGCGGATCCCGATCTGGAACCGTCCCGGGCCCTCTCCTCTTCGTCTGTGCCATGACAAGGCGTCCACACTCGGGGGCGACTTCGATGATGGCTCGGGTCCTGGATTGACCTTCTTCAAAGTTCGACCTATCCAGCGGGACCGTGAGTCGTGGAAGGAGAACCATGTCGCGCGGGTGAATGGGTTGATTCTGCACGCGTTGCAGTACAGTCGGTGCGTGTCTGTTTGTGGTCGCACCTCTATCCCGTGCTGACGCCTTTGTAGACATCTCAGGCAGGCGCTCTATCCGGATATCGAAGATTCCGGGAAAGAGAAGAAAGACGTACTTGACAGTGCGGAAGCGAAAGCCCAAGCTTTGCCTCATGGTTCCGATGAGGAAGCCTCCAATTATCTGGATTCGGACGAGCCAGAAGACTTCTTTTGCGGTTCAGAGGAGGACGAAGATCCATCGGACGACCCTGACGAGGAATATGAAGACCCGGACCAGCCAACGGTTGGCAGAGGAACCCCTGCCCGGCGTCATTTCGAGCCACTCCCACACCCAGAATCGCCGTACAGATACTCCTTACCAGAATGTCCTAATGTCGGTCGTGCCTTGGACCGCGACACTTTCCACGGGCCGGATGCATGGGCGGACCTGGTCCACTACGTGGAAGAGGGCGCGGGAACCCCGAAGATGTCGCAAGCCCGCAGTGCGGCGGGGAAGTCTACGCAAGGCCGTGCTGCGCCTCGCGATCTCATCCTCAATCTCCTATTACCTCCCGCGAAGGGTGCGCCTGTTAAGCCCGAGGAGCGAGTCAAGGTGTCGATAATCTGCGACGATAGGGCTAAGGGTTTCTGGGACCTGCATCGGCAGCTTCTGGGGCACCTATTGCGAGCGAGGGACGAGGTTCACACGACGGACGATCTCCTTCGCCAGATCAAGAAATTGAAGGATCAGTCGGAAGAGTCAAGCGACGATGAAACGAAGGAGGAGTGAGGACTCCGTCTGTGTAAGCAGGACCCCAAGTCAGCGCTGCGTCCATGTGTACGATATACTATGATCTTACCCTGTGCGTTGTTTTTTGTATATTCACGTCCCCAGTGTCTCGTTACCTGTGTTGTCGTAGTCTTTGCTCTGTAGTACTTGATGTCATCGTTATCCCGTCGGAAGAAACTCTTTGACGCTGGTATGGGAATGGAGAAGTATCAAGAGTGTGTCGACGCGTCGCCCGTATGCCTTCCCTTGTCGGCTGGGTAGTAGTCTGACGATGCAAACAACACCAACGTTGCCGTGGGGGCGATGCGGCGCTCGCACTGCCACCAAGTACATGATCACCGTGGCACCAGTTACGACGCCTGCTTCGCAAATTGCATCCCTCCTTCTGTGTACTGTAGCTTTCAATGCAACCCGGAGGGGGGGTGACGTGTGACACGGTGGAACAAAACCGGGGACAAGGAGGCGCCCAGGCACCTTCCAAAACGGGTATTTTAGCGCCGGAAAGGGCGGCCGGAGGCGGGCGCTAAAGCCCCGGACGGCCTTGGTGACGTGTGACGGCGGCCAAAAAACGGGCGGAGGACCCCCGTGTGACGTGTGACCCTCCGGGTTGCATTGAAAGTTACAGTACTACGCAGTGCCTTTGGATAGACTTCTCGAAAGTGATGATTATACCTCACATCTGAGCGCATCGGCGAAAACACGAAGTACAAAGACACGCTAACGTGTCTCACGAGCGAAGACTGGGCCCTTGCAGCACATGCGCGCGAACGTTGTGTAATCTAACGTATAAGGCGTGAATTTCCATTCGTGTTCAAATACACGTGTGTAGCATCTCTAGATACAGACAACAGCATTGTATAAAGCCTATGGAGATATCGCAAAAGATAGCGAAGTGCGAGTGGCAGATACAAACGAGAGCTACAACGCGCGATAGGGTGGTATACTACAAGGCAATTGTGAGAGGGTAACGTAGGCGACGACAGTGGTATTGTATACAGAAGCAGAGGTGGATGGAAAAGCAGGTCCGAGACGATAATGTACACGAGATGCGCGAGATAATGGGTAGCTTACCTGATAAGAATGTCCGAGTCGAAGTCACGTAAGTTGCTACAAGTGGACCTTCCCTCAGCCGGGGGTGCGACCTCAGGAGACCAGAGTGTAAAAGAAGTTTACGTGGGGTAGCTGAGGTCCTAGTGGAGAGGCGAACCCGCAAGAGATGCGAACGATGTGACGTGCGCGCGGCCATACTTGGGTGTCGCGCGTTCTTCTCGACTGAGGGTTCCGAACATACTGAAGACATCGTTAGAGGAAGAACACCCGGAAATGGTGTATATAACGTACACTGCATTCTCATCTCCACGGCGTGTCTTGGGACGCCCTCTACCTCCTGCTCTCCTCTTCGACTTCGGCGTACGAGCCATAGCGAACGCGGCAGTGTTGGGCCACTCCACGTCTTCGAGTATAGTGGGAAAAGGGGTGGGCCCCAGCGTGGATGGTCGTTTTGCGTTCCTGTGCGACATGTACAGAGACACCAAAGCCTTCTCTACCTCGGCTTGGCTAGAGCGTCGACCCTGCGCCCGCGAAGTGGCCTTGGCGGGAATGAGGGGCGGCATGATCTCTGCTTCGACCTCTGAGGGCGCCCATAGCTCGGGATTGACGCTTCCGTCCAGCGCGATGGGTGGGGCACCCGACAGAATATCTTCGTCAGGTATTTCGGGGATGTCATCGAGAGGAGGTAGTGGTTCGGCGATGATTGGGACGCCAAAATCGTAACTGGCAGGTTTGGTGGGGCGTGGAGCCATGACTACTAGTCCAGTGGCTGTCTCCGACTGCGAAGCATGCCCGGCAGGCGTCGCATCGGCGGGCTTGCGGAGGATAGCGTCCTCAATTTCCGAAGATAGTACGCTGTTTGGTACCGATGGCTGAGCTGTGCCGTAGAGCCACTTGGTGATTTCTGGACCGAAGAGATGGATCTCAGGTCACCGACATGGTGTTCTAAGAATCGACGTAACTTACCCTCAATATCCGTCATTGCCTTCCCCAGGCTAACGGAACACGGGCAGGAGTCTGATAAAGGTGCATTCAGTACATTCAGTGGAGTTCGAAATGGTAAGCGACCACTCACCGGTCGAGTAAAGACCCTTCCTGCGTCCCAAGACACGCGCAAATGAAACCCAATAGCAGGGGGGCGGAGGTGGGGGCGGAGGGGGCGGCGGAGGTATCCCCATGACCGTGTAGATAGAGGCCGTGGCGATAATGGGCTTGTATATCATGCAAGACATCTGTAGGAAGTGTCAAAACGCGAATGTGCCAAGACTTCACAGGAGATACAGACCTTTCAGATCGGTGCAGTATGTTTCGAGTGAGATATATGAGAAGAGATGGAGAGAAGTGCTGTGAAAGCGGGGTATAGGGGGGCGCAATGTGGGTATGGACCAGAACTAGTGGTTGAATAGACGGGGGATTTTAGCCATCGTGGCGATCTTCGGGACTCGCCCAAGGTACAATGAGACTACTTACGGAGGAAAATCGCAGTGGATAGTTGACAGAGCGCGGAAGAGTTTCGGGACGGGGGAGACGAGGGAAAGGGAGCAAAAGCGACTTCTCGCGGTGGTGGTTGTGGTGAAAGGAGAAGCTGGGACCGGTCGGCGGCGCTTGTGCCAGTGGCTAGTTTGGACTCCCTCCTCAATCATACGCACGTGCCATGCGCCGCTTGTGCAGACAATGCAACGGTGGTCCATGCTTCTAGGCGCTTCCAATTGGTCTAGGACTCATGACTGCGTCGGGTTTGACGATGTAGAGTGAGGTCCAGCGTCAGTGCTAAATGAGAACAGGTAGAATCCCCAGCAACATTGCACCCGCAGAGTCCGTAAAGTCCTCGTACAGGATTTCACTTCTCGCTGCGAAAGCGCGGAGTGAGGGGAGCAAACAGCATCTGCACACAGATGAGCGTGTCGAGTGCACATATTCAAGTTGTTGTCTTTCGAAGCGCTATGACGCTAAAGCAACCGTTGTCCACATTCTTTGATGTCCACATCGCTGAATACATGCAAAACAGCATAACCTCGATACACTTCAGTCTATACGACATAAATTACGAGTCACATTCGCGGCATGTCCGAGTACTAGTCCATAATGAGTGTTCCACACCACGATGTCGATGTGCGACTACTACCACCCATCAGCGCTGTCGAGCGTACCGCCCCCAGATGCGGGAACGTCCAGCGCGAGATCAAGCTCGCCATCCCCGCCGACCGACTTCTTCGCGGACCCGTTGCCTCCGCTTCCTGAAACAGGTTTCGTTGAAGGCGGAGCTGCAGCGCCGGAGAACACGGGCTGTCCCCCGTTGGCGCAGACAGGTTTCAACCGGGGCTGGTGCTGGTGGCGCCGGGATGCGCCTACGAAGGACATGGATGGGTCCCCGAGGAACTTGGGTGTGCTGCCCCGGGAGGACCGTGAGCCTTTGAATTCTTTCCCAGGCATGCATTGCCGATGTCCGCAGGCGTGGATCCTTGCGTGAGCACCACAGCCGACCGCCGCCCATCCCAGTTTGTCCGCGGCGGCTTGCAGCATGCGGTACTTCGCACGCGCGTCGAAGAGGGGTCGCTTGTGCAGCTCCGTTCGCGCCATTCTAATCCTCTTCCGTTTATGCTCTGGAACAGTCTTCACGAGCGTTTCGTGCGACAGCCGAAGGCAGTCGGCAGGGGTGCCTTGGATCGGAGACGCTTCCGTCGTCGTCGAATCGGCGGTTGTAGGCGCAGACGACAACAACGTTGACGGCATGACATATTCGGGATGCGTCGGGAGCGGCTTTGGCTTCTTTGGCTCGCGCTTGTCACCGCGTGCCACGTACACGACTATTTGATTCATTGGCGGAAGCCGAGGCGTGGGCCTGTAGCGTAGTGAGCTCGTATGCCAGTTGGCCGCAAGCAGATATGTACTCACCGCTTATAAGAGCGCTTTCTGTTACGCTCGATACGCGAGTGCAGCTCCTCATCCATCCAAGCCCCCTTCAGCGACTGCGTGAGCCACGGCATCGCGGTCTGCGAATTTAACGACGTCCCGGAGATCCATCGTTCAACGCAAGGTTTTATGACGGCTTTGGCTGGGCGTGGGCGTTCGATGGGCTCGTCACCGGGTTTTCTTAATCTAATGACACCCGGGTCTGCGCGGGGCGAAGTCGCCGGAGAAGACGCGACATCTTCAGAGGCCATCTGGACGTCCTCACAGTATCCAAGGGTATCGTTGTCGGGGTACGCTGGTGTCGCGTCAGACAGAGCACTTGCGAATGAAGAGATGCTGCTCACCCAACGCGGCCTCAGGCTCGCCAAGATCTACATCCTCTTTGATAATGTTGTTCTCCTTCTCCTCCGTCGAGAGGCAGATATCCCCGTGCGACGTGACTGAGATCGCCGCGGGTCAACACGACGAACGCGAGGCTGTGGCTAAGAACGACGTACCCCTCATTGTGTCCGATCTTGCCAGACGCGCCCGCCGCTTCACGCTTGCAGTATCGAGGGGGGCGCGTTTGATGCTCCTGGTCAAAGGAGAGCGCACGTACTCGCTGAATATGCTGTATTTCGGCCGCTTCAGTTGGACGGCGACACGCCCAACATACGTATACTCGGGCGGCGGGGGAAGGGTGCTCAGATCCAAGGTCTTCGTCCTCTCGAGGGGCGTTGAGGACGGGGCGGGTCTGTTGTTGCGAGCTCGGAGAGGTGCCATAGCGAGACGTGGTATTGCAGGTGGTGGTGGTGGTCAATGCGAGAGAGTGGGTTTGGCGTCTGGCTAGCCACCGTGCGGGGAGGTAGCGCTTTCACGGCGGCGCGTCAAATGAACTCCGCGCGCCCGGCACACCGCTGGACTTTGGCTAAAAGATATATTATGCACGATACTCGCAGATCTCATGCGCGTCGTAGACTACAAAACTCATTATTCGCCCGACAGCGGACAGCAGACGGTGCGAGGACCACAGATGCCTGAGTGCAGCTGGGACCAAGCACGATTGAGTCCTATTTTCATCGACCCGCCACGGTCCAAGCGGCCCCTCGTTCAGGCCGCATGGACCGTGGCTAAGCAGCGGTGGACCAGGACCAAAAAATGAGGCGATTTGGTCCGCCAAAAGAGAGTCGCGAATTTTGCGGACCCGGGGCAGGCAATTTGGGGCCCATCGTCCCCATCAGCCCCATCCCGCCCCCCGAGTCTCCAAATCCGCATGCTGGCGAGTCCCCACATCGCGCAAGGCTTCCACAAACGGCGGTCGGGTGTCCCGGTCCCATTGTTCCGCGGACAGTGCCGGGGGACCGTGTTGTCTCGATCTCGCGTGCGTCACGTGCGTCCGCCCGCCGCGTTGAATGCGAAGCGAAATCCCGCACCCCGCACCAAGCAAAAAGGCGCACAATTCATCCCAATCTCACTCACCTCGTCTTTCTTCCCCACTCCCACCCCCCCCCCATTGTCGCTTGGTCCATCCACGCATTGTTCCCTGTCCCAGGTCAAAGCTCCGCCGTTATTATCCCTATATCCAACGCAATATCTCCCTACATTCTCCAACACAACAGGTGAGCTCATTGACGACGCGTCGGGAACGACACTCACGTTTAGCCAAGTATGAACGCCTCATTCAACGCTGGTTCGGTGTCGGTCCCCCTCGTGCCCTACGACGTCACTTCCAACGGCCCGGCCACCCTGCAAGCGTCTCAGCAGAGTTCCGTCCCGCGTTCGTTGACGACATACCACGGCCATGGAAAGCGCGACCGCGAGATCGACGACGTCGACGAGACATCCGAGGCCAAGCGAGTTTGCGTCATCGATCCTCGTGAGTGTTCCCCGCCTTCCTGTGCTCGTGCTGGATAGCACGAGCAGCATCGTCGGGCTTCGTGCTGATCGCGGGCCGTCCTCCAGGCCTTCTCGGCGAAGGCGTCGACGTCGCCATGAGCGACGAAGCAATGCCACCGCCCCCTCCACCCGTGAGCGCGTTCAAGCTGCCGGATTCCCGGGACATCCGCGTGGACAGTGCGTACCGAAGCTGGCGCGACAAAGGTATGTCTGCTCGTCCCTTCGCCCGTCGTCGGCCATCCTCTGAGCATCAGCACTCTCGCAGACGCGCGCGATTCGGCGCCAAAGCCAATTCAGGCGCCCACGATCGCCCAAGCTGATCCTGCGGGATACGTCGCCGCCATCTACGACTTCGATGAAGTTGACCCTGACGCATGTACGTTAGTTCCCGTTCGTGTGCTTTTGCGATGATGCTTACCTTCCCCTAGCGTTCATGGCCGACGACTCGGACAGCGACGACGATGACGATGGCCCGATGGAGTTGTCCTTTGACGACTTCAAGCAGGAGATGGACACCGTCCTGGAGGAGATTGACGAGCCGCTGCCGGCGTGGGCCCACACCCCGGCGAGGAGGCCTCCCGGCGACGTGCCAACGTACGCTATCATACCCAAGAAGTGGCAGCGACCGGGGCCGTCGCCGCTCTCGCAGAGCACGACCGTGGAGCCCACCGCTTACCGCAACACGGACAAGAAGCTGAGGGTCCGGCCGATCGCTCGCGACCACGCGAAGTATATGGATCACCAGCGCGGCCGTCGGTTGGTGCTGCGCGCTAACACGGAGAAACTGTGAGTGTGACACCTACCGTCCACCGTGCACCTCGCTGACGTCTATCCAGCCGGGCAACAAACGTACCTACAGCCACGAACATCAACAAGTCGATGATCGAACGCAGGTTATGGTGGAATTTCCTCGTCGCCGGCGCGGTTCCGCCGCCCTCGGTTAAGGGCACTCCCCGCCTGCGCGTTGAGGAGCCCCTCGTCGGACCACCGAGCCGGTATGCCTACAAGGACAACGCCAGTAACCGGGTTCCGCGCGATGACTTCACTGGCCCGTCTGCCCCGGCTCACCGTATACCCTCCAAAGGAAAATGGAGGGTACCGTGTGACGAGAAGAACCGCCCGCTGTGCGACGTTTTCGCCATCCACTTTGAAGAGGGCGATTATAATCAAACGGTGTGGACGGACCAACGCGCCATGAAGTTCTGGCGAGACAACCATGAAGCGATCGAGGCCCTCACCGGGCAGAGGACGACCGGCAGCATTCTCCGAACCTGGAAGGATACCTTGGATACCCTGCACGCGCTTTGGACTGGAGACACAGACACTTTGGATGACGGCGGGGATCCAGCGGATTACGACGAGCCGCCGGAGGAAGACTCCAGCGACGACGAGGACGACGAGGACGGGGAGACACAGGGGTCGTCGAGCCAGGGAAACGGTGTTATGGACGTTGATGACGATGACGACGACATGGAGGATGTCGTCTAACTAGTAAGATCTTCGCGGTGAATCATTTGCGATTGCAGGGACTTATGGACTTACACGACCGTGGATTAGCTTTATGCGTTCTTGCTATCATGTTGCTTCATGTTTTGAGCTGTGTTATGTCTATGTCGCCCATCTTGTTATGCTATGCCGTTGCTGACCTATGCCAGAGTGTGTTTAGTCAACCGTTCCAAATTCATCTGCGTTACCGCATGATATGAAGCACTCGGTGAGCAGTGTATAACAGTCATCACATTCATAAAAACTGAACCCCTCGTCCCGTGCTAGGTGGACAAGCGTCGAGTCCCAACCCCAACAACCGACTACCTTGGCATTCTCCAGAATGATCGATAATCACAAACCGGCAACTGTAGCTCGTCGCAGCAGCATCCCGAAGCATCGTCAGGCGTAGCCTCGCGCAGGGATCCGGTTGCCTTCATAGGTCAGAGCACCGCCGATATGAGCACCACAGACCGCAAGATGGACGCCCAGAGAGACAACATCCAGTTCCGAAGACGAGCCATCGCGGTGCGAGACCAATTTGATGACTTACCTGGGGTGCTTCGAGAACGACGACGCCGTCCAGTAGGAAATCCTTTGGCACGATGGGGGAGGAGGAGGAGGAGGAGTTGGTGTATCTTGGAACGACAGAGTGTTCCGAGTCCAGTGTTATGCGAAGCCGGACAATAACTTTGCGTCTTCCTATTGTTCTTGACCATACCAATGACCGAGGGAGACCCGTTCATGCGCGGCGAAGATGTGTAGCGCTGGAGATCGGTAGACGAAGACTCACAGTCAATCCCTCATCAATAACAACAGCGCTCCGACTTCACGTCGAAGAGGGTCATCGTCGCCATGGATGGAGGTCCCAGCAGCGAATCACACCCCTGAGGCAACCGCGGTTCCGGTGTTGAGGTGGCAGGCGAACCTCCGCAGTGGAGCCAGCAAGAGAACCAGAGTCCAGCGACATGAGCAGCGGAGACGAGGAGGTCTTGGTCCCAACAACGATGAAGACTGGAGGGTGGTCGCAACGTGGAAGAACTTGTTGGGTTGCGTTGGTGCGGCCGTTGCGTTTGACTCGTCACGCCAAATAAGCGCAACTCTTCGGCCACACTGGCGCTTATTTGGCGGACTTCGCGTTTCGGACGCTTCGCAGATCACAAGTACACCAGAATTCGAAGGTATCCAATGCAATGTTTCGCGCAAAATGAGTTGAAGAGATTGCGGTATATACTATTGCGATGACCATACAACGAAGGGCACGAGTCGTCCACAAGACGTCGTTTGACATCACCGTCCACAGCCATCATGGGGATACGGACGGTGTCGGTTCATAGCTTCGATGTATACTGTAAGCATACTCCACATATTCAACTAAGAGTAGAGTAAGTATGAGGATACGAAAAAGATGCATGAGGAAGAGCGCACCAATAAAGACCGCCTTGAAGTGGGCAAGTCGGCATGAGCCAGTGGGAGCGAGCTTAGGCGGACCCGAAGTGCAACTGTGTGGACACATTCAAAGCGCATATAAACTCGAACCTTTCCCCTTAGTTCTACATCAATGCATTTGTAGGCACCAGAAGGTAGCGGTGTAAGCGTAAGAGAGAGCGAGAGCGTCCCAACAACATGGGCTTTGATCACGTGGTACAAACGCCCATGGTGGCTCAAGCTCGAGCTCAAGTCGCGTCCCAAGCGTACTAGCCACCATTGTCCCTCCTACCACCTGCACCAGCCATACATTATACCGACAGACTCCCCGTTTCCCCCCGTCTGAGGCGTAGCAGACCCACACATATTCTTACCCGCCGTTACCATGTCCATCGTCGACAACTCTCCCCGCTCGCCGTTATTATCTACCGTGTCGTCGCCCAGCCCGGTGTTGGAAGAATGGCAAAGACCCACCCCGTACTCGGATCTCGACTTCGACATTATACGCACAATCAGGGCCTACAATGCTCTCGCCGAGGAGCCTCAAACGACCATCGCTGCTGTAAAGCCAAAGCCGCTACTTCCGGAGCAGCATTCGAAGCTCGCGCTGCGCTGCGAACCACCCCAGGCCCGAGCGACAGGTCGTAATGGTACGTCAGACCTCCATAATATACAATCTTGCTGGACGAACCTGACCCTCCGCTATGTTGAGAAGTGGACCTAGTCTGGATCCCACCGCCGGTGCCCGAGCGGGTGCAGAAGCCTGGACGTCGCGTGCAAGGCTCCGTCGGGGTCCGCTTCCTGGATAAGGAGAATTCAGTGGCACCGATAGGTACATCCTTCCACAGGCTCTTCCTCTCTTTATGTGCTTACTATATGTACCTTCTTGTTTCTCAGGGAGCGCAACGAGGGATACAGAATCTACTCGGCGTCGCACTCGTCTCTCTTCCTTCTCCCACTCCACCGGTGCACAAGCACGGTCTCCATTCAGCAAGCCCACAACAGCACCACCACCTAAGGCTCCCCCAAAGCGCACATCGGTTGTTCTGCCGCCCGGCAACATCCACCATCGCCTCAGGCAGCACCTGGCAATCTGCGCACTGCCGATTCCCACCCGCCTCCGCTACGCGCCGAACTTCTTCCTGCACCCGTACATCGACAGGAATCTCAATGGAAACGCGGGGCCGCCTACTCCCACTATCGTGCGTCGGAAGGACCCAGAAGCGGCGCTCCTCTCGCTCAAGCCGAAGTTACGCTACCTTGACTCGCCGGACCAGCCGTTCCGGCACCCGCACCGTTTCGAGGTCGTCGTAACCGCGCCCGAAGGAGAACGCCACGAGTCGTACTGGCACATCCAGCCGTGCCCCGAGGAGGCTCCTTGCTTCCACGTCGATCCTGCTCGTCTTCGGCCTATCAAGAGGCGCCGCGGGAAGGAGAAGGTCATCAAGCCTATATATGCCTACGTCCTCGACCGTGCTGCTGATTACAGGCAAGTATTCTGTCTTCCTTCCATACCCGGTCCCCACACTGACGTTCCCTCGTTCACGCGTCGCAATCTAGCTCTCGTATGGTCGAGCGCAAGCCTCCGACTGTCTTCGAGCGAGACATCACGCGGACCGCGTACGCCGGTAGGGGAGACCGGGAGATATCTGGCACCCTCTCCAAGCCCATCTCTCGGCAGGGCTTCGAGTACCAGAAGCCACAACGCCTGTCGCTCCGCAAGCGCATCTTCCTCTCCCGCAAGAAGAAGGCAGAGTGGCGCGACATTCGTCGCCCCGACCCCCGCGCCGCAGCGCTCTTGAAGGAGGCTCGGGAGGAGCTTGGGGACGTTGAAGCCCCTGGCCAGTAGACGAATCCGCGTTATACCTCTCTTCTCGGATGCTGTGGTGCCGAGTTCGTGCTGTCTGTGACCATGTTATCGCCGTTATAGTTTTCGCCGTTATGCTGTCCTTCGGACACTGTCGCTCTTTACCTCTCCTCTCATCTCTACGCATTACCACTGACCTTCTCATCACTGTAGCCTTAGCACTAGACCGTACTCATGCAATCCTCTCATCTCCCTGCTCACCGCGGCCGCTGCCCCGCGGTCGCCACACTCCTTCTACGGACAAACCACCCTACTACCCCATGTATCCTTAGATTATATTCTGAACCAAATATCTATGCATCATGCACACCTCATATCTGCGTGAATAGATCATAAGTCGACATAAACGTGTTGATTCGTGGACAATGGCGTCGGGAGCCAAAGCGGACGGCGGAGTGTTGCGGACACGTGACAGGCGCGTACAAAGTAGCCACCTCGCTCGCGTCCTGTTCACTCGCGTCTCTCATTAGCCTCACCATCTACAGCGACGTCTCTCTTAACCCCGCTAGCACTTCACTTTGAGCAATCTCCACAGGGGCGCTCGTACATTCCGTCTCCTTCACCGCGATTCACCTCCTCAACTCTCCATACCCTGTCCTCGACGGTTCAGCCACAAGGCCTCCGCGACGATCCTCAGCATTCCAAGCTCCTTTCACATTCCACCGTACATTTTACGCATTATGTCTACTATCTACACTTCACGCTCTCCGCAATAGTGCGTACATTCACTCGCTGCCTACACGTCCCGGGAACTAACATTCATCTCCGTGTCGCGACAGCTTTGCGCGGCGAAACAAGCAGTCCTGGTACGCCGAAGTACACGGGAAAGAATACTGCACATACCTGAACCACGTCGAGAGCGACAGCACCGGTGCGTTTTAGAATCCGCGCCTAAGACAGGACACGCAGCTCACGAGCGGACGCGCTGCCCAACTAGCCACACCGGATGTTTGGGACGATGACTTCGACATGGAGGACAGCGACTTCGGGACGCGCCTCGAGCGATACCGCACCACCCACGCTATTGAGGATTATACAGACGACTGTGAGTGGACGTTAAGCACGTTCGTGTTGGCGAGGCTGACACTTGCCATCGGTGCAGATATATTCGATGACTCGTTCTTCGTTGATTCCTCCTCAGACGAAGAGGAGTCCGGGTCTTCGGAGGAGGACGTCCCGATGGCCGACGTGTTTGAGACGCGCTACTCTTCGTCTCCCTCCCTCACCATTGCCCCCAGCACCATCGATAGCATCGACGAGCCGGCTCCCGAGGTGTTCATTTACACTGGCGTCGATGCAGGCGTCGACGAGATGGCAGTAGAGCTCAGCTCCACAGAGCACGCTGCCGAAGCCGTTCCACCCAAGGACCAGCACAACAAGCCCAAGTCTCGCGGCTGGGCGGCGCCGGGTCCATCTCCCCTCCACTCCGCCGAAACCATCAACGCCCCCGCGCGTAACATGCGCCACGTCTTCAACGACGAAGACGACACCGGGTTCCCGCTCCTCCTGCGCTCCCTGCGCTCGCGCCTCCACGACGAGGAGGAGCTGATGGCCGCCTCAGAGGCCGTCCCGCTCCTGCGCATCCGGCCCACCCGCCGCGCCAAGCGCGTCGATACGCCGCGCCTGCGCCCCAAGCTCTACATCAAGCACGCGTTCGACTGGATATGCACGCTCGACTCGCTCGAGGCGTACGACTGCTCCGAGGGCACGCGCGCGTTTCTCCAGCGGCGCGTCGAGGGGTTCCTCAAGCACGGGGTCCCGGACATGGGCGACGAGGAGGAGGTGCCGCCCCCGCCGATGCGCGGCACCGCGCCCAGTGCTCCGCGCGAGGTCCTTACTGCAGAGAACTCCCCTTACTCGTATAGGCCAGTCCAGGGGTACTGCGGAGAGGAGAAGGAGGCTTGGAACGGGCCGGCGTTGTCGGCGCGACGGGTCATGCTCCTCACGGCAGCTCCGAGTCAGGGCGACGATGAGGGTCAAGTACAGGGGGCGCACTTCGAGACGATGTGGGTCCGTCTGGACCCGAAGGCAGTAATATTTTGGAAGAGGACCCGCTCTGCGCTGAACTTGCAGGCTTGAGTTATGCGTATTCCCTTGTGGTGAGCTGGCTTGCCGCAACTGGTGTTGTATCTTATTCTGACGGTCTTGGCAGTATCTTGTGACATGTATCTTTGCTCTGTATCTGACCATGTTCTATCGCTGTCAACCGATGCTATCTCGCTTGTACACACTATTTTCGAGAATATTATTCGTAATGTACAACACCCAACTTTGGCGCCTCGTCGCTGCGAAGGCTTTAGCCACACGGCCACGTGATCGCGCTACAAAGCGTCGCGTAGCCTCGTGGCGACACTCGCGCTTCCTCGTAGGCCAACAACTGGTGAGGCGCCTTGAACGCAAATATGATATAGTAAAACAATGTATACAGGAGACGGTGCATTTGAGAATACATGTGTTGTACAACCCGGAACGCTTGTAAATTCGACTTGAGAAGACGGGCCACATCTACCATACCGAGGGAACCGCGCATGCGAACGGCAATCCAGGAAGAGGACCACCTCCTGAAGGAAGAACGGAGGTCTCAAGTAGCGGTGCGCAGACGTATTTGAGCAGAGTCGGGGATGGGGCCGGGACTGGGGCTGGGGCTGGGGCCGGGGCCGGGGAGGGACCGAGGAGTAGAGATTCCTGCCACGGCGTGGTCGTGCTGAAGGGACGATAACTTTCCGCAGGGGTACACTCGTATGTGACGAGCTTCCTGGAATCCTCTTGGAAGGTTACGTCCGGAAAATGAATTGGCGCGTCCTCGAGGATGCCGAGATGGAGGTCGAGAGCGAGGACCTCCTGAGTGAACGACGCGGCGCACTCATCTTGCGCAACCGGGAGAGGGTCGTCCAAGGGAGGGTAATCGATGGTGTCCTGTTCTAGAAACTCGTCGTATTCGCTTTCGTACGCGTTGAATGCCGTTGAAGCGTCAGGCTTCCTGCATACGGCCTTGTCATAGACATATTCCTTCGGAGAGGCGGTCGCCGTGGATGCTCTCCCTGCGAGTTTCAGGTTGTGTGTATCGTCCCTGTCTTGCTTATCGCGCTCTTCGTCTTCATCGCCTCCGTCAACGTCCAGCGCCATTGCCTCAACGCTCCAAGGGAGATCGAGTTCGTCGACAATGATCTTGTCAGTTCGCTGCGCGAACCTTGCGATCTTGTCCTTCTTGAGTTCCTTCCACGCCAAATGGTGCATACGAAGGTGGTCCGCCGGGGTACGCCTCGTCACCTTCTTGCGATGATCGAAAGGCGCCCTCACTGCCTTCATCTTGGGAGGGCATGCGAACTCGGGATGACGGGGGAGGGGTGCGGATGGGGCGCGAGGTGGCGTCCCTATGGGGTCGAATGGTACCGTATATACTAGATCGGGATGTCCTTGAGTTTGCGCATCGTCGTCGCTGATCCACCTACACACCACTATCGTAAACCCCAGGAGAACAGACTCGTATGTCAAGGGCGAGGACTCACTTCGACCATTTCCTCTTCTGTTTGTATAGCAGGAACGCTCGCGCCGTGACACTGAGGGGCCGGATACCCATCATTTGAGCGACCGATTTGTAGCCTGGAGCCTTGAGCGGTTGGTCATGGGCCCAGTGCAGGGGTCTTCCAAGTGACCGGATGGGTTTCGGAGTAACAGGGGCAGCCCCGCTCAGAGTGGAAAACACAGAGACCGGTCGGTTTGCGGAGGAGCGTGTCGAGGGTCCTAGACCTACGGTTCCTGCGTAAGCCTCTCTAGATGGGTTTGGAATGGACAGACATACTGGGTACTGAATGAGAGGACGGAGCTTGTGGAAATAAGTGTTTGTATTGGGCCCTAAGTTCGGAAGCTGTGAACGGGTGCAGCGACGCGCATCAGCCTCCATTGCGCTGAGTGTGGTGATTGTCGGACGTACTTATTCTATCGACATTCTTGCGATGCTGCCACTCAGCATCATACCTGCTCTTGTCGAGCATGTGAGGAACCAGACTTTCCATCCTCAAGCTCGACCTGCGCTGAACTGGGACAAGAGCCTTCTTCGCCGCATGAGTTATCAGCAACGACCGTGGCTTGCTTGACTTGTCGTGTGGGCGGCTAGCTCCCTTTCTGGAGGATGTTGCAGGTTCATTTGTATACGGGCTGGTAGAGTGTGATTCCATGGTGCGGTATGAGAGTGGACAAGGTCGACGGAGCTGATTGTGGTGGTAAAGACGATCAAGGTGGCTAGGGTAGTGGTGGCTAGTAGAGCGCGGGGAGGCGCCAAAGCCCATTTCGGTCGCTGCCCATATCTGGACTTGAATGGCTAGTTCGTCTCAATTACCTTCCGATGTCCGTGGTGTCCTGTGATCACCTGTACGTCCTTTGCATAACGCGCTGCATATACCACGAAATATGAGTAGCGGAGGTCGTCCATGTTAGTGAGTAGGGTGGTGTCCGCGTTGGGTATGTCGCCTAGTGCTAGTCAGCCGATAATCGATGAGTACCCTGTTGTGTGCATGCCTCCCCTTCTTTTGCTAGTGCATCTGGCATGTACACCGTTGGGTTATCGGTGCAGGATGTTCGTTCATGTCTGCGTCGAAGGCGTAATCAGACCGAAGATAAGATAAGATTGTCGAGACTGCTTCCGTTGCGCGTTATGTACGAGGTCCGGCGTCTCGTGAACGTACGTCAATACACAGCAAAACGGCAGTGTACTACTAGTACAGGTCGTAGTCGACGTCTACACAAGCAGACAACCAACTATCAAGAACCTCGACCATGTGGTAATGCGGTGGTTCACCGCATCTAGTGACAGCGCCAACCGAGTCAGTCAATTCACTTAATGGCCCCGGGGCAGCTGCGCGCGATGACGTTGCCTAACTACCAGCATGACCCGCCAGTATTTAGTCCCCAATACGACGAAGACGGCACATCTACTCCCCGCACCGACTTAGGCTCATGCGTACTCCCTCCCTCCACTGGGCAAGGCGACTCTCGTCCCGTATATCTATATTTGGTATACTGCGGATCAAGTCCTGCGCGTATGCGGGAGACACGTCCACTGGGAATGCTGAGCATCCCGAAGGTCAGTCGTTACAAATCTGATGGCAAGAATGTCGCTTTCTGATGCATACATTACTCTGAAGATCCGGAAACTCCTCGGCTTCTCCCCAAGGGACCGCCATCCTTACAGTTGCCGCTCGAGCTGTGGTCCGAAGTCTTCTCGTATCTGGAAGCCGGGGACCTCGCAGGCGTGGCACGCCTATGTATCCCGTTGCGAGAAGAAGCTGAAAAGGTCCTCTATCGCTCTGTGTCGCTCACGAGCTACAAGATTGTACTGTTCCATCGCACCATCTCGTCCTCTCCGCGCTATGCCGCTCTCGTCCGCTACGTCGAGGTCTTCATCTACGAAGAGCTGGATCCCCATATCCCTGAATGTCTTGCGCAAACACTAGCCGCGAACATGCCCCTACGATACCTCTCCATATGTGGCTCAAGGCGCGCAATGTGGGATCACGCGATCATCCGATACTGCAAGACCATCTTCGACATTCGCTTCCCGGATCTCCACGGCTTCTGCACCAACCTATCCCAGACGATGTTCCCAGGGATCCTCGACTTCGTACAAGCACATCCTGGCCTGAAGGAGCTGCATATGGAGATGGAGGATCTGCGCCTTCCGACAAATCTGCCGGTATCGCCGTCGGTTCAGAAGCTCACCTGCTTCCCTCGCTTCGTCAAAGGCCGGCTCTTGCATGGAGGCCTGAGGGACCTCACGCATCTCCATCTCGGACGATTCTCTTACGGTGACCTCAAGGTCCTCGCGGAGACCCTCGGCGCTCAGCTCGTTAGCCTCCGATTGGGTACCCAGGTCAACGCGTCTCCCATCAAGCCGTGGACCATAGGAGACATCGGTACCAAGTTCCCCCGTCTCCGCTTCGTCCAAGTCGACATGGGCATGGTGAGTGCGTTTCAAAATGATGTCGTGTATCTCGATTCTGACCCGTTTAGTCAGCACACGCTCGGCCCCGGTATGCGCAATCGTCCCATTGACTGGCAGGCGAAGTCGGAAGCGAAGTGCACGCCCCCTCCGGCCCCGAGCGAGCTCACGATCGTATGGACATACCCACATCAGGATGGTGTTATCCTTTCCTCAGCGGCGGCCTGGCATCTGTTTCTCAACAAGGTCGCCTTCGATGTGCTTGTGCAGTGGACTCCGTACGTCCGTCGCATCGTGTATCGCCACACGATCATTCCGTATGTGTCAGCGACGCTCGACCAAGATCACACGCGATTGGTGAAGACGAAGGATGTCGAGATGTCTGCCGAATACTGGAAGTATGTGTAGGATAGGATACCACATGTCATCCCCGCTTGTGCATAAGCAATCAAAGAATTCGCCATAGCTGCCGCGGACACACTCGATGGATAAGAGCGCAGCAGAAGGATAATCCTTGTCTCTCATGTTTTGACTAGGCTGGGCTTTTGTTCCAAGTATTGGATTGGCATTCAGGGGTACAACGTCGGGTGGACATTTCTCATTCGCACCGACAAGAATCGCTTCTTCTTTCCTTCAAGGCGGTTGTTTAGTAAGATACACACATGAGATAACCCAGCAGTGAGCATCTGATCTCAGGGATTTGTACTATTCATTCTCACCAATGAACCTCGATATGCATGGACCCACTTCGGAGTCGTTGGGATTTTGCAGCGCCGTGACCGCGCTTCACGGAAAGTCCCATCAAGTTCAGCCGTGGCCATCGGCGCTTGGACGCCTCCCTATTGTTCATTTTTAGCCACGTACTGGCCATACTTCAGACTGAACATTTCCTCATCCACCTTCCTCCGCACTTTATACTTCCTCAGGCATCCATCCTGCCAACACTCCACCATCTGAAGAGTTTCACGCACATAGCTGGATCGCAGAATCGCTCTACCTGGCAATCATATCTAAGATGTCCAGCAAAGTCAGCGACCAACACATTCTACAGTACGGCGACACTGTGGAGCAATTTATGGACACTCTACTTCCTTGCTCTGAAGATCTTCAAGTATTGCGGAACATCTCGGACATGAGCGACGTGTTCTCCACGTATGCACCCGCCGGATCTGAGAGCAAATACGAAAACCTGGTACGTGTTTCCCCAGGCTACTCGCACCTCCATATCTGACTTACCTGTAGATATCAGGCCTCCAGGGACTCGTCGAGCTGTTTCCCTTTGATAAGAGGCCCTCGTTCGCGGATGCTCACGATGTCCCGCTGTATTTTCCCTTCAGGGCATTTGCCAACCGCAGTGACTTCACGATTGCCGACATTATCGTTTCCCTTCCAGGGAAAGTCCTCGATGGTGGGGTGTCGTGGCGCGACATCGCAATGGTCATCGAGACAAAATGCAGCGATGCGGAGGACCCATTCTCCAAACTCAGTCCCAAACCCGAGCCCGATGTGAACAAATCACAGCCCGGCGTCCAAAAACAGAAGCCTGTCACGAAAAGGAGTGCTCAGCAACTCGCAAAAAACGCACGAAACATCCTCCTCGCACACGGAGCACTCGCTGCTTTTGTCATCGGCATTTATGGTCACACCGTCCGCCTGGCTCGGTTTGATCGGACCTGCGCACTGGTCTCTGTACCCTTCCGGCTCGACTCGGACAAGGGTGCAACACGTCTTCAAGAGTTCTTCTGGCGCTTCACCCATCCTCTTGTCGGCAACACCATTGCCGGCTGTGACCCCACGGTCATGGCACTGGACGATTTCAGCAAAGAGTGGATCAAGCAGGAGTTGAGGAAGGCGAGAGTGTTGCACTGGCAGAAGCACACTACCCACATATCGGAGGGCCGACGCATCGAGGTCTACGACGAGCGTTCAAGAGTTTGCATGCCTTACCTGCTCTACAACATGGTGAGCGTCAGCAAAGGGCTCTTCTCGCGAGCAACGACAGTCTGGCGGGCAATTGAAGACACTCGCATCTGGAAGAACGGACAATTAGTTCCAGACCCTTCCCGTACCGCGCCTGTCAAGCCTCAGATTGTGAAGGAAGCTTGGCGCAGCCTGGGCACAAGATCCGAGATCGAGTTCTACCAACGACTGAACGATACCATATCATGCAAAGACCGGTACGGCCTCGCCTCTATGGTCCACGGCGGAGACATTGGGGAAGTAGAGATGCGGCGATGGAAGGCAGCCAAGAAGCACGAAGATGGAAGCTCGAAGAACATGGACAACATGCAGGACCGGGAATTCGATATCACCAGCTGCCAGGAGGATTGCCCACCAAAGGTAGACTCGATCCTCCCCTACCCACAGCATCAGACGTACTCCAGGCGCATGACATCGGGTAAAGAATTTTGGTATCTTGAGCGCAGTCATGTGCGTATCGTCATTGATAATGTGGGACGGCCGCTCAGTCAATTCAATTCTACCTTCGAGCTCGTCCGGGCTATACGGGATGCAATCAGGGGTATGTTTTAGACCAGTGCATAATACCTGTATGCTGACCTGCTTCTAGGACACCAGCAAGCGTATAACAATGGACGCATACTTCATCGGGACGTTAGTGTTGGAAACATCCTAATTGTGGATGAGCAAACTATGAATCGCTTCTGCGGCTTTCTTCACGACTACGATCACAGCCTGATGGAGCCCTATCCGAAAGCCCCCGCCAGTGATCAACACAACTGCAGCACCCGCTCCGCCCCAGTCTCGGAGAGCCATAGCGTTCAAGACTCTGTGAATAACTTTAGTACTGTGAAGGAGTATTGGGTGAGTTTGGAGATCTACTTCCCTATTCTATTGTCCGTACCTCCTGACGGCGCGCAATTCATTTCCTAGGGAACTGTCTGCTTCATGGCCTATCAGATCGTGAACAGCACACCGATCGCCCATAGCACCAACCACGACCTTGAATCATTCTACTGGATCCTGATCTTTATGCTCTATCATCATACAAGCTATGTGAAGGATAAGAGGGCGAGGGAGGACTGCGAAATGATCTTCACAGAAAACCTCAGGGACAGCGCAGCGGGGAAGAGGTGTTGGGCAGAGGGCGCCTTCTTCGAGATCCAGGGCAACGAGCCCCTTGCACAACTCCTGAAGGATCTCCAAGACCTTGTCATGTACAACATCCCGACACGGAGAAAGGGCGCAAAACAAGAGCCCCTGACGTACGATGCGATGTTGGGCGCCTTCGACACTGCCCTCGACAAGCCCGGCTGGCCTCGATTTGACTCAATGTGGCGCGGCGAGTGCGCGCTGGTAGAGAACGACGGGATTCCTGCCTCTATCGTCCCCATGGCCGAGCGTCTCGTGGAAGCGCGAGGCGGAGTACGATCCAATCACCTTCCCTCGCGTCGACCCAAACGCCCTGCGCCCAGATCCATCGACGAGAGACTTTGGCCCCACTTCTCACGAAAGCGCTCTCTCTCGGATATGACAGCGGGGGATGGCGATTGCTCTGGAACCACTGCACCTCACTGGGGCGATACAACAGCAGGATTAAATAAACGCTTCAAGGCAAACAGTACACCGTCTTAGGCCCATGCTGGCCCAGCGCCGGATCAGGTCGCCTAGATCTCCATATGCCGGATACTGCAGAAGATGGAATCGTTACGGTCAACGGGGTCGAGCATGAGCCGACGGACAGAAGGTCAAGCACTCTGCAGCAGCTCCCGGATAACCAAAATCAATCAAGCCACTTCTCGTACATCATGATACATCGCCTCATCTCCGACAACCTACACGACGTCCAAGGATACATCTTCGCGTTCCCACTCGGCCTCAATATTCGTATCGCTGGTCCGTCCGAACCCTTCAAGTCCATCGTGGAATGCCGGGTATGTGCATCGGATGCCCTCTTCCCAAGTCGGCGACGATGCCTGTGGCAAAGGTGGTTCCGGGGGCACAGGAGACAGCTGAAGGGACGTTCGAGCAGAAGCACACGACAATGTTTTAGTACAGTTCCCACTCACCACTACCCGCCACTAGAACTCGACGAAGTTCAGGAGCCCTAGCAGAACCAAGCACACCGAGTACGCAGAGGTCATGTATCCTTCGAGAACAGTGTATCAGAATACAACACTAGAAGCAACTATATTCGAGAACTTACCAGCGATAGTAAACGCATCAGACACGTCTCCAGTGAACACTGAGTAGAACACACCCAGGAACAGAGATGCAATCACAGGCAGCAGAATCGCGACTGCGATGCGCGTGAGCTGCCAGCCCTCCACGAACTCGATGCCAAGGTCTGTGCGCGCCGTAAGCACCTGCATGAACTCGTGTCGGCCGCGCATCTGTTCGGGGTGGTGTAGGAACCAGCGGAGACGCATGTTCTTCGCTGGGCTGACGCCCGCGGGCCCAACACGTCGCGGATAGACAAATGTGTGGTCGGCCTACAAGCATGTAAGCGGAATACAGCAGAGGCGAGAGCGAGAGGAATGCGTACGTAGACCATAGTGATTGATCTAGAAGACAGTAAATGAGTCCGGGATAATGATAGTGTACTGTGGCACACGAAGCACTCACCGAACGCCTCGCAGCGAGAACCATTTCCGCCACACCGTGCGCAGCTTGTCATATGAGCGGCTGAGCTCCCGCAGCAAGTCCGCGTCGTCCCAGTGCGACTGAATCTTCAGGTAGGCATAGCTCGATCCCCGGAACGCCTTCAAGGGAAACACCGTCCAGGCCGGTTTCCAGTCGTCCGAGCAGCGACGGACCGCGCGCAGGCCTACCGCATAAGGGCGATGAGGGTACGGTTTTGCCTGCATCGGCCCCGTGTACGCCATCGCCCCAGCCTTCTCATTCGCGTCTCCACAATCCCTGGTCCTCGCGTGCTTCTCGGGAGACAAGACGTCTACAGACGCGGTGGAAGAGAGGGCGGTACTCGGGCGCAAGAGTGTGAGGTGCTGCTCGATCCCGCGCATGATCCGTACGAGCTCCGTCGTGTGCGCTTGCCAACGATCCACACGCTCCTCGTGCGTTTTTAGGGCGCGCTCCTGCATCCGCACCAAGCGCTCTACCTGGGCGTCCATCGGTTCTCTGGAGGGCGTAGTTGGACGTCTTGACTGTCCTGGTGGCCGCACCTCCGCATACGCGGGACTGGACGTTCTTGATAGGAGGTGACCCCTATACTGCAATGGCGACGGGGCATAGTGCCTGCGGTTTGGTGACCGATAGCGCCTATAGTTTGGTGACCGTGCATGCGAAAGTGATCGCGGGGATCGTGAACGCGAGCGACGCTGTGGTGATCGTGAACGAAAGTGCATCGGGGATCGTGAATGCGAGCGACCACGCGGCGAACGGTGCAATCGTGCATGGAAGTTTATTGGTGACCATGAGCGCGAGCGCACAAATGCCGGTGGCGATCGCGATCTAGACCTAGACCTGGACCTATCATACGCACTTTCTGCTGGTGACCGGGATCGCCGAGAGCTGCGTAGAAGAATGAGCACCACAATCGAGCATGAAGCAAGGATATCTCCGTACCACGACAGCGACGGGGGTATGCGACGATCCTCGATTGCGGAATGCACACCCCAGGACATGTGGGACGCGGCAAGAGAGCTGGAGCGAGATGGACATCGCTCGGGCAAGGGCGGGGGTATGATTATAACTTGGGCGGGTGGGGACGAATGGTCTTCATGATCACTGGGCCCTGCCATCGGCGAAGGCAAGTTGGAAGGAGATACAATGCTAGCGTGGTGAGAAATCGCCAGCGGAGGAAAGATTGAAGGGGAGCTGGAACGTCCGCGGAGGGCTATGGGGTCAGGCTGATACGAGGGGAGGCGGTCTGCGCGCCTAACGTCTGCATTCTCGCTGCTCGCGATCGCGGGTGAGGATGAGCGGGACTGTTCCCTGGCATCTACTGCATCGTCCTGAACACTAGGAACGGGTGGTCTCAGTCAAAAACTCGTAGACATGCATGAGTAAACGGGACATACATCACAATGTAGTCTTCAACCTGTCGCCTTGGTGAACTATCACCCGCAGACCTCTCCGTCGACCGTGACGATAATGAGGGACTGCGAGAGGACCTTGAGCATGTGGCATCGTTGTGACTCAGCTGCATGACTTGAACGCCTATCATGGGTTCCGGAAACACCATGCAGGGAGGTGATTGTATCGGGGTCGTGCTTGTGTTGGGGACAATCGCATCGTGGCGCGGAGGGGTGGATGGGTAGGCGCAGGGTATCACAGTTGGAAGGATGCGGTAATCTGGAGAGTCTGACACCCTGGAAGTAGGCCATCGCCAGCCAGCCTCAAGATCGTCCTGCTGAACTGCGCGCCGATGGGCAACCTTGACCGCTTCGACCAGGTACTGGAACTCTTGCTCCTCTTGCTCCTCACGGACGACGGAGTAGTTGTTTCCCATAGCGAGCGTTCGGGGCTTCCTAAAGGCAGCACTAGTGGGGAGCTAGAGAGTCGGAAGCGGCACCGATACTCTACAGGTACCGTCATGGCTTTTGTATATGTGGAAGCGTCAAACTTGCCGCCCTCCCAAGAGCACAGCCCTGCGAAGCGTCTTGTGCCAGAATATGCACTGCCGAGAGCGATGCTCCTTCTGGATGGATCTTCTGTTCTCACCCGCTGTCAGCAGTTGGACAGATTACAAGGTCGCGCGTTCGTGGTGCAGGGCTGGACACAGACCAAGGCTTTGCCATAACGGGGAGTACGGGCCCGCCCTCTGGAGAGGAGATGAGGGTAACTCACTCGCTCGATGCGATTCATTTGTAAAGCTAACACAACGTCCTGAGAGCAACAGATGCACATACAATGTCTAGATAAAAATGTGTTAATTAGATATCATGGCTAGAGCTGACGAGGGGCGCTGCGGAGATATGGCTCACGTAATGTTCGTAAAAGCAACGCACACAGGCTGTTATCGTCTGTATGCAGGTGAGGATCGACTCGATGGAATTGATCTTGAAGTCATCTTGTTTGAGAGACATTTCGCCCGGAGGATCGAGCATACCGAAGCTGTTGGCACGCGTTGCGCAAGCTGCAACACGTTCGCAACCTCAAGCTGGTGCGTCAGCTGCTTCCTTGCTTCCCAAGGATATGTGTAGAATCTTGCTCATCCGCTAACACAGAGAGGGCATGTCCTGGAGTGAGGTGGTTCGCGTGTATCTATAACGAGTTGAGCGAGCGATGATGGGCTCGGGGAGAGGTATCGTGAGCAGCGAATCGGAGAAGCGCCAGCGGCACAGAGAGCGCTTGCCTGGCCGGCAAAGGCCGGGGGCGGCCCCAAGGCGGGCCACCTCGTTCACGTCTCTCTCAGACGGAGACTCAGGCTAACTTAGGCCCTCGCACTGGGCCCTCGCTCGCTCGCGGCTCTCTGCCAGTACTAACCACGATGTCGACCTCGAAGAGCATACTTTGCGTCGATGTCGATGTTATCCTTCTCATAATCGAACTCGTCCATACCGAAGGATATTTGAAAACACTCTCTACTACGTGTCGTCAAATTCGCGAATTGTCCATGTCCGTTCTCTTCGCGCGACTCCACCTATGGCCAGGCGACTTCAGCCCCCGAAGCTTCATTCCCGACAACGTCAGGCCGCATGTTCGGTGTGTATGCTTGCATGAAACACTGCACCTCCAGCCGCTGATAGCCGACATAGAACTATCGAGTTTGCTGACTTGAATGGCTATGTGCCTGCCGAGCATAGCGCGTACTACCGAACCATGGACCATCTTCGCGTGCGCGATACTTCCGAGACCAAATTCCTCCTCGATGCCTTCCGCGGAATGACACGACTTCGGAATCTAGTCATATACAACACCCTCGGCAACGGGCTCCCTTTCTACATTCTCGACGCCATTTTCTCTGCTCCTCAGCTCTGCTCCGTTGAGTGTGGCCCGTCAATGTGTCTTCCGACAGAAAAAGATCCCAGCTTTCCCAGACGTCCAAGATTGACTGGTCCCGTCCCCCCTATAACCACCTTCCGCCGCGTCCTCTCGACCCACCAAAGGTCCTTGCGGGAACCGGCCGAAGCGACCTTTCTCGCCTGCCTTTTCAACCATATACACACTACACTCCAAGTGGCGGAGATGCCCAGCGACACCGCGCCACTTGGAGCGCTCAGAAGTCATGACTGGCCACGTCTCCACGAGCTGATCCTGCGTGGAGGCCCGCGACGCTCATCGTGTGCGCATGTCATCGAGAACCTGACGAGGATGCCAAACCTCCGCGTCCTCAAACTCGAGCTGGCGCAGCGCTCCGGAGCGGGCCTTCAACGCATATGTCCCCCAGGCTGGACGGGTGGATGTCCTTGGCCGAAACTGGAGGTTTTGACAATATCCAACCCGCACCCGGACGACGACCTGTACGACCACTTGCCGGATAGTCTCCAAGAGCTTACTATTCGGTGCTTCCCTCGCTACTACTTGGCTACCGCTCCGGACGAAGAGGGCGCGTTCATTGCCCATTTCGGATGGGAGTCTTCGCTCCCCACCTCCGCCAACATGTTGCACATTCTGCGTCGCTGCGGCCCGTCGCTGCGCCATCTTCGGCACCTCGACATCGAGTTTGAAGAGTCTGGGGAAGATGTGCAGCTCTTACGCCACATTTCATCCACCTTCCCCATGCTTGCTTTCCTCCAATTTCTTCGGTATCACCAGAACCCGCAACACGGTACTCCGACGTCTTGGGTGAGCATCATCAAACGTTTTCCATCCTCCTTCGCTGATGGCATGCATATCAGGTCGACTTTGGGGAGGCTCTTTCACTGCTGTCCCACCTACGACTTCTCCGAGTCCATCTCGATCTGGAACGCATGGGTAGCAAAGAAAGCACTAGTGAAGTGATTTCGGCGCTTGCGTCACCCCTCAGCCAGACAGTTCGGTTCGTATGCCTGCTCGTCCGCTCATGGGATTCTCACGATTGGCACGCATGGCGCGTCGCCCGTGATCCTGGTACGGGAAAGCTGATCGCTGTTGAGGATCTGGCACGCTATTATGCGCAAATCGACGGCTACCCGTACGCCATCCTCTCGTTCTAGCCTGTTTATCCCGTCCAGCTCATTTTTTCCAGCACCTTCGATGAGATGGTTCCCAGAATCCCAAGGCGTTGGCAGTCTCGGCATGGAGTGTGAAGATAGGGTTGCGACCAATCCGCCCAGAGGACGTAGAAAAGAGCGAGTTGCACCTGGACAACATTATACTACAACAAGAACCGAAGGAGTACGCGGCCCAAGAGGTGCTCCACCAAACAGGGAGAGAAGCTCATGTGGGCCCAGCCAAGTTCCGTGTGCAGCATAAGAAATGTCGTGATCCTCCGAGTCCCGCAACGCTGCTTACCGGGACAACACACGTCCGCACACTCAAACGGCTACCTCCCAAATGCGCTGTGGACGTTCACGGAGCGCTAATCACAACATATTCTGGGCAATAGGCCCGACGTCTGTCGCATCAAGGCTCCCCGAGCCGTTTCCCTCCCAGTCCGTAAACAGCATGTATGTTCCGATTCTCCCCATGACCGGACGTACACTACACCGTCAATGATTGATATCTCCACCTCTCGCACTTAGAGTTGCATACACCACGCGTCTCTGTGCGTGCATGCCAGTGCCCTGTAGTCACCGCTTGGCCAGCATCACCCCGGCGTTCCGTGAGGATCCCAGCGCCATTACTATGGGCCGCCGTCTGTGGCGCGTCGCATACGTACGGTGTACATTCAGTCCAACGCCTTCCGCATCGTATACACCGTCTGCCGTGGATGCTAGATTCTCCTACCGCTACAACCAGTCCGTTACGGGAGAAGACTTGAGTCTCAGCAGAAGCCCGTGCCGTGGAGCGACTCGGACCAGACGCAACCATGGACTCGCTGCTTATCCTTCGCGTTGCGATCGCGAGTTTGAAAGGCTAGGTTGACCGTTGCTGACCATCTCTTTTCTCGTCTCATCGTCGCACATATTTTCCGCCTGTCTTGGTTTCTCCTCTTACATATTTGTTATTCTTGGGGCTTGGTTGCGGTCTACATAGGCGGGCGGCTATAGACGGACACAGCGTTAGCCGCCGCCGCCACGTGTTTGCGCGCTACGAGAGTCTGGATACCAGCGGTCCACTGGGTTCGTGTCCGCCTGTTCGGACGTCTCCTTCATACCACAATGGTATCCTCGAAGACTATACTTGCGCTAGATGCCGATGTACTGCTTCTCATAATCGAGCTCGCCTGTGTTCGAGGAGGCTTGCGCAGTCTTTCTGCCACGTGTCGTTGGATTCGTGCACTTTCCATGCCTGTTCTCTTCGCACATATCTGCCTACGACCAAGTGATCTCACCCCGCGAGGCTTCATCCTCAGCAGTGTCAGACCACATGTCCGGTGCGTATGCATCGACAATATGACCTACGTCCAACCACTGATGATGTCGATAGTACCATACATTTCGGTCAGCAGTTTTTCTTCGCGCCCACTCAACACGAGCATTGTGGACCCGGGCCACGTCATCGCATGCACGATAGCCCGGATACTCAATTTCTCCTTGATGCCTTCCGCGGAATGACACGATTGCGGAACATTGTGGTCGACACCATGTTCGGCAATGGTATCCCGTTCTACATCCTCGATGCCGTTTTCTCTGCTCCCCAGCTCAGCACGGTCCAGTGCGGCCCGTCAATATGCCTCCCAGCGGAACAAGATCCCAGCTTTCCTAAACGTCTAAGGCTGAGTGGTCCCGTCGCCCCCCTGACCACATTTCGCCGCGCCCTCTCGACCAACCAGAGGTCTTCGCGGATACCGGCTGAGGCGGACTTCCTCTACTGCTTATTCAAACGAATCCACGACACGCTCCAAGTGGCGGAGATGCCAAGCGACACAGCGCCCTTGCGAGCGTTCCGGAACAACGATTGGCCGTCTCTCCGCGAGCTTGTTCTACGTGGGGGACCGCGACGTTCGTCTCGTGCATTCATCCTCGAGAGCCTGACGCGGATGCCAAACCTTCGCATTCTCAAACTCGAGCTAGCACAGCGCTCCGGAACGGGCTCTCAGCTGATATGCCCCCCCGGCTGGGCGGGCGGATGTTCATGGCCAAATCTGGAGGCACTGACGATATCGAACCCACACCCGGATGACGAACTATACGCGCACTTGCCAGATAGTCTACAGGAGTTCAATCTTCGGTGCTTCCCCCCACACTACGTAGCCGCCGATCCGGACGGACAGGGCGAGTTCATGGCACAATTCGGATGGGAATCTTCGCTCCTCACGTCAGCTGAAATGTTGCACATCCTGCGTCGCTGTAGCCCATCCCTTACCCATCTTCGGCACCTCAACATCGAGTTCGAGGAGTCGGAGGAAGATATCCCGCTCTTGCGCTACATTGCATCCGCATTTCCGGCGCTCACATTCCTTCAACTCCTGCGATATCATAAAGCCTCACCGCACCCCACGACGACATCTTGGGTGAGTGGCGTGACCGCTTTCCATTTGCTCCCCGCTAACAGTATGTGCTGCGTCAGGCCGACCTTGGGAATGCCCTTGCGCCTCTTGCGCACCTACGCCTTCTGCGGGTTCATCTCGATCTGGATCCCACGAAGCCAGAGACAGGGACACCTTACGAGGCCGTTCTTGCGCTTGCGTCACCTCTCAGCCCGACTCTCCGCTTTGTATGCCGCCTTGTGCGCGGATTGAGCATCAACAAGTGGGCTGCATATCGCGTCGTTCGCGACCCTACCACGTGCGAAGTGGTGAGAGTCGAGGACGTGGCACGCTTTTATGCGCGGATCGACGGCTACAGGTACGCCCCGATGTCGCCGTAGCGCAGCCAGCAGTCATGACCTCGACTCATTTTCTCTAGCACCGACGAAGAATCATTTCCCCCACTAAGACGTCGATATCGATCGTGAAGACAAAGGGGGTCCTCCCAGAAAATACGGCGAAGTCCAAGAAAGGCACCCGCGGGCGCTCGCGTTTATAGTGGAGGAGATGTATCTCGGATAACGATGGCGTAGGTTTTCAGGAGTCCTGGGAACTCATGTCTTGACAACTTGTAAATCTGCAGTGTAACCCAAACGCCTACGCAGGCGGACTTCCTGCTTCCTGCCATCATGAACACTCCTTGCCTCCTCGGAATCTCGCCGACGCTGCGATTTGCGATTTTTATTCTTCACGCAAGGTTAGTGCGGATTCTAGTGCACATTCCGATGCCCACGATCCCTCTCGCCGCCACGAATCACTCTAGCTCTACGGGGCGAACTCCGTGAACTTACGTCCCGTCCGTTGATTCTCGTGTACCAAAAATCACCACGTTAAGACCTTCGGTGGACCGCACGTTTCACGATAAAAGCTCGCGTACATCAATCCGTATTTACAAGCCGGTATCGCGGTTGACAGCGCCCAGGCATTTCACCTGCGGCACCATCCCCGAACGCTGACATGCATGTGCGCCGCGGGGCAGCGGTGCCTGTTCGCACACACCTGAGTCCACCACAGGTGCGTACGCGTAGGTCTTGGTATGCCTCGGGTGACAATATATGGAGTTCGCGTCTCGTATGTATGCCCTGTTATTGTGTGTAGTCTCGGTTCCTGCCAGGTACGACGCTCGTGTGCTTTTTTGAGGCTACGCCGGAAGATGGGCATAATTAGTCCATGTGCGGACTTTGCAGCTTCCGAGTCCGTGTTTGCCAGTTGGACGCGTACCAAGAGTGTCGCCAGAAATATGTGTGGCGAAAGGAAGGAGGTGTAATATTGCTTAGCACGGCAGTGGTACGACCGCTAAAACGCAACAATTTCAAGTTCTGGCTGGCGGGACTCGCATGAGTACAAATTGACAACGTGCGAGTACATACTCGCTACCCGTAGAGCTCGAGTGTGAACCGTACGAACTCGTGACAAGGAAGCCACAATCTCTGATAGTAAGAAGCAGGGACATGTGTCGTGATATATGGAACAACTTGAAGTACGTATACAGCGGAAAGTATCGATCTACCAGCCAACTAAACTTCTCTCGGCGGCAGTACCGAAAGCGCAGACTCGGATTGGTTTTGAGGCGCCAACCTCACGTATGGCAGCTCATTGTCCTTGTCTGGGCGATACAAGGCAACAAACATCGTCTGGAAGAAATCCTAAACTCTTCGAGTGAGCAAAGACACACCACAATCAAACAAGGAAGTAAATAAATGACTTACAAGCCCAAGAACATAATCACCCCGGTCCCCTCCGTGTATCAATGACCCGTAATCCGGGTCGGATTTTTGGTACATGAACGGCATTGTAGTTCCGGTGACGGTGACTTCATTGCGGCCCTCCCCGCGAAACACGAAATCGATTTCAAAGTCGTCGTCGCGCTCAACCTCCGAGATCGTGTATTCGAATTTCTCCCGGGTAGCAGAGTCGTCATTCGGCTCGGCCAGGAAAATCTCGTCTCTGATCATCCTGGCGGCCTTCTTAGGGAATATCGATGAGCTAGCACCTGTGTGTAGCCAAACCGGAGTCATCAACCTGATCGCATATCGAGGCAAAGCCTAGATGTACTTACCTGTATCGAGAGCAAAAACAGTACCTTCGAGATTGATCGTGCCGTATGGCATACGCGATTTGCGACTGTCTTTACGATCGACCAGGTAAAATACCATCCGCAGCATCTCAATGGACCAAAATAGGAAAAGGCCGCCCGTCGGTGCTGTCGAGACTGGAATCCTGTCCGAGAACGTGACGTTCTGGCCAGGAAATTTGTTAATCGACAACCAGCTCGAGTCGATGCTATCGGACCCGGGTAGCAAGTCAATATAATGTCTTTACCAGGGGAACATAAAAGCTCAACGCACAGTCTATCCACCCAAGGAGGGCGCATTCCGAAAATGAGAATATGGCCCCCGTCGACGAAATCAGACTGGAGGCTGCCATCAGTCATGGCTGTAGTCGATAAATGCCTGTAGTTGACTTACAGAGTCGCTCAATTGCAAAGCCTGATCGGCCAGAACAGACGAGAATGCCTGCAAACATGTAAGTCAGTGATGTTCAGCTGCTTAGGGCGAACGGCATCTGACCCTTTCAGCCCCCTTACTGGGAACATTGTCTTGCGTTCTGCGATTAACATCATGATGCAGATCAGCTAATGGTCATACACCTCCAAACCAGACAGGTGAACGAACCGCATCAGTCCTAAGCCCAATGAACCATTCGTGTAGTCGCCGGCCGTGACCCTGTCAACCGCATACGCCACAGCGAACTGATAACCCTCGAACGACATAGGCACATTCCAGCGCGATCGATTCCAGTTGTAGGATCTTTTCACGGTAAAGGGACGGGGTTCGCGCAACTGCGAGATCACTGTATGTAGGGTCAGCCAGAACCAGTCAATGTAGAACTCTTCAGGCGGATAACTCACAAGCTACTCCCTTGTCATGGTAAAGGACATACGGGGGATACGGTGGAGTGAGGTCTTTCGGGGGACTTATCACGTCCCATCCATCTGGTTTTGGTATTAGCGTATGGTGCTTCCTCGGCAATGCCTTCCAATTCGACAGAGAGATCTGCGTCGGACGATTGGCAGCGTCTCTTGACTTCGAAGCCTCGGCGCAGCAATAGTCATGACCCAGAATCCAGCTGGTTGAGGTAGGCAAAACATGAGAGAGCCCGTTAGTCAAGACTCGACAACATGCAACCAGGGAAACGCACGTGATATTCGATGCTGGCAGGGAATGAACATGTGAGCATACTCGGCGTGTTCGAAGCATGATGAAGGCCCACCAGTGTCGACGTGTAGTTTGAAGCTGCTGTTCTCCACTCCGTCTGGATAACTGTCATCAAACTGAGGAATGGTCTTGTCAAGTGTCAGTACGGGATCAGCTCCTGACAGCAGAACATGGTCGCAAAACCTGGGCACATACCAGCTCGAGCATATATCCCTGTCCTAACATGACAGATACGGCATCAACAGGCAGTAATCAAACACGATACAAGCAGACGTACTTTCGACTACGAAGTCTCTGAGTTGAGCATCGAAATCAACTTCAACCAGCTCGCCTTTAGAAAAGCCACGTTGCGATACCGTAGCACGACGCTTCACTTTGTTGAGGAATTCTTTTGGAGAGTCCGGTGGCGTATCCGGAGGCTCAGAGCACTGTTGTAGGGATCTTACACATCAGCAAATGAATGCCGGCAGATGAGGAGATCTTACCTCCGAGGATGCGGACGAGGGAACGCTCGGCGCCGACGACCTCGCGGAGTCTTCTGTATCCGACTCGACGCGACCCTCAACGGCAGAGGAAGCAGGTTCTCCGGCGGTATCTGCCGACGAAGTGACCTGCGATGCATAGCCCATCATAACGAAGGGTTTGAGCGGATTGACGTCCCCATTCCAGTATACTCCGGGTGGAGAGCCCTCGGTCCATTGCAATCGCTTGCGCCTGACATCGGCGGCACGCTGGATACGCAATCTATGAGCCAGAGAGACGAATGACAGTATCTGGCTACGCACACGCTGCAAGCTGGTTGCCGGAAGAGGAGGTATGAGAAGAAAGACGAGGGGATGCTCCTGGCCGTCGTTGTCGGACGGCATGTTGGGCGCATGGTCGTTGAGAGGGGGAGTTGGTTCAGCCATGGCAGATCGGGAAGAACGTCTGACTGGAGCGTACGGCAACCGCGCATCCTTATATACGCCACCACGGGGGACGGACCTTGAATTTTGGTTTTTTAGTCGACGTGACAGAGATAAATGGGAGTGATGCGACCATCCATAGCACAACTCACCGGCGGAGGCTCCAAAAACCCTCTCGTCACCTTCCTGTTCGAGGAGATTCCAAGCAGCCATCCTGTCCATTGCCCATCCGATCGTTGCGCGGATCACTGTCAACGCCCAACAGAGGATCAGTTAAGTTCACCACGAGCACCACAAAGACATACCTGTATCGCGAGGTCGGTCGAAATGTGACACATCGACCAGGATAGAGAATGTCGGAGCGGAGCGGCAAGAACCTCCGCTCTCGGGCTCGACCCAAAGCTCCCGCAACCACGCGAGTCGCGTGCGTAAGTCCAGGTAAAGCGCACAATGGGGCACATCCTCAGCCTAGAGCCTCTAGAACAATAGGGTCGCGCTCCGAGCGGGTTCTTCGGACAAATTTCCAACAGCCCTGATGCCTAGCGATAGCCAAAGTGGGCCGCTCCGTGGGCACTGAACAGCGCGCGTGCAGAGGACCGCGGTCACCCGCTCGCATCGATAGGCATTAGCGCAGGAAGCAGGGGGCGGAAGCAGGACCCAGGTCTCCATCACGGTGTGAACCAGGTATCCAGATGGGGGCAGGGCCTCCCGAGAAGCACCCCTCTAATCCTCACCGCAGAGTGGCCCAACCGGTGCCCAGCGCGCCGGGGGTTCGACATCGATCGACTGGCTCCCCTGTATCTCCATGAAGAACAAACGCATGATGCGTATGCAGCAACAACTGCGGGCGGAGTGCAAATAGGTCCGCACAGCTCGTAGACCGTGTGCCCAGTACTCAGCCGACAGGACCTGCCCCGCCACATGCATACACAACGCAAGTATGGGAGGCAGTCAGAACATGCGCCCGCCACATACAGCATCTGTCAAACCTGAATGCGATGGGAAAGAGTAGACGAGCCGAGTACAAAGCCTGCGGACGCCACACAACGCAAACGGACTCGCAGATCCAAGGAAAGGAAGCACAGCCCGCGAAGCCAGCGGAGCACCGCGTACCTTCCCGGGCGGCCCCCAGAACACACGAGAAGCATCGTAGCCGGCCCATGATGCAACGAAACGCGCACACGACGGACAAACAACAAGGACGGTGCCCACCTCGGACGAGTACTAGCTTCAGAACCGCACACACGGTATCTTCGAGCGAATCGACGCGCGCCGCGCGGTGGACACATGTGTACGGCGCCCGTCTTCTGTCCCGGGTGTGTCCGCCCGGGCGGCCGTGCGCTGCCACGGGTGTCCTAGGATTACGGGTACCGATCGACCTTGCCCGGATCTGGGGGCAGTACGGTGCAGTCAGCGGTTCGCTCGACGCTCGACGGTGCCGTGAAAGACAGACACTTACGCGGCTCGTGTTCGTCCATGGACCCACTCCCCGCCACCGGCGGAAATAAAGTACACCCCCAAGCCATTCCCAGGATGATGAGCAGACATGGACGCCTCCAAACGCCCACGCTACGCCCGAAACGAGCAGGGCCAAAACCGTCCAAACAACCCACGCCACACCTGAGATGAGCAGAGACTACGGGGCCCTCCAAATCACAGAGGACCCCCAGGTAGATGATTATACAATCCGCGCGAGACTACAGGATATTCCGGGTCCGTGTACTAAAACGTACTGCTACTGGCGCGCAGCCCTGTACCAGGGACAGCGGCGGGGCGAGGGCGAGAGAGACTATGCACAACGTGAATGAGATGAGATGGGAGACAGATGAGGGGAGAGATGAGAGACGGCGGGCGAAATTCGGGAATTGAGATAGCAGTGCGACGGCAGAGCGATGGACAGCGAGAGGAACGGGAGCGGGGAACAACGTGTATGGAGGACGACGGTGGCGGCGGCATTAGGAACGCGAGCGCTCACCCAAGCGCATGGCCGAGCGTCACCGACCCAGACGGGATGCACGAGCGCACCCACTGCGTCAGCACCGGGTTCGGGAACGGCGGGGGCGCCGCCGCCAACACAGGCGTGAGCTCGACGTCAGGCATCACGGACTCCAGCGGCAGCACCGGACTGGGGGGCGCGAAGACCGACGGGGCGCCGAGCCCAGGGCCCGAGCACCCGGAGCCACGCAGGCACTCCAGGAAGCTCTCGTGCACCGCGCAGCCGGTCGCGCCCAAGGGCGGGTTGTGCGATATGGGGTCGTCGCTGAAGACGGGGTGCGGGACGGTGACGCCGGCGAACCCGAAGCTGACGGGGTTCGTGCTGTCGTCGTAGGATGACATGCTCGGCTGGTACGTCGTGGGCGGCGAAGGGGAGGGAGACATCGATTCGGCGTGGAGCGACGGGTCGAGCCACGACATTCCGAGGCCTGCGGCGTCCATGCTGAAGTCGGGCTGCATGGTGCTGGCGTTCACTGTAGGAGTCATCTGCGGCACCATGTCTGGTGTGAAGAAGAGCGGTTCCGGAGTCCACGGTGGCGAGGAGAGCGCACGAGACCGGACAGGCGTACCCCAATCAGCAAGGCGCTGGGGATCGGCAGGGGTTCCGCGTCCGATGAACGAGACGCCGTCTCTCGCTGATGGTGGATAAGGCTCGAGACTAGACACACGGATGGAAGACAGACGGGGAAGGCGGGGTGTGGTGGATATCGGGGACGCCGGTGTATCGAGGATGAGTACGCGTTCGTACGCCACCTCGACGACATCTTGTTCCATGTCTTCGTCGTCGCTATCCTCGTCGTCTTCATCATCGTCCTCACTTGAGCTTTCCGTTTCCATGCATGTGTTCCCATCGGCGTCAACAGAGACGTATTGGGAGGGCGCATAGAGCTCGAATTGGGTGTGGCGACTCTCGTGTGCTGTGGCGGCGGTTCCCGGAAGCTGTTCGGCGCTAAATACAGGCGCCGGCGTGGCTGCTGCGGCCGTCTTCGCATCCGCTGCGGCGGCTTCAGCATGGACGACAGCACGGAACATGTCTCGGTAGACATGTTTCCTAGCGGTATGATGTGTGTGAATAGGAAGCACGGGAGATGAGGAAGACAGACGACGCCACAGAGCGACACTCACAGGTGTTCGACACGTTCCTGGCAGACAACCTTCCAAAGGGTCGGATCCGTCGAGTCTGCCGTCCGATGTCTTCGATAGATGGGCTGGCGACAGAGTGGGGTGAACACAGGGCCATGAGGGTCTTCGTAAGATGCCTCTAGCTCCGGATCTGCCGGCACAGGCTCCGGTCGACGGGCGGTGGCGACGGGATAAACTTCAGTGGGCGCGGGATATGGCCTGTTTTCCTGACCACGGTGGACGCAAGACGGCGGCGAGATCTTCTCCGTGGCAGCGTCGGGGACGTCAATGCCTGGCTGGGAGACGAGAAGCCGCTGGCGCTTCGCATATCGAAGCTGCCGTGGCGTCTGCTCTTCCTCGTCTGAATGGGCTTCGGCGACGACAAGCTTGTATCGCGGGAGATCGCGCTCATCAGAGGTGGCAGGGAGCCGTTTGCGCTTCGTGCCTGCTCGGACGGGCACAGCCGCAGCCGAAAGGCTCTTTGCGCGGTGTCGTGAGGACGGGACGCTCACACGACTGCGGGGCTTGTACGACTCGCGCCGAAGGGGCGTTCGAAGCGTGGAAGCTTTGACGAGTACGGTAGAGACTTGGACGAGAGAGACAGGGATGCCGTTACGGCTGCTCACGGGGGTGGGTAAGCGGGGACGATGGGAGATGCGGGGCGAGCGCCGGAGAGCCTCGACGGGCGGGGGAGGCACAACGAGCGCCATGCTGGAATGGTGTGGCTAGCGAACGACGCTGCGCAGGGTGGAAAGTGATATATTGATGTGTTCTGAACACTCGCTGGCGTCGAGCGTTGCGGCGTGGTCGCTCTGCGGGGCTGGTGGCGACGGTAGCTAGGAACATGGAGGCGGTGAGAAAGGCTGGGACAGGGCGGGAGAACAGAAGAAGGTTACGTTTGTGGGCTGGCCTGATTGGGAGGCGGGCGGGGAGGAAGACAGGCTGGGCGTTGTGGGTCGGAAGCGGACGAAATGGAGGTGCGAATGGGAGATCGGGGTCGGATATCGATGATGCTCGCGCCGACAATGGGGAAAGAGTCAGGAGTTCAAAATTGCCATGTCAATCACAGAGCCACACGCCACGTACCCCCTGCTCACGTAAGCACTGCCGAGATGCCGCCGCCTCCCCTAAACACTTCCTCCCTCGGCGTCTGCCGTGCGCATACGCCGTATGCGTGTTGTTTACCAGCGTACGAGTCTTTGCTCGAGGATTGTAGAAAACCCCGCTGGAGGGACAACTGGAGAGACGACCCCGGCTGCTGAGAACGCAAGGCACAGATGCGACGGCGACGGCAGATCATCTGGGCCTGCGCCCCGGCAATGCCACATCGCGAGCATCCGGTTCAACACTTCTCAGTAAGGCAATCGCTGTAATATATCCTCCTCTTCCTTCCCGATCTATCGGCCATATATTTCGCTCTCGTTTTGGCACACGACCTCGTGAGACCACACCATATTCGTGCCCATGAGCACGACATGGTATTGAGCAATTCAAAGGTTAGTGCTATTGCTCTCCAAGATTGTCCGCGCTCGCAGAGCTGATCGCTGCCGAAGTGGTTAGATGCTCTCCTTTGATCGGACCGCTCACTCGGAACCCTACTCAACGCCGGCAATACGTTAAAATTGTCGCCCAATCCATAAGACTCCATAGGGCGATCACCATATTCGAGATGCATCAGTGCCGGTCGCCCGCAGTCTCCTATATAAACCAACTATCGGGCATCGGGGCCCCTCCGCAATCCGCCTGGACATCGCTGTGCATGGCGAGAGATGCGGTACGTTCCGTTCATGTGCGGACGACATAGAAGGTTGGCGCGGCCTACCTCCGCTGACGCCCATATGGCCTTCCTCTGACAGAACGCTATGTGTATCTGGATGTTCGCATGGAACAGATCTCGCTTCTGCGACAGGCCGGCGCGTTCGCTCACGGCATTCCTAGTAAGCTCATCCTCAATTCCAGGCCGTCGCCTTCTTCCGCGGGATATCTCAGTGCGAACACATGACAAGTCCTGCTGCGATTCCGTTGGTACCTGTTTGCTTTTCACTTCGCTTACGGCGGCTAACTTTCATCAAGCACCTCTGCTCAGTGTTCAGTGCTCGTCGCCTAACGCGTTAACGGCTACCGCCGCTCCGTTTTCATTTCGCGCGCACACAGCCTTACGATGCACGGTCTCAAGGTAGGTGATTAAGAGATTTCCCTCGTCCTCCCTGACACCTCTTACATAACATTTCGTACTTCCAGGGCTAGGTACTTCTTCCGCTGGTCCCGGTATTCGCGCGCGGTCTCCCTACCATTGCCCTTCGAAAGTCAGGCCGTTTTGCTAGGCGCTATGCTGCTTCGCTCGTATATCTCTGCTCTTGACAACCGGAACTTGGCTCGCAAGCTCGAATCCTTTCTGCGTTCGGCCATCCGTCCAAGTGCAGCTTCGTGCGCACTTTCCGCTGCTGCCACACGCCCAGCCAAACCCGCAAACTCACTCTACCGGTCCTGCACCCGTCACTGTGGTTCTCAACGGCGAGGCGAGCTCCTACAACGCCGACGTCCTCAGTCTCTTGCTGGGGCTGCAGAGGGGCCTGTTCCACCGGGGCGTGTGCACGACGCATCTGTTCGTCAGTGGTCGTGATCCCACCTCGGGCGGTCTGTGTCCTGTCGTGGTCGGCGCACGGGCCCGACGCAGCTATCATCTACATTGGCCGCCGACGGATCACGATGTCAAGTAGCTAGCAGAGCAATAGGACGTCCCCTACCTTGTGGGTGGTGGAACTTGCGGTAATAGTAGTCTCGGCTTATACTACATATGACTGGAAATGCCCGATGTTCATCGAAGTGGTGTTTTGCATTTCGGAGTTCTAATTACGCACTAAGCAGTAGCGAGGCGTCGGCGGGCGCTAACAAGATGCGCGGCCTACCTCCCATCCTTATCCTATACGTACCAATACGATGTCGACGTTGAACGGCCTCCTTTCGCTCGATCAAGACGTTCTGATGCTCATATTTGAGCTGGCATACATCCAAAGATGTCTTGGTACACTATCTTCAACGTGTCGCTGGATCCGTCAATCATCAATGCCTGTTCTTTTCGCCCGGATCTGCATTGCGCCGAATGCTCTGACCCCGCAGACTTTCATCGCAAGCACCGTCAGACCGCATGTGCAGTACGTTTCTTCCTGGAAACACATGCATACGACCAACTGACCTTCAGGTAGAAATCTTGCGCTTGTCGACGATGGCTGGCCCTACTCCAAAGACTACAAAGCATTATTGCATCGGCCCCTTCACGAAAATCTCAGCCACAAATTCCTTTTGACCGCCTTGCGTGGGATGGAACGGCTGCGAAACGTTGTCATAAATTTCAGCCATGAAGACGCCCTGCCATTCTGGGTCCTCGACGCCATTCTGTCCATGCCTCAGCTCGATTCTGTCCGATTCGGTAGATCAATCTGTCTCCCGGGGGAGCAAGACCTCAGCATTACCAAGCGTCTACGTCTGACTGGTCCCGCCGCTCCTCTCACTTCCTTCCGTAGACCTCTTCCAAGCCATGCGGAGTGTCTACGGATATCGGCCGAGGCGGATTTCCTACACTGTCTATTCAAACAGCTGCACCGCACGCTCCAAGTCGTCGAGATTCCAAGTCACACCGCGCCACTGTGAGCATTTCGGAGCAATGATTGGATATACCTCCGCGAGCTCGTTCTACGTGGGGGGCCGCGACGCTCGTCTTGCGCCTTCATGGCCGAGAACCTGACGCGAATGCCGAACCTGAGAATCCTCAAGCTCGAACTGGCGCAATCCGAACGAACAGGCCCTCAGTACATATTCCCTCCCGGCTGGGCAGGCGGATGTCCGTGGCCAAAGCTGGAGGTCCTGTTGGTCGCCAATCCGCACCCAGACGACGAGCTGTACGACCACTTGCCATCTAGCCTCGAGGAGCTCACCCTGCGATGCTTCCCCCGGTACTACACCGTGAACGGCCCGAAGACTCACGACGTCCATAACATGGAGAGGAATCATTGGGCCGTGTCCCCGCTCACATCTACCGAGATGCTGCGTCTCCTGCGGCGATGCGGCGGCTCACTTGTCCGTCTCCGGTACCTCGACATGGAGTTCGTAGCGTCTTCCGAAGACGCTCCGCTCCTGCGTTACGTTGCAGCCGCATTCCCATCATTGACGTTTCTCCAATTTTGTCGCTATCATACGGACACGGAGCGTAATGATGCGGCGTCTTGGGTAAGCACGCCTAACCCTGTAGGCATACCTGCTCATGACGTGTACGACAGGCCGCTCTTGGAAATGCCCTCATCCCCTTGACCAATCTGCGACTGCTCCGGGTCCATCTCGATATGAAATCGTACACGAACTGGGAGGAGAAGGTTAGAGGAGCAATCCTCGCACTCGCACAACCCCTCAGTCCCACCGTTCGGTATGTATGCTGGCTACTACAGTGGGGAGGATTCAACGACTGGGAACCGTATCGCGCTATCCGCGATCCCACTACTAAGGAAGTCATCGACGTCGAGTGCGCAGGCAAGTATAAACACCTTGATGGATACCCGTACGTACCGCTGTCGGTACTCTGAGCTTCCTTTTCTGATCCACAAGTTCAAGCATGTCTGAGGCATGCAGTTACACACGCAAAGTTCGACGAACGGCGATCGAGCTGGACACCGATTGACTCCGATGGGACGGTTGAAAGACTGCGCGTTTTCAGGAGAATCGGATAGTATAGTGTGTATGCTACGCTAGAGCCACGGCTACAAGCAGACACCATCGACGGGACGCAGAGGCTCGACTTCAACATCGTTCTAAGCACCTGCAAAGCCTACCTTTCGTTCCCAGTGGTAGTGATTGCCACCTGCGAAATTGGGAGATGTACCGCGACTCCCGCCGGTCCACGTCTCCTCATTCAGACGACGTCGCGCTCTGCATCCCACCCCAGTCCGCGCGACGGAGGTACTGCGTGCGGGGCCGGATGGATCAGCGGGAGCTCGTGGCCGAACGCGTCGGCCATACCCAGCTCCATCAGGATGCTAGAGCGTAGTGAGTGCGTTTTGAGGACGGTGCGCAGGGCGGACTCAGGCTCACTGCATCTGCCGGAAGTAGAAGAGACGTCGCAATTGAGCGTCGGGCCTTTGAACGTGTGATCGCGCACTTTGGATGCAAGAGGCGCACTTGATGGTAGATGATGACGTCAAGCCGTGTCAACGTCGCTCACGCATATGGGGAAGCCGTCAGACGGTCGCCTGAAAGGTTCTGAACGTCAACGCCGCCGCCCACCACCAATGCGGACCAAAGGGATCATCCCGTCCGATGTCCTGAAAGTTGTTAGCTGGAGTAATGCGAATCGTCAACATGACAGCGATACGTACTGGTATCCGTCGATGGACTCATAGTCTTGAAGAGGCTCGACCCCAACTATGTTGCCGGTCGCGGGCTCACGAATCGCACGATGCGGAATCCAATCAATGCACCACCCCCATCGCACTAGCTGGCATACAAACCGGACGGAGGGGCTGAGGGGTCGCCAGAGGCTGGTGATAGCTTCCGTGGCTATCGCGGAGTCGTTCTCAGCCAGATTCAAGTCGAGATGGACCCGAAGCAGCCGCAGATTAGTCATGGGGCTGAGGGCATCTCCAAGGGCAGCCTATTGTATATTCCGTCAGTAGAGTGACCTGCAGGACTTGTCCGTGCTTACCCAGGGAGCTGCAATGTGCTTTGAGCCCTTGCAGTAACGCAAGAATTGGAGGAACCTAACTGACGGAAATGCGGCTGCGATGCGGCTCAGGAGCGCCGTGTCTTCCGAGGATGTCGCGAATTCGATATCGAGGTGTCGGAGACAAACAAGAGTGCCGCATCGGCGAAAGATACGTAGCAGTTCGTGAGACGTAAGCAAGTACGAATCCCAGCGTTGGTGTTCCGCGATCGCGGCCTCCTGAGTCTTCGGGGCGTCCAACGCAAAGTGTCGGGGGTAACATCGGATTGTTAGCTCTTGGAGGCCGCCTGGCAAGTGCGCGAATAGTTCATCGTCCGGGTGCGCACTGGCCACCGTAAGGACTTCCAGGTTCGGCCATGGGCAGCCGCCCGCCCATCCAGGGGGACATATGGGCTGAGGACCCGCTCCACAGTGCTGCGCCAGCTCGAGCTTGAGGATGCGCAGGTTCGGCATCTGCATCAAGTTTTCGATCATGAACACGCGGGATGGACGTCGCGGTCCTCCGCGTAGAACAAGCTCGCGAAGGTGTGACCAGTCGTTCTTCCTAAACGCTCTCAGTGGTGCAGTCTCGCTGGGCATCTCTGCGACCTGGAGCGTAGCGTGGAGTTGCTTGAAGAGATCGTAGAGCAGAGCCACCTCTGCCGGCTCCCGTGAGTACATCTTGTAGCTTGGAAGAGCTCTTCGGAAAGAGACAAGAGGAGGGACAGGGCCGGTGAGCCGTATATGCTGGGGAGTGCTGAGATCTTCTCGCATCGAAAGGCACATAGATGGTCCAAATTCGACGGAACGCAGTTGAGGAGTTGAGAAGATAGCGTCCAGGACCCAGAACGGCAGGCCAGATGAAGTAACGGCGTCGCGATCGACTACGACAGTCTGCAGTCGTATCATTTCACGTAAGGCACCTAGGAAGAACTGGTGCTTGGCGTCGTCTTCAAGCGCGCCACAAAAGTGGGTCCTCCGTAGGTCGAGGTGGGGCTGGCGATCACGGTTGATGAGCGCGAGAGTTCTGTCGACGCGTCAGTGAGCTGCATTGAAACTTTAGGATCCAACACAGACCGAATATATGGTCTGACGGTGCTCAGGGGGAAGCGTTGCGGGGTAAGGGCCCGCGGCCAGAGGCAGATCCGCGCGAAGAGAACGGGGAGAGATAGTTGGCGGATCCAGCGACATGTCATGGAGAGTGGCTGCAGACATCCCTTAGCATAGGCAGACTCGAATATGAGCAGGAGAATATCAGGATCAAGCGACAGGAGGCTGTTTGACGATAACATGTCCCGGGTAAGGAGGAGAGCGGTGCAGCAAGTTCCGGACTCGACGCAAGTAACCCACTGCAAGCGCTTCATCGTCGTAGGCTGATCAGCTGTATTGGAACTCCGATTCAGTGATCTTAGCACTCCGACGCCTCCCAGTGCTCCACCCCATTCACCGCATCATGATCCCTTCAAGCGGATGAATATGCAACATGCACATGTTCGGATAATTGACTCGCGCACCCGACTTGTGAGATAAATAAACACGTAAACGACGTCCACTAGTACTCACTTGTCTCTCCATATTTCTGGTCTACAGAGAATCTAAGTTACGTACTGCCGCAATGCTATCCACGCGCATCGAGAGCGAAATAGTATGTATACGCGTAGAAGTCCATCTCTCAAGCACAAATCGCAACTACATAGTTGAGAGTACGATCCATTTGGAGGAATCGATGATCGCGTACTCCTTGGCGAACAGCAGCGACGGCTGACCGCAGAATTGGGAGACGTACGGCGACTCCTCCCGCCGGTCCACTTCGCCCCATCCATAGACGACGCCGCGCTCTGCAGCTGCAGCCGAGCCCAGTCCGCACGACGGGGGCACTACGTGCGGGACGGGATGGGTCAACGGACGTTCGTGGCCGAATGTGTCGACTCTACGTCCTAGCTCCACGAGAAAGCTGGGGCGGAGGAGAACGCATTGGGAGACATACTTAGTCGGAAGCCGCGAGGCGACCCCAAGTGAGTACTTCTTGTTGACGAAGTCGCATGCGGAAGCCGGGTCTACATAAGCTTGTTTTGGGCGGTGCGTGTCTTGAGCCACAGCCCCACTGCGAGGAGCCGCTCTCCTTGTTGTAATAGTCTAACACTGTCAGACTGCAACTCTTCCTTTGTCGCAGCCCTGCTTTCAGTCAACGTCGGTGTCGGGGTATGGGCACCATCTCGTCGTAGGTGCTGGAACGGATGAGTTAGAGTGAGCAAAGATACTACAACGATAAGAAGACGTACGGGTAGCCGTCAATTCGCACATACTGGCGTGCCACGTCCTCGATTCCGACCATTTTGCCGGTGCTAGGATCGCGGATCACGCGATGTGCACGCCAATTGTTGAAACCGCACGAGCGCACGAGATAGCATACAAAACGAACTGTCGTACTGAGGGGTGATGCTAGCGCGGAAATCGCTTCTGTGGCTTCTTTTTTGTCGTTCGTGCGTTCCAGGTCGAGATGAACCCGAAGAAGTCGTAAGTGCGACAGCGGTGCAAGGGCGATCCCGAAGTCGAGCTGTCGAGCATGCTATCAGCGAAGAATAATGGGACTTCCTCCATAATACTCACCCAAGACGTACGAGCACGGTTATCTGGGCTCTTGTGATACCGATGGAACTGAAGGAACGCGAGTGTCGGGAATGTGGCTGCGATGTGGCGTAGTAGCTGCAGATCCTCCCCAGACTCCTCGAACTCGATATCGAGATGGCGAAGGCGGTCGAGCAACGTACCGCAGCGACGCAGGATCTGCAGCATGTCGGCGGACGTAGGGAGTGACGGTTCCCACCCGAAGTGACCCATGAACGCGCCCTCTCTATCCGGCTCGGCGGCCACGTAGTGACGAGGGAAGCACCGGATGGTAAGCTCCTGGAGACTATCCGGCAAGTGCTCATACAGCTCGTCGTCCGGGTGCGGGTTCGATACCGTCAGCACCTCCAGGTTCGGCCACGGACATCCACCCGTCCAGCCGGGAGGACATATTCGCTGAAGGCCTGCCCCGGAGCGTTGCCCCAGCTCGAGTTTGAGGATACGGAGGTTCGGCATCCGTGTCAGGCTCTCGACCAAGTATGCACGGGAGGAGCGGCGTGGGCCTCCACGCAGGACAAGCTCGCGCAGGCATGGCCAGTCGTGGTTCCGGAACGCTCTCAACGGGGCGGTGTCGCTGGGCATTTCTGCAACCTGGAGTGTGGCGTGGACATGTTTGAAAAGGCATGAGACAAAGTCCGCTTCGGCCGGTTCGCGCGAGCACGGCCGGTAGCTCGGGAGGGATCGACGGAATACGGTGAGAGAAGAAACAGCGGCGGATAGTCGTAGGCGCTTAGGTAATGTGGGGTCTTGTTCTGCCGGGAGACACATTGACGGACCACACTGAATGGAAGAGAGCTGAGGAGCAGAGAGGATAGCGTCGAGGATGTAGAACGGGAGACCATTGCCGAGTTCCATGTCCACGACGAGGTTTTGAAGCCGTGTCATTTCACGCATAGCATCGAGCAGGAATTGATAATCGAGGTTGTCGCGTGCGCGATGGTGTGCCACAGGCTGATGGTGCCCCTTGTATTGAGTGGGCATGAAGTAGCGCCTGGCCACAAACTCGATTGTTCTATATCATGATCAGTGGCTGGAGGTACGATACTTTGTAGAAGCATACACACCGGACATGCGGTCTGATACTTCTGAGAATAAAGCTCCGCGGAGTGATATCGCTTGGCCGCAGAGAAATCCTTGCGTAAAGGATGGGCATGGCGAGTGCACGGATCCAACGACACGTAGCAGATAGCATTCTCAAGGATCCTTGAGCACGGGCGAACTCGAGTATGAGACTTAAGACATCGGCATCGAGCTCAAGTATAGTCTTCGAAGTCGCCATCGTGCTGGTATGAAGCAAAGACGGGAATTGAGGAGGCCCGTTCGTCCTCGGCTGCGTCGCTAAGCTGCCGTAAGCCCGGACCGTGAGCCAGCGCTCACCGCGCCGGGCCATCCGCGTATCCGTGGCAAATTCGTCCTGCACCGGCTCTTGCTCATTCTTGTTGCACCTCACTAGTCGCTGCTCATTCTCAGACTCCAATGTGCAACGAGCAACCGTTCTGTGTTATCTTGTGGCGACGTCACACGGTAGACTTGGCGGATGCAACGCTCTGCGGAGCCGTTTGTAGGTACTATTTTCACCCCATGGACACCTCCGAAGGGGCGTATCACGTCAGTGGCATCGCCATCTCTGTGTTCGTCCGCTGCCTCCTTCTGACTTATTTATCAACTACAGATAAAGTGAGTAACATGATTTTTTCTACATCGCAGAAGAACATTATGCAACCGTGGGCAAAACCGGATCCGCCCGATTCTCCCTGGATGCGGCGTCTTCGCAGGAGGCATCCGAAGAACCAGACCGCCAGTGACAAGTCGTATAGGCGGTCCATGGGTCGAACCCGTTATGTGTATGAGCTTATAGCGATGGATTTGATGTTCGCCGGCTAGCTTCTCAGCGCTACCGGATCAACACTATCCTCCTGCCTCCGGTGAGTCGCAACCAATTCGCAAGGTACCTCGACCGGCTTGCCACATTCCTGCACACCGCGCGCCACATAGCGGAGAGCCGCGTTGCCTCCCCTTGGCATGAATTCTATCACGACGCGATGTCCTGCACAGATGGGCTTGTAGCGGAAGTCGGCGCCCCTATGTCTATGTGCCCCGAGATAAACGGGTCAGTCCGGTAAGCATGTGCGGCTGGCTGGGAGCTTACACCTTAACAACACCGCTGCAGGCACCAAGCATGATGTGCTGAAGCCGCCATGTACACCACCCTGCACCCTCATTGCAGGCTTGTCCGATTGAGAGGGAAGCATGTACGTTCCCCTCCAAAATGTTTGTATCTGGACTACGCTGACGCCTTCGTGTTCAACGCTCAGCTTGAACCGTCTCGCCAGAGCCGCGCTCGGGCTGCCACGATGACCGGCGCGCGGGGCCTGTGGACCAGCCGTAGGTCTTCTTGCTGGGACCGGCCACGAAATCCTGTGTAGCATCGCGCGGATTGTATAATTCACTTTGAGGGATCCTTGCGGCTAGGACGACCCCGCCATTTCTGCTTATCAGCTCACGCTGTGAATGGGTTGTTCTGAGCGATGTTCTGAGGGCGACGCTTTTGTTCATCTTCGGTGTGAAATTGGGGGTTTCGTCCTCAATTATTTCTCTATGACAGGGACTAGACGGGGACCGCGATGACCGCGTACGTATCTCTCACAGAGGCGTCGAGCGAAGCGCTGACTAGACCCTACCGCCCCCAGATGAGCAACTAGTGGATGGGTACCCGTAAACCTAGGACCCCGGGCCGTAGCAACATACGGCCGACCGGACGGACACATCCGGAACAGAAGACAGGCGGCATACACATGTGCCTACCGCACGGCGCACGTCGATTCGCGCAACATACGGTTCTGAGGCTAGAACCTGCTCGTCAGAGGACCGAGGTGGGCACCGTCCTTATTGTCCCTATTGTTTGTGTGCCGTGCGCGCGTTACATGCGGCGTGTCGTCGTGCTGTGGGTCGGCTTCGATGCGTCGTGGTTGCTGCGTGTCTTTGTAGGGAGCCCTAAGAACACACGTGGTACCTCGTCGGCTTCGCGGGTTGTGCTTCCTTCCGTTGAATCTGCGAGGCCGTACGCGCTACATGGTGCCCGAAGGTTCTGTACTCGGGTCATCTACTCCTCGCTCTTTATGTCTACGATCTGCGACAGCTGGCCAGATCTCGATCTCCATGAAGGTTCATCAATTTCCATGTCTCGCGTTCGTCAGGTTCGCTGAGGGGCAGCTTTCTAATCCGTTCATTATGGATTACAATGGGCTTATCGGAGCTCTGTCAGTGAGTGTTGTTAGATACTCACCCTGGTGTTCTGCGCGGCGCTGCATGGGAGCTTAGAGTTCATCCTCAACCCCGGACTATCGGGGCCCGAGCGGTGAGGTGCTTCTTGGACCATCATGTCCACATCTGTCTAGTTGGATCCCACCACGCCCGGGGTACGATAATAGTCATCTGCTCAGATGAGCACCGCATGCTTCTCGACGCGCGCACCGCTCTTGTTATCCACCAGCATCAGCTTCCCACAGACGATATGGCGAAGCATCGATGCGTCCTCCAGACAATCTCTTTATTGTTTCATGTTCTCGGTGGAGGACATGTGTTCCTACATGCTTCTGTCTGCCTCCCGCGTTCACTGGTCGGGACAACACCTCGGAGGTTCTCGTTTCTTCGAGCGCACGCAGTATTCAATCATACTTGTTGTGTCCGCAGGTGCCAGCGCAACGGCGGTATTGTCATCATATCCAGACTCATGGTCGTGACCGGCAGTGACAGAGGAGCCAGCCCCCGCTGGTGAGTCGTGCTACGCGTCCTTCTGTCACTCTGCATTACTGTATCTGCGTGCGAGTCACGTCGATGGACCGATGATATTTGAATTCCAATTCCAAGGTGCAGTATATAAGGAGGCGCGGCCGCCGTACACTCTCATTAATCTTTCCTTTCAATCCGCCATGGCTGAACCCACTCCTACATCAAACAATAAGACTGCCAATCCGTCAGACCGCAACCCCACGTTGCAAGACCCCTCCGACAGCACTAACGGAGAAGGGGGCTACGTTATCCTGCTTCTACCCCCGTTCCACGCGAGCAACATTCAACGTGTATGTCGCATGGTCTACGAATAGTTGTCGTCGGCCCTTGTCGCTGACAATCATCTACCCAGCGCGCAGCCGATGTCATGCGCAGAAGACTGCAGTGGTCCGAGGGCTCTCCTCCAGGAATATACTGGAACGGGGACGACAACCCGTACCAACCATTCTTGTTGAAGGATGTTCAAGAGGATGACGCGCGAGACAACACTGCGGGTTCTTCTGGAGTTCAAGATCCTGCGGTCACCAGCATCACCACGCAAGGCTTCGAGTCGACCTTGGATGATTCTTCAGATTCGGGGTCATCAGCGCCTGCTAGCCCACTCACGCCAACATCGTCCGACGTAAGGCCCCCTTCTCTCATCCCTCTATACTACACATCTCTGATATGCCACAATCACGATAGTTATCCACACCTCCTGAGACCCCATTCAAGACGTCGAGGTTCTCTGGTACAACCAGACGTCGCGGTACCGGTGCATCTCAGGATGACTCGGATGACGAAGTGCAAGGCCAGCTAATCGAGCTTGGCGCAGAGAATATACATGTGGTGAGAAGTACGTCTATTGTTTTATCAATTCCGATTTGCGCAAGCTGACACCATATCTGACGTCAGGACAGTTTTACATGATGAAGCTGGTATGTGTATGGTCCCTCCAAAGCGCACGCAGTCCACCTCGCATCGATATCTATTGACTTTGTGTAAGGTGATCCTACAGTTCGAAAGCGACGGAAAATGCAAGGAGACCGTGCTTAAGATGAATATCGACACTGGTAAGTCACGGTCGTTGTACGGTGTCTCCTTCCCGCTGGCGTGGCTGCTCACTGCTGCGTTGTTTGACAGGATCGAACGATACGTGAGGCTCGCCCATCACTACATACTACGTTTCGATATGTTCACTAATTTCTTTTCTTGGCATGCTCGCCGCTCCAGCTGGATCTTGGGCGAGGACCATTGTCAGATCGAGATTCTTGAAAAGCGTCGAAGATCCGGTCTCCCAAGCAAGATCCGTCTGCGCAAATGGCCGCTAAACAATCAGCCGTCGCGGCATCATACTTTGAAGCCTAATCCCTTTGCGCGCAATCCCGGAGATCTTGGTGAAATCCTACAAGAGCCAGGTCTACCGCCGAGGATTGCGTACAGCGACAAGTCTTTAGTCTGTGAGTTAATCCGACACCCTGTCAAGTTATTTTCGCGGTTTGAACTGATAGCGAAAAGTGATCGAACAGCTCACTGAGCCGCTCACATTCAGGGTGAAAAACTTCTATAACTGGAATTCATCTCTGCGGCGGAATGCGCCCCATACTTTTGGCTATCGGTTTGCGGTCGCGTACGCCGTAAATGACCAGATCATGCGCGATCCAGCCGACGGCATAGTAGGGCTTGGGCCACTACGGTACGATCAAATATTTGCCACTGGATGCATTTTCTATCAGTCGTCTGATGTTCCGCGTTCACTACAGCCGACAGCAGGCTTTTGAGCCCACTGCGGCTGAGAAGGTCGGCCAAATCTGGCTCCAAATTGGGCCCGAGCATTGCTGAGATTTCCGGGTCCGTTACAGGACTTCTCGAGCGTGTTGACAGAGCAATGCGTGGCGTTGGAGGGTGAAACTGAGGATGACACTGTCAGTAATTTTCAAATTATTCCGCTGACTGTAGTCCTTCCTGACGACAATCATATTTTCAGTACAACGGCGGCCATGTCCACTGTTTTGCGTTGCGCCCGGCGTGGGTTGACAAAAGGTGCGGCAATGCGTCTGAAACACATGAGACCCATGATCATAACGGTGTGGTCTCTGCAGGATCGACCCTAGCTGGTGGTCGATCAATAAGGTTCCTGGCGACATAGATTTCTCAGAGAAGATCCCGGTCCGAGAACGGCCGTCCCGCCGGAAGGAATCCCCTGGTATCCGGGACTGGGCTGTTGACATGCTGTCGATGGAGTTCTACCAACTTGTTTTGCAACGCGACGATGCAGGTGTCCCGCAGCGGCGTCGTGTGTTGCTAGGTCGGGTCGACTTCACCGAGCGTGAAGAAGGCGAATTGGGAACCGGGGGCACAGGCGTCCTCTTTATTCTCGACACCGGTGAGCACCCCGCAGTTAACCTCGAGTTAGGTACATGTTAATCTTTGATGTTTGATTTACTGAAACTAGGTGCGAGCACGACCGACTTGCCCCCTGTAGCTTTTGAGCATATACAGAAGAATATCTTCCCCGCCGCGAATGTCGGACGCACGAAGTCCTCGTTGAGGATACCCCCAGCTTATTGCAGCGATGATTCGGTTGTGGTTGATTTCGTATTCCGGGGGGAGAACGACGCTCCGGTCACGGTCACCGGACCCGGGATGCCATTCCTATGCCAGGGCCCGGACGGCAAAGGCTTACTATTCCCGTATAGGGGCTTGGGTGGATATGTCCTTGGTGTCGTAAGTTCTTACCTTTGCATACCACAAAATGCTCTAATCCTGTTCGTCTAGAACTTTTTCCATACGATGTTTGTGGCAATGCACAGGCCAGGGAACTCCCTCCTTCACGGGCCGTACGTTAGGTTGGCACCTCAATGGCCTCAAGAGAGGTACCGTCTTCGGCTCCCCCCTAGAGAGCATGACCAGAACAGCGACGGCGAAGATACGCAGATGGAGGCGACGGAGGGAGTCGAACCGATGGAAGTAGACGGGGAGCCGATGTAGGTCATGGAGGGGGAGTCGTGATAGAGGCTTGAATTGTTACGCAAACACCTTGTCCCGTCAGAATAGTATCTGAGTTTCCTGTCTCCACAATCAGATTACATCCACGACGTAGCATGACAAGTGAGCAACATAGGGACATTGGATACTCCCAAGGTACAATTGTACTGAAAGCGATGAGAAGCTACATGTGATATATTAGCTCGACTGCCGATGACAATTTCTATTGCCCAATTTCTTGCTAACGAATCCGAGGCTCTCATAAACAAGCTAATCATCGAGCGTGTTGATGCTATAGTGCGAAGATCTGTCTCGATCCAATAAAATACACTCCGTTTAACCTTCACCCACATGCTAACGTCTTCGACGATAGAGTACGGGACTACATGCGTCAAAGGTGCTAGGAATCATGAGCCACATGGAATAGCCGCATCACGGAAACGAGCAGATGACGTACCTGTACCCATCGATGCGCTCATACTGCGATGCATACTGGACTCGAAATGCTTCACCACTTGCGCAGTTGCGAACGATACGATACGGCGCCCATTCGATGAACCCTTCTTGTATGATCATCGGACATATGAATTGGACGGTGGGGCTGAGAGGCCGCGAAAGTGCGGTAAGCGCCTCTTCGAATGTTGGCGTGCCGTCGACGTCTTCTTTCAGGTCCAGATCGAATCGAAGTAGACGCAGCTTTGTCAACGGTGCGAGAGCGTCCCCCAGAGCAGTCTGTTGTGCGTGTCATTAGCGCGTACAGCCACGAGAAGCGAACATGTTTACCCAAGAAGCCACATCTTGCGCCGTATCCGTACAATAGCGAAGAATTTGGAGAAACGCCAGTGACGGAAACGCAGCCGCGATGTGGCGGAAGAGCCCAGTATCTTCCGAGGATGCAGCGAGCTCAACCTCGAGGTGCCGGAGGCGAGTAAGCGAGACGCCGCATCGGCGCAGGACGCGGAGCATCTCGGAGGACGTAAGCAGAGACGATCCCCAACGATTCATCTCCATAACGTCAAACTCCTCGGTCTCTGGGCACTCCAGAACATAGTGTCGAGGGTAACAACGGATTGAAAGCTCCTGGAGGCTGTCCGGCAAATTTGCGTACAGCTCGTCATCCGGGTGCGGGTTCGAAACCATCAGGACCTCCAGGTTCGGCCACGGACAGCCACCCGTCCAGCCAGGAGGGATGATGGGCTGTGGCCCCGCTTCGGAAGAGTAGGCGAGCTCGAGCTTGAGGACACGCAAGTTTGGCATCCGCGTCAAGTGCTCAAGCATGAACGCACGGGCGGAGCGTCGCGGCCCCCCGCGCAGGACAAGCTCACGTAGACATGGCCAGTCCCTCCTCCGGAACGCTCGCAGCGGCGCGGTCTCGATCGGCATCTCCACGACCTCGATAGTGCGATGTATCTGCTTGAACAGGTAGAAGAGAAAATCCGCCTCCTCCGGCTTCTGTGAGTACGGGGCGCCGCTTCGGAGCGGTCTGCGGAAGGATTTCAAAGAGGCGACAGGACCGGTGAGTCGAAGGTGTTTTGGAACACTGCAGTCATCTTCCAAATGGAGGCATATCGATGGTCCGAACTGGACAGAACGGACCTGTGGCGTAGAGAAGATGGCGTCGAGGACCCAGAACGGCAAGCCGGCGCTTGGACCAGTGTCTACGACGACACTGCGCAATCGTTTCATTCCACGCAAGGCATCCAGGAAAAACTGGTGGTTGGGGTTTTTGCGAAAGGCGCGACGAGATGGGGATTTATATATTTTCTGTGCATCGCGTTCAGAGTCGGAGTCGTAGTCATGATCGTGGAGGAACCTCAGGGTCCTAAGTTCTGGTCAGCGGATGGAAGTGGAATGTCGTCGATGCGTGCGCACCGAACATATGGCCTGAGGTTGTCGAGAATGAAGCTCTTCGGGGTGATAACACTTGGCCGGAGACGGATTTGCGCAAAGAGAACGGGCATAGACAGTTGGCGGATCCGGCGACACGTGGCAGAGAGAGCACGCAGACAGTATTGAGTACAGACAAGCTCGAAGATGAGAAGCAGAACATCGTGATTGAGCGATAGCAAACCCTTGGAGGTCAACATCGTGGTGGTAGGTGGCAGAAAGCGGTATGTTCCACACTTGCGGAGCGGTGCGTAGTTCCGTGTGAGCGCTCAGCGCTTGACGCTTAACGCCCACCGGCACCTCTTCAGCGTTGTAAGCTCGCGACCCCTCCGTTCGCTTTGTATGCCGCCCATCGTGGTAGCTAGTGGCGGATGTATTGCCTACAACTCAGGACTGTCACTACCTTCGGTGTATCGTAATTTTCTTTTAGCTGATAACCATTGAATATAGGTAAGGTACATCATAACTATAGCACCGCCGTCGACAACATTCGCATGGCCCATCTCAGCATCTACTAAGTACCTACGGACACCCCGCTCTCGGGCGCGGGCGAGCCCGCCTGTCCGATGACGACGATCGCGCGCTTGGAGGCCTCGCTGATGACCGCGCGCTCCTCAGCGAACAGCAGCGACGGCCGCCCGCGGAAGTGGGTGATGTACCGCGGCTCCCGCCGGTCCACGTCGGCCCACCCGCCGACGACGCCGCGCTCTGCTGCCCAGCCGAGCCCGCGCGATGGGGGCACGGCGTGCAGAACGGGATGGATGAGCGGGCGCGCGTGGCCGAATGTGTCCGCCCTGCCCAGCTCCATGAGGATGCTAGGGCGAAGTAAGTGTGGTGAGTGCGCGTTCATGAAGGTATGCAGGGCGGACTCACTGCATCTGGCGGAGGTAGAAGAGACGTCGCATGCGGAGCGTCGGGCCTTTGAAAGTGTGGTCGCACACCTGGAGACACTTCACGGGGACGTGGTAGCTCGGTACCGAGCCCGGAGGCGAGCGTGCTAGATGAGAGGTTCAGTTAGAAGCCATGAGAAGACCTGGAGGGAGCACGTACAGCTCGTCGCTAACGTGGCCACGTGCTCCATATCCTCTTCAACACGCAGGGATTGTAAGACGTCAGACAAGGGGTCCGGGTCGAACGTGTGGCTTGGGCGGCTGGACTCCTCTTCCTGGAAGAAGCGCTCGGAGGAGAAATCGTAGTCCGAGTCTTGAGATGTGTCGCCAACATCATCGTTGCTATGCCCGTCCACCCAAAAGGATGTGTCGCAGTCCCCGCATTCGTCCTCGTCACACTCTGAAGGAACATCTGAAATACGCGGCTTGTTCGCTGCGACTAATGGTAATTCGTTGATCAGACACCGCCTGGCGTAGACAAGCGAGAAACGACATACCTGGCGGCGGAACGTCGTGGAATATATCCGTAAGATCATCTCGCAAGTTCCCTTCGATGTTAAAAGGGGCTAGAGCTCTGAGGTCAGTTGTGGGGATTATGTGCAAAGTGAGCACCAACCGTGTGTGTCGTGAGATAGTTCGTTCGCGCAGCTCAACGACTGCACCGGGGCCGATGATTGTACCACAGTTGGCAGAGTGTGCAGCTTTTCCTCAGTAATTGTTGGCGTAGTAGCTAGGAACATCTCGTCAGATAGAGAGAGACACATAGCGCGTAAGCTGCGGCGTACCAAGACTGCCGGAGGCAGGTGGAGGACTGTTTTCGTCCGCAATTCGAAGTACTAGTGCGTCTTCTGAGATGATCTGCTTTTCCTTGTCATCCCAAGAGCAGGGTGCAATGTTTTGGTCGTCAGTAAGTGTGATTGTGTGGAGGGGCATCCGGAATGAGTGTCGTGAGTTCGTCACAAGTCGTCAATGGGTATAAGTAGGGAAGCTCGAGCGTAAAAGTATGCGACAACACGAGGAATTGGGGTCGCAAAAGAGGATACGCCGTGCAGCGCACCTCCGCCTGTTGGGGAAGGAGACAAGGAGATGTCGCAAGGCGACGAAGTGGATTCCTTCCAACCTATTGTCCGCGCTGGGTGGCTAAAAGCACAGTGCACGTGGCGCAGATTGGTCACATCAGGTCACATCCTACTCAACGCCAGTGATTAGACGCCCAAATGCTTCAGTATACCTCGAATGCGCTACATTAGTAGGCGACTTTTTTACTGCCTGAAGAAATAATAGGAGATTATAATATCATCCCAAAAAATCAAAACTGCACTATTGCGGTCATAACCCAGCGGAGATACGAAATACGGTTCAGTACCAACTCCCGCAAAAATGGCTTGACTCAGGTTTGGGTGCAAATCAAACTCCAACGAGTTTTATTGCTCCATATGTCTCCACATAAGAGATGCGGCACCATCTTAGAGCATCTGATAGCGCGTGCCTTGGGCGCTGCAAGTCATTACTAAGAACCCCGATAACGCTCTCGACAGATGTAATGTTACTCAGGCCAAAAAATGGGGCTTGGATTTAAAAGCATTCTCTGTGCGTTTCTTCATGGACAAACCATGTTAAGTAGGTGGCGTGAACAAAATTTCTGTGCAACTTGAGACAGAGGTAGGACCCCCGCCTATGCTGCAAGAGGTCCGATAATAGTGCTGTACAAAATGGCCTATAAAGGGGCCTTATGTCCGATAATTATGCGGTATATTGGGCCCTTATGGCTAGCTATGTCCGATAATATGTGCTGTATAATGGGCCTTAGGGCGCCGCAGGTCCGATCCGTTATGCTGACAAAAGAGGCAGCTGCCCGGCCGGCCTACCTGTATCTGCCGGCGGCTGTCGAGGAAGACTGAGCAGAACGGTACCCACTGGGCAGCACTGGGCTCGCATTTGGGGGTACGATCCCCATATGCTGGACAAAACGGTCTGTTGAGCTTGCTCCACGGTACGTCTACCCGGGAGACTAGACAAATCGAACCCTTATGCTGCACGAGGTCCGATCGCCATGCTGATAAAAACGACCGTCAAAAGGGTATGTACCATAATCATGCTGTACATAATCCCGAAAAGGTATGCTGATAAATGTGGTCAAATCCGAGGGTTTTGCGATCGGACCTTTGGCGGCATAGGCGGGGGTCCTACAGAGGTGCGTCGGTACGGGCGCTAGTTTCGGCAACACCCGAAAGCCCGCCCTCTACCAAAAACCAGCGCCTCCCTGTTTGCTTTCGTCGTCTTCGTCGCCGTCGTCCTCCTCGTCCTCCCCCGCTCGACGCTCGTACACAGTACGCGACTGCTCACCATCTCACCCCGTATCAACTGCTCTACGGTGCTCGCTATGTCTGCAGAACCAAACCTCGACGACTCGCTCATTGTGCAAGATTTAACGCGTTCCTCTCCCCCTCCGCCTTTGCCGCCCCCGACAACTATCTCAACGCGATCTCTAAGGCCCCGTCGTTTAAGGGGGCGCTCTACAGCTGGAAGCTCACAAGCGTCCACCGCTTCGGGCTCTCGTTCTCGCTCGCGATCTGTCGCCACAAACCCGCCACCCGGTCCCCGCCAGCATAACACCAGTCGCGCTGTTGCGCCGACTGCTGTCAGGACCTCTACATCAGGCTCAGAGGCTACGTCAGGTCTGCCAGAACCCAACGATCAAGACAGGAACTTAGAGTCGAAGCGAAAAAGGACATCGTCAAGTTCGCATACCGCTATTGAGCAGTCCGCAAAACGACAGAGGGCGACACCAAAGAGGAAGTCCTCGACACCCCTCAGCGCCCGGTCTGACGCAGCACCGCCCTCCAATCCTTCCCGAGATACACCTGATGAGCAAGCAGTTGCTGCCCTGGTTGCGTCCAAGGTGAGTTAGACATTGCAACTGTTATGAAATCGATAGGCCCCCGTCAGAAACATGCGACTCTTGGCGCAAGGCGAATGGCCGGCAGCGAGCGCCGCTAGGAGGCACGCGGTCCCACTACACTGCGCTGGAAGTTCGTTCGCGCGGTCACGGTTTAGTGAGTAAACGTCAGTGTCTCCCGGCGCAACGAAGCGTACATGTTTCAGTTATATTTATGCGGTCGTCTGTAGGGCCTACAGACGGTCGCATAAGCGTGACAGTAGATGGAATGGAGGAGGATGATATGTAGCGCTCTCGTATCACCCTTGCCGTGTATCATGTATATGTGTACCGTGGTCAGGTTTGCCCGGAGGGCCGTACCTACGATAGCAATTTTCACATTCATTGAAGCGCGCTCACACGTCTGCATAGGACGCCCAGTCTCCGCGCGATCATCTGACTACGGAAGAAGATCCCGAGGCTGCCTTTGAACGGCATATGGCCGAGCATGTACCACAGACGTCTTCGCCGCCTCAGAATATGGAGGGTGCGTCGGAAGATATCGCGTCTGCTACGGAAGAAGTGCTCGCCGAAGGCCCCAGCGGGACACCCGGCCTGGGTGCGGCGCCCCCTACGCCACACTTACTTCGCCATCCCTCCTCGGCTCCCACGGCAGGACCTAGCTCCGTCCCAGCCAAGCACACCGCTCAACAACACCCTACTGGTCTTTCCGGAGGCTCTTCTCTCACTCACCCGGAGAGTGCGTTGGGCGCGACTCATACCCAGGAAGTGGAACCTTTGGCCTCGTATACATGCCCTGTCTGCTTCTCACCACCAACTTACGCCACGATCACGCCATGCGGACATGTCCTCTGCGGTGACTGTTTGTTCACCGCCGTGAAGACCACGATCCAACGAGGCGCATACACTCTCCCTGCAGGCGAGAGGATGGTGGCCCGGTAAGCATCGTTGTATTTTTTGCACTGCATGAGCTCATTATGTGGATCCTGATCAGATGTCCCGTATGTCGAGCTGCAATTCCTGGGTGGGATGGCAAGGGCGGCGGGGTCATAGGCCTGCGTCCCCGTGCCGTATTCAGCTTGTAGCTGCTGACCACCGTCCGGTGTCGAACGCTGGACGCAGCGTCTCCGTTCCACCTACACGTAGTGCCGTATACTCTGTTGGCGTCTTGACTTAATAAGTCAATGTTGTTATCGCTTCCGGTGGCGTCTGCGCAGCACTATACAGGAGAAGGAGCACATTGTTTGGTAAGTTCGTCGTAGCTTGCATTTCATCGCCAATTCACTCTATCATGGAATAGAACCGCGCTACGATCTCAGTGTTGACCACACTGGTCATCGATGTATCAGGCATGTTTGGAGCTGGATAGAATGTTCGCCCCTGAACTTCGACCGCACGTCGGACAACGCCAGCGTCACTGTTCGCTCTGCACAGGAAAGGCGGGAGAAGCAGTTGCGATCTGTCTGTACCCGCAGGGTCCATAGCTGCCTCTAACAGCGCCGCCGGCTAGTTCATCGTGGTCCCGATCGCGCGCAGCTCTTAAACATTCCGGGATCGTTGCGCATTCATGACGCCTTCCCATGTTGGAAGCGCTCTCGCAACTTGTCTGGCCTGCTGTTCGCCGCCCAATGATCACGACATCAGCGCCGCGCGCCTCCTCGCACTCCCGCCCCCGCCTCGATTAACATCCTCCGTGTCCGCTCGGATCCCGGTGCTCTTACCCGGCGAGCACATTTTTGGCTTCCTTGCTCTGCATGAGCTGCGATTCCTGGGGCTGTGGCCGCTTCCTCAACGACGTGATGCACCGAGCACGACCCAGCGACAACCGTCAGGACAACTATGGCGACCGCAATCAACTCTTGCCCCACGTCCTCTCGCCTCAGGATAGCTCGGGGGGATGCATGACAAAGTCCTGGATGGCATGTCAAGAACTGTCGTTGCTGTGCCCGTTCTTCGGGAGAAGGCTTGACGTCCTGCGTACCCGCGCCGTGGTTCGTTAAATGCGTATGTAAACCTTGTCAACCTCTGTGATGCGATGTGCTGCTTCTGATGCGCTTTCAAGGAGGACGAACGCCACGACTCTGCGTCGGCGATGGTGATGCCCAGTCGGGCGACGCGCACCAGGTCCCACTTTGAAATACGCCGCCAGGCACGCCCGCGGCGGACGTGATACAACTCGATCCCGGCATATTTTCGGCTAGCCGTGGAGACAGTGCGTGTGACATTCGCAGGCGCTGTGAATGGGGAAGCCATGATGAACCTTACAGAAGGGGCCCGCATTGGTACCCGCATGCGCGCCTCGAAGGGTCTGGGTGCTCTGGAAAGCTGCATGACCGCGCATGGAAGTTCGCACACTCCTTGCGCGGGTTGTGTGAACGCCTGCTGCGGCGTGGGGCCAGGTACAGCAAGCGCCCGAGTTGCGTGGTAGCCGTCCGAGGCTGCTGTCACCCCTCTCCTCAGCCGAGCTCCGCGAGAGGCACCCGCCATTCATGTCATGTCATGGGGAGTCTTCGCGAACCCTTTGCCGGACGCACTGTTGCCCTAGGTCGGCAACGTCTGTCCTTCACTGGGCAGCCAGCAGCGGTCAGATCTCATCCTCTATCGCTCTATACCGGTGCAGCGGTCGACGTCGTCGACGCCCAGTCACCTGAGCTACTTCTAGGATGGATCTGCACACGGTCTCATGCGGCTGGTGGACAAGCCACAGAAAGCGCGGGGGAGCTGCCATACACAGACGATTGTCGCGGCGTCGAAGCCCAGAAGGTTCGTACGGCATCCCGCCATTCGCCCCGCACCGGAGGCCGTTGGCTTGTGTCCCGGGGCATGAACGAGGCGTGTATGTCCTATGCCGCTTTCCGCACGTGTGTGCGTCTTGTGCGGGCGGTAGTCTCGCGTGGCGGACCTTGCGTTCGTTTCCATTCGTCGTGGCTCGAACGACCTTGTACTCACGCATCGCTTTCTTCCTTCTACCCATCGTACCGCCCCTTTCATGCTCGCTGTGTCTAGGCGAAAGCTCGCATTGTCAGGCTACGACAGCCCATCCAGTCGCAGACGAGGTGAGCAGTGTTTAATTGCGCGCCACATGGTCCCAGACGGGAGCCCGCAAAATGCATCGGGCATACCTCCGCTCTCAACCGCACAACACAAGGGCCGATGCAGTGTCGGTAGACGTGGAGTGTCTTGTCGGCAAGCAACAAGAAGACCGCGCAAGAGTTGCTTAGCGTCAGAATCCTTCCACGCCCAGGCTGGCAGAACTCGATTGAGGCGCTCTACCCTGCCCCTTCACGCCACATGGCATGCCACGCTCCGCAGCCTGCTGCTGCCGCCAGAGGAGTGCGTAGTCTTTGCTTGAGGCAATTGGACAGGGAAGGCGAGCCGTTGGTAGGTCTATGCGTAGGTCCGTTATGTGGCGAGCGCGCCTTGTTCTAACGAATCAGCTTCTCCAGATGGACCAAAGCATCGCCCACGGACTGCTGGCCGGCGGCGTCAGTCTCAGGCTGCTTCCAGCGGTCCTCCCGCCCGACCTATCGGGTGCTCAAGCGGCGCTGCCAATTTCATTTTGCATGGCCACTCCGGCTGCCCTGTTGCTGGTCGGGTATGCGGTGCTCGACAAAGTCTACCTGTGCCCGAGGTCGCATATGCTCAACTGGCGCGTTCGCCTCATGCAAGGTTAGTCAACCTTCGTTCATCTCTGGGCCCTGTTTGACACCTTCTTTCAACGGTCTTCAACGCGTAGCCGCTGCGGAGAATGAATACGCTGCGATGGCGGGGGAAGCTTGGCTCCGCTGGTGGTGGTGGTCATATCCATAGCAGCGGCGGCTTCCGTAAACCTCCTTCCGGGCAAATCAATCCGAGGAGATTACGGTGTGCGCCAAGGCCACGCATAGTCCTTCGGTGGGCTCGGAAGTAGTATACCTCATACGCAGCCTCCGTCGGGGTTGAGTTGACAGTTGGTGTCCGGTGGTGGAGGTGAGTGATGCAACTGTTACAAGGTCCTGCGGTCAATCTCAATATCAGAAGCACGACCTTATACATCGGTCCATACGAAAGGCGGTCCGTCCGCAAGGTGCGAGAGGCGGGCTCGTGCCATGGTAGAAACACGATCAGCGATTCTGGCGCCTTCTATTGTTGTGAGCAACATATTGAGGACCGCCAGGCATACTCCATCATTAAATTGTTCTGACGCCTCACCTTCATTTCTGCAGATGAGGAGGACATCGGTCCGCTGAGCCATCGCGCACTCACAGACCCATGTCGACGCAGTGGTCTGCATCCGCGAGGCGGTGCTATTCATCCACTCTCGGGGGCTTGGGACTTCGGCCAAGGCGCCAGTCAGCATCACCCGCCGCATGACAATGCGGCAGATGCGCGTTGGGAAGGTTCGTTTCATACCGACATTTGTCCATGCCGCCGTCGCTGATCTCCAGTTCGCCGGATTTTGTAGTGCCTCCCGCCTTACCCGATGGCGCTTTGTATCTGCGTCTCGGGGCGGGGCGTTCTGTGGGCGCACCGTCATTTCACATCGGCCCTCGGCATCCCGAGAATATCGGCGTTGCGACCGACGCCTTGCCCCGACATCATCACCGCAGAACCTCCCCGACATGGTGGCGCACGTAGTAGTGTCAGTGTGCACAAGCAGGAGGACACCGCATGCGGTGTTGGCATGACTTTCACCTAGAAGCCGCAGTGCAGTGGGAAGGTGCGCCGTTTCATTCGCACGCTCTACTCAAGGAGGAGCCTGACTTGCCACTTGCGTTTGATGTTTCCGAACTCAATCATGGGCCCCGTCAGGACCATCGAGTCGTATGACAGTTCCTTTGCAAACCGCAAAATGAATGATGCTCATCACGCTCACCGCTCCGGATTAGAGGTGGCGAGAGTTACCGCAGGTCCGTTCGGCGACCCGTATCTTTCTTCCCGCTGCGCTGCTGTCTGAACACCGTTGCGCGGTCATAATCACTTCGTGTGTGACCGCGGTCCGAACCCCCACCGCAGCTGCAAAACGCCGATCCCGTGAATCTTGCTTCGAACCACATTACATTCGCCGCCGTGAACAGTAGGGGTCACCTCTCATCGAGGCCCCTCGTTTGCAGAAGTTCCGCATGAACCTACGAACCACCCATCACTCTTGAGGTCTCGAGGCTGCGCCACACTCGCGCCGCGGCGCCGATACCGTTCCTCCTCCGGAGCATCCCGACCACCCTCTGACCCTGTGCGCGCGCCATCATCATTGATTGGACCTGGCCAACAGATTCCACTCCCAGTCGTTTTGGTGAGTGCTTTGGCTTCCACATCCGTCATCGGCACTGGGTCGGAGGACTTCCCTCCCGATACTGTATCGCAGGAAGAGTGGGCCGAGGTCCCCCATCCGCTTCGAGAACCCGTGTCATCAAATTCATGGTGGTTCCCGCTTCCCGCAGATTTCGCCATATCTTGCTGCGTCGGTTGGGACGCTGGCGGCTGGCCCATACGTCGTCGGGGATCAGGAATGTCGACCGACGGCTGAGGCCGAAGGGAGCTGTATCGAGACGTCGGGTCGCCGATGCCTGTGCGCGAGCGGCCGGTCTCATGCAGCGTCTCCGGGCCGAACGGACAGAGAGCTCGAGCGGCGCGCGCAGCTGAGAAAATATACGCCGCAATGGGCCGCCCATCAAGGCCCGCCGACTTGCTGTGCAAGTCTGGAGACGCCTGGCGCGGGGCGGGCGGTCTGCCTCTGAGAAGCGTCCAGAGCAAATCAAGGCGGATCAAGGGTTCGCTGCTGTTGAGAACTGCGTAGATTGCCGCTGATATCGTGGTGTGCGGGCTATTTGAGGCTGATTCCATACTTCTGGACGCCCGGCGGAGCAGCACGTCGGGGCTGCGGCGCATCGTGAATGCACAGCCCGGTGGTCAGAATGGCGTCCGCAGAGGCAACGAGAGAAGCCGCGCTGCATGCGCACTGTCTGCCGGTAGGGCTCATTTGCGTTCTTAACTGCAGGAAATGGCGATTTTGTCCTCCAGGGAACGACGAGCGTCCTGAGCATGATCAGTGATGCTGGCGTTGATGAGCCATCAGCATTGTTGGAGTCCAGTGGACGTGGCCTGGCGAGCCCGCTGGCCGAGGACTACGCCCTGGCGGCATTCCATTATTATGCAGCAGCGTCTCCGCTGGGCGCGGAGGGTTGCAGGGTGCGGAGTGTGGCGGCGCTGGGCGCGGCAGGGGGGCCGTGCGGACCGCGTGTTTCATGCTCGGGGCTGCAAGTGAGGGGGGCGGGCCCGGCGGGACGAGCGGCTCGTCTGGCATGTCCGGGTGCCGATGTCGGTGTTGTGTATGGACGGGACGTGTTCGGCGTGGATACGACAGTATCACTTCGCGACAATCTGCCAAACCCGACTCACTGCTCAGGGAATCATCGCCTTGTGTCACGCACCTGTCCCAAAAAGGCAGCTGATGAGGGTCGCGAACGCAGTTTCGCGCTCGCGGGTTCTGAATTCTACGACATTTTCGCAGACTCGCTTAACCAGGGCCCGTAAACCCCAACGGGCATTTGCCATGATTGATCTCTCAGGCCACCAGCCAGAGCTCGAATCTCTCATTTGAATCTTGGCGGTGCAGCACCAAGCTGGCCCCCCACCAACCATCACCACTTCCTCCAGCAGAAGTCGAAGCGTTTAGATGCGCTCCCACAGCACTCGAGCCTAGCACAAAACCGTCCACCGGCCCTCCTTCCTCTCTGCTTCTCATCTCCGCTTTCGCACCGTCCACCTTCCATCCCCTCCGCACTCGCCCCCGCCGCCATCACGCCCGAGCTTGGTCCTTTCTCTCATCCTCCCCGCCATCATGCTAACAGACGACCTCCCTTGGCCGGAGCTCGGTAATGTCTCTCGCGGCGCCACCAGGGGAAACCAAGGCCAGAAAGGTGTTCTGGGCTCTCCAGACGGCGAGGGGCGCTGTCTGCTGCAGCTGCGCGTGCAGCCGGGCGTGCTCGCGGTGCGCCTCAATCGCCAGGCTAGCGATTGGTACCGCACGCTCGACACCGAGGTCAACCGCGCACTGAAGCTCACGAAGACGTACTGGCGCAAGGCGCGGCGCCGGCAGGACTACGACGCGCGCGCGGACCAGGACCACATGGAGCTGCACGAATGGCTGCAGCAGCTCAAGGACAAAGTGATGTCGCACCTCGAGGTGCTCATGCAGAAGGGCGAGATCCAGGGCCCGCCGTACATCATGCCCGACAACATCGAGCTCGCCTTCCTCCGCGGCTTCATCGAGCGGCAGGCGACAGGGGTTCCACATAATCCCCGCCTCCGCCGCGCCTTCGGGCAGACTCGGGCACTTGGTTTGGACCCGGGGGCCGGACCATCGAAGCTCGGCGCGTCCTCACCATCGATATCCCTCGCCGGGTGGAATGGGCTAGCGGATAAAGGTATGTGAGACCGTTCGTAAACGCCTCCTGGGTGCTGAAATAGCCCGCACAGACGCGAAGGACGAGGACGCCACACCGCCGGCGTCTACGCCAGAGCAAGGGACATCCAGTTCGCTGCTGAATGAAGTAAATCACAACAGTGAGTGCTCCGCTTTTCGTAGCGCTCTGGTGATATATAACGATACCGCGGTCACAGGACGGACGATGGCCGGTGCAAAGGCAGCGCTGGCTCGGGCACAAAGGGAGACACAAGATGCGTTCGCCCGCTACACGGCTTGTTTGGACACCGAGGCGCAGATTCGGCAACAACTGAGCATTGCCGAGGAGCGGAGAGACGGGCTGAGTGAGTGCAATACTGCTTCCGGGAGGTGAAATACGTGGTGCGCAGTACTCATTTGCTCCGTTGCAGTGGCCTCGCTCGTCGAGAGTTTCCGGAGCGACCTGGATTGTAAGCACCGCCGCTCTGGCCGCACCCCGGATTCCCCGTGCTGACCGTCCCGCAGCCCCCACTGGTTCGGGGAAGCAGTCACCGCTTGTGGACGACATACAAAACACGCTCGAGCGCTCGGACTCGCGGGCGAGCACATCACAGTCCCACGACGATATGATGAACGCGATGTAAGTGCTCCTGAGCTGATATCATGTGGCGCATGCGCTGAGGAAGGGTCGTGCAGGCCGAACAACCATGTGGCCTTGCAGGACAGCGTCTCAGCATGGAAGACTATGCGGGAAATGCAGTGGTCGCATAGCGACGCCATGGCTGTCCCCGATGTGTCCCGCGGGCACCACGAACTGGGCTCAGTTGATCAGGTACGCCGTTGTGTGTCCGTGGGGAATGCCAGGGTCCTTCTGAGCTTACTATCTATAGACGTTCTCTCCGGCGGTGCGGGGTCAGGAGTTGCAGATGCATGCGCTGAATCAGATGGAACGCAAGCACCCGAGGAGCTGGGACGAGCTGCAGAGTGAGTCCCTATTTCTCCGGCGCCGATACCCGTTGCAGGCCCCATACTGACTCGCCTGTGAACAGACCACAGCGCCGCGTTCGAAGTGAGTGATTCGAGACTGTGCGTAAAGCATTGTGATTTAACCTCTCTTCGCGACACTCAAGGATATGTCTTCTATGCCGCCCCGAAAACGCCATCAGATATCCGGTGCAGAATACCTGGCCAGTTCTCGCTCGGTATGCTCCTCAATAAGGCAGTCGGCGATGCCGCCGCCGGGGCAGCCCTCCCTGCGACTGGACCCGGGCGTCGCGGTCATGTCCGCCGGTAATCCAGAGCTCAGCAACCTCGCCTTATGACTCGGTGCGCCCGAACGTGAGCCCCACCCGTACGTGGCTCGCAGTCTCAGCCTCCATCCGCACCGCCGATCTCACGCTGCGTCTCCCCGCAGTTACACTACGCGTTTCACCTAATGCGCCCGCCCGCTCCCTGGCCGACCGCCCGCACGACCGCCTACGTCCATGTCTACGTCTACCCGCCCGATCCCCGCTCGCCCCTCGCTCCCGGACATTCGCGCCTGTGCTGTTTATTGCATAAGGTTATTTTATGTTGTGCCGCCTGCATCGCTGTGCCATACGCCTCCTTATGCTATCGACCCTCCGGACACCGTCTATACCCCCCACATCCTAATCATTCGCTCTGTAGATATCCACATTTCCCCTCTCCATGTACAGCAAGCCCCCCAGTATGTTGTTCGGTGAGCCCCCCTGCCTGCTGCTCGCTCCGTTGCCCCCTCCCTGAAACATCACTCCAGTGTAGACTGTATCGCTCTCGTCCCGACCCATGCAATCTATGTATGTTGTTGTTTTAGTGTAATCCACGACGTGTGCGGAGACAGGCCGGGCGTGATCGACCACCGGCTGCGCTGCCGCGTCCGATCGACGTCGCACGATGCGTTGCGCTGGACGCTCGGCGCGGGAGATGCGTCGGCGGAAACGCGACATCGCGGGTTCGGGTGTCTCAGCCACACTAACGTCGTGTTTTGGTGGCACAGCTGTCTGCGCGCAGCCGCCGGAGCTGTCCACTACTGTGTAGCATCAGGTCGCGCGGTACGTGGACGTTGCATCTTCGCGTTCTAGCTGCACCTAACGTGACAACACATTCAGAGGCGTGGCGGCGGAGCAGAGCGTGCATGGGCCCGACCCGACGCGGGGCCGCTGCGGCAACACACCGCACAGGCGCCGACCGCGCAACTTCGACCCGCCTGCGCAAGCACGTTCTTACGTAGGCGATCAGGATTGACACCGAGGCCAAGCATGCCGTACGCGGTAGCTTTTAGGTTGCGCGTTCTGGAAGGCCCGGAATGTTTCGTGAAGCGTCGCGCGCTGCCAGCCGCCTCTGTCGGACTCCGGCCCTCGCTGAGCTGGTACTGCGGGCTGGGCGGAGTCGGACGGGCCAGAAGATCGAGCCCATCTGGCCACACCTCGGGATGCGGCAACCTTCCTCGGGCCCGGCCTTCCCACCGCGACGGGAAGCAGCGTGGCCTGGTGCGGCGCACAGCAGACTCAGACTCGGTTTGCCACCGCCTGGCTGCAGACTCAGACTTGCGTCAAGCGTCGCCGGCCCGAGCTCTTTTCCGAGGGTGCACCATCGATATGAGGTCAATAAGGTACTGCTCAGGCAGCGGGCTCACATGGTGCGGGACTAACACGCAGCTCGACGTGAGCCTTCGCCGCACACGGCGCTTCGGGCTCCGCACCGAGGACAACGAGGCAGAGGGCTGTGCAGGGACCCCGAGCAAAGCACCACGAAGGCGAGTTCAAAAAGTAAGTCGTGGCCCAAGGGAGGCGTTGCGTCTGTGCCGAGTGTGCCTGGCCGTCATCTAACATGCGAGGTTTGTTGTACAGGGATTATGCACTAAAACGGCTTACCCGGGGGTTAATGAGGATATGATTCCCGATTTGGCAGTCTGCAAGGGCGTCAGTGCATCTGCAGATACCCCGGTGAGTGTCCTCCGCTCTTCCATGGCCCCGACGTGCATCCTGACGAGTTGAGGGGTGCAAAACAGCGAAGACCTGCGAGGAATGACGAGCTCCTCGGGGTCCGGGTGTGCCTAGCATGTGTGCTTACATAAGCAGCAATCTGCCACCCAAACGCTCGATTTGGACAATCTGTCCAGCTCGTGTAAACGGCGTGTTCGTGGTGTCTGCAGAGCTTTTCAGCCAGCTCCCCAGGGGATTCACTCCCCCCGCTCTCTCCTGTGCATTTCTGTGCGATGGCTGTCCACACGCTCTCCAGCCCGAATTTTTCCTCGCCCGCTGCGTCTCCAGAATGGCCTGCCGCTTTGACCCCAACGCTCGCCAGCTTGGACCACACAGCCTCCCCCACTTCATTCCGGGACTTGCTCTCGCTTTTTCACCGGTGCGGCTTCATAATCGGCGGCTCAAGCGTCGCTGCGCTTTGGACTATCCAAGAGACTATCAGCCTGCGCCGGAGCTTTAGCTTTGCTATTCGCGTGAGTAGCACGTGCGCGTGGCAGGCATTCATATCCGACTCTTCCACTTTGTCCTGGACGTGACATATAAGAATCAGGCGCGCGCCGTCCCCAGACAATTGACCTTTCTTCCCTTCTCCCACATCCCTCCTTCCCTCCAGACATGGCTTCTCGTCGCGGACGGTTTCGCAGTACGTCCTCCTTGGTCCTTTCGCAAGCGTACACGCGCCCAACTAACGCCCCACAGCCAAACTCTGCCGCAACTTCGCCCTCGGACACTGTCCTCAGGGTGATGCGTGCAACTATGTGCACGCCTCCCCGGATACCATACAGAACGATCCCAACATTCATGGAATGGTACATTCCTTCGCTAGGTACCGGCTTCCGAGCTTCTAGCACGGTGCTCACGCGATTTTGTCTGATACCTAGCTCGACGGCGGAAGCCTAATGGGACACGGACCACGACCGCCATTAGCCTCCGCCGCTTCTCCGGTTTGGTCGACGCTCTCCCCAGTGACGAACAGTTCGGATCACCCGAACTACCAGCTGGGCCCAACTCCGTTCGCCGGAACGGCGCCTGATTCGCGCATCAAGTACAGACCTTTGTCATGGCGCACGGCGTTGTGCAGGCATTTTGTGAAGAATAAGGGTTGGTGCCCCGTCGGGGACAACTGCAACTAGTGAGCGCCACAAGCCTTCCGCTATATCCTGTCTAACCCTCCGCAGTATCCACGATCTCGCGCTAGCCAGCTTCGCCCGGGACGACGTGCGAAACAACGCCCGCCGCGCCTCAGGACATGGCGGGAGGAGACCGAACGGCAAGGGCAAGGCGGGCACCAAGCACAGCCATTGCTGGGCTTACGTCCAAGGCTTGTGCCATGTGCAAGACTGCCAGTACCTGCACCCGGTAGCGGTACACTTGTGTGAGTCCCTCACGCGCAGCACCGTATACACGTATCTGGCTTACGTGTATCCCTTCCCTTCGTAGTCTCCCAGCATACGCCGTGTCTTTCGTGGCCGAACTGCAGAAGGGGGCCGCTTTGTCCGTACAAGCACCCGGAGCCCTACATCTCCGACTCTCCTCCGGCGTCGCCAGCTCCGGCGGCCGCGGCTTCACGACCTCCGCCGGCGGGGGCGCAGTCCGACGTTCCCCGCGGCGCGATTCCCTACAACGGAATGCTCTACTTCAACGCACAGTCGCCGGTGCAGCAGCGTCCGCCCCAGCCACAACAGCAACAACAGCAGCACCAATACCAACAGCAACACCGGCAGCTGCCGGCGCTCACCATACCGAATATGCCCTCTCAGCCCCCGATGATGATGAGTTCCCCCTGGCAGGGATGGGCGATGCCATATCCACCGACGCCCATGACGTATGTGCCCATGATAGCTCAGCATCCATGGCAGGTCCAGGACACCAGTCCCCGGTGGCCCGGGAACAGCGCGACAGCGCCCATCCGGCCCCCCACCCTTCCTCGCTTCGCGGGCCCCGTCTTCAGCATGAACACGAACCCCTTCGACGTGATCCCGAGCCCGTCTTCCCCGGTGTCCAGCTCGCCCAACTACACGTACGAGCCCATCCCCGAGCACTCGCGCGGCCACTCGCTGCCCATCCCGGATAGCGAGCTGCCGTATATCCCGCAGAAGCGCGAGCAGCAGGCCGGGCATGCGCGCCGCGTGAGCGTCACGATCAAGGGCAAGGAGGACCTCGACGCGCTCGGGCTCGACAGCACCTCGCGCGGGAGGCAGGCGTGGCAGACGCATGGGGATCGTCTCGGACGCAGGGTGAGTGGTCCTGCGATCGGTCCGTACTGAACGAGTACTGACGAAGCCGGGCTGCAGAGCTGGGCTCCATCGTCGTCATCAATGCATGGCGTGCCGAGCACGGGCACGCCCCCCGCTCTTCTCTATGGCATGTGAGCGCGCGCGCTCGACGTCGTCTTGCATCTCATTCTCAGCATCGCTCAATCTCTGGACTCCTGTGCACACCCACAACGCATCTCTCTTGCTTGCATCTTCTCCTTTCATTCCTGCCCGGATACTATACCATGCTTCCCCTTCCTGCCACGCAAACACGGACCCGCAGTATAATCCCTACTCTTCCATCCCCTTCTCGGCATGCTGATCCCCCAATACCTTCCTCTTTTTCGTCTCTTTACTTCTTTTCTTCCCCTGTGTTTCTCGGTAGTGCTACGCTCCCCGGTTCATACCCTTCTGCCCACGCCCGACGCCGTCGGGGCCTTGGGAGACTCGGTCATCGCTCGTCATCACGCTCATGTTGTTGTTCAAGATGTGTATCACTGCCAGTGTACCCACTACGCGCATTCTCTCCGGACCATACGTACCCGCATACCAGCCTCGTAATCATATCTAGTGTATACTGAACTGCTTGGAAAGGGTCGACGCTGCGCTCAGCGAGTAAGTACCTCTGGTGGCACCGAGCGGATGTTAAAGGTGCCGCGAGAAAGACATCTGCCCATCTTAGGGTTCGAACACTCGCTCGGACTTGTGAGGCGCGGGACGCCATGACGGCTCTTGCCAATTAATGCTTAGGCGTGCGCGCTCAAATTCAGTCGTGGATCGTCACCGACGACGCGCAGGCATACGGAATAAGAGCATTAAGTCTTGTATGAGAGCAGCGTACTCGTATGGTGGGTATGGGATGTACACCACGCGGCGTTAGACGACCGTAACTGGACAATGTATTTACATGGTCGCGTCGCGCGACAAGCGCGCGAAGGCGCTCCCCTCATCCTCCAGTAGCCGCGCCGGCTCGCCCGCCTCGAGAATCCGTCCCGCCTCCAGCACCGCGACCTGGTCGTAGTCGGCGATGGTCCCGATGCGGTGCGCGACGGTGAGCACGGTGCAGTCCGCGAACGCGGAGCGGATCGTCACCTGCACGGCACGGTCCGTCTCGACGTCGAGGTTGCCCGTCGCTTCGTCGAGGAGCACGATGCGGTTGCCCCGCAGGAGCGCGCGTGCGAGCGCAAGGAGCTGGGTTTGGCCTTTGGAGAGTTCGTTGCCCCGCGCGCTCAGAGGCTGCTCAAGTTTGTGCTCGAAGCCCCCTACAACGTCTTTTAACTGCGAAGGGCAGATGGTCAGACAATCGATCGCAGTGTTGGGCACGTGGGGTACGGACCTGCGCTGCTTCTATGGCTATCCAGATTTCCGCGTCGGTCTTCTCGCCGGAGAGGTCGATGTTTTCGCGCAGGGTGCCGTCGATGACCAAAGGATCTTGGGGAACGACTGTGATGTTCCTGCGTAGCGTTCGGCGCGGGATATCTGCGGTGTCCCGCTGGTCGACTGCATTCTTATGTTAGTAAAGCCTGCGAGCGGACAAGGCGAATTTGGACCAACTGATGATCTTCCCCTCCACGTGCAACGCACGCAGAATGGCAAGCAGCATAGTACTGCGAGTCTCGTCAGCTGAAGGGCTTCTATACTTGATGCGTATCACTTACCTCTTCCCGGAGCCGGTTCGACCACACAACCCAACGTTAGTTCCGCCAGTCACAGACCAAGTGATCCCCTTCAACGAGGGCTCCGTCTGGCCATCGTAGCGCGCAACCACATCCTCAAACTCGATGGTGCCGCGGGACGGCCAAGAGGCGTCAGGCTGGCCCTTCCCGGCGGCGGCCGCATCATCCTCTTCAGGCGTCAGTCGCGTGTACTCGAGGTTCCGTTCGATGGCGACGGCCGCGATCTCGAGTTGAGTCCAAGACGTGAGCACAAGACTGATGATGTCCTGCAGCGAGACCGCCTGGGAGAGTCCGACGGCGAAGAGGCCCGCAGACGTGCTTTCGCGGGTGCCCACGGCGATGAGAACGAAGCACGTGTTGATGACGGCGGTGATGACGCCGATCGTGGTCGCCAACCAGAGCCGCGCGACGTTGGTCAAGTAGAAGGGCACCTGAGAGCGCGCGAGGAGCGCCGAGTTTGCGGCTGCGTAGGGCACGTCCTTGCGCGCGGCACGGATAGTCAGGAGCCCGTTAAGCTCCACCGTCTCGGCGAAGAGCGTGTATAGAGGACCCTTGCTCGAAAGGTCGAGTCTACGGAGTTGTCGAGAAGTAGCCTGTAATGACCGCGTCAGTGATCCCACCATATGACAAGAAGCGGAGCGCGCGCACCAGGTAGAACTTCTGTATGGTATACACGAGCACAAGCGTGAACGCGACGACGATCGCGAGGTACGGGACGGACACGATCATAAGGATCGCACTACCGATCATGCGCGTCGCCTCGTACCCAAAGTCGTGCATCGCGAGCGGGAACTCGAAGTCGACGATGAACACGTCTTGGCTGAAGCGACTGATGATCTTGCCCGCGGACGTCGCGCCGAAGAACGACATCGGCGCGGCCATCACAGCATCGAACGCGTGCGAGTGCAGCGCGTCGGAGGCTCCCGGGACGAGGCGCATAATGAAGAAGTAGAACACGGTCGTGAACGCGATCGTGTACGCAACCTCGACTGCAGCATATCCGCCCAGGTACCGTCCAAGGATGGAGGACGCCGAGCCAGAGCCGTTGTCATTCGCGGCAGCCCACAGCTGCAGATAGACGGGGGTGATGATCTGGATCCCGACAGTGACAAAGAGGAAGACGGCGTAGACAGCGAAGGAGGAATATCCGGCACCCTTGAAGTAGTGCAGATACGCAGATATGCCGCTGGAGCCATGCTGAATGGCGTCAATCTCCTCTTGCTCGGCGTCTGCCTTGTCGATATCCTCGACCGTATCATCGAACGCGGTGACCTGAGACCCTAACTCTTCAGTGATGTCTGACGACTGGGAGTGGTCACGGATGAGAACACCGGTGGGTCCATCAGTGCTAGATAGTTCCTGGAAGGTGCCTTGCTCAAGAATATGCCCCTCGCCGAGCATCACGATCTGGTCCATTCGTTGCAAGTGAGATACTGCGGACACTCGTCAGATGTAAAGCGCAACACAGAGATTGGCGAGCGTACTCTTGTTTGTTGCGAGTACCACGGTACGACCTTTGAGGAGTCCAGTAGAACCGAGCAGCGCATCGAAAACATTGGCCGAGGTCGTACCGTCCAAGGCAGCAAAGACGTCGTCCAAGATGACAACCGGGCTCCCGGAATACACCGCACGGGCGAGGGCCTGGGTACACTTAATATCCTCATTTCGTAATGATGTTATTTGTCCACTCACAATGCGTGCTTTCTGTCCACCACTGAGGCCCTTTGCCTGTCTGACGTCCAGGCTCGCGGGACCGAAGTCGCCATCAAGTGCACACGCATGGATGACGGTGTTGAACCATTTGCGATCCATGGGGGACGAGAACAGAATGTTCTGTTCGATCGATAGGCTAGTCCTCAGCCAAGGCGCCTGTGAGCAGAAGGCGATGGGGTCACGTATAGGGGTGCGCGAGATATTGCCCATCACCGTTGTCTCGCCCAAGATGGACGTGAGCAGCGTAGTCTTCCCCTGCGGGTACTGTCAGTCTCGTTAGGTGAAGGAGAGCAGACGTGACTTACAGAGCCAACGCGGCCGATAATAGCAGTAATCTTCCCAACGGGGATCTGCAGGTCGATGTTCTCGAGCACTTTCTTCTCGCCCCACCCAAACGACCCGCGCAACTCATAGGTACCGACAATCTCGCCGAACTCGCCGGACTTCTCGGGGTCTGACTGGGAGTCCCGCTTGTCGACGATGCTGAGATCCTGCGCGTGTGGATCCTTGCGCTCGGGCGCAGTCAGAAACGCTTGGATACGCTTGAGACTGCCGTACGCGGCGAGCACTGTGCCGTAGTTTTGTCCGACGGAGAAGAGCGGTGCCGCGATAATCGTGAGGACAGTGTACGAGGTGAAGAGACGCGCGGTGTCGAGCGAGCCACTCTTCGAGAGGAAAGACACGATCGCATATGCGCTGGATATGAGCACTCTTATCAGCACACTGTGGAGGCTTGGGGACAACGATTAAGCATACCCAAGCGTGAATAGACTTAGCATGTTCTGGGCGGTATTCGTGACGCACACGACGACGGCAAAGTCCTTCCAGAAACGCTTCATCGCCGTCAGCTCTGTCTGGCGCACGCCCTCCACCTTGGTGACAAGCTCGGGCTCGTACGCAGAGAGCTTCACCCCCGTGATCTGATGCAGGACGCTGGATATAAGGCGCACGCGGCTGTCAGTCACTGCGGACCACGCCTCCTGGAGGTCGTCAATGTGCCTGGAGAGAAGTGGTGTGGCAATCATGCACACAGCGGTCACGATGACTGCGGCGACGAAAGAAGTGCCGATCTGCGTCCAGAGGATGTATAGTCCGATGGCGATGACGATGAGGGAGGACCATAGTTCTATGGGCGTACTCTTTTAGTTCCCTGCGTCGCATGATATTATTCGAGTGTACATACGATGGAGGGGGTCAATGGCGAGCGTGATGCGTTCGATGTCGACGCTGCGAACAGAAGTCAGTAAATAGGCATTCGCAAACAAAACGACGTAAACTGCAACCTCATCAGATTCGACGCGTCTCCGCCCGCAGCATCAGCAAGCGAGTCCGCGCTCAGCAGAAGCGTCTTCCTGTAAATAGCCTCCACAAGCGCAGCACGAATGTACGCCCCCGCCCTGTACACGTAGTAGAAGTACTGCCCAGTAGCGCCTGCGAGACCGATGAAGACGATGGCAAACGCTCCCGCGAGCGCCCAGCCCCACTGCGCAGGCTCGCGCACTGTGTTGCTGTCCGAGTACGACTGGAGGAACTTGATGATCGCGTTCACCATGAGCGGCTGGACAGCTTGTGCGAGCGAGCGGAGGACGGCCTGCACGACCGGCCCGAGGAAGGTGGGATAGAACGCGGACGCCAGAGCGCGCGCGATGGAAGCATCGTCGCCGTGCGCCGCTCTAGTCTAGAGTCAGCACGCGCTTTGCGAAACGAGGCGAACTGAAGTAGGCGCGTACCTCTCTGCCTTCCAGTGAACTTGGAACCGGGAGTAGAGTACAGTTGTGTCCATGTCAGAGTCCAGTTTGGGCAAATGTTCGAGCTCGAGGTTCCCGTGCCGGCCCTTCCATAGGAGTGAAAGGGCCCAGAAGACGAAAATATGTGACAGGAAGCCTGCATCTTCCAGCCCACCTTCACGTTTTAAAACAAAGAGCGAGGGGAAGGAGAGTGTCGCCAGAGAAAGGAAACGGCAGGCGTACTGGGCGAGGAAAGACCCGAGGAAGAAGGGCGATGTCGTTCCCGAGCCTACGATCGCGAAGGTCCGCACCCGAGCAGCGTCGAGCACCAGCGTTAGGAGGAGATAAAGTGACGCCACAAACAGTATGTAGCGCGAGTGCCCTACGAACGGGACCAAGGTAATGAGCGCGATCTAGTACACAAAGTGGGTTAATAAGCAGGCACGGCGGTAAAGCCGACATGCGAACACTCACAGAAGACACAAGATTCAGGGACTGGGCAGCCGTAACAAGGTGCGTCGCCTTGGACGGCAAATCGACCGACGAAGTCACCCATGAAGCAAGGCTGAGTACACTTGTGACTGCGAGCAGCCCAAACGGCAGGCCGGCGAGGGCATGTTTTACGAAAAGAGCGGCGCGCGGGCGTCCTCCCAGCCAGAACAGAATGCATGTCAGGAGGAAGAGGCCGTTCGGCAACACCGACAGAATACTGTGATCGAGAGCAATCAACAACATGAATTTTTGATGTGCGTTGCAATATGACGCGCTCCGTGGGCACATGCTCGAACGGTCGAGGCTCGGCAACGACGTCCGCGTTCCACACAACTATCGCGGAAGGAGAGATGAGATGACCGATGAAGCGTACCTATTTTCGAAAACGACGGTGAAGTCGAATGTTCTGCAGGAGGATTGAGGGCCCTATTAGAAGTATGCGAAGTGTACGTCAATACGGTGGATATTGAGCCAGGAGAGGGGGAATAAGACTTACGAACGTGCCATCGGCCAGACAGAACGACATGGCTGAACGGAGACAAGCCCGGGACAGACGCCAAACGGCCTGAGTTATGCAACCAATGCATGCATTTCACTGCGAGATGCCGCCCAGGTAGAGGTCAATTAGATAATCGCCGCCTCGCCAGCCGGTGACAATCAACGCCGTCGGAAACTGTCTGCGTTGCGACTGCGCAAATCCCGAGCCGGCGGAGTGTGTGTCCGGAGTAAAATTAAAGACCCACGGGCGGTGCGCCCGTGGCAAGAAGGAAGTCCGTTGGCACCATGCGGTGAGCGAGGTGTGATCGAGGATGGAAAAGACGCGATGTCGAGTTGCGACGCGTCAGAAGTTACGAAAGGATGTACCACATGTTCGCTTTTCAAAAGCACCCCAGCCGCTGGTGGTTTGTCAGACGTTGGAATTTGCAGCCTTTCCGTAAGGCCCGAGAGGATGTAGGGGGAGGCAACGTGCGTTGGTCCGGGAGTGAGCCTTGAGGCTTCCTCGGAGTCGGAGTCTCAGACATCGTGCTAATTTTAGGCGCCCATTCGTACACTCCGGATCAGCGGTCCGGATTCTCGAACACCGCCACGTCGCCCTGATTCAGATGCCGTCCAAAAATGGGTTTCCAAGTTCACCGTTGCTCCTCTTCACCGCAGTCCATTGCCGCGACGGAGCGGATGTACATCACGGAGCTTCCCACGGAGTACGCGTTCAAATCAAGGGTGTTCATCTAGAGACGTACTCATTTTGCCGATCAAACATCTGCATGGTGCATGACCACTCCTCCAGGTGCATTGCGCAACTTCAGTTTCTATAGTCGGATCGACGCATAACAGACGGCTATATATAACCCTTATGCAGAGCTTTATATAGCGCCTTTGGCGGCGTTTCGTAACAAACGTGCGACTACTCTATACAATTAGCTCCCGAGCACTTGAAGTCTCCGTCCCCGCGGAAGCTATCCCCGAAATACTCCACTGCTACGGACCCATCAAATGGGGCACACGGCGGCTACCATCGGCTCGATGTCACAGATGCTGGAAGTGGTCGAGAACAGTCGTCAGTCACCCTTGCGCAAGACACAATGAACATCACGCACATCACGCTCCGCTCGCTGGGCTCAGGTCCAGGCACCTCCTGCATAACGGGGCCCTGCGGGATGACGCATGAGAGCGCGCTTGATCCGGGACTTAGCATAGGACGTACCGCATAATGAGAACACTTGGCGTCGTACGCCGCCCAAGTGTCAAGGGGAGACTCCAGATAGAAGCTGTGTCGTATTGGGATATACGGGGATCGATCAGCGCGCTCGAGTCTAGGGGGCAGGCGCTGCTCCATGAGCGAAGCACTCACCGAGCCAAGACGTCCTCGGCGGGTACTTCACTCGGCTGCAGGCCGGAGTACCGCCCGCCTTGCGCGGCGATGACATTTTCGCCGCCGATGGCGTTACGCCGTTGCACGAGGTGGACGAACGAGAACTTGTGGCCGTCCTGGTGCAGCGAGTTCGGCGTTGTCTTCGAGACCGGGTGCTCCTCCGTCGGCTGCATGAATGTTGTTCCGCGGTCAGTCGTGGTATTAAATGAGGATCACGAGCTCACACACCGCGGTTTTGATGAAGTGCACACCAACAATGATGGGATGGCGGAGTTCGTCGACAGACCAGTCGCACAGTGCGACGTCGGTGAGGATGAGCTTCTCCAGCAGCTCGTGGTGCATGCTCTCCGGAATGGAGGGCATAGCACGTCTCTCGGAGTTGTGCTCCGGGTTGAATACACCTGGGATGGTCAGCATTCGTAGGCGGACGGCAAGGAAACCCCTGTACCTTGATTGTAGTACGTGATGTCCTGGCCGTCCTTGAAGTGACCAGGGGACCAGTATACGCGGGGCTTGTCCTCGAAAGGCAGCACCACCGCGCGAGAGTACTGGCGGAAGCGGGCTGCCGACGCCGGGGCGTGAGGGTCGCTCGGGAGAGTGTCGAAGTGTGCGTGAAGGGAGGATATGAATTGAGAGACAGCACGCTGAGGTGCGAACGACGAGTCTGATGCGGGATTGAAGCGGATGTGGGAGGTCAAACCAGTGAGCGGCGGGAAGCTGCGGCGGTAGGTTTCAAGTCCGTTTTGCAGGTTGGCGGGGCTCCCTCGTGTCGAAAGAGGAGACATAGGCGGCGCTGAGGGAGTAGAAGCGTCGCGCAGGATGTCCGCCGAAACGTTCGCGAGGGTCCTGCGAGACACCCTGTTGAACGAGACAAGGCGAGAGAGTGCGCGGTGAGAGGGAGCGAATCGCTGCATACTAGGAATTGGAGCGTCAGTCCTGCGAGTGCGAGCAGCACAATGGAATATGCACTTTGAAGAAGGTCGGAAGTTGGTAGAGTCGCAAAGTTTCGTGAGGGTCGCGCAAGCAGCGTTAAACATCCGGCCCAAGTTTTGAATTATATATATCCCCTTGTCCAGCGCCGTTACTGTCCTCACTCGCACTCGCACACCATCGAGGGTCGAGGCAACCTTGATCTGGAACGGCCAAGTCCCGACCGCCCTGTGAGGCCAATAATTGTCCTGCGTGTGAAGAATGCACCGTGACATCGCTGTGACGGGAGGCGGCGCATGGGCGCACACTCCCGCGCTCGCGCCGACGAAACGAGGATGATCTTCGGCAAATGGTCATCCCAGAGCTGCACCGTCTCGCATCATCGTCCGACGTCGGACGAGCTGCGCGTTTAATGAGTGAAAAGGAACCCCAAATTTCGAAATATAGCAGACATACCCGAGGGTGTGCTTGTGTGCTCGGAGTCGAAGAGTCGGCGCCAAAATCCAAGGTCGGCTGCGACGCGAGGAACGTGCAGCCATACATACAATCCAGTCGAGATGGCGTCCGGCAAAGGTCAGCGGGGATGACGTGCAAGAGGAGGCACGGCATTGCACGACATCGCGCTAGACGAAGATATCATCTAGTGACATCCCGGCGCTGATATGCTAGCAATCAGCGCTTGAGCTTAAGCATATGGCGCAAGTATCCCCAATCTTGGATCCTCCGAAGCTTCCCAAGGAGGATGCAATGTCCGACGTCTGCTTTCGCGGAGCGACGGCGGCCATCGCACGGGGTGTCTGGGTGCGATGTGCAATTTAACCGCCAATCACGAGGGACGAGTGGGGGCGTGTTAAGCGTCGGGTGCTATGAAAAGTTCGCGGCGGACTCGGTGGATGCACTGCGGATCGAAGAAAGTCGTGAGTCCGAGGGAAATCCGACTCAAGGCTGGATGCGGTGGTGGCTGTGGGCGGATCCTAATTGAGCGCGGCGCTTAGCGCTTTCCCACAGTGCGCCACGGTACTGTCGCTAAACGCGCGTGTTCCTCCCTCACTGCTCCCATCCCAATTCTGTCGCAGGTCGCAAACGGTGCAGCGTGCCTCACCATGCGGACGCTCCCCATCGCTATTTTCACCTATGTGATGCGTGAAGACAGAAGAATGCCATCAGCTGCGATCCAATCTGGCCTCTGTTACGGTCACAACTCCCCACCTTCCAAGGTTCGGGGTACCGACCGCGGCGCCCCGCTCAGCAAGTCAGCAATGATGAGGAACGTCAATATTTGATTCCAAGAGGCCGCCGTAGAATGTCTGATGCGTTCTTTGCAAATCGCCTCACGCGCCGTGAGCGTGTTGCCATTCGAGCCTCGGATCCTCGCCGCCGGTGATGCGCTACATCCGAGCATGCGGTACGTATTTGCAGACATTCAGCTTTTGGGCGTGGCTGAGCAGAAGTGGGGGTGAAGGGTGTTATAGGTTGGGTCCCCAGAGAGCTGGACCTTGACCGCGTACTGCAGTCTCGATGATGCTTGACCTTCCGGACACTTCGCCTTTCCTACGCCTGCTGGCCTCGGCAGCTCTGGTGGCTGCACGGTCGTATGTCTACCGGTGGTCCGCGTCTGAGGAGGATACAACTGTAGCCATACAGGTTGTCGATGGACGGAGCCAGGAGTCTACCATCACCTCCTACGAATTCTTAGTGTCGCCCAACTTCGCGATCGCAGAGCTGCTCGATGCTGCTAGATCTGCTATTGCCACCATACTCTCCGCCATTGATGAGGACCGTCTTACCGTCTTCATATCCCACTCCACATCCGATGCCGATCTCTACCTCCTTGCGCCAGCCCGTGCTGCTGTCGCGGTGCTTCCTGCCGAGGACGAGGCCCCTCACTTCACGGCTCTACACGACAACTTCTGGGCTGACCGTTTGTCTGCGGCATACGTCGCAATCTCCTCGACCTCCAATCTCTCGACCCTACGGTCCATCCAAGTAGTCGCGGAAGCCGAGGAGGCAGCTCTTCTCACTCTCGGCCAAAACAACCTCCCCTCCGAAGTCACGCATCCATGCATCCACCACTACTTCGAGGAGATCGCGTATTCCTCCCCACACCTCCCCGCTCTATGCTTTGACGACCCAAGCGGCAGCGTCATTCTCACGTACGGAGAGATGAACCGGCGCTGCAGCGCACTCGCCGCCTATCTCGCTTCCACTCGCGGTATCGGGCCTGGGATCATCGTGCCAATCTTCTTCAGCAGAGGCATCGACATGCTTATCGCAATCTTCGCGGTGGTGAGTAGATGTTGCATCTTGTCGTCCTTCTAGCTCGAAGATGCTGATTTTGAATGTCTTCTCGCAGCTCAAAGCGGGCGCTAGCTACGTCCCGCTCGACCCGGATCATCCTGCGGAGCGGACTGCAGTCATAGTCGACGCCGTCAAGGGCACCGTGATCTTGACGGAGTCCAAGCTCCTCGAGGACGCTCGTTCTCGAGTGACTGGCTCTATCGCAGCAGTCGCTATAGACACCCTTCAGTCCCTTGAGGTCCCTGACGAAGGGTTTTCAGGCCGTGGATCCGGAGATGATCTCGCCTATGTCTTGTTCACATCTGGTACTACGGGTGTACCGAAGGGCGTCATGGTGCACCACACGGCTGTCGTGAACACTACCATTGACGGCCCGCCGCTGAACCAGGCGCTTCGGAAACGAGATGGGCTGCGCACTTTCATGTTTTCAAACTACGCGTTCGACGCCGTAAGTCGTTCACATCTTCGAATTCATTCCAACAAAACTAATCGCATACGCAGTCCATCTGGGACATGTTCATCACGCTTAGCTCGGGAGGATGCCTTTGTCTTGCGACGAAGGAAGCAACGATGGACGACCTCGCCGGCGTCATGCGTCGCCTCTCCGTTAACTTTGTCATGACCACGCCTACCGTCCTTTCCATCCTCGAGCCTGCAGACGTTCCATCGCTCGAGGTCGTATACAGCTGCGGCGAGATGCTCACGCCAGCGGTGCGCGACCGCTTCACGCAGGCGGGCCTGACGCTGGGAAACGTATACGGCCCGACCGAGACGACAGTCTCGTGCACGTTCGACGTCGTAGAGGATGCAACGAAGGATCCGACGGTCATCGGAAAGCCGTTCGGATGGAGTCGAGCGTACATTTTGGACGAGAACCTCAACATGGTCCCGCACGGTGCTGTCGGGACGCTCTGGATCGCCGGACCGCAGCTGAGCAAGGGATACTTAGCGCGGCCAGAGCTCACTGAGGCGTTGTTCCGCCCGGATCCATTTGCCCGCGGGGACCAGGTGGGACAGTTGATGTACAACACGGGGGACCTTTGCGCGTGGGTGCAGGACGGATATCTGAAGTGCTTCGGGCGAGCGGACGAGCAGATGAAGATCCGTGGGCAGCGAGTGGAGGTGCTCGAGATTGAGGCTGTGATCTCTCGCGTCCCCGACGTGTTCGCTGCCTGCGTAGTCAAGCGCGCGCATGATGGACGTGAAGACTTGGTCGCTTTCTACTGCGTGGAGGTGAGTGCTTACTGCATTTCCGATTTCACATGCTGTTCAACGTCGATCCGTAGAGCTCTTCGATGGACCTCGCTACTGTCAAAGATGTCATCTCGGAGACTGTCTCACACCACCTTCCTGTTTACATGCGTCCTTCTACCTTCATCCACCTCGATAAACTTCCTGTTACACCGACGGGCAAAGCCGACCGCCGCCAACTCCGCCAACGCGCAGCGGAGCTCCAGCTCGTGGTCCCGGTTGTTCAGGAAAACTCGGCAGTGCCGCGCTCAGCGACGGAAGAACTCGTCGCCCAGTGTTGGTCAGCTATCTTGTCCATTCCGCCCAACATCGTTCCCTCGACACGCGAGTTCTACGAATGTGGCGGCGACTCCATCTCAATCATTCGTCTTGCCGCAGCATTGCGTGAGAAGGGCCTTCAGCTGAAGACGAGCGATCTCAGGGCGGCGACAACTGTGACTGCGCAGGCCGCGTTAGCGCTCGAGCGGAACACGGACATTAGAGTTGTAGAGGCGCTGGTCTACAAGCCTTTCTCACTAATCTCCGGCACCACACTCTCACTGGAGAACATCGCGGAGCTTGTGGGGCGCACTGCCGACGACATTGAAGACTGCTACCCGTGCTCGTCTACGGTCTCTGGCCTTGTCTCCTTGGCTGCGAGTAACCCGCAAGTACGCTAGTTCTGTGTGAAGCGTCGCCAAATGCACTGACACAAGTCCCGCAGAGCTACTTTGCCCAGCACGCATTCCGAAAGCCCGGGAGCTACAACGCCGATAACCTTCATACCGCGTGGAAAACGGTTGTTACCCGTCATCCTATCTTGAGAACCGCTTTCATTGTTCCGCCGGCCCCTGCAACTGAGATTCTGCAGGTTGTGCTCAAGGCCGAGTGCTTTGACCTGCAGTGGACTCGTCAGCAACACGTCAACGAGTCGAGCCTGGAGCGCCCTCTGTCTCGCCAGTCTGGTTTCCACCTTGGCGTAGTGCCGACGCGCGTGGCGCTCTTGGAGGACCCTACGTCGAGCACCATGGTCCTTCAGATCCATCATTCCCAGTACGATGGCTGGAGCCTTCCTGTGATCTTGAACGATCTTCAGGAGGCGTACGAGTCACTGCAGGCTGCAAGCGATCTTCGTATCACTTCGCCTTCACTTCCTTACAGCGAATTTGTGCGTTGGACTCGCCAGCAGAACTCTATTGAGGCCCTCCAGTTCTGGACGTCCGAGCTCGAGGACGCCGCCCTCCTTTCCTGGCCCAAGGTCCCGCACGACTCGGACGGCATCGCCACTGACAGCCTGGTGTCCGCCACGTGGACCCCTCCGAATGCCTTCAACGTCGCCAAGTTCTGCAGCGAGCACAAGGTGACCGCATCCAGTCTACTTCGCCTCGCCCTCGCGGTAGTCCTCGGCATTCACGGCAATACAGATGATGTCCTGTTCGGCGTCGTCACCTCTGGGCGCTCAGGCGACCTGCCCGGCATCGAGAACGTCGTGGGTCCCTGCATCGCCACTCTTCCCTTCCGCATTCGCCTCCCGCATACGGAGTCGCTTGAATCCATCTTGGATGTCGTGCAAAAGCGGTCTTCCGCAGCGTCCGCTTACGAGTACGTCGGCCTCGCGGACATTATGAAGGCGAGCTCGTTCTCGCGTTCCCGGAGCATCTTCCAAGTTCTCCTCACGGTCGAGAACATCCCAGAGCTTGACCTCCACGCGCATCCGCTTTTCGGAAAAGACGTACATGGGCATCAGATGGAGATGAACTACCCCCTCGGTGTCACGGTCTTCCTGCTTCCGCAAAACGAGGGCTTCAAGATCGACATCGAGTATGATTCGCACCACCTCACCTCGGACGATGTCCGCTGGTTCAAGTCTCACTTGCTTGCTACGCTCGACGCCATCCTTTGCGCCCCGGGCTCGGCGCTCGCTGACATCGACATCATCGCGGACGACGAGCGCGCGTTCTTGCAACGCGTCGGCATCGGGCTCTCCCCCGATCCGACGCTCGCGTCCGAGCCCTTCGTTCATCGCCTCATCGAGAAAACGGCGCAAGCTCATCCCGACTGCGTCGCCGTCGAGCATACGAGTGGCCGTGTGCTCACCTACGCCGAGCTCGATGCGCTCGCCAACCAAGTGGCGCATGGGCTGCTCGCTCGTGGTATATCACTCGAGACGCCAATCCCTGTTCTGTTCAACAAGGATGAGGACCAGACCGAGGCCGTCGTCGTGATGGTAGCTCTTATGAAGTCTGGCGCCGCGTTTGTGCCCCTGGACGTGTCGTGGCCGGAGGCGAGGATCCTGTCCTGCGTGCGGCAGTGCAACGTGCCCTTTGTGGTGTGCGATGCAGTTGTCCCAGAGGTCGCACGATCCCTTCCTGTTCCGTTCGCGACTGTCGCAGAACTTTCTTCGGGGCAAGGGTCGGAGAAGTGCGTTCACGAAAAGCAGACACCTCGGTCATTGGCATACATCATCTTCACAAGTGGGTCCACTGGTGAGCCGAAGGGGGTTATGATCGAACACAAGAATATCATGGGCTATGTTGCAAAGTAGGTCGCTCAATTCACTCTGTAATTGATTGTGATACTGACATGGTATGCTTCAGCGGCACTACGGTGTACCCAATCAACGACGTGAAGCGCCTACTCCACTTCAGTCCGTTCTCCTTCGACCAGGGCCTGGGTGATATCTTCATGGCTCTCACTAAAGGAGCAACACTCGTGCTTGCCAACATGAGCGACGTTCTGACCGACCTCTCGGACGTTCTGAACACTACGCGCGTGGACTACACGGTCCTCACACCCGCAATCGCGCAGCTCGTCCGAAACGATGTCGAACATCCGCACTTGAAGAGTCTTCTTGTCGGGGGAGAGAAGCTTCCTGGACAGCTCGTTGATAGATGGAAAGGCAAGGTCGCGTTCATGGATGAGTACGTATTCCCACGACTTTCGCTTTACCATTCACTGACATCACGTTGCAGCTACGGACCTACAGAGGTGACCGTGAGCTGCGTAGGCATGACGTTCACAGCGACCACTCAGGCCGCTGCTGGCGTTATCGGGAGCCCATACGGCGATACGCGCGCGTACATCGTCGACCCTGCACGCCCATCTCGTCTCCTTCCCGTCGGCGCTGTTGGCGAGCTCTGCCTCTCCGGCAACCAGGTCGGGCGCGGATACCTCAATCGCCCCGATATCACAGCGGCGGCGTTTGTTCCCGACCCGTTCGCACCTGGTCTCACGATGTACCGCTCTGGCGACCGTGCGCGTTGGACGAGCGACGGCTTTATCGAGTACCTTGGCAGGCAAGACGACGCATTCGTGAAACTGCGCGGTCTTCGCATCGACACCGGCGAGGTCGAGGACGCGATCACAGGCGCTGGAGACACGTTCGCCGTCGTCGAGCTCCTGGAGCTCAGGGACCAGCCGCATCTTGTCGCATTCATCAGCCGTACGCTGGCACCTACAGGAGAGGCGGACCTCGCGCTCGCGTTCGATCCGGAGTCGGGGGACGAAGAGACCGCAAGCGGTTTGCGCGCATGGCTTGCAGACGTAGTGCAGTCCTGCCGCCAAGCCCTTCCCGCGTATGCGATCCCCACAGTTTGGCTCGCGCTGCACGCCATGCCACAGAACGTGAACAGCAAGTTCGACAGGAAGCAGCTGCGTGCGTTCTTCCGGAAGCTCGACCCTGTACACGTCGAGACATCCTCAGCGGCCCTGACGCAGACGCACGCCCCGCGCGCCGCGGAATCCGCGCTGGAGCGTGCAATCGCCCGTGTGTGGTTCAACGTCCTGGGACGCGTCGGAGACGACGCCGAAGGGGGGTTGTCGGTGCACGATGACTTCTTCGCGCTCGGTGGCGACTCGATCGGCGTTGTGCGGTTGCTCTCTGGTCTGAAAACGCTAGGGATGATGATCTCGCTCAAGGATTTTTCTGCAGGCCCTACAATCGCTGAGGTGGCCGCGTACTTTGGGTCCTCTGCGGGAAGCACGTCTCCAGAGGCGTCTGATAACGGCCTGCCCGCATTGGGCAACGGGCTCGTGTGGCAGGTCCAGAATTCCGAAAACGACGTCAAGAGTGCCACTCCTCTGTGGCTAATTCATGACGGTGCTGGGCTTGGGAATGAGTGTAAGCTTCATCCCTGATTACGTCGCTTGGTCGATGAGCTGACTCAACGTTCGCTGCAGACAAGAACATGACGTTGCTCTCTCGCCAAGTTCAAGCGATATCCAATCCGACAACGACGGTCGCCGAGCTTCGTGCACAGTTCCCTTCCTGGGACAGCTACATATCGGCATACGCGCCCCTCATCCCTGCGGACGAAAATGTATACCTCGGAGGATGGAGCTTCGGTGGCGCGGTCGCGCTCTCCATCGCCGCGCGGCGTCTCGCAGCTGGTCAGCCCGTTCGGGGGGTCGTCCTCGTCGACAGTTTCAACACGGCCGGCTGGCAGTCGCTTAAGAAGGGTATGTCGCCGGCCCCGGAACTCGCTCACGAGAAGCTGTCGGCAGATGCGTTCGCCGCGGCCCACCAGGAACACATGGACGACATCGTGGGGCAGTTCCAGAACGTGCCGCTCGCAGTCCCAGTCTTGCTCGTGCGCGCGGGGAACGGGATGGGCGTCAAGGACATCGAGAAGGCAGGCTTCCTCGTGCCGTACGGCTACCTCAGCCCCGACGCAAAGCGCAGCGTGGACAGCGGGATCGCAGGCCTCGACGTTGGGGTGGAGTCGCATGAAGGTGCTCAGATGGAGACGCGCGCGGAGGATCTGAACTTCTGGAGCAGGAGCGCGCTTCCTGCGCTCGAGGTGGTGACGATCGAGGGCGCGGACCATTACAGTTTGATGAGGGACGGCGCGCTGTGTGCGCAAGCATCCCAGGCGATTGAGAAGTGGCTCGCTAAACTGGAGGCATAGATCACGTTCGCGAATATAACAATGCAATGTCCCAAGCAGGGGCAGTTCGACTACATAGCCGGCGAGAGAGTATATAATAGACGACATGTGACCCCAACCCCAGATACATACAGAGTTAGCAAGCACCAGGGCGAACACGAGAGCGTGTACAAACGACGACCCGGGCTCGACAGCGATAAATTGAATTACTGACGATGTCTTCGCCAGCATCCCCCTCTCGCACTCCGAAGGCGTGAGCATTCCAAGAAGACCACAGGAACTTTACGGGATGAGCAAGAGGGAATCTGAGAGACCTGACTTACGACGGCCAGCCCCTTCACCTTAAGGCCCAATGGAGCAAAACAATCATCAATAACCTTCGGTCGCTTCCCGACAAAGAGAGCGTGAGCGTCACTCGACTCCGGTCGGCGAGGCGGTCGTGGCACTTGATACGAGCCGAGTATGCACAACCAAAAACATAATTGGTATTACAGAAAGCAAGTATACATGTAAAAGAGAGAAACTTGAGTCCGATTCCGAGTCAGAGACCAACGACGAGTCCAAGTTCATACCGACTCATTCGAACCAAGGAACGCAGCGGCATCTTCGCGACCTGTCGCTGGGCGGTGTTCACCACAGCGGCAAATCAGGCCTTCCCGGGCGGTCTGCTTCCAGAAGCCTTCTTGGCTGCGATCCTCCCGCTGCGGCGTATACGAGATTCGCTGGCGGCCTGAGAGCTTGACTCGGCCATTGCTGCGTTCGGAAGGGGGGGTGGGTCCATCGCAGTGCTCTTCGACCTCTTCGGGGCGGTTGGGACCTCGGAAGGATGAGGAATCTGGTCGGTATCCCCGCGCGGACGCTTCAAGCTCGATCCTGAGGCGATCTGGGATCCTCCGCTGTTGAAGGGCGTAGGCAAACTTCGAGGAAGGGGAGCCGGCTGGTGACCACGCGAGGCTTCGATACCTGCTAGAATAGCCGCCTCCTTCAACGACCGGGACAGAGGATTGGAACGATGCACGCGGTGTTTGGATTGGACTGTCGGGTAACCTGCGGGTGTGACAGAGACATTTTCGGAGGGCTTCACAGTGCGGATGTCGAAGTCGGTGTCGAGATCGCATGGGATCCAGTCGCTTTCTTTCGGCCAACCTTCCATTGCGAGAGCTTGGTCGAAGACAAGGAGAACATCTTTATGCGTAAAAGCAATACCGCCGAAGGCCTGCTTGTGGATCAGGTCTGAGAATCTTGCGACGAGCGTCGTGAGGGGAACATTGGCGATGATGACCAGCGGCACCTTGCTGAAGTTCATCACCCAAGCCAGTTTGTGGTTGTATGAGTCGTCCTGCTTGAAGAGATCTGCGCAAGCTGCCTTTCCGGACCGGTGCAGTGTCGGCCGCTTGCAGTTGGTGTGTCGCAACACCACCCACAAAAGTACCCAGTAGTACGACTCCAAGTCATGGCGAGGAAGATGAAGCACACCCGAGACAAGTTCCGCAGGGTTAACGAGGTCCATGGCCATGAAATAGTACGTTCCCTAACACATGTCGTCAGCCAGAATAGACGAGCCTGTCAGACGAACATGAGACTCACTGTGCGCTCTTTGTGCCGCACGATATCATCCCCATCATCGTTCGTGACATCAGCCTCATCGTCTTCCGCGAAATCAGCGCCATCATCGCCCGATATGTTCTCCTGTGTAGTGCTCCCTTCGTCTTCGGTAGATTCAATAGCGCTATAGTCGAGGTCGTGCATAAATCCATATTCGTCTTCATCGTCTTCACGCTCGTCCAGGATGAGAACGTTCCCAAGGCTGACATCTCGATGCAACACCCGGGCTTCTTCCCATGCCTGCTTGTGACCTATATCGGTATACGTCAGCCATGCACGCATCTAAACTACGAGCTTGATGCATCACATACCGCGGATGGCGTCCCTGATAGCTAAGACCAGCTCCTGCGTCGTAATGAACTCCGTGAGAGGACGCCCGACTTCTTCGATAACTATCCTCATGTGGCTGCGCTCTCGGTGCCAGTATTCGTCGCCCAAGAGACGCCAAGAATAGGTTTGGTGCTGCGTTTGATGGAGGGGGTAGTCCCGTTCGGGGAGATGGTCTGGTGCCGGGGGGACCGACGTCTTCACGTGCCCGCTCCCGATAGAAGAGAAGGGCAAGTAGCTTTCATGCGGATCCAACGACTCCATCGTGGTGCTTGAATGTGTACCACCCTCTCCGGAGAGCGCATTGTCCGATGGCCTTTGCGCTGCCCTGGCCTTCCATCGCAACTCGAACACTCCGATATCGCCGCCGCATTCCATAGTAGCAATCCCGCGCCGTTTCCCTTGGATCCTCGCGTCGAGCCGCTCGTAGAACTCCGACTCCGCCGTTCGAACGAGTTGACGCCAAGACTCTTTCATGATCCTGGGTTTGATCTCCTTCGTAGAGCTTGGGTCGTGGACGAGGTGTCCGTCCTTGAAAACACGAGTATCCTCAATGGCGCGCCAGACCATCGTCGCTCGCGAGAATAACCGGCCGTTCGCATCTACCAGGTGGTAGAGAACGTACGGAACACACCTCCCAGTCTTCTGGTCGTAGACTTCGACCCGTCGACCCATATCCAGCTCACCTACATGCTTGTCCCAATTCTTCGCGCTCATCTCACGCAGCCGTTCCTTCACCCACACCTGGTCCTCCGGGCCGAGCCTTGCTACGGTAGGGTCGCAGCCGACGACTGTGTTTCCGACAACGGGATGGACAAAGTGCCAAAGGAACTTCTTGAGGAGTTTCACGCCTCCCGCTCCAGCGGCCAAGCTGATCGGGGGGGCGACAAGGGCGCAAGCATGATCAAAGCGAATGAGACGGACAGTTCTGCCATAGATGCCGACAATAAACGCGGAGAGAAAACCGTGTGCGAGAAGGAGGTTCCTCGCGTTTTTGGCCAGCTGCTGGGTTGTAAGACTTTGTTTTTGGCCAGTCCACGCGAACGGGTCATCCTTCTCGTGCGCCTTGACTTCCATGACCATCGAGATCTCCTTCCACGTCGCAGGGTCGCTGATCGTTTCCCCGGGAAACGATACGGTAATGTCGGGGTAGGTGAGGTGATGGTTCTTCTTGAACGCCTTGAAAGGGAAATTGAACGCGTTCCCGTGGGTATCGGCCATTGTAAGTCGCTTGTCTTCCGGGAAAGTGGCAACGAGAGCGTTCAAGGCCTTGAGCTACATAGCCTGTCAGCATCATGCAAAGTGACACACGTCAAGGTAGCCACTCACCAGAGAAGGATACTCGCGCAACTCCTGGCCCTCCTCCGGGTTGTATGCTTTGAAGATGGCGTCTAGCTTCTTTTCCTCCTTCACATCGATGGTGGGGAAAGACGTCGGCTCAGAGTCGCTTGGAGACGGAGTCGGAAGCAGTTCGTTGATGAAGGCATCGGCTGAGCGAGGAAACTGCAAGATGCGGCCTTCGAGCTCGCTCTGCCAGCCTCTCTTGACGGTTTCGCTACCCTGTCGAACATCTGCTTTCGTGTTAGCGTGGTGGCCGGGACCCTTGAGTTTCGCAGGGGTAGCTTTGGTAGCCATACCTGAGCCGCTCGAACAGCTCGCAATGCTGCAGCAGGAGCATGTTGAGATAGACATCTTATAGTGTCGTGCGTTGAGGGTAGAGCAGGTAGGTGGTGGATGGTGGCTAGGATGAACAATGGAGGGATTGGAAGCGCCGGGCGTTCAACTTCAAGTCCTGCCTCTCAGATCGGCGGAGTCTCGCATAAGTCTAAATCACCTGTTTATTCGTCCAGCCATGGCGTTCGCACCTTTATCTCATTGTCTGCAGAGCTGCGTATGGCTGGCGGGGTGGGATTAGCTTTGTCACGGCATGCTGCGGCGCGCGAGCGGGGGGTGACGTACCCTTACGGTTTGCCAAAGGCAATATATGCTCTTGGTCTTCAGTGAGCTTTATGACGTGCCTGTTGTGTGATTGTTCGATATGTTAGCCCATGGGATGGCTAAGGAAGACGATCGGCAGCCCACTGTGTGCCGCGAGTCAGAGGTGGGACTTTGGCTTGCCTGGGAGATTGATACCGGGTGAATTGTGCCGCTTGCAGCTGGTCTGACACGATCTAGAGTTCCAGTAGAGAACTGCAGCCCTGGCCCCCAACTACATGCAACAGGTCGTAGTTTCGCGGTTCCTTCAACTCCGCCACCAGTGTGACAAGTTCGAGTTTCGGCTGTTTCCGAGATTCTGGCGCCCATTTCTGCTGGACACGCGCGGCGCGCGCCGTGGCCTACCGTGGCCACTGGCCCGCTACCTGAGCAGTTTATTTTGTTCCTTTGAACGTCGAAGTTATTTGGGTACCATTGATAGGTGGGCGCGTCACGTCTGGAACTCAATAGCCCTTTGAGAAACGTGGCGCCAGCGAGTAATTTCCTCCGCCACTGACTATTAACCACCGCCCTCGGTCGGATTCTACCAAGTAATATCCGAGACAAAGTCATCAGGGCTCTACAAGGCCGCAGTAAGCTACACGCGATTCATGAAGCGCAGTGCTGCAAACGACGACGCGCCCGCGAAGAGGGTCAATGCCGTTAGGGACCACATCGTCGCAGAGATTGCGCTTGTGCTCCCTGGCCGCGGCGGGAGCGCTGCCTCCGCAGAACGCAGCTTCTTGACTCCCTGGAATAAGAAGCATGTTAGGAACCGACCCGGTATCTCTTCTAGATGATCCCATGTGCGCACCTCGAGGGTGTACGGAGGAAACCTGTATTTGAACACGAGCTTGTCGACCCTTGGGGCGCGGAACATGAGTGTTTAGTAACCAGTAGGAGCGACAGATTGCGCGACGTACCACACAGGGTTGTTCAGAGAGACCCGAAGGTGCACGAATTGATCGAAGCCGTGCTTGCCAGTGTAGTAGCCATCTGTATGTTTGTTGTCAGCGACACAGTCAAAAGCCCACAGAGTGACTTACATCCAGCCGATCCCTTTCCGCCTGCCGGGAGTCCAGGAGCTATTGGATCGTGATAAGGTGCATTATATATTGGAGGCAGACGAGATCGACATACCTCCGACTGCAACCAGAGTCTCGTTGATCATAACGGAGCCACTTTGCGTGTTATCCATGACTAGTGATGCAGAAGCGTCAGGCGATTGGGTTGGCCGATTGGTCATTTCAGCGTACTGACCCTTATCGTGGAAGTGCTTGTCATGCGAGAAGACGTAGATACTGAGAGGTATATCTCTGCGGAAAACAATCGCATCAAACGTCTTCCGAGTACAGAAGAGCAAAGTACCTGGAATTCACGAATGCGATAGCTTCGTCCATGCTCCTCACAGGCACGAGCACGAGCACGGGACCGAATATCTCCCTGCCACACAACATAAGCTCATCAGCCCATCCCAAGAAATGCCGACTGGCACTCACTCCGACATCAAGGAGTCGTCGCCGCGGACACCGCTCACCACGGTCGGGGCGACGTACTTCTCGGGGACGTCAACTTCTCCGCCAAACTCAATCTTGCCTGTAGTACCCTCGATGAGCCCCTTGATCCTCGCAGAATGAGCCTCGGTGACGATGCGCCCGAAGGACGCAGAACTCTTGGGACCCTCGGGGAAGAATGTATCGTGGCTAGCAGGGAGCAGTCAGCGCCCGGCAGGGAACTTCGACGAAAGCTGGGCAACTCACGCTGCCCGGAGCGCCCCCACGAGCGCGTCTTGTATCTCCTCCGGCACGAGGACATACTCTGGCGCCATGCAGATCTAGGACGTAGAACCATGAGCACTCGACCGCGAAATCCGGAAAGTCGTACTCACCTGGCCCGCGTTGGACACCCGCCCCCACAAAACCCGCCTTGCGGTCATAGCAAGGTCAACCTTGGGATCGACAAACACAGGGTTCTTGCCTTGATCCCAAGTCAGAGAAGCGCTACTGCGGGGTAATTTTACTAGCACGTACCTCCAAGCTAGGTCATGGTCAGTACTTCAGAGAGAGGAGAGCATTGTATTTGAATGACGCGGAACTCACCTCCAATGTCAAAGGAGTCAGATACTTGGATGCTGCCTGAGCGACGATGCGCGCGACGCGGCTATTTCCTACACGTACATCAGACGCAAGCCTACAGACCTTCATCGAAGGCGCGAACATACCCGTATACATAACTTGAATGCATTGGTTTGTAGGTGAGCGCGAGAACGCATGTCAGAAAAATCGGGGCGCACTATGGTCCCACTGAAGCTCGAGGATCTACAGAGGCAATCAGCTTCGCGCGAGCCAACAGTTCAAATCAATGGGCCGACCTTCGTCGTCTCCTGTATAGCGCCATTGATGACATGATACAGTTCCGAATCAAGGTACTTGGGAAGCAGCTCCGCCAGCAGCGCGCTGAACACGGGCGTGTGCTCCGGCGGCTTCAGCACCACCGCATTGCCACCCGCAATAGCGCTGATCTACATCCCCGCCTCGGTCAGCTCTGTTACTTCAGCCCGAACCCACGCGCACACGCACCAGGGGGACCAGGAGGAGGAAGAGCGGGTAGTTGAACGGCGCGATCACCAGCACGACGCCCTTCGGCTGCGGTACAAGGCGCGGGCGCATGAAGAACCAGTTCGCGGAGAAGGCCGGGCTCTGCGCCGCGGTCCACGCGCCGATGCTGTCGTACGCCATGCGCGCCTCCGCGTAGACGATCCCGAAGTCGAAGCTGCACACGCGCCGCAAGTAAGCCTGGGGCACTCGTGTGAGAGCACGGGCAGAACAGAGGCGTACAATTCGGTCTCGAGGTACGGCCGCCCGAGGTCGGCCTTCAGCGCGTCCTTGAAGCGCTGCTCGTTGTCCTTCACGAGGTACCCCACCTGCGCGATCTGCTCCTTGCGGAAGGCGACAGACTTGGCCTTGCCGGACAGCCAGGCGCGCTGCGCCGTGTCATGGATCTGGGATGCAAGGAAGACGTCAGCTCCTTGCGAAGGATGCATCGCCGAGGGTGAACGCCGTGCCTTGGGAATATCCTCGAGGGATGTGTAAGTCAACGACATCCTGGTGGAAAGCTGTCACTGGGAGGAAAGCCGGGCCCGCTGCAAGACGACCGCCACCTTTAAGAGGGGGCGCCGTCCGCACGCGGCCCACAAACTCTAACTTAGTCGCTGAAACGGTTTCCCTCGGCTGGGGAGAGCACCTGGAGAATCGGAGTGAGAAGGTACGGAGCGCGGAGGCAAGCGTGGAACTGCTACATCCAAGCGCGGCTACGCCGGGTCGTCATTGATTATGCTTATTCCTTTCGGGCACAATAAGCACAGATCTGGCATGACTCGCACATGAGAAAAGCTTTCAGGAAGCATGGAACGGGCGCTGAGACGCAAAGCCCGAAGCCCGAGACACACGTCCGCGGGCGTAGCGACTTGCAGCGCGGGCGAGCTGACCCCCAATTCACAGAAAGACGGAGGACGGCGCGGCACTAGTTATCGGGTCCCGAGAACACAAAACTAGGTTCTCGAAGCGCGAAGGCATAGGCATGCAACCCACGCACGCACAACTGCGCAGACTGTACGATCGAAAACACGACGAACGTTACCCAGAGCGATATAGACATACAACCCACACCGGTTACGTATAGCACACACACCTCTCTCTCCCCAGGTCCTCCCCACGCCCTCGACGCGTCTAATCGTCCTTCTTCCCGCTGTCGGCCCGCCGCGCCATCGGAGGCGGCCCATTCGCCTGCTGCGACGCAAACGCGCCCGCGCCGTTCGCAGTATTCGGCGTTGGGGGGAAGTGCGCATACAGCCCCGGGGTGCCCGGGGTCGACAGCAGCCCGGAGCCGTTGGGCGTGTACGGCGAGCCCGCGGTCGCGGCCGGGGGGAACGGCGATCCTGGGGTGCCGCCGACCATCGAGACTGGCCGTGAGGGCGGCGCCGGGCGCGGACTGAGCATGGGGGAGCCGAGGCCGAGGCCGTACGTCGCGCTGCCCCCTGGGGTCCCCGGGGCGAGGTTCGGGCTGCCGGGGAAGGAGGGCGCGTACGGGCTGGGGGCGGCGGAGTGCGGGGAGCCGAAGCCCGCGGAGACGGGGGTGCCCGCGTAGCTGCCGTACGGGCTGCCGCCGTCGACGACCCAGGAGTTGCCCTGGCGGACGACGCGGGTCGAGGGGCGGAGGCGGAGGTCGCCCGAGCCGAACTTCTTGCGCAGGTTGCCGCTGATCCCGGAGGACTCGGCGGCGACGATCCCGTTCGTCTTGTCTGCGCCGGTGACGGCGTCGACGGCGTGGCCTGTGATCTTCACGGCGTAGCCCATGCAGACGAAGACGCCGCCGATGACGCCGACGGTTCTGTAGGAGCTGGTGAGTGGTCCACCCAGCCATGTGCAAGGAGAGAGACGAACCGAATGAAGAGCTGGACGAATGAGGTGGTGCGTTGGTGGATGGTGAGCTTCATGGGCTCCAAGTCAAACTTGAAGAAGATGCCGGGCGTTCCGCGATGGTGGTCCAGAACCCGAGTGTAATGAGTGACGCTATACTGGTTGGTGTTGAGAGGCTTGGTGCGCGGAGCGATGTAGGTGGTCGGGACGACATGCAGGTAATATTGATATGCGACAAATGCTGCAGAAGATGAGCTTTCGGTAATATGTATGCGTGCGTAGGACATACGTTCAGAGGTGAGCTCGAATGAGTTGTCGAGTGGTTGAGTGATGTCCGGGAAATAGGGCCCAAAAGAGAACTCAGTAATCACATGCGAGAGGTTCATGACTGCGCAAAGTTAGTGACTGTGCCTGAAATTATGTGGCATTAGACGTACGTTTGTGGTCAACATGCGTTTGGCTAGCATAACCGTGCCCCAGAGTGGTGATATGCAGGTTTGCTGTAAAACAGTGTCAGCAATAGAAACGCGGACAGTGTCCTTGCGCAGGAGTTCCGCGACCCAAGTATGTTGGGAGTCGAAGCGAAGGCCGGACGTTAACAGCTACATATGGCTCCCACATGCCCTTCTAGCGCGACGAGATATTTGTTACTAACGACGCGAAGGATGGTGCTCCGGTACGAATCGGAGCCCCGCAGCTTGGAGCCATGCACCTATTTGAAAAGGCAGACTTACCAGTTACGCGTTTTGCGGTAATTGTTCCGAAGACCCTGCATGCACTTCCGTCCGGCTGGTAGTTGTAGGTAGGCTTGTACCGGACGGCCGCCCTCCGCAGAAGGACGTCGAAGAACCCGCGGGAGCTCCTCGACTGCGAGACCGCTTGACGCGCGGACAGTGCTTCCGCATGCTCCTTCAGCGAGGTGGCCTGTCCAATGTCGAACTTCGTACCGTCGCGGCGGAATCCATCGCTGAGGAACAGTCGGTCGCCCACCGCGTCTCTGAGATCAACGCTGAGGACTGCAACCAAGAGGCTGAAGGTTATGCGCATTCCACGCGGCGTCGCAGAAGGTGTTTACTCACATTGACAGGGCATGTTAATCACCATGTCCACGTTTATGTCCAATGCATTGGTCTGGTCGGTATCAACACCGAACTCGTAGTCCGGCCAGCCCCAGATGTACTCTCCAATATCGTTCAGAACCAGCAGGAAAGCCACGAACGCCACGAAGAGAGTGAGAAAGCCACGGGACTCTGAGCGCGTCTTGTAGGAGGAGGGGACCTTGGGGAAAGCGTCGAACTGCGCGAGCGGTGCGGGCACCATTTCGTCCAATTTGTCGAGCAGGGAGGGAGAGCCAGGCCGTTCGACGGTCTTGGTCATCGTGGCCATCGTCGCCGTTGTCGACGAAGAGGAGGGGAGGCAGCTGCCAGCGCGGCGACGAGGGGGAGAGGTATAAAGCTGGGAGTGCGAGCAGCGGAAGCGCCGAGCCTACGTGGTCGCCAGACCCGTGACCCGCGCCTTCTCTCCCCCCATCCTCGTCTGCGCTTTCTGAAATCTCCGGTCCGCGAGGTTGCCCCGACAATCCTCTCTCTTCCGCCTGCTGGATCCACTCGGTCTCGACAGAAAGGCCCCACAGGCTCGACAATTACGCAACCCACCACCTCAGGAGATCTCGACTGTGACCTCGTGCAACATCATTCTCCTCGCGCTGCTTTTCTGCCAACTTGGGCCTGGGCAACTGGTCTACATATAACCTGGGTCTGTTCTTGTGACTTCATCTGCTCTCTTGCGAGTCTGCTGGCATGACGATGACGCAAAGAAGGTCTCAGCACGCTACCCCTTAGAGGGTGAAAAGACTACCGCCGGAGCAGCTATCACGTCCTTTGATCGCGCTACCCGAGCGGTTCTACGCTCTGTGCCTAGGCATAGAATGCTTCAGTGGAGCTGGGATGTCATGAGACTCTCTGCGGTGAGTCCGAGACTGATTCATCGTCATTGGTAGATACTATGCTTCAATAGATGCATTCTTCAACTTCACTCCGTGAAGCCCATTTAGGGTTCCGCATGCGAAAGGGTGCCAGGGTTGTGCGACACTCGGTGTCCATATTATTTACGACGGCCAATGGTCTGTCCTACTCTGTTCATCAACGAGGTTCATTGAACGAGTACGCTCACCTGATCCTGGAACACCACCTTCGGCGGATTCTTAATGTTCACGTCGAGGTCAGGACCCTGCTCTTTCGCGTCTTGTTTATTCACGATAATAGCTTCGACCTTTGCGACCGACACTCGCAGCGTTAGACTCAGATTCTCGCAGATAATGGCAGCGCGCCGCTCACCTCTCCTTGACGCTTTCCGCCCCTGAACCTCGTCGCAACGCTGTCGCCAACTTCAATGGCGCAACCCTCCTTGTCTGTGATCTCTTCCTGAAAAACGGTACGCATCCCAGCTCAATCTGTGACCTTCGTCGTGGGAATGGGCATGTCGGACATACCGGCATAGTGATAGTTCCAGGTAGTCGGTGTGTCAGTAAACGGAGACTTCAGAACATGTTGTTCAAACGCTGCGCCCCTGGGGTATACGTATGTGGACCAGGCATGCTACGTCACCTGGTGGGGCGGGTCCCGTCCTTCATCATTAACTGGCTCACGGTGGCTTCATTGCTTCGTGCATGACCAGGTCGATCGTGCCGCATACAGTTGGTGAATTCGCGATGTACACCAGCATCTATGTGGTCATTGACGAGCGAGTGTACACAGGTGGTCCTAGCTGACTTGTGTAGCAAAGTAAACAATGGTGTGCATCGGTATACACCATTGATGAACGAGATATTGGGGCGTGGCTCGGAAGATGAAAGTTCAAGTACTCTCCTGAGATGCCTAATCTCAAGTTTTCGGTGGAAGTTGTCCTCACATTGTACATCAGGTCCGCTGACGCACCGCTGCGCAATCTGACCTCGCAGCGGCCCTGATGTGATGCGGATTTACTGGCAGAGTATAACCTACCAGATCATACCGTCTTTGGGAAATAGCAAAACACTGACACCGAGCTCTACAACCTCCTTCCCCCGGCCTGGCCTCTGCGCGCAAGTCGGCGGGACTTGCCGGTGCGTATTTACCTCTGTTTGGCTTAGTTTCGCACTCACTCTAGAGTTCACTCGAGTAATCTAGGCGCACCCAGTTCCATCTGGCGACACCCTTTGCTTCTGCCCTAAGCCTAACAGACACCATCAATGACCAAGCCGCCTTGGTGCGACTCAACACGTTTGGAGTACGTTTGACTAATCGTTGCGAGCCGTTCGTCATCCGGGCTCGCTGACGTGCTGTGGCAACACACCTCAGAAGCTGCACCATCCCAATGCATCGGGAACCTCATCCGCGAGTACATGACAAATGGAACGGTACGTCCCACTGTGACCACCCGCTTGCGCGCGCTGACATTCTACATTGCAAGCTTCCCGCGGACAACCGCTGTGTATGCGAGGTGGATCCCGACTTCGAGGTCTTCCCTGGAGTCACCGTCGAGAGAATTATGGCCAGCCTTCCTGACGGCTCCGGCGCGCGGTGAAGCCACTTCGCGCCTTTTGCGCCAGAAGCGATCGCGGTCTGCGAAAGAGGCTCTCAAGGTCGTCCGCTGCGTCAGGAGCGGATCTATTCATCAAGGAGGCCCGTACGTACGGTATGAACAGCGGTTGGTTTGGCGTAGCAATAGGCACATTCCTCGGCATCCCTTTCATAGAGAGACAGTAACCCTTTCAAAGTGAATGTCGTAAGGAACACTTACGAAGCATGGAGAGAAGGATGGCGAAACCTTGGACTCAGAGTCGACTGGGTGGGGCACCACCCTAACCTCGGGCCTCGGGCAGGTTCAGGCCTCAGGCCTCAGGCCTCAGGCCTCAGGCATCGCACAGCGCCACGCGACGTCTCCGTCGTGGTCGTGCTCATGCCCTGCACCCGAGTCCGGACTGCTATTGTACTCCTCGATATCGTACCACTTCAGATCTAGCCTGAGATGTGTGGCACGGAGAGTTTCCCTCGCGGCGCAAGCCCTGCGGTTGGTCATCGCACGGCGCTGAAGAGCCCGATCAGTATCGGACACATTCTACGTACCGTATGACTTCAATAAGTGCCCCCGCATACTCGCGAGTGCCAATTCTCAGTGATGCAGAAACGTTGGAGGAAAGCAGAGAGCGAGAACTGGAATTGAATACAAGCATGTACACGCAAATGTACAGATACAAATCGAAAGATAGAGTACAATAGAGATGTCCGCCGAGAACTAAAACCCACCACGAGACGCCTGATCAAGTCCCTTCTGAGTGCAACTTCCTCTCCAGCGCAGCCCGTACCCGTGCGCTCTGTCGTGGTGCCACTAACGGTTCCTGCCCTGGGCGCGACTGCGATCTAGTCACCCGACGCGGCCCTTCGTTCGTCTTGACTCTTTTTCTGCGACTGCTCGTGGGGTCCGGGCTCTCGGACATCCATGCGGTACCACGAGAGTCGAGCTCGTCTTCCTCCTCGTCCAGAGTCTGGCAAGTCCGCTTCTTCGGGGAAACGTCGGGGAGTAGACGAGGGTCCAGAGAATGAGGTGCCGGGAGATCCGGGTGAGTGGGAAGGGGAGGGAGTTTTCGCTCGCCGTTAGAAGGAGGAGCGCCTTCATCGAGAGCAGTGACGACACCGGGTAGGTTTACGACATCAGCGATACCAGTTCGTCCGTCGCCCTTGAGCAACTTGCACGGCTGCCAGTCGCGATTGGGCCAGCCCGGCATCTTGATTGCCTCGTCGAAGATCTTCAACACCCCTTCATAGTCTAGAAGGACACGGGTAGCTCTTTTACGGCGAGTGGGAAGGTGGTCCAGGACGATGCACGCGAGCTCGTCCATAAGATAGGTGAGGGGCTTGTTCTTGGGGATGTTCAAGCTTCCGCTTTCGAGCCATTTCATTTTCGCAGCCGCGCTGCTGTCGTCGTTGCCGAACGTGAAGATCAAGCTGCAAAGGTCGTCGCCCAGCATATGATCGTGCGCTGTATGACGAACAACGACCCAAAGAAGGACCCAGTAGAACGACTCCAGGTCGTGATGAGTGTTGTGGATGATGCCTGGGACATCCAGGATTTCGTATGCCATGAAGTAGTAGGTACCCTGCAACAAGCACAGCATAAGACGACGTCTCGAACAGTAGGCTTCCTGAGACCTACCGTGCGCTCTTTGTACTTGGCGGGGTCATCGGGAGCGATCGATGTCTGCGTAGGGTCCCCTTCTCCAGGCTCTGCGAGCGGATCGGACTCCTCCATCTCAGGTTCGTCATCATCGTCAGGCTCCATTGCGCTATAGTCGTAGTCATGGAGGAAACCATCAAATTTCCTCTTTTCCCCGACTTCGTCTGAAATCAAAATGTTGCCGACGCTCACGTCGCGATGCAACACGCTCGCCTGCTCCCAGGCCAGTTTATGCCCTGAAAGATGATGAATAGCTGGTCGAAATGCGAAGATGACATAAAGCTTACCTCGGATCGCGTCTCGTACCGCGCAGACGAGCTCGAGAGTAGACTCGAAGTCCGTGAGCGGACGCCCGACATCGTCGATGATGATGCGCATATGACTGCGCTCCCGGTGCCACTGTTTGTCATTGTGCGCGAGCCGCCAGGAGTAAGTTTGGTGCTGGGTGTGGGGGAGCGGAAAGTCTGCGCTTGGAATATATTTTTCGGGAGACTCGACGCTGGAAACTAGCGGAGACTTCGAGCTGCCGATGGAGGTGAACAGCCTTGATGATGAGGCTGGGTTGGATGGGCCGGCTTCTCGCACATCCTCGACGGTAGCGTCTGCGTGCGATAAGCTCGATGCTTCCTTTCGACGGCGCTCTGTCTCTTTCCACCACCGTGCCTCGAACTCTCCGAGGTCGCCGCCGCATACCATCGTCGCGAGACCGTAGCGCTCTGTTGAGTTGATCTTTCTATTGATGCGTTTGTAGAACTTGGACTCCGCTGTGCGGACCAGCTGTCGCCATGCCTCCTTCAAGATCTGTGGTTTGACGGGTGTGGTGCGCTCGCGATCCCGAACCAGTCGCCCGTTCTTCCAAATACGGGTATCTTCGATCGCCCGCCATACCATCGTTGCCCGAGAGAACAACCTCCCGTTTACGTCGAGGACCTGGTAAAGCAGGTAGGGCACGCAGCGACCCGTCTCCTCGTCGTATACCTCGACGCGCCGACCCTTCTCGATTTCGTTGACGTGGTCCTGCCAATGCGTAACATGCGCCCTCTGCAGCTCGTCCTTGATCCATTCCTGGTCACGGACACTGAGCTGCCTCACTGTTGGGTCGCTGCCGACGATTCCGTTGCCGACAACGGGGCGGGTGAAGTGCCAGAGGAACTTCTGCAGCAGTCTCCGCCCAGACTCTGTGTTGATATAAAACGGCTTCGAGACGAGGGCGCATGCGTGGTCAAAGCGCACGAGGCGAACGGTGTTGCCATAGATGCCGACGACGAAGGCCGCGAGGAGGCCGTGGGCAAGCATGATGTTGCGCGCGTTCTTCGCCATCTGCTCTATTGTACCAGTGTGCTTCCTGGCGTCCCGGACGAACGGATCCTTGACGGCTACGTCCTTGCTCTCGACGACTAGCGAGAGGCTCTGCCATGACTTTTCGACGAGTGGCTTGCCAGGGAAAGAGACGGATATATCCGGTGCGGTGGAATGATGATGAGCAATAAATGCGTCAAAGGGAAAGTTGATCTTTTGATGGTGGGCATCGGCGAACGTGAGTCTTCTACTGGCCGGGAAGGGCTCAACGAGTGTCGTGAGACCTGAGACCTGTGGAGAGGGTCAGAGCAGCAGTCGCGGGGATATGAGGCTAATACGCACCAAGTTGGGGTACTCCTCAATCTCCCTGCCTGGTCCCGGTTTGTAGTCCTTGAATGCATCCTTCAAGTCGTCGTTCAACGTGTAAGGTGTAGAGCAAGGGAGGAGGGTGTTGATGAAGTCGTCGACGGTCTTGCCATAGAAGTGGACGCGTCCGCTGAGCTCGCTAGCCCAGGCATCCCTGTTCTGAGGGTTCGTCTTATTCCTGTCTGACGCACGTACAATCGCCTGTTGGCTTTTCTTGGCGCGGGGAGTAGCTTTGAGAGGCATACCTGAAGAGAGCGAGGAAGAGTTGCAGTACGGGCATGTTGAGATGGACATCTTTATAGTCCTGCGCGTGTGTTCGGATTTCGACTGTTGTGGTGGAGGTGGCTAAGATGGACAAAGGAGAGAGAGGGGTGTGTCCAAGCGCCGATAATACGCCCCGCCACGCGTGATGGTAGATCCGTCGGAGTTTATCGTCAGAATGTGGAAACCAAACAAATTCAGCGGTGAATAAGCTCACCGAGGGTAGGATAATGGGGGTGGCGTTTTATCGCTCTAAGGCTGGAAGTCAGTCAAGATCCGGCGCCTGCGAGCACGAATGGCGTCTGGATGATGGCGCGGGCCAGGTGGGCGGCTTCCGGCCCCCGTAGTTTTGTGGCTAGAGCAAAGAAAAACTCTTTGGTCCGGGCCCGAGCACAATGCCAGATGATAGATCTGTACGGTGCCCGAGTCTGGTCAGCGCGTTCCCTGGACTCGGAAAGGTGAACTCTCTTCCTCTCACATACTATTTGCACGGTGTGTAATAGTATCCACTAAATTCAGCAGTTTTACCTAGGAATTCAAAAGTCGAGCATCCGGTCGTGGTGGATGTTCGAAACGTTGAAGTTCAACCCCAGGCACCACGCCACTGGTGGCATGAGCGCTTCCAATAAGCGCCCAGTTGGCACTGGCAACAACACAAATTTATACATGCCATCATGCCAGACCGCTTGAACGGGGCCGAAAGGTCATGCTAAGCGTTCTCGGGGTAGATACATAGCCTAGACTCAATTATCCAATTTGAAGATGCTTGACGGCGAATGATGAGTTACGCGACTGACATCGTGGACATCGCGCGAGATCTCAGGAGACGGCCCTGAATCACTATGTACTAACTGAGACCGACATTAGGTATAGGTAGAGCATACCGAAGGGATGCGCGCCTTGAATTTATTCACCACCAAAGATAGAGGGAGAGGAGATGCCCGGGCTTGCGTACGACGGTGGTAACTTGGCCAACCCGTACGCATGAATAGCGTCTAGCGGCAGCCCGAGAGGCCTGGCGCACTTTCTACGAGTCTCACCGACATGTCACCAGTTCAAACTAGACGGGTTCCGCGTAAACGACGTAGGCTATGAGAGCACCAGTCGCGACAGTACAGCAAATATTATGATCATACAACAACGGGATACCGAGGGGTACCCTAAAACGCAGCAGCAGGAGACGCACTTCCAAATTTCAAAACATACAACAGGCAAACTCGCAAAAGAACCGACATAGCATCACATTCAACCCCAGTATGTAGAAATGATACGTAAAACAAGGACCCTGTGTAAGCAGAATTTGCGAAAATAACGGACGAGGCGGAGGTCGCCACAACGGGCTTCCAGCAGCCACCGGCGCGTATCTGCCGCACGCCACCGCCCTGCGGAACGCTACACTCCATGAGTGGAGTCCTATGTAGTCGCAAAGGCTTATTGACAAGATCATACCTGGATGCACCAACCAAGGGAACCTCCATGTCGACACCCATGACCGCCCGGGGTCATACCACAGCCGTCGCTCCCACTACCGTCAGGATGTCCACGTCCATAGCGTCAACCTCGCGTTTCACGGACGACGCGCGCGTCGAGGACGCCATCACCGGGCCATCGGAGATCTCATCGTCGACGACGATAGGGCACTCCTGCGACCCGACGCGAGGGGTATCCTCGCGCTCCAAAAGCTCGATCGGGTCCGGCATGCACGCCGCGCGATGCGGACCCCTCGCATCCGCGGGCGGGCTCGGCGGCCCTGCGTTCGCCCCCGATCCCGATCCCGACGCGGCCTTCGACGCTGCGATGACGATCGACGGGCCGGCCTGCGAATCTCCGTTGAAATCTAGGCGGCGCGGGAGGGGAATGGGGGCGGACGGACACGAGGTTGGCGGGGAAGTTGACGGGGTCGCGAGAGAAGAGGGCGCAGGAGGTGGCGGTAGGAATATGAAGTGATGCTCTAAGTTCGGCTTCCGCTCGGGTGCGCGAGACGGCATTTCGACAGAATTCGGGCTGGAGACCGCCGGGCGAGCTGGGCCTTTCAGCTTCAGAGTCGGAAGTGGAGAGCGAGCTAAAGCATGGGGACTGGAAGCTGGGGGATGCACATTGGGACGCGGTTTGACTAAAGGTGAGGATGGGAAAGCACTCGTGCTCGGCGCGGTGGTGCCCGCAGGGTTAGGAGCTGGCGGCTTCAGTTTGATGCGCACGCGGGGGAGCGTCGGGTGAGCAGTGGCATGAACCTTGGATGTGGAAGCCGAGCGCGGGGATAGAAGAGGCGTGTTACGGGCACTGAGACAGGAGCCGGATGGGCGCGAGCTGGGGCCAGGCGACGCACTCCTAAAGCCGCTCGTTTTGACGGTGCTGACGAGCTCGTCGATAGACTGGTCGAACTCGGACTTGTAGCCTTCATCCGAGGCGCTCCGGCGAGCTGCTTTCGTGGGCGACTCTAGGAAAGAATCGTCGTACGGGGATGCGGGACGCTTCAGGGGTCGGAGTGGTGTCGCGGACGATGACGAAGGTTTTGCGTTCATGGTGTTCGCATCACGACTCTTGTGCTTGGGCCTGGGCGGTTGAGGGTCCGCGTGCGAGCTTCCCGAGCCAGACGGTGTGGCAGAAGGGGCGGCGCTGGGGCGCTCTCCACGAATGTCCCGGTGCTTCTTGGGTTTGGACACAGTCGCACGCTTTGCTCTCGCCTGGGCGGCAGTGTCGGAGCTCGTAGAGTCGCGTAACGGGACCGGGGGCTGGCCTGGTAACCTCTGGAATCAAAAGCTCTGTGAGTATCTGGGGAAGTGGATTTGTACATTACGACGGAGACGTACGTGCAGCTCGAACACGCAAACCTGAAATCCACTGCGCCCGGTCTGCATCTTCGCCTAGCACCGCAGGTGAGCGCGAGCTACGCGCGAAACCATGGCGGCTACGCACCTGCTCGACCGTGTACAATCCATCGTACCGATACCTGCGTCGCAAGAGCATGAGATGAGTACCAGACGAGGGGTTGTGCAAGTACGCACCCCTCCCACGGGGCGTACTGCGAGCCGGCTTCGAACCCACGAACTACCCTAACTGGTTTCCCCCTCTCGAGGGATCGCTGGATAGCGGCGGAAGTCGCGGTTGAGCAGCTTGTTATTTATTAATGGAAAGGAGTAGCTTACCAGTAGAGTTTTGTTCATCCGGTGTTCAAATGACTGGTCATGAACCTGGGGCCCGGTCTGGTTGGACTGGCGGCGGTCGTCAGCAGAGGTCTGCTTTACGAGTGTGCTGAGGACACGCGAACCTTTTCACGGCCCCCCGCACCGGTGTAGAAACTTTTCTACACGTTCAGGGAGAAACTCGGGCGCAATTAGATGCGGTGCTCACATGGTGTCCCCTCTGTCTGCATCATCTTCGTACCCGCCGGACAGGACGATGCTGAATGCGCCCCTGTCCTTCTGACCATGGATACCATGGCGCACGCCTATATGAACTCCTGCCTTATGCAAGTCCTTCCTAAGATGTGAGGGATGTTAGTCATCTCAGAGCATGGAGACCACGGAAGGGGGCACGCACCTGTATGTAAAGACATCGCCGACTCTTACTCCCTGCGGATGTCCGAACCGATAGTGAGGCCGCTTCCTGAGGATCGGTTGGTGATCCGGGGTATACTCCCTATTACGCTCCGCGAGGTCGCGTTCTTGCGTCCATTCGTCATCTTGATCTCCGTGATCGAGTTCCTCAGGGTCGAAGTCAGCGTAGATGTAGTCCCATTCGGCGTCGAATTCTGACATGGCTTCCCTAGGGTGAAAGAAGACCGCGTGGTAAAAGGGAGCTGTAGCACTCGATGTATTGCGAATCTAGGAGAGCCTGACGGACACAAGATGCTCGATAACGGACGACGAGGGATAATGTGAAGAGGTGACGTGGGCGTTCAGTATCACACCCGATATTATCTCGGGTGCCACCAGATGCCACCGGCAGGTTCCGCCGGTTACCAAAGCTGGTCTTGGGCGCTAATGAGTACCTCCTGCTCACGCTCACGCTTGCTAATGTACGACGTCCAGAAATTCCTAGCCCTTCCTGCGCGTAAGCTGCTGACAGCTGCCCAGGATACAGAAGGGCGGTGCTTTGATGGGCGCTCTAGTAATGTGTGTAATAAATGCGAGGGCACCAACAATCGTCTAACTGCCCACTGCGGCACCGTACACTGCACCCATTCGGTCGAGTCAAAGACGGAATCACATAAGAGCCGTGGATAGCGTATCGTATGTGCGATTAGCCACATGCTACGCTGCGTAGATATCAAAAACGGCTCCGAGTGTACGAGTCAGTGTACGTTGACCCGCTGGCGACCGCCCGACCAAGGTGAGACTCCGGAGTTATCATTCGAAGCGTTGCAGCTTTAGCAAAGCTATGCGGGTGTTTTTCTGTCTCAGTCAGACTGTCATTTTAATAAAGATACTTGTAGTAGGGTACTTACTTCTGGGAGGACGCAGGTGAACGCAGCCCAAGCTCGCGAAACACGGTGGATGAGTTCACGATGACGTCGCTACATGTTGATGCTTCCCCGAGAAAGCCGGAGCGGGCTGGAGCAGGCGAGACTCGATCGATCTCCCTGGATCGCCGATTCTGATCCCCACCCACGTGGTGCCTGAAGGCGCGTCGGATTTGTCCGGCGCGCGCTCGTCCAGGTTGTCTTCTCAGGCGTCGAGCCGGGATTATCTCTTCTCCAGCTACTCCTTCCTCTTCTCCAGAATCGAGCACTGTATACCGTCTAGAACACCCCTCTCGCTCGAAAACCGAGACAAATAATATAGCCGGACTCCTTGGCCCTCGGTCTCCCATGACGCTCTCAAACGGCACCCATCCATCCAACGGCCCACACGCGGACCCCCAAGGACCACCCGCAGATGACGAGCCAAAACGCGTGCTCATCATCCTCGACGTCCAGGTCGGGATGCTCTCAGATCCTCCAAAGGGGATCCCCGCCGGGACCTTCGTCGGCGCGAACATCGCCGCCATCCTCGCCCACGCCCGCGCCGCGCCGACCCCGCCGCGCATAGTCCACATCCGCAACTGCGGCGACCCGGGCGAGGACGATGAGCACGGCGCGCCGGGCTGGGCGCTCGTGCACGCGCCGCTGCCCGGCGAGTTCGTCGTCGACAAGCGCAAGAACAACGCGTTCGCGGGCACGGAGCTCGGCGCACTCGTCCCGCCGACCGCGGAGATCGTGCTCGTCGGGATGCAGAGCGACTTCTGTATCCGCGCGACGTGCAGCGCTGCGCTCTCGCGCGGGAACGAGGTGCTGCTGGTGCGCGGCGCGCACGCGACGTATGACCGCGTCGAGGTGCTCGATCACGGCACTATCACGCCCGCGGCGGTCGTAGAGGCGGAGATCGAGGGCGAGCTGGAGGAGGCGGGTGTCATCATGCTCGAGATGAAGGATCTCCCGCAGCTCTTCACGGACAGCTAAAAGGTGCGCCATCATTCGTATCGCCCCTCTCGGGAGATCCTGGTGTTTGACCGCCCGCTCTCACCAGCCGTGCCATGCTGTTATGTAGAACACGCGTTAATGACGGGATGCAGGGCGTACCCCTCTTTCTTGGGATCTGGACATGGATTGTATTGGATCGGTATGTACTTTATAGTGGTGTTGGCTGTACTTTGCACGCATACATTGGCGGGATATGATAGACGATACACTCTGCAAGCCGGGCGAGCTCGTCCGCAGAGGCTGTCCTTGACTCACGTTGGTCTCGTGCCGCATTTCAGGTAGGTCTCTCGGAAGAAGCCTCCTGCCTCGCAGTACTTGATATTTGGCGTTGTTTGCGATCTATCCTCCATCCGCTCAGCAACTCTCAGCATTCACTTTGAGTTACATCCCGCTCCATGCTTTTGGGATTCCTGTGAGTGTATTGCTTGAAAATTATCTCGACGAGTTCTGATATGTTCTCCAACAGCATGTTCCCCATTGGGCATGACACGCCCATCTATGTGTTAGAGCCCCCGCAAGTTCAGATTGCGCATGCGCTGACTTTCCCTCAGTCCCACTCTATATCGCCGAAACTTGGGTATGGCCTCCTTTCCTTCCCATGACGGTCCCCGGATTGACCGCGCTACCAGGTGTTCGTACTCTTGGCCGGCAGACGAGATACACCCCGCACCCGCGCAAAACCTCTCTGGCGGTCTCTGTACACGATGCAGCTTCTCCAGTCGTGTGCGGGAGGTGCGGAGTGGGTCAAGGCCCACGTCATCCGTGTGCGCTGAGGAGGTACAGAGGATTCCCGTCCGAGCCTCTTCGGGTAGTGGCGTGGTCGCTTCGAACTGGAGGTGCGTGCCGACGTCAGCAGCGGTCCTCTTCGCGTGCTGAGTATCTGACCTTCCGAATTCGACAGTACGCGCACGGACCTCCGTATAACGCCGCTTCCAAAGACAGCGCGACAGCAGCCTCATTTGAACTTTGAGATGGCCGTGCGGGTTGGGCGCACCCAGACTCGTTGGAGAGACGGTTTTGCCGCGACCATGGCGTGTTCGCGCCACGCCGCGTTCTGCCATGCATATTCTATATGGATCACCTTGGCTTCCATGCTTTAAGTATGCACTTCGCCGAGTTCTACAGATGGTAGCCTCTCTGATATACCTCTCGTCGCAGCACGCACATCCGAGAGCCTGTTCGTGTGATCAACTATACATCAAGGCCCTTCGATACTACTCCGCCATGGCGGGCACGTACAAGCCTTGAAACATCATCATTATTTCCAGTCAATTGGTTCTCTCCCTTGGATGTCTTTCGTAGTCTTCCATTCCTACATTCCGAACTCATGCAATGTGTTCGCGAAGTTGGCCGCCGCGGCGCCGACTCATGCTCATCGAGATGTCCGCAATTATTCATCGCGCGAGCTACGTCCGCAAGCGGCTCGTGTAGCAGGTTTGGGCCACTCCAGAAACTGAGTCTGTGCTATGTACTTACCCTGAAAACATGCAGCACGACCATCCGGTCTTGCTCAAGCGGTCCAGGTTGAGCGCTTAATGGAAGCGCTGACGCCACTGGTGCGGTGCCACTTGGACTCGTTGAACTTGAACGTTTCGAACATCCACCACGACCGGATGCTCGACTTTTGAAATCCTGGGTAAAACTGTTGAATTTATCGGATATTATACACTGCGAAAGTGGTATGTGAGAGGAGCAGAGTTCACCTCGCCGGGTCCAGCGAACTGACTAGACACCGTGTAGATCTGTTGTGCTCGGGCCCGGACCAAAGAGTTTTTTTCCTTTGCTCTAGGATCAAAACTGCAGGAAAGGCTCATACCGAAGCCACTCGTATTTGGTCCGTGCGGTCATCTGGGCGCCATTTGCGGCAGCCATTCGTGCGCGCAGGGGTCGGATCTTGACTGACATCCAGCCATAGAGCGATAAAACGCCGCTCGCATTATCCCACCCTCGGTGAGCCTATTCACCGCGCGAGTTGTCTAGTTTCCATATTCTGACCGTAAACTCCGACAGATCTACCATTCAGGGTGGCGGGGCTTATTATCGGCGCTTGGACAATCCCCTCTCTCCTTTATCCATCTTAGCCACCTCCACGAACACGGTCGATGTCCAACCAACAGCGCGGGACTATAAAGATTTCCATCTCAACATGCCCGTCTTGCAACTCTTCCTCGCTCTCTGCAGGTATGGCTATCGCAGCTACTCCTTACACTACGAAAAGCGCACATACGATTGTACGCGCGTCAGACAAGAAGCAGCCTGAAGACCCTGCCCAATACGAAGAGCGCAAGGTAGGCATCCCGAATTCTTTTTGCAAGATGCTGCCAAACGAGACTTCTGTAATGCAGGGAGCGTACCACTTCGTGGCATACGAGATCCTCAAGTTCACGGGCGTCACGCATGACGCCCATCACGACCTCGAGTCTTTCTACTGGGTGCTTCTTTGGGTTGTCGTTTGCCTTACCAAACACGGCCATGAGAGGGGTGATCAGCTATGCAGCGATATCTTCAAGTTCGGGGAGGACCGCACAAGCGCTTCAGCGAAGAGGGATTGGCTCGAAGACGAAAAGTTGGACATCCTCAACAACAAGCCCCTCACATATCTTATGAGCGAGCTTGGGGCCATCGTCTTGGAGCACATCCCCACTCTCCGCAGAGGAGTCCACCGGGTTCTTCTGGGTTATGAACGGGTGTTGAAGATCTTCGACGAGGCTATCGAGATGCCAGGCTGGCCCACTCGCGCCTGGCAGCCGTGCAATTTGCTCAAGAGCGACGGACGAAGTGGCATCGCTAACGTCGCTGGGCCCAAGCGGCCAAAGCCCCCCGGTCTCATAACTGCTCTCGACGAAGCTGTTAATCTTCCTGCTGACGATGGACGCCTCCCTCCTCTCCCCACTCACTCGGATCTCCCGGCACCTCACTCTCTGGACCCTCGTCTACTTTCCGACGTCTTCCCGAAGAAGCGGTCTTGCGACACTCTGGACGAGGAAGAATCCGAGCTCGACTGCCATGGTACCGGATGGATGACCCCCAGTCGCACAAACACTCCCAGCAAGCGCGTCAGGACGAACGAAGGGCCGCGTCCTGCGACTAGATCGCAGTCGGGCGCAGCGCACGAATCGTTAGTGGCGCCACGATAAAGCGCACGGGTACGAGCTGCGCTGGAGAGGAAGTTGCACTCAGAAGGGGCTTGATGAGGCATCTCGCGGTGAATTTGGGTGTCGGCTTTCGGCGGACATCTCTGTTGTACAATATCTTTTGATGTGTATCTGTATATTTGCTGTGCTTGTATATAAGTAATTCCCATTCTCGCTCTGGCTCTTGGCCCCCCGTATGCCCGAGCAGCACTTCAAGCGAGCCGCCCAAGAAATCAGCTCGGTTGAGGGGCTCCGGTGCCGACCTGAGATACGGGATATTGAGCCGGTACCTCGTCCGTCGGGATTGGATCTGGTGGCGCACAGATGCGACGACTCCGACTTCGTCGCGTGTACTAGTGCGACGTTGCATGGTGTCAATAAAGCCCATAAATCACTCCCGGTCATAGAGACTGCAGACATGGATAACCGCCGAATGGTGGACCTTCGAGCTTGAGATACATGCAGGCAAACGTCCCTCGGCATTTTCGTCGCGCATAAACTGCCGATACGAGTCCGAAAACACATACTCATCTTCCCCCCATCTGGTTACTAGTACTAGATATCGATCGAGATGAGCTACCGTACATGAGTACCACTAGTAGCCTGTGCGAATATCGTTACACCGACGTCATCCTGCGAATACGATGCGGTCCATCCGTTGGGAAGATAAGTTGGGTCGCGTTTGAACGCACTCGCGCGAGAGTGCGTTTCTAGCGGCGTTCTCGTCGCGATGGCGGTGGCAGTGTGTAGCTGTCAACCTCGTCCGGCATGAGCGGCGCAAGGCGCACATAAGGCTCGCGTGGGAAGGTAGCCGTGTGGAGCGGTTTATGCATAGACACATGCATGGCCTGGAAGAAGTTCTGTAAATGTAGGAAATGTGTGAGCGATGTCATGTGGAATCACTGCCATTCGGAGCGACATACCAATCCGAGGATGTTCAGGGATACCGATTCGGTACTTGAAGGCGCACCGGTAGGCCACAGCAAGCATTCGCGTTCACCGGTCGTATTGGAGGGTGTTCTTCCCGGGACGATGCGGTTGGGGCTGAGTGTGTAAACAAAGGGGTCGAAGGGGACGGTGACGGTGACGTTACGCGAGCCTTCGTATCTCCCTTTGAACACGAACTCGAGCCTCAAACCAGTACGCATGTCTTGGTTGGGACCAACTGTGAAGAGGGGTCTCGACGCGTTGCTGTCTGCTTCGGATACCTTCCGGATTGTATGTCCGAACATTCCCGCCTGCAGTGCATTAATAAGCCTATGCGGCAGGTATGAGATGCTGGTGCCTGTCAATCATAGCGACCACGTTAGCAAAAGTGATAAACTTGATATTAGACCTCCCATGACAACGTATACATACCTGTATCCAAAAGCACATCAAACGAGGTCGAGTACTTTGACATGATCGAGTACCTTCTGAGGCCCCAAAGCCCCTCGTCTGGTTTGATGATCCTGACCTCTACAACGCGGACATTCCAGCCGAGTTCTCCGTTGGGCCCGGGGAAAGGGAAAACCGCGATATCAGGAGACCAGTTGGGGATCTTTGCGCAAGGCCAAGTGTTGAATGCTGCCCAGCTTTTCCTGGGAAGGTTGGCTCCGAGTCGGCCGCGCACATCCTCTAAATTGATAGATTATGGACGCACCTTTGCTGCAATACTAAGTGAAAGAAGAGGATGATCCCGCCTTCAACCTACGTAGTGATGAGATAGGACTTCCGAGCTTAAACAATGGCGTTCAGAAGCGTACCGACTGCGACGGCCTGAACGAACCCTGATCAATAAATGTAGAAAGAATCGTCTAGTAGTGAAGATGATTATCAGTTCAATTCAGACTCTCCTGAACAAAAAGATTATCGCACCGGTGCATTTTGATGCCAAATAGCTGTCTGGCGGCTGAGGTTGTATTTCGAAATGAGCGCTGGTACATCGCGATCGATTACTTGTAGATAGCATCGCTGCTCGACTTACTTTTCAGGGCTAAGACCGAGAATTCCGTGACATTGAAATGTTGCGAACCCAACCGCGACCGCATAAGCAGCGGCAAATCGAAACGTGAAACGAGGGCCACCATTGTCCCAGCTCCTCGTCCCCCAGTCATACGCATCCATGAAGAAGCACTGATCCGTTTTACTCTGTAACGTGAGGACTATCAAGAGAACATCTATAGTCAGTGCTTGCACTCGGTCACGGAAATGTGAAGTCCACATACGTGCTGTGGGGCCTGCTGCATACAACGCTTCGCCGGCATACTCAGCGTTTTCGCGTGACAGGGTCAAAACGTCCAGTCCATCACGACTCTTCGACTTGCGCGCATCGTGAAACCTATCGTTAACGAGCCCCCGGTTTAGATGGAGTGACCAGATCTCGGGGCGCGGATCCGTCTCGAGTTGCGGCACCGAGGAGGGCCAGTCGCATATTATTTGATTGTACGGCTGAACGACGATATCAGGCCCAAGCGGGAGTTGGTCCGAGTCATCGTAAAGTTCGTCCCTTCTTGAAGAATTCCAAGGTTTGATGAGGCGACGGCAGTATGCACTCCGGGCCCATCTGCATAGCTATATGAGCGAGAGATCTTTTCAATAACGAGGGAGACTGCTCACGTGTTGGAGGACCCTGTTACATGAGTTCCAAATGTCAGACAGGAAAATGGTAGTATCGTAACACTTTACCTGTGTCGAAGAGAAAAGTGAAGACATCATGAAGCCGTGAACTGCTTGATAAGTCACGATTCAGACGAGGAGGAATCTCCTGGTCCACGGACTGCATACTCGGGCAGATTAGCTATACGTGCACTCAAAGAGGTGGCCTGGGTTTACCATCGATGCTGTGTAGTATTGTCTCTTCCACGATGACGGAGCTGCGGCATGTTCATTGTAGAGTCCTCGATGTTGCGTCGATACATAGGTACCCCTATTGATGGGTCGTTGAGACATCCTCCATGGATCCTCCACCGTTGCATGCGCGATAATTGCAGCTGGATGACCCCTCGGGACGGCAGCAGGTGTGGGCCCGGTGCGTCTAGTACTGCTTGTAGTCGAAGCACCGCGGATTCCGTCGATCCCCTGTGAGTAACGGGTCAGCCATACGAAACTTTTATGGAAGATGAAGCACTACACGCACCATGCCAATATAAGATCCCAAGCGTGAGAGAGGCTGTGAGTGTTGCACAGCTCCGGGATCTTCCGCCGATTCAAAACTTGGAGCCTGTGAGGGAGTGCGTTCTTCAACCGTGACGGTCTCTTCTGCCCAGCGCTTGCTGGCCTCAGACACGGAGATGAACCCTTTCTTCACCATGTCCGCGATATGCTTAAGTATGTCAAGTGTCAGGTCATGATTGTGGCGGAAGTGTAATGAGAATGCGTACCCGTTGAGCTGCCGTGGATGGGTCAGGAGGCTCCAGATTGACCACAAAGGCGGGCGGCCTATCAGTGTTCGTGGACGTCGACATGGGATTGCCGATAATGGGGGGCAGTTCGGATCTAGAGCTCGATGTAGGTAAAAACAGGGAGGTGAGGCAGAGGTCAGTAGCGTAGCTGTACTTATTGAAGCTCGACGCGCGCAGCATCGAGCGCCCGCCGCCCGGTGAATCTGAAGAGCGCACTTCGCAAGACAAAAAGATCCATAGAAGATGGCACTCACGACAAAAAGCTCTACCTCGTGGTGATAAGATTACAATAGAGTGAAAGGAATCACAGATTTGACACCGAATGGCGTGACGTCCGCGTACGAATTGATTTGAATGGCGAAGACTCTGCGTGTACCTGAACAATTTGTTATAGCATGGTCATGGTGGTCGGTATATCCCACGAACAGTTCATTCCATATGTTACAAGTTGCTTCCCATGCATCTGCGGGGCTTCAGATTGATCTGAGACAATAGCAACTAGGGCCTGCTAGAGTCAACTCGAGTCGGACGAAGCGACAGAAACAATAATCCTGTATCACGTTGGCAACACCAGAAGTTCATACACCTTGCGTGGTCCATCAATGCTGTCCCACCGAGCTCCTTCTGATAAGCAGTACCCCTCCATTACGGTGACTGGAGGATAAGCACACGATATATTCGGCGGAATACGCCACTAGCGACGCTTGTCGCGCCGCCGCCGCCGCCGCCGTGGTGATGAGATGACACCACAGCCTTCGCGTATATGATTTTTGCTAGAACTTCAAGCTTCGTTTGCGAGATCTCGATGGACCGAGTACATAGCTAAGTTATCCCATTAGATTCCCATAGCTGGTGAGCGGCGTCTCGCTTGATAGGGACACGAGAATAAGTAATAGCTATATGCACCTGAGAGGCAGAACTACAGCACCTTACGGACGTTGATGAAAGAGATATCTGAGACCTAGACTGTATCAGTGCTTAAAGAGCAGGCCCGTCACTGGCAGTGATGCAGTATACATGTGTGCCACTTGCTAGTACTGATCACAGCGAGTCACCAAAGAAGCTCAATCCGAGAGTGCACTGTTCAGTGACAGATTTTACGTTATCGACGCCCAAGATTCAAGTTGTAGCAGTGAGCATGCAGTGGTTGGACGACGTTGAACGCGACGGCGTCCTCATAGCCTCAGTGAGCGGCGGCGCGCTCAATCACTGCTCAGCGCTCAGCGCTCAACCGCCCTCTGCGTCGAAGCGCCAGCAGTTGTTTGCGGGTGTTTGGCCACTCTGAATGAGTCGGCCGCGCAGGGCTCAGTGTCGCTCTTGTAGCTGTTCTACACCTTGAGATATGCCTCCCATTCTCAGAAGATTGCCTATCTGGATACGCAACTTATCCCATCATCCGAGTTCTGACAGTGTGGTGCCCACGAGTTCTGCAACTTACCCGTGAGTGAGGTATTCCAACATTACGCTGTCTTGGATATTGAAGGATGGTCGTCGTTAGCCTCCTGGAATTGAATCAGGACGTGTTGCTTTGTATAATGGAGGAGGCCCTGGCTCACAAATGTCTCATACCTATCTCCACAACTTGCAAGGCCATCCGCGAATTAGCCAAACCCATTTTGTTCAGGCGTTGTAAGGTAACGAGAGGACCACCCCTTGGTAATCCTACCTTTCCTCCAGCATCACTTTGGCGGCATATCAGGTAAGTGGTCAATTGTGTTTTCTCATATATGATGTTAACTTCTTCTAGGTACCTCACACTCGTGGCGTTGCCGCCCTCTCTCCTTCAACACTGGAAATCGTGCTGTGACTATCTCGCTCCCGATTTCCTCTCCTCCGCACTACGCTGTATGCCCCTACTGACAGGGCTTACAATATCGGCACCTGGAACCGAAGAGTACGGGATGTTACCGTGGCCAACTCTCCAGTTAATCCTCGCTACGCCAAAACTTCGCGAGCTGGAGCTTGCGTTCACTGCTTCCAGTACTTTGGGACTATCGTTAGAGAATTCCGATATCGCCGTGCCACCGCTCATTGCGTTCTCCTACTGGATCCCCTTTTCCCGGGACGACCCGCGTTGGAACCCTGCCGAGAGAGACGCTCTTGCTTTTCTTCTGCAGAAGATCAGCCATTCGCTGCAGCGCCTCTCGATGTCCATCGAGCCTGCCCCATCGGATACCCTCCGGGACTTACACTGGCCTCGTCTGCACGACCTGGTCCTGCGTGGCGAAGCGGCCTCTCACCTTGAAACACCCTACATCATCACCCTGGGCAATATGCCCGAACTGCGCTCTCTGGAACTCGGGCTTAGACTTCGACTCGGAGTCGCTGCTCCGGTACTCTGGCCGTCAGCGTATGACGTGGCCTGCCCGTGGCCTCACCTCCAATCCTTCACTGTATGCCATCCGAACCACGAAGACGAGATCTACCGCCATCTCCCTCCCACCCTACAGCGACTTGCGCTATGCTCTTATCCGCACCACTACGACATCATTTGGGAGCCTCAGTCGTGGGGCGGTGGACGTAGTCGTCAGCATCTGCATGTCCCGTTGTTGACAGCATCGCAAATGCTGGAACTGCTGAGCCAGTGCCATACCCCGGCGCTCGCGGAGCTCGCCATTGAATTCCTCGCCGACGATAGAGAGCTCGACCTCTGGCAATACCTTCCACGTGCGTTCCCTCGTCTCTCCTCATTAAACGTCAACGTCTACCGTGCCATCGAAAATCATAGCGACATTCCTGTGGTGAGCACGCATTCCTCTTGCACAGGACACTAGTTGATTTGTCACCTCACCGCCTGCACAGCGGCACATTGCTCGAGCTCTGGCGCCCCTCGTGCACTTGCAAACCCTTCGAACCTACCTGGGGTTCCAACCAGTTCCGTCTCCTCACGCGCTATACAACCCAGCGGTTCGCACTGGCCTCAAGCGCCTTACCCCGGCGGAGGCGCGTCCCAAGACGGAACGCGATCACGCGGCCCAAACGTTCGCGAACATGCTGGCGCCGTCACTACGTGCCATTATTCTGATGCATCCGACTCACACGTTGGGTTCCGTCTGGATCATGTACCGCGTCGTTCCCGGGAAACGTCGCCCTCCTCAGCAATACGTCTCGCCCGAGCGGTTTTATGAGCTCCGAGTGAGTCCCTTCCCGCCCTGTTCTGTGAGGATGCTAATTTGCTGTCGGATGCAGTGTGCCCGGGGCGTGCTTCTCGTCGCGCCAGAACAGCAAGAGCGCTACAGGAAGTTGGTGACACCGGGAGGGTCTGTTTCGAGCCGCTCTCTATGATCGTCCACTGACATTGCTTCCGATTCATGCCTGTACTACTACTTTACGTATGACTCTTTTGCTTTTATCTACCTATTCAGGTCGCTCATCCAGACACGACCTGCAGCCATTCGTCGAAGCCGTGGACATGCGTGACACTAGCAGACGTCGACGGAAACATATTCCCATGCTTCCCAGGCGAGTCCCCATGTCCGTCCGAATTGTGCTAGAAATATTTCCCTGTCTATCCGCTGCGGCAAGCGACAGCGGCTCCTTCCCATTATCTACGCAGAGTCCGCGGATCGTACAGGTATCGCGAACAGTTCGAAAGTACTACTTGAACGCGGGACTCGGACCGATTATAGGTACTTATTTGGCCATGCTTGCAGATATTTGGTACAACTCGCGCGAGCTGGCGCGGCTCGCTCGCGGCTCGACGAGCGTACTTAGTACAATCACTTGTCCTCGCTGAGGTTGTTACACGCCTCCTACGTCTGTATCTATCTTGTGTCTCTCCGACTGCTATGGAAGCTCGACTTTCGTAAGTGTTTTAATTCATTGTGGTCTCCTGGATACTCACGTTTCATTCTAATAGCATACTCGACTTGAACCAGGACGTGCTTGATCATGTACTCGAAGAGCTCTACACGCAGAAATGTCTTATGCAATTATCAGTGACTTGCCAGACGATTCGCGGAGCGGCAAACCACATGCTGTTCAGACGTTGCCGGGTCGCATTCAGCCGCCCCATTGCTGCGAGGGCCTTTCCTCCTGACTCGTTGTGGCGCTACATCAGGTATGCAGACCCACTTGTAGTACATTATAACACTGACCTTTTATAGATATCTCTTACTTGTTGAGGACAGACCAGATGCGGACGTCGTGCGAGGAACTTATCCGCGTATAGAGCACCCCACCCTGTGCGGTTACGTCGTCTCAGATTGTCTCTACCGCGCCTTGCAACACATGCCTCTCCTGAGCAAGATATCGATATCAACAAGCAAACGCATCTATCACGGGCTCCCATGGCCATTTGTTCAAGCAATACTCGCTGTCCCGCAACTTCAAGAGCTCCGGATATCTCAATATCTCCTCTGCACCTTGGGTGCGCGCGCGCAGGAGTTGGACATGAACGTCGCATCGTTGACTTCATTTACCTATTGGTTGGACATCTCCCGTGGCGATCCGCGATCGCACCCCGCAGAACGCGAGGCGCTTGGCATTCTCTTGCCGAAGCTGAGTCGCACGTTGCAGAAGCTCGAGCTGCCGATCGAATCCCTTCCTCAGGAGATCGTCCGGTATACGCGTTGGCCACATCTGCGCCACCTTTCTGTGTACGGAGAAGCATCGCCTCAACCGAAGGATCCCTACATTGTCATCCTAGGCAACATGCCCCAACTTCGTTCTCTCGCTTTGACGTTCACGATCAAACACGAGAAGAGCACGCCGGTCATATGGCCTTCTGGTCTCTCGATGGCGTGCCCGTGGCCCGACCTCGAGGACCTCACCATCATGCACCCGCACTCCGATGATCAGCTCTATAGCCATCTTCCGTCTACCCTCAAGCGGCTCTTACTATGCTCACCGATCTACTACTACGATTTTATGTGGGGGCGGGGAGGTGTCATCAGCGAGCGATGGCTGCAGGGACCATTGCTGACGGCGAGTCAAACACTGCGGCTGTTGAGCCGATGCCAAACACCTAATCTCACCGAGCTCGCGATTGAGTTCCACGAGGATAACGAGGAATTCAAGCTCCTGGACTTCCTACCCCACACGTTTCCGCGCCTTACTTCGCTGACCGCAAACATCTACCGTTCCCCGAAAGATCATGCTAAAATTCCCGTAGTAAGCATGCAATATGTCGCTTTATAGACCAGTTTGCTTACCGCTCGCGAAGGCGAAAATTGCGCGCGCACTCACGCCGCTCCGTCGTCTAGAGACACTCCGAATGTACCCTGGTTTTCGGCCGGCTTCGGCTCCTCAGCCATTCATACCAATTCCCCATTTTGGGCCGTTCCGTGAAAACCGGGAGGTGGTGCGGCTGGACCGGGTGCGCGATCGCGCTGCCCAGACAATCGCAAACACTATGGGGCCTTCCTTGCGCACAATCTTCCTGCTGCACCCTTCCCAGCCGCCGTCATTTTACTGGATGGAATATCACGTCGTTCCGGCGCCGTATGGAAGAGCCGTAGAGGATCACCGTAGTCTAGGGCGAGGCTACCATCTCAAGGTGAGCGTGTCTGCATCGCTCCGTGTGTGGTATATCATATTAACGGGTTTCGTGCATATCACAGTACGCGCGTGGGGTGCTCCTGGCCGCGCCACAACTGGGTGGCCTTTGAAGCTTGAAGCTTGGTGCATGGCCAGATTTGTAATATATGCTTCCCTTTGCTTGTACTCGTATCGCTCGGTATGTTTTACTTGCTACGTTCTTGAGCTATTACTCCGACATACCATTCACAATCTCTATTGCGTATCGATGACCACGTCTGGTACCGGCACCGGCGTATTCGAAGTGGACCTCAGACCCAAGCTTCAAGCATGCATAATTACGCTTGACCGTGAACTTCATCTTCCTTGAAAGAGGCAGTACATATTGCGCATTCGACTCTTCGGCTTCTGCTAAAATTTCCATAATAACAGTAGAAAATATATAGTGAGTAGTAGCAGTAAGACAGGAGGAGGTATACTTATGTTTACCAAAGGACGAGTGGCTCAGGCGCCTCCACTTCTTTGTCCGCTTAGAGCCACTGTGGCCCGCGCGTCGAATCTTGAGTACAACGTTTCCCTGCTCCTTTCTCCATTACATACACCTTATCCTCTCTCGCAACACCATCCCGCAAGCTCTAAATATCTTCGTCTGCTATATACCATGTCTATCCTCACCAACTACGAGTATAGGCAATACGATGCCAGTCTCCCAGGTGCGCCACTGGGTGAATCTACAACTCTGTTTGTTAAAGGTTGTCTAAACGATTGTATAGAGGCTCCGGATTGGATGTCTAGCCTTAGAGCAAGGGTTACTGTTTTTGAGGGAGGCCATCGGTTGTTCCTCGAGACGTTCGTACCGTCGCGGACTGCATGTCCTCGGCCAAGCGCGTCCGCGAGGTGGACTCTGCCTCAAAGCACCTCGGACCCAGACGCATCGACGGAGATTATAATACGTCAAACCTGCACTCGCACTTGCTGTGAATCTTGAGCTTGAGTACTTACGATAAAAACAAATAGGAGCATGCGCTCCGAACACTGACCGCCGACCTCCCTGCCGACCGAGCGTTAGCGTTCTTGGCGCCGCCCCGCCGTAACCGCGCGCGGTTGCCCTTCCCGTTCGCGACGTTCGCAGAGCATCGCCCAGATGATGAATTCTCCCTATGCGTTCCCTTCCCAGGGCGAAGATTCACCCACGAAAGCGGCCCTACAAGCTGGCGTGACATGTCAATGATCGTAGAAACAAACATGGCCTCATCATGCGACCCGTTCCTCATGCGATACCCGGACCAGTACGATGGCATCGTCCACACGGGCGCAAACGCACGCAACCTCATGTTCGCGAACGGCCTCCTCGCCGCGTTCGTGGTCTGCTTCTACAACGACACCGCCCGCATCGCGCGCTTCGACCACGCGGGCGCGGTCGTGACCGCGCCGCTCGACCTGCGCTCCGTCGTGGACATGGAGATCCTCCGCGAGTTCTTCTGGAGGTTCGTTCACCCCTGGGAGGGCGGGCCGGGGCGCGTTGTGGGGTCCGACTCTACGATGCGGCTGCTGACGGACGAGGATCGGACTTGGGTCGAGGGGCAGCTGGGTGCGGATGTCCTAGCTGGTGTCGACCTCCGCGAGGGCCGCCGAGTCGAGGTCTGCACCGAGGGCGAGAAACCGCGCGGATTCGTCCTCTTCCAGATTGTGGCGATGACCTCGAGCGTATTCTCGCGCGCGACAACGGTGTGGCGCGCAATCGAAGATACTCGCGGGATGGGCGCGGTGCAGGACGGTCCGCCGGAGGTGCATATCGTGAAGGAGGCGTGGCGGCGGATAGACGACCCGTGGGAGAAGCAGTGCTACGCACGCCTGGCCGCAATTCCGCCCGAGGAGCGATACGGGCTGCCCGGGCTTGTGTGCGGAGAGGACGTTGGGGAGCGAGAGAGCGAGAAGTGGAAGGCGGAATGCGATCACTTGCTCCAGGGCAGGGATGATCTGCTACTGTGCACGGCCGTCTGTGGAGTGCCGAGTGCCTTCGGCTTTGGCTATGGGACGAAGTCGGACGGCCTCGAGCCACTGGAACCGCCTGCGCTACCCTATCCTATGCACAAGACCTTCACGTGCGATGTGGTCTCGGCGTTGGGCCAGTTGGACCGCAGCCACATGCGGCTTGTGGTCGACACCGTTGGGCGGCCTCTCAGCGAGTTCGAGTCCAGCAAGGAGCTGGTGACGGCGATTCGGGACGCGATCATGGGTGTGTTTTTCTCTCGAGGTTGTCTAGGGGCCTGCCACCTGCACGCTGACATAATTGCACAGGTCATCGGATCGCATTGGAGCGGGCGGGCATCCTGCACTGCGACATCAGTCGAGATAACATCATGCTCGTGAACAAGGAACTTACGCACTCGGGTCGACATACCTTCATCGGTTTCCTGCACGACTTCGATATAAGCTGGCTTTCGAAAGTTGTCCCGACGAAGCTGCTTGCAGACAACTCCGGGGAGGATGTCCAAGGTTCTGATGAGTCGGCGGGCGGGGCAACGAGGGCCACTTTTGCGGACATGCCTTTCCCCCTGGATGACGACGAAGTGGAGGAGCTGAAAACAATCTTTCATGCTGTAAGTACCGCGCGGTCGTTGCTTTGTGAGTTGAACTGACCTCGATACCAGGGAACGTTCCATTTCCACGCCGCCGGTCTGCACTACGGCGAGAATCGAGTGCGGACAGCGCAGCACGACCTCGAGTCATTCTACTGGGTCTTGGTATGGATGGTCATGTACCATCTCCCGGAGTACCACGGTCCGCTGTTTGTATGCCGCGAACACCGCCTCTTCGTATCCGACGACTTCTGCGAGGCTGCCCAGTCGAAGATGACCTGGCTTGACAGCTACAGGCTCGAGGACGTAATCGACAACCCGCCCTTGACGGCCTTGATGAGCGAGTTCACCAGCTTGGCCTTGAGAGGAATTACCTTACGGGAGCCTCTGACGCACGACTCGGTTCTGGCGGTGTTCAATGCGGCGATCGCTCGGGATGACTGGCCCGACGACCCCAACCAGGGTCCTCTTTCAGATTCATCGCTGTCGCCGACGTCAACCGCAGTCCCTGATCGCGTAGAGCTGGAAGACAAGGTCACATCTAAGCGCAAGTTCGAGGCGGAGGAAGAAGGACAGGAGAACGAGTGGGAGTTTGGCGAGTGGATTGTCGAAGACTCGGACTCGGAAAGTGAAGGAACAGAGCCCAAGCGGCACAGAAAGGATGCATGAAGAGCCCATCCGGATCTACGGAGTAATAGGGATAGGTTTTGATATATCATTCGAATGATTCTGGACGATACTGCATGTTTGAAGTTGGCCTGCCAGTATACAAGTTGACTGTAATAATGTCGACTCCCTGCTATAAGAAATCGTTCCGTAAATAAATGAGTGCACAACACTTACCTCCAATCAACACCGTCGTCTTCATAGAACGCAACACCGATACACGATATTTTGGCGGTACGAGGCCAGGTTGCTGGCGGCTTTGTGGCGGCTGCAGAGTCGGACGCAGAATAGGCGCGCAACAAGGTTCACGGGCAGTCACGAAAACACATGCCGTGTGACGCCGTTACCCCCGCGTTACGGCCGAGGGGGCCCGACTCTTGCCGGACGCGGAGGCGACGAGCAGACCACCATCACCGACGACCCCGCTCTTTCCCTCCACCTCCTCGCACACGCCCGCCATGCTTTCGACTCGCGCCCTTGGACTTGGACCCGCCCTCAGACAGGCCGCGCTCAGGCCTAGGCACGGTGCGCATATACACACTTAAAACGCGTGCGAGATATAGGAGTTCAACTTGTGTACAGTCGCCAGAAACGCTGCTCTTCGCAACACCTTTGCCAAGCGGTGAGTGCCAGATGGGTTGTGTATGATGATCCTCAGGCTCAACGCCGATGCATATCTGAAGGTCGATCCAAACCGAGTCCCTCACCCCCAAGGTGCAGGAGCACATCCTCAACGAGCAGCGGCTGCGCCGTCCCTCAAGCCCGCACTTCACCATCTACCAGCCGCAGCTCACCTGGATCGCCTCCATTGCCAACCGTGTGACTGGTGCTGGTCTCAGCGTCTGTAAGTACTATCCGCTTCTCCCCGTGTCTCCGCTGTGGCTGAATAGCAATCAGTGCTGTACGGGTATGCACTTGCCTATCTCGTCGCGCCCACCACGTTCGACTCGACCCACGTCATCGAGATCATCTCGAGCCTCCCCGACGCCGTCAAGTACGCGGGCAAGGTCATCCTCGCCGCGCCCTTCGCCTTCCACTCGCTGAACGGACTGCGTCACTTGGGCTGGGATATGGGCAAATGTATGGGTTTTTCACCGTGCAATCTCCCGGTCTGGCGTGTGCTGATTGGCTCATCAGTCCTTACCCTCAAGGGTGCATACGGCTCTGGTTACGCCGTCCTCGCCGCGACCGCGGTCTCCACCGTCGGTCTTGTGCTCATGTGAATAGCTGCGCGTCAATGATTGACTGTCATTCCATGGACCCCGAGTGCGTCTTCGGCGTGCATCGTACCCCCATGCGTGCTTTTCCCTCTCGCCATGGAACACAGTGAGTATGGACAGGCTCCGAAACGGTGCGGAAGCCGGAGACAAACGGTCGAACTCGGACGTCATTATCGCCGTCAGCCAATCAGAAGGCCCCGATTTTAGACGCATACGAATACAGGGTTCCTTGGACCTATCTTGCCGTGCGCTCATCCTAGTTCACGCGACCTCGATGGTAAGGATGAGGCTGTGGATTATCGGTGAGTTCGTTGACTTCTGGGCGGTGATAACGGCACTCAACTCCCACAGGAGAGCGATGTTTGCGTCTCCGATCCAGCGATAGACACGTTCTAGTACAGGTGCTGTGCTTTGGCAAGTACGTTGACCATGAGGGGTACAACTTACGTGGCCTTGAGGACATGCCCGCCGGGCTCTAGGGCCTATTTGCCTATCCGAAGACGCTCGAAGCTGATACACGCATATGCCTGCCAGCGCCGGCGTCCGTTTTTGCCAAGGCTGCGCAAAGGCACGCATGTTTTCAGCCTTCGCACTAGAACCCACAATCCAAGGGTTTATTTGAGTGAGCTCTCGTCGTAGGTCGGTTCACAGTCGCCCACCACTCCGCTTGCGCACATGCAACCCCCGCCCCGCCAATCCGCTATGATGTCGGCCTCCGAGGCTGATATGGTTGCGGGATGGCGCAGGTCTGTTGCATCCGTGCTTGAGTATCCTATCGCAGCACGCTCTCCGTCTCCGCCTCTCGGATCACCACCAGAGTTCACGGAGATTCAAGCTACTACTGCTTCGTCCGACGGGCGTCTTCGCGACGGTGAGTTAGCTTCTATCAGAGCTCCATGCGATGTCCATTGACGTCCCCTCCAGAGTACAGTCATTGGAATGCCGAACCCTACGCGTCCAGCGACCATGGGCAGACGCTCTTGCGACCTCGAATAAGGCTCCCTCCCGACAGACTTCCCACAACACCCTATTCGACTCCGAATTTGCCTCCGAATCCGGATGTAATCATGACTGGCGCTGCGTATCGCAACACGGCGCCATTTAGCTCTGCACAGAGAACCACGTCGAGTTCATCCCTGGAAGGTTTGGTTTCCGATGGGGCGGAGGCACCGAACTCGACGGATAGCGAGACACTCCTTGAAGGTCAGTCTAATATTTGGTATCCAATGGTGAGATAGCCTTCTCATGACGGTCCAGACCGCAATACGAGTTTCATACCATATCCTGCGCAATCTGGGCCCATAGTGATTCGCGCAACCGCCTGGGCGCGCGTCTGCCCAGCTGTTTGGGACTCCAAACCGTCATCACCTTGTCCCTCGCCCGTTCGTGCAGTCAAGCGTCTTCGTCAGCATAGCCCTCGCAACTCTCAAGACGATGAGGGTCCTTCCCGTCCTATCTTGGCTGATGGGCCTCCTAGCCAACCACGCGTGGGAGCTGAAGAACATCGACCAACTGTCACGCACTCTCCTGAGCAGGTCCCCATGCGTCTTGAACCTCGCAGGGCCGCTCGCAGCCCGAGCCGTGCAAGGCGTGACCCATCCCGCCGGGGCACTCATTCCAGCGTCCGGTTTTCGTCCGGGGACAGGCTACCGGCAGAGAGCAATCGAGCACAACCGCAGAGCCACATGCATAATCCTGCTGCGTCGCCTGCTCCCTCCCCTGCCGCAGGCTTCACCCCGGTTTCGGCACAGGCTCCGTGGGTGCACCCCACGATGCATCCTACGCCCCCGTGGATTCCACAGGTTCAGTCCCCGCTTTCCCTCCCTGCTCCTTTTGCACGCATGGCCCATCCTATGCAACCGGCACCGGCTCCGTACATGCCGCAAATGCCTTACCCTGGTATGCCGCCGTACGCATACCACGCCAACTGGAGCTACCCTGAGCTCTACCGAGACATGGCCACTGCGGCGGGGTTGGGAATGGGCACTCCATATCGCAACCCCTTTGCCGGCCCCCCGTCCACGCGTGCTACGGAGGCGTACCATTTTGCTCCTTATGCGCCTGCGGCTCCCTCGCTGCCTGGCTCGGCCATTGGCGGGATACTCGATGCGATGGTGACGCCCCCGTCTGACCCGCGGGGCTTCCAACGCGATATCGAGCAGACCTTGCCTGGCGGCCATGTCACCGGGAACGCCCCTGAGTGGAAGCCGGCTTGGGCCGTGTTCCACCTCAAGGCGTTCCGTGGCCTGGAGTGTCAAGTTATTGAAGTGCATTGTGGATGGGACGATGAGCAGCTGCTTAAGGCCCTGAAGGAGGCGTACAAGGCGCTGTGCGGGTGGCATCGCAGCTGCCTGTCGCCGAAGGAGCTGAGGTGCGTGTCCTACCAGCGCTACGCTTTCATCGACTGACGACTCCCACGAACCACAGCCATGCTACCCGTGTCAGTGTAAGTCACCCCTCTCCGTCCCTCACGCTATTTACATGCTGACGCGCCGCACAGGTGAACGACGCGTTCATATACCCGCAACGTGTCGGCCCCGGGCGCACGACGCCGCACCGCAACAAGCGCCTGCGGTACCTGCTCGCGCACCCGGAGCACGTCCGCGGCGAGCACGCGTTCATGCGCGCGCTGACGGAGTCGCCCGAGCACGGCGTCGAGTTCGTCGAGCGCTGGAACCTGTGGGTCGTGTCCGCGGTCGTGCTGGGGCTCGCGCTCGTCTCGCTCTCTATCGCGCTCGCGTACGGGTGGTTCACGGGCGACTGGCCGAACGGGTTCACTATTGCGTGTGAGTCGGGTCCTCCTTCAGGGTGTGAGGGTCCGGGATGAGTGCTGATATTGGATCGTTACAGCGTTCTTTTCGCAGACGTTTGCGCAGATCCTGGTGCTAGTAGGCCTGTTGGAGTACTGTGAGTTTTGATCCCTTCGGGACATGAGCATGTGCAGCACGGGAAGAATGACGTCCAATCTCGGACGAAGTATAATGCGGAAAGGTGTACAATATACGCGCGTTTCTCGGATCTTATTCCTAAGCACGAAGTCGTCTCAATGGGGGTGTATTGCGACTGGGTATCGCCCGCCGACCCTATCCTGGGGGTCGACTGTAGGCTTCATCACCCCCACCACCTTGTCGCCAGTGTGTGAGGACCCTTCCCATCCGACCCTCATAGCAGTGTCCTGACGCAAGCGTACCTGTGTAGGCAGTCGACGTGTGGCGAAGCCAACCACAATGCGATACCCTTCCCTCCAAAGCACTGTCGATGCGAATGGATGCTCGTAAAAGCCGTGAGACCTCAGTCTTCGAACGCTTCCATGACGAGTATACCACCGCCTCGAGTCGAGTCCTGGCAGTGGCAACTGTCCTGGGTGCGCGTCTTGCTCAGGTTCAGAAGAACCATTTCCCAAAATACCTCACGCGTGACCACCACGGCGCTCGCTCAACCTTGGGTTGTGTCTTCCTTCACCGCCTACAACATAAGCACCTCGCGAACCGGTGCTAGGCGTACAAACCGTCCTGCGAAGCAGAATGCACAATCAACAGCATAGATGGACGAGTGATACCTCCTGCCAATCCACAGTCCGCGTGGGTAGATTTCGACAGGTACGTGCAATACCACTGGCCAGTTCGCTGAGGCCCATGTGCATTTACTCATTAACAAACCTTTTCAGACTTGCATCGCCTCTCATCGCTTCTCTGTCAAGTCCATGAGGTATGCCATGCCTGCAGCTTCGAATGATTGTGCTTACAGACGATTGCCTTAAAAGACACGATCCTCGACAGTTACCTTACATCGCCATCGCCTGCAACCCCTCGCCACGCCCGTCATACGCCCATTGCTCGCAGAACATGATCGACCTAGCCGACGCCGACAAGGGGGAAGCTCGTCACCAGAAGCTGGCCGAGGCGTCCACCGAGGACAGGACACCTACCCCTTCTCGCGCCCGAGGGTACGACGTTACAATACCCCTACTCCAGCCTCTCTTGCTTGAAGGAACTGCCAGGAGTATGGCGCCCTGCTTGAAGCTATCGAATGGTGCGCACTTCTCCCTCGCTTGCCTGCTTCCGTTGCTTCATCGTGGTGCTGCTGCTAAATCGTTCCGGCTGACAGCTCGTCCCCCTGGGGAGGAGGTACTCGCTGTAGTCGAGTCCCAGTCTCCGTCGGACGATGCAGTCTACGAAGCACTGGTCGGGATGGAGCTCTGTGCACGCCCAACGTCAAAGGGGGAGGCAACTACCCCGACGCAGGACACCGGCGGTCTTACTCCTATCATCGAATCGGACGGTCTGGCGACGCCTCTGAGTGAAACTGTCCCAGCGGAGACAGATCCTATTGATATACTTACGGCTTCACAGAATGGTACGTGTTCATCCTGCTCGCTCTTGGGTACTAAATGTTCATATGGAAACGAACCTATCCAGAGGTGCCACTTGTTCGCGCTACACCCTCGGGTGTTCTCCATCACCCTGCCTATACGGCTTCTCACCCAGACTCAAGTTGGGATCGCCCTCAGCCACAAGCATTGGACACTGTTAGACATAACAGCACCCCAGTCTCCGCAGGCTCTATCTCTCGCCCGTCTTCGCCCATTCTGAGTGGCTCAGAGGGTCCTAGTTTCTCGGTCAAGCGAGGCCCCCCGGCACGTCGATCCCGTGCCGCTTTGACCCGCTCAAGTTCTCGTTCGGGCATGTCAAGCACTCCCTCGCGCCAGAGTACTGGGGACAGCAACAGCAAACCCGACTCCGCGGAAGTCTCTTCCCAATGCTTCCCAGATACCGGTACCCACCCTGCGCATGAGCGCCCCCTGGTTCTATCTGGGCCGCCCCCGTCATCATTTGCACAGGTCAATGCGCATGCTGCTCTATGTCAGTCCCTTTCTCTGACTTAGTTGTTTCAGCGTGGTAGATCCCCTGTTCCGGCTTTTTTGGGCGCACACGGCGTAACCACCTTGCATGCTAGTTCTCTCCCCCCTTCGCGCAGTTCCTCTTTGACCCCCGACGGCGCAGCTCGGTCCAACCTACTCCCAAGCGTGGGCCTCAGCCGACCTGTAGCAAATGCGTCCACTATTGGTCACGGCCAATATGGCGATCCCGTCCGCGGACTACACCTCTCCACCGAGCCTCACCCCAATACCCCGGGAACGCATCTAACGACGCCTCCCACACAGGGCCGATTTGGGCCCTACCACCCTAACCAAAGTCACTCCAGCATCTACCGAGATCTGGTCACTGCTGTAGGGCTGTCGCCCGGAACACATTTCCCGTACACTCTGTTGAATCCCGCTGTCGTCCTGATGTCGGATACCTCGAACGACGGCACACTCGACCCGGAAGTTGAGCTTCGCCAGATACCTCTGTCCCGTGGGTCTGCCTTGCACGACCGGGACCTACGCGCGATGGAGGAAGGAGTCGATTCTGGACACGACAAGGGGACCTCAGACACCCTCTGCGACCCGCACCCGCACGACTCCCACGGTGCCACATCGGGCGGCGGCGCTGCGCAGAGGTTCCCTCTGAAAGTCTTCAGGAGGCGTGACTTCAAAGTGCTGGAGATAGAAAAGGAGTGGGATGATGAGAGGCTCCTTACTGCGCTGAAGAAAACTTACGATCAGTTGCGGGGGTGGAGGAAGTACTTCGGGCTCATGAGCGTCGCGTGCGTCTATTTCTTGTTCTAGCTCCGGGCACCAGATCGCTTACTTGGCGACACAGCTACCTCACGCCTGTCCTAGTGCGTCTGCTGTATACATTCCTGCCTGAGAGACGTTTTCTGACCGGGTCGTTATTTTGGACACAGGCGCTGGAATCGTTTATCTATCCCCAGCGCGTAGGCACCCGCTGGATCTCCTCTCACAAGAACATGCGCATGTGCTACCTCCTCCGGAACCCCGCCCACCAACGTGGAGAGCGCCAACTGATGGCTGCACTCACCCAACACGTCGAACTTGGGGTCGAGTTTGTGGAGCGTTGGAAGACCCGCCGCCTTCTAGGAGTTGCGGGCTTTTGCGCCTTCCTCTCGTACGCGACCATGATCGGCTGGGGCGTGAAGAGTGGCGACTGGGCCACTGGTTCTCAGATTGGCCGTAAGTCTCGTTTCGCAGCCTCGCGCATGTGACAGAACTCTGATGACGCGTAGAGTTCCATTTGGCTATGTTCTCGTTGCTCTTCATCGCGGTCGCCTGGTCCCAGAACCACGAGTTCTAATGTGGTCGGCAGACACATTCCATACTTCGCACTCGCTGTGGTGGAGTTGTTGGTTCGTCGTCCGTCTGTCGTTATGATGCTCCTCCTGCGCGCCCATCCCCACTGTTATCCGTTACCGGTTTGTGTCAGGACTGGCTCGTTCGATCTCCCTCCTTTAGCCAACATTTTTCTCAATTCAATCGGCTCTTCTATCTACGCACCCACCTATAGTTATTTGGCTGACTCGACCGCCTTCCGTACCAACTTGTAAGAACCTTCCCCATCTGACCCTCATAACAGCCTGCTGACGACAATATGCAGGCCTAGGCGAGGAGCGTGCGTCAAAGTCGACTACAGCCCAATACCCTTCGCCCCGATGCACTGTCAGTGCGAATGGAATACTCGCAAAGGCGGTGAGACTTGAGTATAGGCTTCTTCGAATGCTTCCATGATGAGTATCCCACCGCCTCCAGTCAAGTCCTGGGTGCACGCTAAGCTCAAGTTTGGAAAACCCCTCTCACAATCCCGCACGCGTGACCCCACAGGGCGCTCGCTCACCTGGAGTTCTGTCTTCCTTTACCGCCCGCGACATGAGCACCTCCCGACATCTGGTCTGCGCCGAGCGTGCTAGCATAACCAGTTCCCCGAGCAGCGTGTCAATCCCCGTGTAAATTATGAAGCACCAAGAGCGGAGGATGGTGGATGGACGAAATGGAGCGACACTGGTATGCGCCAACATATGGATTGCGGGGAGGTACATGTAGTCCCATCAGTTCCCTGTGCACTTACTCATCAACGCTGTTTTCTAGACTCTCATCGCCTCATGTCCTCAAGGCATGTCACGCCGGCACCTTTGAGCGTTTGCGCCCACAAACGATGACCTTATAGCGCGCGATCCTCGAACGTAGGTCTCCATCGCCGCTGTGTGCGGCGCCCCTTCACGCTGCTCAGTGTTCAGACTGCCATCTCTCGCACATCATGCTCCCCTTGGTTGATGCCGATAGGGAGGAGGCTCGTTACCAGAAACTAGCCGAGTCGTTCAAGAGTGAGGCTAGGGCCCTTGCCTCTTCTCGCTCCCGGGCATACGACATCGCGCCATCCTTTCGCCGCGCTCCTTCCCAAGTCCGGCTTGAAGGAACCGCAGTCGGTTCAGCTCTCGAGCAAGATGCATTAGATGGTGCGTTATCTTTCATTCTCTTGCCTGCTTGCGTCGCTTTATCATGCCACTGCTGCTGAGCCGTTCCGGCTAACAACCTATCATCCCATAGAGCACGTACCCGCTGTAGTCGAGTCCCTGTGCCCACTAGACCAGGCGGGCCGCGATGCGTTGGATGGGAAAGAATCCTCTGCCCGCCCATCGTCGATGGTGTCAGCATCGATTCCGGGGCATGACACTTGCGCTCTTACGCCTATCATCGAATCGGATGGCCTGGCGGCGCCCTCGAGTGAAACCGTGCCATTAGAAGCCTGTCCTCCTACTCTACTTGGGGCTTCATACATTGGTGGGTACACCTCCCGTGCCCTCTTCGGAATTGACTAATCAGGTTCAATGATATACCGATCTAGAGGGTTCTCTTATTCGGAGTCTCCCTTCGGCCATTATCCGCGACTCTGCCCGTACGACTGCCTTCCAACATTCCTTCGACCCTGTCAGACGTAACAGCGATCCGATCTCGCACGCAAGTTCTCTCTCGCGCCCGTCTTCGCCCGTTCTGAGCGGCTCAGAGGGCCCTGGCGTATCACGCAAGCGCGGTCACAGGGCACGTCGGGCGCGTGCCTCTAAGACCCGCTCAAGCTCTCGTTCGAGGACGTCCACCACTCCCTCGCGTCGGGGTACTGGCGACAACAACGATATACTCGATTCGGTGGGGTCCCCTGTTCAATGCCTCCCAGCTATTGATACCCTCCCCGCGCCCCCTGCGTACGAGCATTCTTGTGCTCAAGCTCGGCCACCTCCGTCATCATTTGTGGAGGTAACTGTGTTGCCCTATGTTCGCTCCCTTCTCTAACTCAATTGTTGTAGCGAGGTAGATCCCCTGCGTCGGCTCTTCTGGACGCTGTGGCCTCAACCTCTTCGCAACCTAACTCTATCTCTCCTTCGCGTGATTCTTCCCCCACTCCCAGCGGTACAGCTCGCGCCAACCAGTACCCAGGCTCGGGCCTCAGCCGCCCCGTATCAAACATATCAGATATCAGCTACGGCACGTATGGCGCTCCCGATTCCGGACTACATCTCCCCGTTGGGCCCCGGACACATCCTGCGGGTCGGGGAGCACTAAGCCGGTTTGGGCCGTACCACACTAATCAAAGTCACCCAAGCATCTACCGCGATTTGCCCACTGCCATAGGACTGTCGCCCGCACCGCAATTCCAGTCCACTTTGTTGAATCATCCCACTATCCCGACGTCGGATAATCCATACAGTACACTCAATCCGGACATGGAACTTCGCCAGAGACCTCGGCCTTACGAGTCCGCCCAGGACGTCCGAGAGCCAGAGCTGCGCGAGATGGAGGAAGGACTCGGTACTAGGCACGGCAAGGCAGCCTCGGGCACTCTTTGCAACCCGCACGACTCTGGCGATACGACGGGCGACGACGCGTCACCACCCTTTCCCCTGAAAGTCTTTAGAAGGCGCGACTTCAAAGTGCTGGAGATAGAAGGGGATTGGGACGACGAAAAGCTCCTTACTGCGCTGAAGAAAACTTACGACCAGTTGCGGGGGTGGAGGAAGTACTTCGGGCTCATGGACATTGCGTGAGTCTTTTACTTCTCTTAGCCTAGGAGGCGCGAAAGCTTACTTTTCGACGCAGTTATCTTACACCGGTCCTGGTAAGTCCGTTGTATATCTTCCCGCCTACATCTTTCTGATCAAGCCGTTGTTTTGGACACAGGCCGAGTCTTTCATCTACCCTCAGCGCGTAGGCACCCCCTGGATCTCCTCTCATAAGAACATGCGCATGTGCTACCTCCTTCAGAACCCGGCCTACCTACATGGAGAGCGGCAAGTGATGGCTGCGCTCACTCAACGCATCGATCTTGGGGTCGAATTCGTCGAGCGCTGGAAGACCCGTCGCCTCCTGGGTGTTGCAGGACTCTGCGCCATCCTCGCATACCTGACCATGGTGGTCTGGGGCGTGCAAACTAGCGACTGGGCCACCGCATCTCAGATTGGCCGTAAGTCTCGTTTCGCAGCCTCGCGCATGTGACGGAACCTGATGACGCGTAGAATTCCATTTGGCTATGTTCTCGTTGCTCTTCATCGCGGTCGCCTGGTCCCAGAACCACGATTTCTGATGTGGTCAGCACTGAACACAATCCATGGCCTACACTCGCCCTATCAGGGTCGCTCGGCGACCTCTTGTATACCCATCTCCTGCATCGTTATGCTTTTCCTCTTACGCTCTCAATATCTCCACTATTCTCGGTATTATCGATTGCATCCTGTGCTCGTTATATCCTCCATGCTTCTCCCTCAAGCTCCTCCCTCACCCAACAATTTTCCCTCCGATTAGCTCTTTCCTATAAGTACCCAGGTACAAGTTCTGAAGTCTGTATCCACTCTTCCTATCGCTCGCTTCCTACGTTCATACCTTGCTGCCTCGTCCGCGACTTCTCTTCTTAGGCGCTGAACGGCTGGAATATATGCTTACGCTTCTTCAAGCCGGTCCTTCCCTGAAGGCGAGCTCGGCTGCGTACGTGCGAGGCACGACAAGTGGCAGACGACGTACTTTGATGTAGTTTTGAACAATACCACCTCGGGTTGGCAAGTAGCACACATCATGAGTCATGCATCGTACATTGTGTATCACTTCCCATCGTACCAATCTTAAGGAGCAAGAATTCGATCAGCGGCACACTCAGATGGTCAAGTAACAGCAAGGGCGGCGTAACACTTGACGACTCTCGTAGACATACAGACGATCAGGTACATTGATCTACCAAGAACCGCATCGGGTTCAGAAGGCTTGCTCGGCCAATACCTCAGACACCTTCACGACGAGCACGTCCGGCGAGGTCATCTCAGCAGAGAAATACGCTTTCGCGCCCATGACGCCCTGCGTGCGGACGACGTCCGACAGCCGCATGTACGCCTCCGGGTTGTCGCACTTCCGGATCCTGCAGACTAAGCTGCGCTTTTTGTCGTACACCAGGAGGTTTCCGATGTTCTGGTTAGACGGCTCGAGGGTATGGGCGTCCATAGGAACCTGCACCTTGATGATCATCTTCTTCGTCTGGCCATGCGGGATGTGGGGAACCTGAACGGAGCGCGAGTTGCGCGCAGGGCGTTGCTCGAATGGCTGCCCAAGCAGGGCACGCGAGGTGTCGGAAAGAGAAAAGAGCGGGCCCATGTTGTCGGCTTAGTGGGGGGTGACGGTAACAGTGCTCTCTGTGCTGAATGGCACGCAGATGTGCTTGTGCTTCTTCCAGTCATTTCCTAGATGCGGGTGAGCTACGTGACCACGCGCGAGGCACAAGAATGGTAGAATACGTACTTTGACACTGTCTAGAACAATACCACGTCGCGTGGCAGCTGGCGCAGAACTTGAGCGGAACACCCGACTTCGCGCATGTCGCGCATTTCTTTTCGTCCAGCGGGTTCGCCGCGCCAGCCCGCTTGCGTTTCCACTTCTGCACGACCGCAGTCACCTTTGGGCCACACTTGATGAAGAAGGCATCTGGTGTAATCCCGCTCTTGTCCGCGATGTCGAGGCGCGCGCCGAACTCCAGCAACACCTCAATTGCGTCGATGGACTCGTTTTGGAACGCGCCCATGAGCGCGACGCTGCCAAAGACGTCTGGGGCATCGGGGCTCGCGCCGTGTTCGAGGAGGATACGTGCGATGTCTGCACACGGGAATGCCATGCAAGCGTGGTGTAGCGGGGTGTAGCCGAGGACGTCCGGGATGTCGGGAGGCGCTCCCTGCGCGAGGAGGTACTTGAGCGTGCCGATATGATCTACGCGAGCGCGGCTAGACATGACGACACGTTGCGCGCCAAAGAGAGCCAGCGCGGCATAGCCGTGCTTGTATCCCGTTTCCTGCCCAAGCAAGTCAGGCGCAGTCCCCGACTCGACGGCCTACAGTTTTCAGCACTAAGATGGATGCGTGCATGTGTAGCACAAAATGTACCTTTTTCACGCCATCGAAGTCGCCTAGATAGCAAGACCGAGCGAACGGGTTCAGGAGCATCGGAGAGAAATGAAGCGAGTCTGTGACGAGACCGCTATCAACATGCTGGCCATACCGCAAAGACCGCCGTGGACGTACTTTGCTGGTAGAGCACCCGCAGCCTCTGTTCTTCGTTTGCAGATAGTACTCTGGGCTGGTCGAGGAGTTTCTGCATCTCGCTGGTGACCACAAACCCACCGCCTCCCGGTGTTTTGAAGCTCGACATTCTGCCAATGGGACGCGACTCGGACGACCTCGGCGATCGGCTGGCAGGCAAGTCAGCTCGAACTCAACGCCTTCCGTACCGTCAACGTCTGAATGGGCTACGCACATAGAAGAACTTGAAGGGCCGCCAACTGAGAGTACGACGTTGGCTACAAGTTCTACATTAGCCGATTAAGTGAATGCGATGCGGTAAGTCAATGGAGTCTCGGCTATCATTTTTGGCGGAGATGGGGGCCGGTCTGAGCGCTGTGAGGTGGGACAATTCAGCAATTCAGTCCGGTTTCGTATGCTGCCGTGAAGTCGGGTTACTTCGAGCACCTACTTTTACCACAGAAGTCAAGAGTCACAGCGCAGCATATCCACAAAAATGCGTCTGCCATAGGAGCCCTCTGCATGCTGGAACATGGTAAGGTTGGGTGCACGGATGAATCAGATGAGGGAGAGTACCGCCTAGGCTCGTCAACCAGCACTCTAGGCCTGCGGAAAACAATGCTGTGTAGTATAGAGAAGTGTTGAAGGCCAAGAACGAAACGTACAATGGTAATGGGATGTGACGACCCTGAAGTCAGTGACACACAACCGCTAATATACTCGAGTGTCGTGCGCCGCGTTGTGGGATGTTTGTATCTGTTCGGTCGAGTCAAAAGCGTAGGACTTGATCGTAACGAGTGACGGCTCACGCTCGCAGGCTAGCTTGAGATAATACGATCGCTTCCCTCCACCGTTGCGAGAATAAGACCACGAGCATACTGATACATTTATAAGCAAGTCAGGGATAGACGGAACATTCGATTGTGCTTACCCGGAGTTCGTAACATCGCCCTGCCCGGCTCTTGTTTTGCGGTTGTTTCCCCGGCACAATGCGGTATTGTATCCAGTGCGCTCCGGGTAGGCGAGGATGTAGCAAGAATATGGTGTGTAGCGACGAGGACAGGGTGTCCGCAAAGGTTCGAGCCGCGCGATCGCGTGCCGCCTTGAGGCGCTCCTCCGCTGCGCTCGGAGTGCGCGGGCTCGGACCGCCAAGATAGATACCACCGAACGGCATGGGGGGTTCGAAGATTGGTGCGAACCCAGGATGTATCCGGAGAGTCGTCAGATGTGTGAGGCGTGCGAGATCTCGAGCAATGTGTGGCTGCGCAGGCCGTCAACATACACGTCAGCCCTCATCCCGCGATAGGAGAGAGACGCAAGCTTACCACGAGAGTATCTGCGGGCGCGTTCTCCGCACGATAGACGTGGATAGTGAGCGAGGTCAAGCGAGGGAACGCGCGCGGAAGGAAGCGCCACAGGGCAAACTCATGATCATCAGCGAAGAATTCCACAGCGAGCTCGGTGAGGTCGGGAGTCTGGCACCGGCTCAGCAGCTCCAACATTTGCGACGCGGTCAGCAGCGCGCCTTGCAGTTGCCGCTCGCGGACTCCGCTACTGGTCTCCCATATGATGTTGCCATAATATGGATACGAGTAAAGGAGAAGTCGTCGTAGAGTGGGGGGAAGATGACGATAAATCTCGTCCTCGAGGTTTGCATGGCATGTTGTGAAGGATTGGAGATGGGGCCATGGGCAGGCCGCATCGTAGTCTGACGGCCAGAGTATTGGAGCGGTGACGCCGGGCCGGAGCGTAAGCACAAGCTCCAGGGAACGAAGCTCGGGCATATTGCCAAGCGTGATCACGTACGGGGTCTCGGGGTAAGGGGTCGCTTCGCCACACATGAGAAGGTCGCGGAGACAGGGCCAATAGGAATCACGGAGGATGTCTAATGGGGCGGACTCACTAGACATCGTGAGGCTCTGCAGCGAATAGCTTGCTTTCTCCAGGAAGCAAGCGAGAGCAGCCCTCTCAGTAGGGAGCCAACGCGGGGCGGCTCGGGAATCGGAGAGCCTGTAGGTGAGCGAGATAAGAGGCGGTATAGTGATGGCGTCCAGATCCTCCACAGGCACTCCCATAACGCCAGAAGCAGGTAAGTTGAGCGCGAGCTCACGAAGTTGTGGTGTAGCCAGGATGGTTTTGAGAGACGGCCATGGTAGTCCGTCGTCCTCAGTGCTATATGACCAGATCGAAACCCCTCTGAGTAAGGGCATACTCTGTAAGGCGGAGGAGAGAAAATCGGGATCGAGATAGTCGCAAAACGACCTCAAAAGTGAGTGTGAACGGAGTGAGGGACGCAGCGCCACAAGCGAGAGGTGCCTAGAAGATGTCAACATCGTACAAGGAAATTTGTTCGATCACTTACATTATGTGCCCCCACAGTGATGTCGGAGGAAAAATAGGAATACCGAGGACAGATTCGTGCGTTACTTGACAACGCCTGAATAGAAGCGGCTCGGCAGCCTCGCGGATGGCCTTGCACGTGGCTGAGAGAGATTTGAGGCATCCCTGTAGCAGGGCCTCTTCCAAAATACAGCCCAACACGTCGAAATTCAAATCCATGAGACTGTGGTCATTGCACCGAGTCAGTGACTTTGTATAAGATGTTCAGAGGAGCTCACTGACAAGTATTTCGAACTGCCAAACCTGGTATCGCCAAAGCTTGATGAATCTGGACCTTCGCAAGAGCTGAAATTATCACCCCAGGGGTTCAGATCTTCGCACTGGGGGCTAGGATCATGGCCAGGACTAAGATTGCTATCTCCGGAGCTTAGCGAAGCACCCACGCTTGGGCCGTAGCCGGAGCGTGGACAGTAAGTGCGCTTGCGCATCCAGTGAACCAGCCTCTTGAGTGAGAGACGCATATCGTGGTGCAAAACAGTGATGAGGGTGAGTTGCTTTGAACTGGGACGCGGGTAGCTATACCATAGCTAGAGCTGGTCAGGAGAGAAGCGGACGGCCAGTGGCACTGCCGCCAAATCTTTAGCGCTTTACTGAGGCTGCGATAAGCGCCGGTTGTGTTCATTCTGCTCCCGACGACCATGTCCACGACCGAGTTTCCCTCCGCGCCCTAAGCTCGTACGAAATATAAAAGAAGGAACTATGGGCCTTCCATAAAGGATATAAGTACTCTCACTCCGATCACCGGTCACTCTGCACCACCATCTAAAACAGGCCTCGAGCACTCTAGCAAGTGCCGTTTGGTAACGTTTATCCGCGTTACCTTGCATATAGCTACAGTAAACTGACATTTTGGTATATGAAGATCCTGCGTGGTAACTTGGTACCTTCGCTCTCTGTATCCCGCCTGAGGACCGCTGTTTGCTCAGACTCGCGACGACACTTGCTCTGGGAACTGCGCTTGTCAACGCGGCCTCTGTGCTTAGGCTCTCTTCAACTAGATACCAAGAAACGGCTCTCCTTACTACACATTTCAACGATGAAGATGTCCCCGATGCCAGTCATAGATCCTCAAAACCCCTTCTACTGCCCTGCCGTACCTGCCGACATATACATGCAAGATCTGCGCTTTCAGCTGTCTTCAAACCCATGGAAATTCTCCCTCGGTCTTTACGAAGACTCTAAAACTGGCGGCGATGTCCTACTGTCCTTCCCTGTGCGCTTAAACGACGCTCTCGGCGCGGATGATGACGACGCCGACACCGACCCCACACCTGCACTACGGTCGAATCTCGCGCCCAAGAATCCCGCATATATGCTAGCCCGACGGAATCGCACACAGCTCTGGGTTCCTGGGGACACGCTCTACGAGAAATCTCGCTCGTTCTCGCCTGCTGGGGCTCTTGACTTGTCTGCCGACTACGATCTCTCTCCTGGTCGATCTCCTGTGGACTCGCCGCCGGCCTCTGCTCTGCGCGGTCCCCCGCTACGTGGCCTGTCTCCCATCAGCCTCAATGACGAGAGTTTCGCTTTAAGCGGGAAGGCGGATCGACTACGATTCTCCATGCACGGGCATGCTTTCGTATCTCCCGACGACCCAAAAGCACATGGAGTCATGAATGCTTCTGAACGTCAGTCCCAGTGGTCTCTGAATAGTATTTTATGCTTAACATCCAGTAGATGTAAGACTCCCCGATTGGGTCGGTTCGGAAACTCCCCGAAGCCTCGCCATACTTGTCGCGTTCCTGGAAAGTATCCTGCCTGGACTCAAACTCCAAGAGAAGCTCGAAGGAATCGAGACTACCCATCAAAACATCGCAGACGTCCTCGCTGTCGAAGGTATAGCACTATCTGTGTAAGGTCGCCAACCTTGCTCATACCGTGCTCGCCTCTAGGACGCCTGACAGCGCGAGTGCTGGGCTTGTTCCGCACATCCGAGGTCGAATGCCTTGATCTCGTCGGTTCGATGACCGACGAAGGAGGTCTCAATCTCGGGGCGCATGATATCCTCCGTAGTATGTATATCGCCTCCTCGATCGGAGTGTATGCTACTGATTACCGCACGCATCCTCAGCCCTCTCGCTCCCAGACGGCTTCCACTTCTTGCAAGAGCTCAACTTCTCTGGCGCGGTCCTCGACGACGCCGACGTGCTGTTCTTCAACCGTCTACCGCGTCTGTTGAGGCTGTGGCTGAACAATACGGGCATCAGCAATGAAGCGTAGGTTGTCCTTTCGTCGGAATGCATACTCGAACACTTACGCTTGAGATGCGCTAGGGTGTACCACCTCGTCGCCCTCAAACGAACGCTGGAAGAAGTGGACCTGTCCCACAATCCCCGCGTTGACGACGACGCCATACCTGCCCTCCTGACCCTTCGCAAGCTGCAGTTCCTCTCGCTCGTGGAGACGAACGTCACCATGGTCGGGATGCGGCGTCTTGCGCTGGAGTCGAACGCAGGCACCGAATCCGAGGATGACAGACGGCTATATGTCGAGGCCCCGCGCGTAGTCGAAGACTATCTGGACGGTAGGCTTCCCTGCACGCCTACTTACGTCCGCATCGCTGAGAAGTACCATATTGCAGACCTCGATGCCAAGTACCTCGTAAACCCGGAACCACCGCTGATCGTCTCTTCGGCCGTGGTGCCGCAATTGTCGGCTGGAGCCATCAAGCGGAACCTCGCTGCGCACGGGGTATGCAACCCCAGCATCTCCGCGAGCGGGACGAAAGAAGAGATGGCCGAACGCCTGGCTCGCATCCTGCGGGCGCGGGAGGGGGATCTGGCGGTGCAAGGCTTGCTTGGGGAGACCTGAGCTGGTGCTCGTTCTTGAAGTAGCAATGTCGCATTGTTTGTAAGATTATCGAGGTTAAACCCTTTTTATCACGGCTCAGTATTGCGATGAATCTCAGAGCTTCGCATTTGCTCTAGTATTCCGTGGTTCGCTCATCTCATAGACATTCCAGATTCCAGCAATATTTTCGTGTACTTCGTTAATTATGGGAGGACCGGATCCCGTCAGCGGGAGCAGTGGGCTGCACCGGCCGGCCGGGCCATCGGCTGCCATCGGCCGGAGGAACCTCTCCGGTGCCTGAACGTTAAACAGTTTAGGCAACTTCGCTACCAACCTCCTGCCATTTTGACTGATGCCCTGCGTCATCGTACCGCATACCGCCCACCAGCGCGTCTCTCTGTAGAGTCTCAAATCCCCCCAAAGCACCTCCTGAATGTGCGTAGACGAGTCTTATTATACCCGCGAGCACTGGCTGATGCTTTATATTGACTCGGACGCTGTGGATGACGATGTTGGCAGTGGATTTTGTCCGTCCGCCGCCATGTCTACCGTACCAGGGAGCGGTGGGCTCGTCGTGCCGAGCCGGATGCAACGTATCATTGAGCAACCTGGACATCTATCGGTTGCCCAAGGAGGTCAAACCTTGCGAGAGTTGTTCAGGCAAAGTGCGCATTTAGTCACCCCATTATAAGTTTAGTCCAACATACTAAAAGGTCATTCATAGATTCTATCACGTTCAATCCTATGCTCCTCAGCCATTTTGCCCAAGCCTGCTATTTCGGCGCGCTGGATGCAGTCAAAACGGTGCGTAGCACACGATGTTGCCTTCATTTCACTATACTAAATCGTGGTCGTGACAGGCAATGGAAGCCGGAACTGCACCCGATCTGAATGGCCACGAGTCAGCCTACAAGTACGGGTACGCGTCACTCGTTCTGTTCGGCTCGCAGCGGGTCCGGCTGCAGTCAGGCGAGCCGTTGGACCACCCCGGCATGCTCAAGTACCTCCTCGAACACGGCCTTTCCCCGAGCGTCCCGGACATCGTCGGCTACACCGCGCTGCACCACGCATGCATGGCGTACCCGCGTGCAGACCTCGCGCGAATCCTGCTCGAGCACGGTGCCAACCCGAACGCGCAGGACCGGTTCGGCGGGGTCGCGCTCATGGGCGCCCTGCAGAATGCATCTGTCGACGCCATCGAGGTGCTGATGGAGTTCGGCGCGCGCCTGGACATCGTGGACGCGGATGGGCACACCCCGGGGGGATGCTTCACTATGTATGGCCCGAGAGTGACGGCGGTCGTGGAGAAGTGGAAGCGCAAGCGGGCGGGCGTGCCGAAGCCCCTGGACGAGAACGTGTGCGCCATGTGTCGAAAGGTCTCAGACAAGCCGCTCAAGTACTGCTCGAGGTGCCATGCAACCTGGTACTGCTCGCAGACATGCCAAAGTGAGCGTCTGTTGCATTTCGGCTTCGCCGTGTCTGACTGCTTTTCCGTCAGAGCAAGATTGGCGCGCGCACAAACCCGTGTGTCGCTCGTTATCGGGGGCCGCAAACACGGTCACCATCAAGCCGTTCTACTCGCAAGAGTTCGATGCCTTGCTGCCAGTCGCCGACCTCGCGCGCAGCGCGCTCGGCTACCCTACGCAGGAGCAGGCGTCCCGCAGCACCCGCGCCGTCCAGAAGCCGAACATCCCCGCAGGCCAGACGAGGAAGATGATCATCAAAGTGCAAGTGAACCGCGCGGTCCCCGACGGCGACCTCCTCGTGTACGACAAGAAACGGACGTTCGTGTGCATGGTCAGAAAGGTCGACTGCGCGGACGGGTACACGCAGGTATCGCACGCCGTTCGCACGAAGGGCGTGGCTGGCGCGAAGGCGTACTTTTCGGCGGAGATGACTTCGCCGGATGCCCTGGTCGTCAAGGTGTCAGAGGTTTTGGCCGAGCAGCCTTTTTGAATCTGGATATTCCTGTCTGTTGTATTGAATCTTACTCTTGGAAGAGGCTTCGTGGAGATGCCGTCCGAGGTGTACTCATAGAATATTTCATAATTCGGACCCTCTTAGCATACAACAAAGACATATAAGTACACTCGCCCAGACCGCTTGCAAGGAAACTCAGAAGGCCTGTTCGGCCAATACCTCAAACACTTTAACGACGAGCGCATCCGGCGACGTCATCTCAGCAGAAAAATACGCCTTCGCGCCCATAACGCCCTGCGTGAGCACGGTCTCTGACAGCCGCATGTACCCCTCCACGTTGTCGCACTTCCGGATCCTGCAGACCAAGCTTCGCTTCTTGTCGTACACCAGAAGGTTTCCGACATGCTTGTCCGATGGAAGGCCAGCCTCGACGTCCATGGGCACTTGCACCTTGATGATCATCTGCTTTGTCTGACCGGGGGAGATGCGCGGGATATGGACGGAGCGCGAGTTCCGCGCGGGGCGTTTATCGAACGGCTGGCCGAGTCTCTCGCGTGCCATGTCTGACCAGGAGGCCAAGGAGGTGATCTCGTCGGAGTAGCACGGAATGAGGGTGATGGTGCTCCCGGCGCAGAATGGCTGGCAAGTCGGCTTGTGATTCTTCCAGTCCTCCTCTGGGCGCAAGATCAGTGAAGCGACGCCGCGGGAGACCCAAAGCTTGACGCACTCTGACACTCCTTCGAACAATACCATGTCGCATGGCACTTGGCGCAGAACTTGAGTGGTCCATCTGCCCTCGCGCACGTCGCGCACCGCTTCTCGTCCAGAGGGTTCGCAGTGCCCGCCCGCTTCCTCTTCCACTTCTGCACGACCGCCGTCACTTTCGGGCCGCACTGAACGAAGAAGCTGTCGGGCGTGTGTCCGTTCGGGTCCGCAACGTCCAGGCGCGCGCCGAACTCGAGCAGCACCTCGATCGCGGCGATCGACTCGTTTTGGAATGCGCCTATGAGCGCGACGCTGCCGAAACGGTCCTGCGCGTCGGGGTTCGCGCCGTGCTGGAGCAGGATCCGCGCGATGTCTGCGCGCGGGTGGGCCATGCAAGCGTGGTGGAGAGGGGTGTAGCCGACGATATCTGGGGTATTTGGCGATGCGCCGCGTTCGAGGAGGTACTTCAGCGTCCCGATGTGGTCTGCTAGATCTCCTCGAGTGGATGAGAGTCCGGCCTCCCGTGCACCAAAGAAAAGGAGGGTGACGTATCCGTGCTTGTATGCTGTCTCGAGCGTTGTCAATTCGGGGGCAGCGCCGGACTCTACCGCCTGGTAACATCAATGAACGGGCTATACTTATGAGAAGCTCATGGAAAGCTTACTTCTTTCACCGCCTGCAGGTCACCCCAATAGCAAGATCGCGCGAATGGACGCAGAAGAGCAGAGGAAAAGTTGAGTGAATCTAAAATGGAGGAAATTGCGACATGTTAGACTTGAGGGCTCTGTAGAGAATGATGTGGACACCTTGCTTCTGCGGTAAAGAGCACGCAGCTCTCTTTCGTCGGATGACGATAGAGCCCCAGACTTGTCGAGGAGCTGTCGCATATCATTACTCACTATGTAACCTCCGCTACCCGCAATTTTCGACATCTTAAACCGTGTATATGTCCCACAGCGTGAGTATGCGTGATACTCGTTCAACCGTGCGCAGATGAGGGTAGAAGAGATCGGTCAAAACCCAGGCGCTCACCTACTAGCGCTTCGTATTCGGTGATTGCCGAGGCGTTCAGTACATGGCCATGGCGCATTCGGCGCCTGCGCTCAACCATCTTCAATCGCAGCCACACCGCTGTTACGAACTCTCTTAGAAGATGAGCTACAGTCATGTGTGGATATCGTTTGGTTACATCCGCCACCCCATCGACCACACGAGCATTCGACTGCGACCGCTTTGCGCCACGCTATCCCCCTGACCCCCGGCCGCGCTACGATCTTCACAGCCGCACGCAGAGGACACCAGTACTATCGTTTATGGGATCGGTTACTCGTGTAAGATAAAGGTAGGCGCCATCTTGCATCCTCCGAACGCTCGGAACCAGATCTGACGCCGGTACCTTCTTCAGGCGCTGCGCTTAGCCCTCCACATCTGAACCTACTTAACATTGCCGCAGCGGTGATTCCAGCCAGCTCTTCTTCAGTGACAATGCCACGACAGGGTACGGCGCTGTACGTGTACTTGAAGCTCCTTAATGCACTGATCCTGTGTCCATAACGGCAGTGCAAGACCGCTTCTGCCCATCGTGCTGCTCGGGTTGATACAATAATAGCCTCCGTCCACGTTCGGACCAACGCCACCACGTCCGCCCCCGTGCGGCTTCGAAGTCATAAGGTCATCAGGATTTGATTATACAACACCTTCGTCCTCCGCATGAAGCGGTGCATATCGACCGCGCTCGAGTGAACGTCGGACACGCCCCTCGTCTTCTCTGTCACTGAAAGGCGCTCCCCAAGGACAGCATCGTGGAATTCCCATAAGTCGGGGCGCTGACCGGGTATATCAGGGCGCAAAGGATGTCTATCCATTCCTCCTGTCCAAGCCATGGCCGCCACATCTCCACGCTTATCCGCTACTGATACCCCCGGGGTACAGCCTGAAAGCTTCACGTCGGATTTTGATGAGACCTTCGGTGCCCTGCTTATCGGTGCCTATGTAGGCCTCGCGTGAGTACGCTATATTTTTCCGTAACCAAGCCCGAGATTTTGCTGAACTAGACTAGCCTCTTCGGCCTCAATGTCTATCAGACCCTGCGATATTTACGGATGTACACGAAGGACGTTCGGCGTCTGAAAGTGACCGTGAGTAGTGCTCAGATGTGGTACTGCTACGAATCTTCCACTCATGTTGATCAGGTCATCACTGTGTTGTATGCTGCTACTTACATCTAAAGCTAAGTGTCGCGCTCAACGCTTCCCTTAGCTTGATAGATACTCTACACTCCGCTTTCTACATTCATGTATGGTAGGACGCTTCGACTGAATATCTTAGATCACGCTCAATGACGGTAAATATGTAGTTATCATTATCTCGTCACCGGCCAATCAAACCATGTACTCTTGGACGACGGCCTTTGGTGAGTCGGTCGTTCGTCGAAATGAGGCCCAGACTCGAGAAGGCCTGACTTGATCTGTCCAGGTCTGTTCGAGTGCGTACCCCCTACCGTTACAACTATTAAGGGTCATACATTTAACCGCATTCCCCCATGACAGCTTAACACTCCCCTAACAGTAAGTGTAACGTCTTTATATGCAAGGAGCACTATTTCCAACACTTTTCAGTCTATTATTGTAATCGTTGTGCAAACGTACGTCCCTGTATGCAAATTCCTACCGCCCGTAGGCCAACAACTAGGACCAAATGACATGTAGATTCTACGCAAGGCGTATCTATGCCAGTACGTCACCAGTTCTCACTCTTAGAGTAGCGTCCAATGCGCGTGCTCACTATGGCTACGCTCAGTGGGGCCACAGTACAAGGTTCCTGTATTCATAGTTGTACGTCCCTCGAGCTCCTCTTTTCTCTCAACTACGGACATTAATTGAAGCCCTCCTAGGTAGCGCTCATGCTGGGCGAAGCAAGTAAGCACGGCGCCATCTTCGTTCTCGGCGCATGCTGAATAGTCCCAATCCTCGCCCAGTTTCAGTAATGTGTCAGTCTTGATTTCACCAGCGATCATTACTCTGAGAGTGTAGCTGACCACGAGCATTTACAGTCACGATTGTTGATACGTTGCGTGGCTCCTGCATGCTCGTCATCCGCCTCGGCTCAACGACCGTTTTCACAGTTTTACCATCCCTACGTTCTCCCGCTGGCAAAGCCATGTCGTGCGTACCGACACAGTCGCAGTACCTGGCCGCTGCTTGACCATCTACATCGCTTCTGCAGTGGCTTACGGCTATCCCATACGGATTCTCCCTAGCAGCGGACGTTATACTCACGAGCACGCTGATCATCATGCTGCACCGGAGTCGGACGGGGATGAGACGGTAAGCCTATCTATCGTGCTTATCCGGAACGCCAGCTCAACTAAAGCCGTGCAGTACGGACTCGCTCTTAAATGTTTTGATAGTGTACACGATCAACACAGGTGCCGTACCATCGTCCAAGACTGATGTCTATATCTCACTCGGTTCTGAACTCTCAGGGCTTCTGACAAGGTTAGCGAGTGTACTTTGTTAGTACGTAGCGCGGAAATTCACCAAGTTAATTTACAGTACCCTTAGCATCCTATGTGTTGTATTCGTACGTGTATTTCACCTGTTCGTCTCCGGTGCACCTAATCGGGCGCGCGAACAGGCGACTGAGCCGCAAAAGTTCTACTACATCGCCCTCAATATGCCCATTACCAAGTGTGCGTAATCCTCTCATTGCGGCTTAAACAACCCTGATCAAGGAACGAACGCAGCGTACGCCATTTCCATGCTCGCAGTGTGAGTACGAGTGGGCCACCTCGCGCTTTCCCCTTTTCCTGCGGGCTGATGCTCTATCCGGCGTTTTCAGCCTGAACTCGAGACGCGCTCTCGCGGAGCGTGCGCGGGACATTCAAGACCTCGGCACCTTCGGGATGACGATACCAAGCATCACTACCGCCAACATTGCGTTCGACCGACGACGGCTGTCGTTTGTAAGTCCCTTTTGTGCGCTCTAGTTTACACGCTGTAGCTCATGAAAATGTCTAGAATCATGGACTCTCGACACAGGAAACCGCGTTTCATGACGACACCACCCTGGATCTGTCTGAGCTCGCCCATGCCGAGTACAGCGGTGCTAACAAGCTTGTCGATGGAAAAGAAGTAGGGATGGGACCAGGGGTTTCCAGCGCATGAATATTAGCTGTGCGTTAAGGAAATACTGTATTACAGTACAAGATCCAAAACAAAGATACTGAGAAGCCCGTGATAACAAGATATTCGTCATCACCCGCCACGTCCAGATGCATGCGTGCCGCCCGCGACTAGCGCAGCCCTTCGCGCGACTCTAGACGTCCTCCAATAGGCCACCGAACTTGAGGTCCATGCGAAGATGCGGACACTCCTCGCTCTCGGGCCGTCCGCCTGAGCTGTCCGTCTCCACCTCCGTCTTGACGCCCACTTGTATCTGTGCGGCGCTGTTATCGGGGACCTTGTTCCGCCGGGTCAGACGCACTGGAATGCACAAGGAAACCGACTAGCGCACCTGAGGCACGTCCCAGCGCTCTGCTTTAGCGAGCTCGTTCGCGCGGGCGATGATACTCCTGCCGAGGGCCTTCAAGTTGCCGTGGAATATCTCCATGCCGCAACTTATGAACAGGCGGCGCGAGTTCAAGCTGTTCGTGTTCGTGATGTGAGTACTTCGTCGTTGTATAGGAACACGGAGGCACCACGCACACGGAGAGCAAAGTGTTGGCGCTCACTGTAGGTTTCGATGAGAGACGTCAAGATGCGGAGTCACAGATGTACGCACGTCTGCATGTGATGATGTTAAACGACGCCCAGCGCAGCTCGTTAGGGTCAGCCACAGTCTGCATATGAGCAGAGTTCTTAGCGACGGATCTGTGCTCGTGATCGTGAGCGTAACATACCAAGACGAAGGCGGCAGTGCTGCATAGACTTCAGCAGTAATGGCATTAATGTAAACTCCATGACATGATGACAGTTTCTCACCCTATCAGAAGACCTGTATGTGCCGAATGAGGATCATTCTCTGGCGCATGGGGCTGGGGTAGTCTTGACGCACCGGAGTTCACAACATAGAGCATAAAGACGTCTAGTAGCGTGTCAGTCCTATGCGTGACGCCTATCAGCCTGTTTCGAGCCAGTGCGACGATTTGAGGTCATTCTCACTGTTCGTGACGAGCCCTGCTACGCCTCAAAGCGCGAATGATGCACCCAGAGAGGAGTATGTCGGCGAGGGCGGTGAAGCCGTAACCGATGCGTGCGACCCAATCCAATGCTTTCGATTCGCTCACTTCGAATGTCCCCGTAACATACCTAATTGTGTCAATTGTGAGTCATTTGTAGGCAGAGAAATCAGCCACTTACATCTGCCTGACCGACACTATAGTCCGAGAACCCATACAGAGCAGCCGGTGAGCTAAACCAAATGGGAATGGCATCTGACGCGGGCCCACCTGAGCTGCAGCCTGAGCACAATATGTCAGTAATCATAGGTATGCGAGCGTGACGAAGTGCATACCAATCTGTGTCAGGAGGCATAGTATCTTGTGACGTTTCAGACACGAGAGAAAGAAAAGTGCGCAGCTATACTCGACGTACTGCGATGATGGCGATAATCTTGTGCCAGGAACCGACTGTAAATGTGATATTACAAGGAGAAGGAGAAGTCGGAAGGCGACGACATACGCATGGAGACCCTCCAGGCAAAGAATCTGGAAAGTATCAGCAGCCTGAGGAGGTGGAGGTATATTAAGGCCATGGTTTCCTCACATCTCAGCGATTAAGCCGACCACGGTCTATGGAAATAATATAGAGCACTGTCGATGTTCACTGATATGCTGGATACTCACAGATAGGAGAGGCACGACCTGCAACGTGATGGATTGAGAGCAGATTTTGAGTCTGCTGGACTGGACGCAAGTAAGGATACTCACTGCTACAGACCTGGTGTACGTTCAAGTCGTCAGCGATCAGACGCCAAAAATGCGCGTGAACGAGCCGTACCAGACTGGCGTCTCGAGAAGCGCATTCGGGTTGTCGTAATTCGTTGTGAGATAGTAGTAGCTACCAATGAACATGATCAGTAATCCATATACTTTTCTGCCAGTCTGAGAAACGGAGAGATCCTACCATGAGTGCATTAACGCGGCGGCATGCATCGTTTCGAGTGGCCTGTCGTGTGCTATGTAAACAAGGGGCCCGGATGTTTGCCTATATGCCTTACATAACGATAGCCACCTACGATCATGATAGTGAAGGTCAGCTCTGGGGCTCATTAGGCAGTTCGGAGAAGTGTTACCAAGATTCTAATATATGTCGTATCCTTGGGGAACAGTCGACAGTAGCGGTAGAGCTGGTGTACGCTCAACCCGTAGAGCCTACGATGATCAGTCACTAGATGATACTCGAAAGAAGAGAAGAATCACGCACGGTAGGCTGCAGAACGTACCTATCAAATAAGCACCGAGCGTGGTATCCAAGGCCAGACCGGATCCAAGGCTACTAGAGAGAGGTGGCAAGGCTGGTCCCGAGATGCCTCCGGTCATGTTTGTACTGTATGGTAGGGACATGGCAAGGCAGGGGTTACAGGCCCTCCCTGAACCTGACAGGGGGGTATAAAATGCACAGAGACGGACGCGCATATAAATACCACTCAACTGAAAGCTGCGATTGAGTTCTTCACGAAGACCGCTAGTCCATCATCATCATGATAGAGCGAGACGCTGTGAACCCGTCAGGAATATGACAGGGTGACCTGCTATGTGGGATGGATAGTTGAAACTCTAAGCAAACATGGCACTATAACTGCGCACTATAGGCTAGGAAGGGCTTCTGAGCCCCTCAGTAAACGCCTGATACCGCATGCGACGTTCTTCCACAGGATATGGGTGCTCCATGTCTGGTTCGGAGCAACCCTCGACCACGGTACACGCCATGGTTACCGTATAACAGATGTCTCGTCGACATCGTAACCTACTAAAGGGGATAAATTCTGGATGCATCTGTGGTACATCTGTTAGGGCATTCAACTCGACAGCGAGGTGGTGGAGCAGGGTCGTACCTGTGCATCATCGTTCCCCACGGACCTGAAGTAAGCAAACAATACACACACAAAATCAGAGCTGAGAACCCTACACGCTTCCCGATAAGTAGATTGAGTCGCGTTTGGATGGCGTATGTCGCACGCTTTACTTTAGATCGTCTTCCTCGAGCGCCGCCCGAGACCGTAGCTTTCTGCCTTCGCTAGCTAAAGCTCTCATCTGTTGCTTGCTGTAGCTTCCGCAAAACAATCCTCACGTAGACTGGTGTTAATCGCATGACACACTGTGGACATAGCAAGGGAGGACAAGAGAGAGCGAGAGAGAAAGAAGGAGAAAGACGAGAGAGCGTGCCCAACGAATGAGCGATGGGCGCTAGCTGTCGACAGCCGCCGCATCGCCGCCTCCTCGGAAAGAATCGGATAGCATGAATTCCATCCGAGCCGCTCTGCTCACTGGCGGTAATCGGACGAACTGCGCGGGGAACCTACTCTTCGCTCAGGCTGAGGCCTCTTAAGATTATGTGACGTTCGAGGTCGAAGAAGCACAAATGACCGCATCGCGGCTCGCTCTAGCTCAAGATAACCCACGATCAAATCCGGACCGAAATTATTGGATCGTCTTCAAGTCGCTACTGAGAACGATATTACCTGCTCTGGTTTACAAAGTGCAGGGGGGATTTCAAGATATGTACAGAGCCTACCGACTGTCGGGCTGGTGGTCAAAGTGGATTCAAAAATATTGATAGGATCCTGCGCGCGAAAACCGGATCATAGCAAATAAGTACACGGACGTAAGAAAGTCATCACCACTGCGCGGACTATGCATCTTCAAGCTCCAAGAGCGCGCCCTTTAAATCCAGACGAACGCGCGGACACTCCCCGCTCAATCTCTGGGCGCTCTGATCCGTTTCCGTCTCTGTCTGGACGGCGACCTTGATCGGTGCGGCGCTGACGTCGGGAACCTGTGCCGCACCCATGTCAGTGTGTCGCGGCCTCGGGGTGATAGGTAGCGGATTCTGAGCCGTACCTGGGGCACATCCCAGCGCTCGGCCGCCGCGAGCTGATTTGCGCGTGCGATGATGTTCCTGCCGGCCACCTTGCCGTCCAGGATCTCCATGCCGCGAGTGAATGACATCTTGCGCGAATTCAGGCTGATTAGGTGTATCAAGGTGCGATAGAATCAGTGCCTCGTTTGTTGGACGGCACGACGCGAATTCAGTGCTTACACGGAGAGAAGAGTGTTCGCGGCCACTGTATGGAGTTCTTACCAATGAGTGATGACAGAGAACCACATAAATCTAGATGACCTACGCCTGCATGTGACGAAATTGAATGCCGTCCAGCGCATCTCGTTAGACGGGGCCAGTGCCTGTATCACGGTGATGATGAGGAAGTTCAGCGATCGAAGCGTGTTTGATTAAGCTAACTTACAAACGTACCAAGATCATGCCAGGGATGACGTTCATGATCCTATGTCATCCGAGTCTTGCATTTGAGAGAGCCGCGGAGTATATGGAATAAGTTTCCTCACCCCGTCAGGAGACCTGTGCGCCATGTCATCAGTCACGGCCTTCTCGAAAAACGGACATGTAACGCACCTGTATTCACAACATAAAGCATGAAGAGATCCAGCAGGCTGTCGCCCTTGCTAAAGGTGAGCATTAGCCTCGCTGTCGTGCGGGGATGTGCAGCAGGGGGGAGTTACCCTTCGCTGTGGGCTCTGCTGCGTCTCATGGCACGAATGATGCACCCGGAGAGCAGTATGTCGGCGAGCGCCGCACACCCAAAATTAACGGGGGAGATCCAGGTCGTAACCCCGCCCGCAGTAGTACCCTGGAGCCCAGAGCTATGGAAGCATTCAGTGCTTAGAGGACTTTGCATAAAAAGACTGTCTACTCACATCTTCTTTGCCAGTACTATCCCCACACCGAATGATTACTGCTCAACGCGGACACTAGCAATATGAAGACTTAGAGCCGACGCACCCACGGTGAAACCTGATCCTCAAATGTGAGCAGGATGTTGTGCGACGACGACGAAGTGACTCACCAAACTGCGCTAGAAGAAGAATAATCTTGTGCGAGTCAGGAATATGGTAGCGGCGTATGATGAAATGACGAATCGACGTACAGCGATGGCGGCGATGATCCGGTGCGTAGGTCCCACTACGGAGTGGGTCGCATAATTTCATGAGGCGCCACAACGTTCACTGGAGAAGTTGTGGAAACATACGCAAGGAAACTCGCCGAGCGAAAAAGCTGACATACAAGTTGTATTAGCGTGAGACTACTGTCATAGTAAGCAGTATAACATCCTTACATCTCCGCAACTAACGCGACTATGTTCTGCAATCCAGTCCATCACTGGGTGGGATTTGGGTGCATGCGACATGATATTACTTACCGACGCGACAGGTTGGGCCTACAGCACGACAATATCGATTCGCAGTTCGTGTTCATTTGAGAGTCAGAGATGGTAGACGTACCGTGATGGACCTGTTGCCGTTCGGCCATATATCAGCGTGGAATACTGTGAGATCGTGGGACGTACCAAACCGGTGACAATAGCGCAACTGGGTTGAAGTAATTCGTTGTGAGATAGTGATAGCTACAGGTTGGCCGTTAATGCTGTTTTATGCGTCGTCCGCAATGGTAGGGAGAGATCGCACCATACGTGCATCGCCAAGACGACATGGACCGTTTCCAAAGTCCTGTAGCCACACGAATATGAGATACGGCAGACTTGGCACACACGAGTGATCTCACATTACTGTGGCCACCTGTATTCAATGAAAATTAGAGATAGTAAACTTGGAGATGAATCGTGCACAGTAAGAGCTCACCAAAAGTCTAATGTACGTCGTATCCTTGGGATACAGTCGAATATACCGAAATAGCTGATGTAGGCTCAGCCCATACATTCTGTAGCTGTGTCAGCTTTATAGAAACGCATGAAATACCCATATACGAACGGCAAGCTCACGAAGGTACCTAGCAGGTAGGCGCCGTACGTTGTGTCGAGCGAGAGACCGCCGGAAGTCGGCAGGTCGCTCAGGGGAAGGGGAAGGGGTAGACTGCTGGGGATGGAAGTGCCGGACATGTTCGGTGTCAATGGGAAGTGGGCCACGGAGGTTTCAGGGGGAAGTCGCAGTCGTACTATAAGGCCGCGTCGTGCGAGAGACTTTATGGCCTTCAATCTTCAGTTGCGAGACTTGATTGGTCGCAGAAGCGCCTCGACATTCTCGACAGTGAGAGGGTGGGATACAGTAGTGATGACTGAAATTGAGTCGTTCGGGAGAAACACCCTAACGACATCATCAAGATGGGTTCATCGAGGGATAGGGGCCCCGTCAAAGTCGTGCTCCCTCTTCTCTCACGTCAGGGCGTGGGGGACCCAGAAGCAGAAGCAGGCGCGCGGCAGTAGGCTACAATCTCGCCGCATGCTTGATACGAACCTCCAGCACCAGTGCCCGGGTCCACCATCACGCGATAGACACAGACTGTCGCAAAGATTTCATGCGATATGAATCAGCCTACAATTCATTGGGAGAAGAACTTACTATATCGATCTCTCACCATCGAAGTTATGAAAGCGTGTCGGATTCAGCGCCACGCCACACAGTGTCTCCAGTAGCTGTGCACTGTGGGACAGATCAGTGTCGTGATCGAGTCGGCATAGAATATAAAATGTTATGTACCAAAAAATTTGTAGTGATGTTTCATGGAATCTCAGCCACTCTCAACCTCATTGAAATCACCTTCCGAGAGTAAGTACTTACCTCGTCGCTACCCACTGATGTGAGGGTTTTGCTTGTTTTTCAGCTTAAGTCTCTTTCAGGAGCCTCCTGAGACAGTGTTCCAAACGAAGAGTACCGAAATACGTCGCTCGACCTCCGGACCAACTGCAGGATCATGATAAGTAGCGACGGAGGACGTCAAGAACTAAGATTGCCGATGATCAAACCGCCCTATCAACAAGTGTAGGACTTAAGACGGAGGGTCTTGTATTCATCTTTCAAAGCCAAGCCCTGTCGTAGCAAAAAACTTGAGATGCATGGCTCTGCGAAAGGTAGAGGGAGCAGCTGAGAGAGGAGGAGGAAGAGTTGTCTCGAATCTTTTCTCGACTCCGAGTCGCTGCGGATTTAGCACAGCCACACACTGAAATAGTCCAAAAGTTGCGGGTCCCGTCCAACCACGAGCCCAATCAGGAGCCCCCTCGTAGCCTGGTGCTTTGGCCAACTGCTCTCCGTAATAACCCGAAATCCAGTAAGTCTTTCTGAACCTGTATCACCATTTCATTACGGCGGCCACAGCACTTACTAGACTGTCTAGACCGTCCGAACAACTTGAACTTGATTCGAACATGGAAGAACAGACTTCTACGCAGGGCATTTCTGCCGAGCACGCTTCAAGCGACAACGTCAAGGAGTCCATCGAGGAGATATGGTATCTCAAGGAGATCTCTTACAAGCCCGACGTGGACGGCCCGCCCCGACGGTACAAGATCATAACACAGAACTTCAACGGGTTAGCCGCATCCTGTGAAGCTTGCATCTCACCGGACTCCCTGACATCTTTCCTACAGTCCCTGTTCTTTTATTGCGATTTGTAAATTGAGTGGCTAGTCGAGTGCGTATCGCAGGTGGCTAACCCATCCCTGTAGGCAACATCCTTATCCTGCGGGAGCAGATACAGATCCTTCCGTTCGAGCGCACCACCGTCTCATACGACTACCTTGCCCGTTTGGTAGCAGAATACCTCCTGACAGAATGCCCCGACGTCGACACGTCAGCTGCCCTCAACATCATGCCAGCGACACGCAGTGCGTTACTTCGTCGTCTCATCATGACGTGGCTGACACGATAGCCGCCCAATAGAGGGCATGGATCTCAACCCCCTATTCACAGGCTCAACTTTGTTCAGACCGCAGGGATCTGGTGGCGAGCTCAAGCTATTCGAACAGGCGGGCATCAAGCTCGTGCACGGCTGGCTCGTGGACCCATCCAGCTCGGAACATGCCGTGCTCTCGCGCACCAAGGACTACGACTCCTCCGTCAACCTGCTGGTAGAGGCAGACTACGCTACGAAGGGCCACTTGGTCATCTCTGAAGAGCCTGGACCGTCGTCATCACAGGAAGCCGGCCCGTCGCGTCACGATTCTGCTTATACCCTCACGCCAGAACAGCAGCGCAAGGTGGAGGACGGTAAGCCCCGCCATTTTCACTCCAGTTCTCGCGCTGACGTGTACACTCGGCATAGCACTCGCAATCCGCAGCTTCATCGAGAGCTCGCCCTCGCAGCTGACGTACTACGGGCTCTTCACGCTCGCGGCAGAGCTTGAACCTGGCGCGCTCGTAGCGCTCTTCCGCAGCTCGCACCTCTCCGTGCTGTACAAGGCTCCCGGCGCGGATGGTGCGCTGTACACGCTCGTAACAGACCAGGTATTCTTGCACGAGAGCTCAGTCGTGTGGGAGCGCCTCGAGGACATTGACGGCGGGTCGTCGACCTTCGTCGACTCGGACTTCGTGCGCGCGAGCCCGGCGGGCGGCGACTTCGCGGGACATACGGCCGAGAGCGCCCTGGCCGCGCTCGAACAGCAGACAAGGGGGCTGACGCTGGCCGAGAGCGCAGAGTGAGTGCTCTGCTCTGTAGAGTGTTCGGAGATGACTGAATGCATTTCTAGTGAGCACCTCGCGCGACAGCTACAGGCCGAGGAGGACGAACGCGCTCGGGAAGCGTATGAGAGACGTAACCGCCTACAAGTACAAGAGGAGAAGGAGCGCGAAGAGCGCGAGCGTGCGCACGCTGCCCGCCAGCGCGCGATCGACACGGCAGTCCGTCCCAAGAAGAAGACGGACTGTGTCATTATGTGATGGGTGCCCATTTTCTCGCTATACTGTACAATCATTATATCCTGCCCTTGGCCTACTTGGCCACCTTCTTGCATCGGATCTTGTGGTGGGGCCAGTCTCCCCTCTGACAGGCCGCCGCGCAGTACTTCGCGGTCTTGCATGCGCCGCACGTGAGCAGCGTGGCTTGCCCTGCCGGCGCGCGACCGCAGAACAGACAGATCGTGCCGAGGAGCCGCTTCCGCCGCCTGTCCTCGTCGTCGACGACCCTCCACGTAGGCATGCGGAAGCCGGCCCCTGCGAGCCTGCGCGTGTTGTCGACCATCGCGCGCACGGCCTTTCCGTCGGTGTCGTTCACGTCGATGTTTCCGCCGTGGTCGAGGAACCACTTGAGCGCGTCCGCCGCCCTGCGCACAACCTCCTTGTTCCTCGGGTCCCACGTCATGACCTGCTCGTGGGCGGGCGTGCCTCCGTACCGGTTCCGGTGGTTCACGTCCCCGCCCGCGTCGTAGAGGACTTGCGCGTACTCCGGTTCGAACGCGGGCTTAGTTGTGATCGCGTGGTGCAGTGCGGTTGAGCCCGACAAGTCTGTTCCGTCGACGGGGACCTTGACGTCGTTTATGAGCCACCGGGCGATGGCGAAGTGCTCTTTCCGCGCCCCAGGGTTGACGACGAGAAAGCAGAGCAGGATGAGGTTGTACACCGGGACACGGGTCGGCCCCCATCGTTTAGCGTAAATCTCCTTGGTAGCCGCCGCGCGGGCTGCGACGTCATCGCTTGCCAGCTCGCCGTAGTGCGCGAGCTTGTCGGCGTACATGGCTTTGAGCCCCTCAAGGTCGCCTTGGAGGACTTTGCGGCCGAACTCGTCGAGGTCTGTGGATGGTTCCAGGCCACAGCTAGAAAAGTGTGTACGGAGCCGCTGGGACTCCACTCCTTTCAGGAGTTCGTTCCTGCCGCTCGAGTTAGCCTCGCGAGTCATGAGACCCACCATGACACCTACGTGCGCAGTAAGTCCTGCAGCGGCCTGCCATCGTTCCTGTCAGTATATATGCTTGCTACGAGACTTTGAGGAAAACTGACCTTCCCATCCCGGAGTCTGTCGGAATGTGCTGTTGTGAGAGAAGTCGTTCAAGGCCAGCGTGAGCCATTCTGTCGAGATGATCGAGGGCTAAGACTACTTATGTGAGTCAGGGAACATCAGAAAATATGCTGAGCATAAGGATGTTTACCTGGATAGTACAAGTGGCCGTCGAGGACAAAGGGTTTTGGAGAGGTTGCTGGAAAAACATGAACAAGTTGCAAATGCTCGTTTCCTTTTTCGGCGAGCCGTGCCGTGGGAAAAGGAAGCGCCGCGCTGCTGGTACAGACCTGAAGCAGCGCGCTCATCGGTCCTGCTCTCCGCCTCCTCCCCATCCAACTCTGCTTCGCCACCGTCCTCTCCTGCGCGGCAATATTCTTTCAGGGAGTGCTCGGAGATTAGGGCGGCCTGTGAGTACACTTGCGCGTGCACAAGACGAGCCACGGCTGAAGGTCTCTAGCACGCGGGATTACCGGCGGACATACAGGAATATATTCCGCTCCGGCAGCTCAGCCAATCGGCCGCCCCACATTTCGACCTCGCGCGTTTCGCCATGAAGTTCAGGTGTGCAGCCTCCTACAATGCAAAATAGCATGGCACTAAACGGGGAAGGTTCGCAGCTCGTCGCTCAAGTTCAATGCGGTGGCAGAGTGGTGGGACGAGTACATTGCGTGCGTCTGTGCGTTTTCCATCGTATCAATATGAATACCGACAGCGCGCAGCTATGAGGCGTTGAAGAAGCACGTCTACCAACTCGAGAAGCAGAAAGTGGGTCTCCAGGAGTCTTTCCACGACCTCGAGGCGAATGAGCACTCCGCTCTTATCGGCGCGGGCGCGGACGCAGCGAGCACGGACGCGCTCTTCATCCCTCTCCTCGACCGCGAACTCAAGAAGGTCTGCCTGTTCTATGAGACGGAGGAGCAGCGCCTGTCGGACGAAGTCACCGCGCTACAGCAGGAGGTTGAGCAGCACGAGCTGAACGGGCCGTATGCGGGGCCTCAGTACTTGGACGACGAGGACCCAGACGATGAAGACGACGACGATTTCGACCTGCACAGTCCCATCCGGAGCGGCGAGTCTCCTGCGCGGCAGCGCCGTCGACATTCTCGCTCGCTTAGCGCTGGAGTAGGACCGTCAGGTACGTGCGGCATACATATCATGCCTGCCAGGGCCCAGGGCAAACGCCTACCCATACTGTCGGCTATGCGTATACGTACCTGGGCTCTGTTGCCTGGCATTACTACATTGAACCATCCCCGACCTTATTTCTCTAGGCAGCAAGCTGAAGTTCGGCGGCACACGCAGGTATAGCGTCTCGTCCGACGAGCACGACGAGATCGAGGCGAGCACCGCGTCTCTTGACCCGAACGCCGAGCAGCACGGAGCAGGGCGCGGCGCCAGCCGGTCACCATTAGTTCGGGCGAAGTCCATTGCGAATAAGCTGAAAGACAGCCTCATTTCGACGGGCTCAACGAGCTCACAACCGGAAACAGTGTGGAACGCGCGCAACAACTACGCGCAGGATACGCAGCTGCTTTTCAAGCGCAAGATCACGCGAACATATGTCCTCGCGACGTCGCTGCGGTCCTATGTGGAGCTTAACTACGCGGGGTTCCGCAAGATCCTGAAGAAGTACGCTTGTCTTTCCACCCTGCGCACGCCCGCTGACTGTATCCCGCAGGTACGACAAGGTGACGGACAGCGACCTGCAGGACCGCTACCTGCATGGGGTGGTCGAACAGTCGGCGCCCTTCCAGCAAGCATCCAAGGACCGACTGAGCAGCAAGATTTCGGCGCTCGTGGACCTGTACGCGCGCTGTGTTACACATGGGGACGCGGTGGAGGGCCGCAGGCAGCTCAAGCTGCACCAGCGCGAGCACATTGCCTGGGAGCGCGACACCGTGTGGAGGCAGATGATAGGCCACGCGCGGCGCGGCGGGAGCGACGACGCGGGCATGGCCACGATGGGCGGCACCCTGATCATCGAGCCGGAGCAGGGGCTCCTAAACGTGCAGACGCCGCTGGGCCGCATAAAGCTGACGACGAAGATGTTATACGCGGTCGTGGCGGTTGTGGTGTTCCTAGTGCTGCTGAACGTACAGACGGTGGACGGCGCGGAAGCGAACAAGTGCATGGCAATCCTCGTGTTCGCGACGATCCTGTGGGCAACGGAGGCTATCCCGCTCTTCGTAACGTCTACGCTCATACCTGCACTGCTGGTAGTCCTGCATGTTATTCGCGCGCCGGATGGAGAGCCTCTGCCACCACCTGCCGCCACTAAGTACGTGGTAATGTTCGTTACGCATGCCTTTTTTGTTTGCTAACGGCCATACAGGCACGTATTCTCCGTCATGTTTTCGCCCACCATTATGCTCCTCATCGGCGGTTTTACCATCGCGTCCGCACTCAGCAAGACTGCCATCGACCGCGTGCTCATCACGAAGGTCCTCAGCTTGGCGGGCACGCGGCCAAGCACCGTTCTACTCGCGTTCATGGGCGTCGCGTGCTTCGCGAGTATGTGGATCAGCAATGTCGCGGCACCTACGCTGTGCTTCACCCTCATCCAGGTACGTAGCGCCGTAAGTTGCTGCCCACATGGTCACTAACATTCGCACTATAGCCTATATTGCGGACGCTCCCCCCGAAGTCCTCGTTCGCTCCGTGCCTCATCGTGAGTACCCAACGCCAGGCGCTATCGACCTTGGCTAACACCCATGTAGATCGGCATCGCGCTCGCAGCCAACATCGGCGGCCAGAGCTCTCCCATCTCCTCCCCGCAGAACCTCATTGCGCTCGCCGCGATGGACCCCCCTCTCGACTGGGGTTCATGGTTCGCGGTCTCGCTGCCCGTCTCCGCGATCTCGATCGTGCTCATCTGGCTGTTGCTGCTCGTGAGCTACCGTCCCGCGCGCTCGCCCGACGGCGAGGGCGACATCGAGATCAAGCCCGTGCGTGCGCCGAAGGAGCGCTTTTCCGCGAAGCAGTGGTGGGTCTCGTTCGTGTGTCTGCTCACGATCGCGCTATGGTGCGTTGCGCACTCGATCCAGGACGTCGTCGGGGATATGGGCGTGATCGCGATCCTGCCCATCGTCGCGTTCTTTTCGACGGGCGTGCTCAAGAAGGTATGTCGGATTTTAGACTCGTGAGTTGTGAGCTGTGAAGCTGAATGGGCTCGCAGGATGACTTCGAGCAGTTCCTGTGGACCGTCGTGTTCATTGCCATGGGCGGTATCGCGCTCGGCAACGGCGTCACGAACAGCGGGCTGCTGGAGGTCCTCGGTGACGGGATCCGCAGCGCCATCTCGGGCCTCGACTTGTACCCCGTCGTACTGCTCCTTTCCGTCATCGTATTGGTGCGTTTCGTCCGCTCTCCTGCACGTCTCAGCCCTTATTTATATATTCTTCGCGTAGGTAATTTCGACGTTCATCAGCCACACCATCGCGAGTGTGTTGCTCGTACCGATCGCGAAGGAAGTGGGCGCAAGCATGCCGGGCGACCGCTCCAACCTGCTCATCTTCATCACCGGCCTGATCTGCTCGACCGGCATGGGCATGCCTGTCTCTGGGTTCCCCAACCAGACCGCGTATGTTGCCTCTCGATTTCAGAAAGAGCACCACTGACGCCGCTCACCCTGTTCAGTGCTACACAAGAGGACGAGATGGGCCAGTTATACCTGTCCAACGTCGACTTCCTGAAGAACGGGGTGCCTGCGAGTATCATCGCGACATTTGTGAGATTGCCTTCGTCCGCTCCCCGTAGCGTTTTGCTGACACAGTATGCTTCAGGTTGTAGCCACGGTCGGATACCTGCTCATGAAAGCCATTGGGTATGTTTCTCCCAGTCATGAAAGGAGGTAGTTGCTGATGTCTTCTGTAGACTATGATACTCAAGATCACGGCCTCGATGTACGCCCTTCCAACGTACAATGTTTCCTTGCTTGGCTCTCGTTCGCACCTGGACCCGGGCACCTATCTAATGCACACTGGTCTCGAATATATCGCATGTATAGAACATACCTACATTTCAGTCAATATTTCTGGGTGCCTCACAGAAGCGCAATATCGGTCGTGTACTGTTCGAATTTGATATAACAGAGCAAGGTATGTCGCAAAATAAACCAAGAGCGGGCAGATACAGGCACAGAGGCAAAGGCAGATACAGCAGAAGCGGGGCAGACGGAGCGCGGCGCGTCGTGGGGCGTGAGGGTCGTGAGCGGGCGTAACGGGGTCGTCATGGGGGTCGTAAGGGACAGACAGCAAACGGTATAAACATATCGCCAAAACGAGCAAAGCCTGTGAACGAGCGGGCAGGGGGCATAACGGAGCAGTGTGCGGAGTTCGAGAACATGGGCCAGGGCATGGGTATGCAGGACGGGGAACAACGTAACGGTAACGGTAAGACCATTAGTTCGGTCGCGGGTCCGCAGATTAAGCAAGGGGAACATCCATAGAGGGGCTAAGGCTTCCAGCCGCCGACTGCGCCGCGGCCAACCACCTTGCGGAACACGGCTTGTAGCACTACTGCGCAAACGCCGAGTCCGACTAGGAGGACGTAGGAGGGGAGGTCCGATACTGAGGAGGGTTCGTCCTCCTTGTCTTCGCCTTTGCGTCGTGGTCGCGCGACTGCGTCACCACTGCGGTCAGGGGAAGACGAGAACAGCCCCACGGAAGATTGCAGGTGTCGGACGACGTCTGGGATCACGGTCTGCAACGAAGATACGGATGCGGAAGACTTGTCGTTTGAGCTAGAAGGCGTATCGGCGTCTGGTGCACCACTTGATCCGGGGACAGAATCGGAAGGAAGAACTTGCGTTGAAACGGGGATGGGGTCGAGCGAGTCGGCGTCCGGGGAGGGCTCGCTCTGAATTTCCACGTCGACAACCGCCACGGCGGCACTCGACTGCACACCGACCTCCACGGACGCGGTCGCGGTCGCGCGCAGCTCCGGTACTGGTAGCGCCTGTGCGGAGACGCCCTGTATGTGCAATGCGAGCTCCGCATCGCGGTACGCTTCGTTGGCTTCCAGTTCAGCGACCTTCTGCTCGACGGCCTCCAGCCGCGCACGGAAGGTGTCGAGGAGCGCGCGCGTCGCCATGATTTCGGCTTCGAGAAGGCGCTCGAGGTGGCTCGGCTCCTCCTGCTCGGGCACTGGTGGGACGATCTCCTCGGCCTCCAGAGAAGCAACAGCCGAGATGTCGGGGAGGGGAGGGAGGGGCCGTGATTCTGCTTGCTCCTGCGCCGCAGCGATTGCCTCTTCCGAAACGTTGTGGTAGTCCTGGATGGGTGCTTCTGCAGGGGCGGATGGCTCCGCAGCAGCGGGGGAGAAGATCGCCGTGACGACGCGTCTCTCAGGCTTGCCCTTGCTGCTCCCACCACTTCCTCGTCCGCTGCCAAGGCTGGACACGCTCTTGCTTCCTACCAGGGTCCTATCGACCGAAAGGTCCGCCTCGCTTTCGTTCGACGGGATGCGCTTGACGGTAACCCCGGGCTCGAGGTCCATCTCCTCCCAGGCTCGTGCCCCGGTCGCCGGCTGGGAGGCGGTCATGTGTGCCAAAAGAGCTTCCATGGTTGGCTCTTCCTCGTCGACCAAGGGGCCGCTGCTGGCGCCCGTGAAGGTAGGAGGAACGGGAAGGGGGCGTCGACGGGAGGGACTGGGGCTTTCGTCGACCATCGCACTTTGGCCCGTAACCTGGCCTTCCTGACGCACCCATCGTCGGAGGTTAGTGCGCTCGTCTGAGAGACCGGTTGGACCATCGTCGAGTCCGCCTTCGGAGCTAAAGCTCCCGCTCCGCTCGAAAGTGTTGACCATGCCCCGCACGCGTCCGTTCCGGTACCTGCGAGCCTTCGAACGTCCAAGCACAGCTCCAGCAGCATCGACAGTGTCGTCTTCCCCATTGGAAAATGAGGAAGAGGATTCGATGGAGGATGACGACGAATTGAGGATAGGGTTGGAGAAAAATTGGTCGGGGGATATGGACTCCACAGAAGGCGACGAGGTGGGCGAACTGTCGAGACCCCAGATACGGCCCTTCAAGACGCTCTGTCGGAGATTGCGTAGAGCAGCAAGAAGAGCCTGGCGCCACTTCTTGTTCATTCCAAGTCTGTTGGTTTAGCGGAAGGTTAGGTATAAAATTATGCGAGCAGTCTTGACGGGTACAAACCCTTCGAGATCTTCTTCGTTCATACGCAGGAACGTCCGCCCGCCAATGCGGGCGCTCTTGACAAACGAAGCGATATCCTTTGCCACCAAGGGAGGGAGCCCGATGGACTCGACCTCACCGGGCTTGCCACTTGACGTGATGCGTAGGGCGGATGTGAGGTATGTTGCGAGTTGAGATGGCGTCCAGAGCTTGGGATTATCGGGTAGTTCTTCCACTGTCGGGGCAGGCGCGAGCAATCCCGGATTAGACAGAGGTATGACCGGCATAGTCTCGGATCGACGCGGCCTTCGACGGGGTTTGGACGCTTCATCTGCACTCACATATCCGCCAATTCCATTACCGTTCCTTCTGTCTGCGGGAATGTCAAGAGCGGGCGGGATAGGAAGCGGACGGGGAGCCTCGCGAGTAGGCGACTCAGCCATAGAAGTTAGTGACTTGGTAGCACGATGACCCTTGCCGACATCGGACTTGTTGGAATGGGGAGACAGCGGGACATAGTAGTGGTGCGTAGCGTTCACGTTATATTCCGAGGTAGAACGCGTGAGGAGTGCTGTAGATGTTGTCTTTATAGCATACGGATGCGGGTTGGGCCTCAGGGAGGAGTCTTTCCTGGTGGATGACGATGATGACGCAGAGATCGAAGTGACTGAAGGGGACTTGTGTAGGGTGGATGTTGTGGCCATGTCTTCGCGAGGCGCAAGATGGACGCTCGAGGGTATGTTTGGGTGAATTCGGCGCGCCTGTTTCACTCTGGTCCTGCCAATCGCGCAGGGGCAAGTTCACTATCGGCCGCTTGGAGGTAGGCTAGCGCTGAGTTTAGCACTTTCGAGATAACGGTTCAGCATGAGTTCCACGTACCAGCGACGATAAACACGCTCGGGGATGGAGGGCGGAAGAGAGATGCTCGGACTCGGTGGTCGAGACTCGACGAGCTCAGGATGATCGCACAACGTGACCGTATATGTCACAGTCACGCAATGCATCAGTGCTTTTCGGCGCTTACATGTTGTGCTTTTCGGCGCCTACTATCCCTGAGCCGCCCGCGCGCGTTGCGAAGCTTCAGAGCCAGCGGCTTGGCACTCACTCTGTGCTCACTCAGACTCCATTCGGGTCGTCGCAGCGGCCTACTCGACGCTTCATACGCCACAGGTGCATTTGAATGCCTCGTATATGGACGAGCCCTATGGCAGCATACACGGCGTAGGTGTGGAACACATGAAAGGCAAGTAAGTTTACACACATATCGTCTGAGCCAAGTCACCTTCTTCATATCATAGACTGAAACGTTTGCGTCATCTGATGCAAATGAGTCCCAAACTTGACATACTGTACTTCCCAGACGTTAGGCGATGTCCCCTGTCCCCGGACCCTCGACCCCTTACCATATATGGAAGGTGACCTGCCTTATATGGCAGGTCACCTTCCTTTTCGAGAGTAGGCGCCCGTTGGAACCCTAGTCTAGGGGCTTATCGCTTCGCCTAACGTCTGGGAAGTACAGTATCCTAGGATCCGGGCGGCACGGAATCCAGCGAAAATAATACATATACCTCAGGACCGCTGCTAAAACCCGACCCACCTCAAATTCTCAGTAATGAACGCGCGATGTGAGCCATCCGCTGCTAGTGTCGATTCTCGCTAATCTGCCCAGCCTAATAATGGTCTAGACGACTCGTAGGAGTTGCATAAAGTCTGATGTCGTCTACCAACTAATGACATGTATGACAGATCCCAAACGACACTGAACGAGTTGATCCCCTCTTCTTCAGCATTCGGCGTACTGGCGACTCGAAACCGAGCGGCATATTCCACGAAGACCAGCAATAAGTTACATATCCGCGCCGTCCCATTCCTGCCTCAATTAGAGACGGTATTGGGATCGGCTCTTTAAATCTACAGGCCCGGGACTCGTCAAGATCCGGAATAGAATCTATACATGGGGCAGATAGCGCCCCCTTGCCACATTAACGGGGTTCAACGCCGCCTGTCTGGGACGCAAAGTACATTTTGTCTAGTGAGCACAAGCACTCTCTTAACATTCCAGCCCCGCCCATAGATCAACCGTTTTACCAGGTCTTCTTATATTCTCTCCGCAGGCAACCGTATGAACCAACTAGACGGGCGTACGTGGATTGCTACCGACACCTAGGATGCTAATGCAAAGAAACACCTCGGCTGAGCGTAATAGCGGACTATGCACGTTCGCACTAGAAGCTCGTACTGTCATCCCCGTTCGGGAAACTCACTTCGAAGGTCCATGGGTTCACGGAGTGGAGCTTTCAAATAGGTGAGTATTTCCCGTGTAACCTCTCTAGCCTCCTCTGTTCAAATGAAACTTTGATAGCGCTTCTGAATTTGCTCACGTTACGACTTCTCGCACACCTCGGTCACCCGTGGGCAAGACGCATCCCGAAGAAGGAATTCTACTGGACCCTCTACTTCCCTTGCTTCCGCTTCTTCGAAGACGCCACGACCCGTGTTTCTAATCGGGGCTGACATTCGTCGGCTCACTCAGCCACCAGTGTATATCTGTCTCCCGGGACGAGCAGTCGCCTGACGCCACGTACTATACATTCGCCGCTGGCCATGCGACGGGGACAAGAAGCCCTCTTCTCGTACTTACGTCATGACGTACAGTCGGTATTCCCGGCCTACGCTGCGGACTTCCGTACGCATGTGAGTGATCGTTCCGCAGCTATGGCTCCTCTCCATCGTCTTCTGCTTCCCATACAGGGTCATGCTGCTCTGTGCAGTCTGGAAACGCACCCGAGGGGCGGCGCATGATACCTTCGCCACGTCCGGGATTTGGAAACGTCGTCGATCGCGAGTTCAGCAACCGCGCACCACCGTCGTCGGTATGTACAGTTGCCTTCTGGAGCCCGAACGCCCTCATTTCCGCAGTGCATTGGTGTCTGGCACGCAGGGCGGTCCGCTCAGGCACGGCCTATGTTGGCAATCTCCAGGGCGGTGGGGCTGCTTCGTTAGGCTGGTCAGTCGGACTAGCTCGAGGCATCCCCCTTATTCCCTCAGCATCATCCCGCGCCGTACGTGCGGACGGATGATCTGCTCACCGCGACTTCTCCGGTGGAGACACCCCGACCATCACTGCTGCTCTTACGTGCCTCGCAGCCATCCGAATGTCGGCCTCCCGGCGCCCCCTCCCGAGGGAGAAACCTAAAGTCACAAGGCAGGGACGCGCTCCGCGGCCTTTCCATTCTCTCTCTCTCGCCCCTCGAGCGTGGCAACGACGCGTCTGAATGCGTCCTGCGCTGTGCCGCCCGATAATCATTTTCACATCTTGGCAGGACGAGCGTGACGGCGTAAGCTCACTCAAGTACCGCCGCGGCGGGTCCGACACCGGTGTGGCCGCAAATTCGAGGGTGCGCAACATTGGCCGGCAACTGTCACGGCTTGCCATGAGGGGACGCACGTCCTGACCGACTGCTGGCTTGCTTGATTGTCGGGGCGCGCGAAGGCTAACCTCGCCGGCTGCGCGTGCCAGTGTCATCATCGCAACAATAGCGCGAGCGTTTGCCGCCATTTACGTTTGCCACCACCTCGAGCACTCGATCACGCCGCGCGACGGGCCCGACCCGAGGCCATCTCCGAGTCCTCGATCGAGGGCTCGACGGCTGTTGGACGGCTGCCACACCGCGCGCTGTCTGGCGTTCGGACAGGGGCAGGCGCGTACTCGCCACTCGGCGGTCATGTACATACTACACGTCGAGGTGCGCGCCCTCAGCCACTTTCTCCGGCGTAACGTCGACGCCCGCGCGCGACACATGGTCTCCCGCTGATGGCCCTCATCCTCTCGGTCCCGATAGCATATGCCGTTCCCAGGGGCTTGACACGGTGGGAACGCGCTCACGGGCTGCTCGACTGCCCTCCGCCGGGGGCTTGTGAAAAATAGACGTCGAGGGAGGCTGCGTCGGCAATTTCGTCCCACTCAAATAAAGACATATCTGGACGCGCATCATGCGGACGATCAAGGCGCTCGCCCGTTCTCCCAGCACCCAGCTCCCAGGGCGAGTCTCTGTGGTTACACGAACGACGCCCTCGCGTAGGTGCCCGAGCAGAACGTTCCCTGGGAAGCCCGCGCGGGGTGTGGGACCCCCGCCGCTGGGGTCTCGAGAGCGCTGCTGCGTTCTCCCCGCGTCTCGCGGGGCCCTGTGCGTCGTCATCGGCGTGATCAGGCGGGCATCATCGCGCCAACGTTACAATCGTGGCAGGGGGCGCGGAAATGTCGCCCTCGACGCCCGAGATGGACTAGTAGATTACACGATGTGCGCCGCGCGCACGCTATTGACTACAAGCAGCTAGGGTAGAGCAGATGCGAAGACAGCACGACACAGTAAGCACGGAGCAGCAGAACTCGAACAGGGATAATTTACGTGAAAGCCGCGGGTGCGCCCTGGCGCGGCCCAGCGTCGTGCACGGGCACGCGCCGCTGCGTGAGGCTCGGCTGGAAGAGTCCCGGAAAGAAACAGTCCGTGGATCCCGCGCACGAGATCCGCTAGCGAGGGGGTGGCCCCGCGATACACGTACATACGAATCACCAAGGCCGCCAGGAACTTGGAGGCCTGGCGGAATCAGAAGGCGAGCTGCCCCCGCTCGTCGCCGAAGGTGGAGGACTGAGCGGCCGTTCCTGGCGGGAGAACACACGCTCCTGCGTCTCGGGAGGATGACGCCCGCCCTGACAGATGCGGTAGTCCCGGCGCGCCGCGTCGAGGTACGGCGACGGGGGCATCGACTGCGTAAGGCGATCATCGCGTGCAACCTGGCCTCGGGCACCGCTTGCGAGCGTGGTCTCAGAATGATCCACTGCGGACCGGGGCTGCTGGTCTGCCTGCCCGTGCCTGAGGGGTGGAAGGTACGTCTGCGATGGCAACGCTGCAACTGCGCTGAGCGGGGACCGCGGGACTGAACTTGAAGGGCGGGCGCCAACGCCGACATTGGGAGACAAGGATGGTTCGGAGCTGTATGACATGAAATGATGAACCATGAGCGGTCTGCATGGAGCTCGGAGAGTCAATGAACGCGCGCACCGTCTATGCATGGGATCTGCCAAGCTATGGCGCCGTTGCGCCAGCATCTCAGCCTTTGGGCGACTCCAACTTGAGGGAGCGCTAGACTCGAGCGGCTCGTCCGCGCACTGTAGCCGCCGAAGAACAGCCATAGGCTCTCCACACTGCGCTTCACGGAGGTTGTCCATGGACGAGATCGGAGGCAGGTGGAACGAACCGTCGTCGACGCCCGTACGACCCGCGGGGGGTCGGATCGGAGGCAACTTGATGGTCTCCCCGATGGGCAGCGCCGCGCGCCCTGTCGGGGGCCGCGACAGTGTTGGCGAGATTTCCGCCGAGCTCAAACCGTGCAGAGAATGTATGTGGCGCGACGTCGTCGCCGATAGCGGGCTCGGGTACGGCGAGTAGCGCACGCTCACGAGAGGCTCGAGCGGGGGCGAATTTCTCCGCGAGTAGCCGCCAGAGATGGACTGCACGGGCGAGTGCCGCGGCCGCTCGACGTACGGAACGTGCAGGATGACGGGCGAGTCGCTCTGGTCGCCACGCACGTCGCCCATCTCGAAGTGTCTGCCTGCGGAGTGCGCCGCAAACGTGTGCGACATTGCGAGCGCGCCACGCGCCGCGGGCGGTCCCATGCTGGGAGGACCAGCGTCCCCTGGGGAGAAGACGGCCCAGTCGTGTCTGGAGTCAGACGGCAGCTCGCTCGGGGGCGGGTTGCGGCGCGTCCGTCGCTTGCCTGTGCCCGGCTTGGAGATTTGTCCGTAGCCTGGGCTGTCTGGGTGGAGGCAGGTGTCTGGGAAGTTCGGGCTGAAGAGGCGCGTCAGTGCTGAGAAACAAGCGGCTAATTCGCGCCACGGATAACGTACCCGAAAAGGGGGACGAGGTCGTAGCGTATCGGCCACGCAACCCTGCGGAGGGTTAGTGGGCGGCGGGTGGCTGTATGCCGCCAGAGGCTTACCTGCGGGAAAGGCTGAGGGCAATTTCGTATGGCATCCAGGTACCCTGGATCTTCAGATACCCGCCGCGTACCCGTCGCAGCTGTGCGGCGAGGTCGGGGTGGGAGTCAATAATCTTGACAATGTCGGCTGTGGGGGCACCGTGAGTATGGTCTCAGGCGACGGCAGACACAACGACCGTACCTTTGGAATTTCCCAGCGCTGTTCCGAGCGAGCACAGGTCAGCATTAGGACCGCTATGTACGTGTCTTTCCTCACCTTTCCAGATGCCGGTCCAGAGCACATACCCGTCGTCCATGTCGAGCATGATCCACTGGCCGTTGAGCGGGTACTCATACACTGGGCTGGCACGGCGCAAGTCAGCGACGCGCGCCCGCCGCCCTCACGCGATCGCGCCACACTCACATGTAGCCCCGCGGGTCGTTGCTGGTGATGTACCGCGCCTTCGTGACGTGGTGGTCCGGGCTCGCGTACGGCCGGAAGCGCGTCCCGTTCGCGGGAGGCTCGGTTGTCGGGGACAGCAGCGGGTCCTGCGCGGAGATGAGCGTGTCTGTGGGCACGCCCGCGTGCGCGGCGGCGGCGGCGCAGCTGAATAGACCACGCACGAGGAGTAGGCCGGAGGACATGTTTGCAGAGCGGCTTGCGCCGAGGGCCATCGGGTCTGCGGGGGGGCGGGGCGTGTGGGGGGCCGGAGGCGACTGCAGCGTCGTCCGAAGGGTGGTTGTGGTGGGCTGTGTGGGGGCGGCACGCTCAGCTGTCTGGTTGTGCGCGCGGGCTGCAAAGGTGAAGCTTACGGCTAATATGAAGGGCCGGCGTACTAATAACGTACTGCGGCTTAACGGGCAGGCGAGAGCTCTTTATACAGGCTGTCTGTGGCGCGGGTGGTCCGGACGGCGCGCGCGCGGCGTCGGGGACAGAGAGTGATACACAGGCGGTTGCGGTTTGGAGGGCTGGTGCGGGGAAAGGGTCCCCGAAGCCCCGCGGACGGCACTCATATATCATCTGCGCACGGAACCAGACGAGGCGGGTCGGTCGGGCGTGCAGACGTATTACGACATGCCCTGCCCTCGTCCGTCCGCAACAGACTCCGATGATCTTGCCCGCAACTCCTCCCAACGGTCGCCGAGTAATTTTTGGTTCCAGAAGCCGTCGCCGCTGACCCGCTCTGCCGGGCCCGGGGTGGACCGCCTCTTCAAATGAGGCACCGAGCCTCGGCATGCGCGATTAGATATCTGAATCGAATCGACCCGGGAAACTCGAAAGAGGGCGCAATGATCCCAGATGCGCGAGCGCAGATGCATCTCGCCAACCGCGCGCCCTCCCCAGCCCCGTGTGCCTCCCCGCCCCGCCCGGCTCTTCGCGGGACGCGCCCATGCCCCCGGGTCCGCTTAGCTAATATAAGGCCGTTGCGCTGCCCGCGCGCCCGCGTCCGGGCCCGTGTGTGCACTCGCGCGCCGGTCGCGGCGGCGCGCAGGGCAAGAGTGCACTTTGCAGAAGGTCAGATGGTGCGCGGCGCCGTGGCACGTCTCGTGCCGCCCCCGTGCGCGTTCTCCCACCGCGAAGTGAATGTGCGGGCGAGCGTGAAAAGGCTATTCCGCGGGAGGAGCCTGCTGCCGGAGCCGGGGGCAGGCCTCCCAGCGCGGTGGCGGCCCGCACTGTTGACGTTGCAGCTGGCCCGTGGACAAGCATTGGACGGTGCGCAAGCCGCAAGGGCCGTGGGCGGCCGCACCAGAGTCTGCAGGTGCGGACGACGACGGCCTGGGCTGTTGCTTCGAGTTGCATGAACGTGGACTGCAACGCCGCCGATCACCCGAGAGCTCAGGTTGCTGCTGCTGCGCGATGAACAGCCGAAATGACTGCGAGGCTGTTGGCTCTCGAGATGGACTGCTCCGCTCGCGACTGCCGCTCGCGCACGAGGGACGCATCGCACGCGAAGGCACAAGACACAGACAACAGAAACACAACGAACCGCACGCTCCCCCGTAACCACGACGGCAACGGAGAGGGGCGGCGGCCTGGCGCGAGAGTCCGCGGGCGAGCGGGAGCAGGACAGGCGCGTCGCGTCGTGCGCGCGCTCGCGTGCGCAGCAGGTCCTTGGCTGCGGCGCGGTGGCCGAGGCTTCGCGGGCGTCGGAGTGCATGGCAAATGCCATTGCCAGAGGTGCGGGTGCGTGCGCGATCAGCAGCCCGGCCTCCTTCGAGTCGGCATTCCACGATCGCGACCACCACTGATCGATTCCTCGAGCGATCGCGACGTCGGACCCCAGACGGCCACCCCGCCCTCACCCAGGCCGGCCGGGCGCGCGCGGAGGCGTCCAAGCCTTGGATGCACATGTACACACGTCGGTAAGCACTGCAGCGGGGGTGGATCGGGGAGGCTGGTTCGGGCGTGCTGCGGAGCACGGCGGCCAGCAGCAGGGTCGTTGCCATCGCCATCGCAGCACGTCGACGGGCCCGCGTCGCGACGGCTGCGGCGGGCACACACGCGCGTGCAGGGCGAGGGCGAGGGACGAGGAGCACAGCGGCGCAACGCGAGGCGCGCCTGTCTCGAACGAGCAAGGTTGTGGATTGGGTAAACCCCCTGGCCGGCCGGACGGCGACGAACAGCAGCAGGCTGAGCTCCTCCACCTGCGGCCCTTCGAATGCAGCTTCTAGCGCACGCGCGTCGGAAATACCGCGGCTCGGCCCGCAGGGATGCTGCTCAGCGACGGAGGGCTCTGTGGCTGGCTGCCAGCCAAGCCTCAGCTGCAAGATCACGGCGCAGAAGACGGCGACGGGTACGTACACAACGATTACGGACTACCCACGGCACGTCTGCCACATAACTCGCTGTCAAGTGCCACACAGAAATAATGCTCAGATGCAGACCGATCCCGATACGGCCGAGTATGTTCGACCGCCCGTCTGCCGTCTTCCTCTTCCTTCTTCCCTTGCACGGACCGAGCTGAAGCAGCAGCGTTTGCATTAGCAGGACGTCTGGCGCACCCACCGGGTCACCGAGCACTCAAGTCGATTGCTGCTCGATCGCCCGTCGATCGCCTGCACTCCGCGTCCCCCAAGCATGGCCACCCCCGCCCTGTTCCCTGTCCCCGGCGCCCGCGCTGCAGACAGCACCCATGGGCGCCGTTTCCCGTCGAGGCTCGAGGACGCCGTGGGAGCCGCGTACGTCACGAGGCAGCCCTCCCGCAGCAGCGCGATCGGTTCCCCCGGGTTCGGCACTCGACAGTCGACGGTGAACGACGAGTCCGTGCCTGTGATGCTGGTGATGCCCAGCTCACCCCATCGGGCGGTCTGTCCGCAATATTTCAGAGTTCATCTCCAGACGTGCTCCTGAGGCCCGCGCAATTCGTCTGATCGAACCACGGTGCATCTCCGGGCATGCGCACAGGTCCAGCTCAGCGAGCTGGGAAAGGCAGCATCACGGCAACGGCGCTCGCAGCTCGCCCGCATCGGGCAGCCGGTTCCCTGTTCCCCCCAGATCGCCATCCCCGCGCCCGCGCCGGTGCCGAGCGGGCCAATCCGCGCGCGCGTCCCGCATGGCTGCGTCGGAGCCGAGGGCGTGCGACCCGGCGCCCCAGGTGCATTCCTGGACGCGGGCGGGGACAGGACCATCACGCCCTCGCGATCCCAGCTGTAACACAGGCACACGAGTCCGCACCCGACGTACGCCTTCTGTTCGCTTCCCGCCGCCCAGCAGCCTCCACACTGTCGGCCAGCGCTGGTGGCAGCGCAGGGAACGCGAAGGAGCGGGCGCAGACGGGCGCACACACGCGCGTCGGGAGCTGGACATCCGTGCCGCACTCGTGGAGTCGGAACCTTTCAGCATTGCATGAGACCATCTGGGCATTCGAGCGACGGGCAGCCCGAGCATGCGGGTACAGTACCGTATCGTAGCGTGATGAAGCATGTCGCATAACGTCCAAGTATCGAAGCCTGCCGTGCATTCTCGCACCGTGCCATCGCCGCACGAAGCAGGCGAGTCGCAACCGTCAAGAACACAATCCGACGTACGAGCCACCCCTTCTCTAATCTAAACCCCCTTCGTCCGCTGCCTTGTTCGTGATCATCGTGATTCGTCGCCACCGCGCACCCGTCCCTTGTTCGACACCTTGGCACACACGCAGTCGCCGCCGCGTGCTCAACCCTGGAACGCCCGGAGAGCCTCGCGCACCTCCGCTGCACCCGCACCCGCACCGGTCGTGTACACAACCTTGCTGATTTCGAACCCGTTGAACTGGGACGCCGCGCACGTCGTGTACGCGCCCATGTTCTCGAACCCGAGCCAGTCCCCGACCTGGAGCGCAGGCAGATGGGTCACCGGGCACACGCAGTCCAGCGAGTCGCACGTCGGACCCCACACGCTGCTCGCGCGCAGCGGCACCGACGCGGGCACGTGGAACGACCCGTTGAGCGAGAGCACGTACGGCTGCGGCGTCTGGTGGTCGAACATGATGCAGTTGAACGCGCCGTATACCCCGTCGTTGATGTAGTCTGAAAAAAGAAAGGCATGAGCGGCTATGTTTGTACAAGGGAAAGCAGACACATACACATGACGCTCGGTTGCTCCGGGTCCACCTCGAGCTCCTGTGGGGCGTTCTCAACGGCCGGCGGAGCGCGACGCGCGACGATGTTGGCGGCCAGGCTGAACGCCTTCGCGACGTAGTACCGCCCCGGCTCAGCGATGATCCGGATGTGGTCACGCTGGGGGAAGTAGTCGTCGATAGCCTCGGTGAGAACAGCGGCCGTCCGGTCGAACGTCCCGTCCTCGAAGCCGCCACCGACATCGAGCAGGTTGAACTCGTAGCCAGCGGCCTTGCCCATGTCGAAGGCGGCACGAGCGCGCATAATGGCGTCGGAGAACGCGTTCGGGTCGTAGCACCCGCTTCCGACGTGGAAGCTGACGCCGATGACATCGAGCTTCAGTTCACGCGCCTTCGCGAGCAGCGCTGGGACGGTGACAAGCGGGGCGCCGAACTTGAGGCCGAGGCGGCACAGGCTCTTCGAATCGTCCGTGAGAATGCGCACGATGAGCTTCGCACCCGGATGAGTGCGCGCGATCTTGTAGAGCTCGTCGGTGTTGTCGAACGTCATCATGTCGACGCCCGCCTTGGCCGAGCTACGGATGAACGACGTAGCCTTGCAAGGGTTGGCGAAGATGATGCGCTCCGGGTTGATACCGAGCTCAGTGACCTGTTTGATCTCCCCGTTCGACGCGCAGTCAAAGCCCGCACCGAGGGCAGCCAGGAGCCGCAGCACGTAGGGGTCGGGGTTGCATTTCACCGCTGATTAATGTGCATTAGTTGCAAGAAGGTAGGAACCGTGGTAAGCGAACAGACTCACCATAGAACGGTTCAATTTCGGGAAGAAGCTTCTTCCATCGCTGGTGCTGCTTGTAGACACTGCTGAGATCCGCGACGAAGAAGGCCCTCTCCGCATCAACTTCCCCGGCAGCGTCGAGGTGCAGCGCGTTCATGACCCCGTTCCGGAGGTGTACGTCGGCGTGACCCCGGTGAAGCGGAGGCAGCCCCGGGATAGAGACCTCGTCATCGTAGTGGCGCTCCGGGTTCTTGAGAGCGTGGACGCTGTCCTGGGAGTGGGAGTGGAGGGAAGGCGAGAATAGTCCGTGTACGAGAGTGTTGGCAAAGTACTTTTCGTTGTGCGAGCGTGGGAGAGAGGAAGAAAGAGTCGGAGAGCAGGAAACGTCAAAGTCAAAGTCTACCGGGCAGTGCGCCGTGAGGATCTCAAGTTGGGACATCGGATGAGAGTCGGAGTTCGGAGAACGGTGAAAATCTAGCTCGGGGTCTATAGGTGGCTGTCCGTTGGCGCGGACGGTGTGGAGAGGACGAAAGTGGGAAGATCCCCGGGGAACGGGAAAAACGGTCGTTTTGGATATTCGCGTCGAAACCCGAATTACCGAGCCTACCGCCGCGGTCGCGAGGACGAGCCGGGCGGGATAGGGACGGTAACTAGAAGGCTTCCTTCAGTCGAAGTGGGATCCTCGCTCCCTAAAGCGAGGACGAGCTTGAAGGGGTAGTAGAAGTGGGAGGGAGAGGGAGAGCTGGTAGAAACAGAGCGCTAAGAAGCGAGTCTGGCAGAGGTTTGTTTAGCGGCAGAACACGTAGGTCCTGTCAAGGAGGTTCTCCTGGATAACAATGCGTGTAAGAAAAACGTATTGTTGACTTGATAAAGATCACTTACCACGGACGGATGACCACCTGTGGTTGGGAATAGATTAGCTACGATTCGATAAAACGAGAACACGTCAGACTCGTGAGGCATGTCCGATGACAGCGAGGCCTCCGCGCAGCACAGATAGGCTACAAGCAATGCGAGAACGACAAAGGCTCGCGGCAGAAACACGATCTTCAAGACGCCACGAAGCCTGGGGCCGCGTTCTACTCACGGCGCTGTTCCGACAGCTGCCACACAGGCATCCCAACAGCGTGGTGATAACGAGGCCGGCTGCGCAGCGTGTGGCTCACGCTCCTTACGGCATATATACCAGCCACACACGCTAAGTCGGCCGTAGTGGGCCTCGCCCCACCCGCGATGGTGTCCGATGACGCGAGAATGGGGACTTACTCGAGGGTCAAGAGACGGAGGTCGTCGTTCCGCTCTTGGTCAAAAATGGTGGCTGGGCGGTCGCTGTGTCGTAGCGCGTAGAGCAGTACGACGACAGACGGGCGCAAAAAGATGCAGGTCTCCCTTGAGCAGGGGTTGTGGCAGTCGCGGCGAGCAGTGAGCTGGGGCAGGGAGCGCGGGGGGGAGGGGAGAAGGGGCAGCGTCCGTGCGTCTGTTGACTTTTTCACCATCGATGACCGCCGAGGCGCTGTCCTACCACGTTCTTCGGCACTTCCCGGGCCACGCCCGTCGTCCATATATGGTAATTCCCCACCTATACCCTCTGTTGTCCGACGTTTACCCGGGGCTCGAGGCAGTGAGATCCGGTGAAATATGCATTGCATAGACATTGACGTAGTGGGTGATTCATAGTAAGCTAGCTATCGATACATCCTTCACACAATACAATGTAACGGTACACAAAGGGTCGCAAAGCGAGTCAGTGCATAGCCCTGCGCCGGACCTTCTCTTTAGCTTTGTCCCGAGGTCCGTGAAGCTTCATCATCGCCTTCGGTCGTTGAATGGGTATCCGCAAGCGGTGGGGGAGGTGCCAATGTATTCGGGGCGACTCCCCGGTGCGCTGTCGGCTGCCAGGCAGTGCTCGCCGTCGGTCCCAAGGGGGCCCGAGGAGGCCTAAGCTCCTGCCCCGGGCCATTCGGTCTGAACCCAACGTAGTGCCCCCTAAGGGGATCCGGGTGTGGCACCGCAGTGCGCGACTGCATTCCTGGCGAGGGGTCCCATTTCACAAGACCCCCGAGCGGAATGTGCTGTACCACCACGCGTTTTCCAAGCACTTCCGCCTGAGTAACGCGGTCGAGCGTCATTGGATGCTACAAATAGCCAGACAGACACGAGATCACGTACTTCGTACATCTTGAGCATCCCAGAATGCACCTTTGTCCAGTTCTTGACCCCAGTCGCGATTGCGTACAGCTGTGACGAGTGCTCGTGGAAAGGCCCAGACTTGACCTGGAGTATCCGCGTGATTGACATAAAGTATAGGTTCGTTGGCGGCAGCAGAGGATGCAGAACCGCTGACACCGGGATCTGCGTTTGATCTATAGCGGTCGCCTCATCAGTTAGGACGGAAGGGCATCCAGTCCGGCCACCGGTGCGGCGCACCTTGAAGTTGTGCGCTTCCAAAAACGTAAGTCAAGAAAGAGTAGTCATCCAGACCCCAAACTCCGTGACTACCGGCTGGCTCTAATTTGTACACGTCTTGTAGCCTCCAGCACAGTTTGACGTACTGGACAAAGACGCCTAGTACGAGCTGTCTCTCGGCCGACGGCTGGTGAGGGACGAAGCGCAGATACACGAGACACATTAGAAAGAGCATGAAGGACGTTTCGTGGCCCGTCCCGTAATCCATTCGTGTGAAGGAGCCGAAGGACGTCAAAAGGTAGGGCGAGATGAAGGGTATTGACGGGTGCAAGGCTGCAGGAAGGAGTTCACGGAGAAGAGCGTCACATTCCTGGGGGCCAGTCAACAAGACGTCCCGCGGAAGACCAAATGGATGTTTACCGTCTCGAAACGTTTGCCCCATGTGCGAAATGCCAGGTTGCCGAACCGTTGAGGTGTCGGTTGTGGCGGAATTTCGTCAATCCACTGATCCAGCTTGCCTAGTAACAGGCCCAAAGCCGTGCAGGCCTAGGATCCAAGCATTAGTTCAGCTGTTCCGCCTTAAGAGAACTAGGACTGACCTCGTTCGGATTGGTATCAGTGTACGGCAGTTCGTACCCAGCCACGGACCAAGCGAGGCGACGGATAAAGCTTATATAGTCTTCATATCCGCTTGTACGCTTCCAAAGCTGAACATCGCCTTCGCTCTGTATGCGCAAGATAGGCGTGTCCGAGGGGTTCAGTGATGAGATTGGAACCTCGCGCAGAACAGGACGCGTCGTCGGTGGGATTGTGTCCATGTTCTCTTAGAAGTGAAGGAGTTGGAGTTATTTCGCAGATATATGGGTCGACCCGCGCCACTCGAGTGTGCTTTGTGATATCCCTAGGTTTTGTATGATATCGAGTAAAGTATCGATCAGGACAACGCTGGCCAGAACCGTCGGAGAGCCTACCTGGCAGAATGTGTCGAGGCGTGAGCAGCGTCCTGAGTATCTTGCCGATGGTGGTTCGGTACAAGTCCGCGATGACAGAGATCTTCGTCGTTCGGAGCCACGCGGGCTTCTCAAGAAGACGCGGAGTGGCGCGCCACAACGCTGCGTATGCGTCACGTGGGAAGACGCGTCGCGCTCAGCCACCGCGAGGCGCGACGCCTCCAAGTCCACACCGCTCTGACTTGCTCCTGACCACCATCTCCGGGCTTGCAATTCCCCTCTTATATATATATTCCGGCTCGACACACTCTGCCTGCTCTCAAGACAGAATTGCACTCCTTGAAGACGTGACAGAGCAAGCACTCCGCCTTGGAAACAAGCATGGCGCCTTACGACGACTGGAACAAGGACGACGATGAGGACGAGGAGCTGCAGGACCCATCCGTATGTCCTCCACCTTTACGACACTAAAACACACCCTTGAACTTTGTTCAGCTCTACGAAAGCAAACGCGACGTGATTCTCTTCTGCATCGACTGCTCACCCTCAATGCTCGAAATGCGCGATGACGAGCGCTATGAGGACGTGCAGACATGCAACCTCATGGTCGCACTTGAGGCAGCGATGCAGATTCAGAAGAAAAAAGTGCTTGTTGGGCCGAACGATGCCGTCGGCATCGTGCTCTTCAATACGGTACGCACATATATTTGTCGCCACACCGTGGCGTTCGAGGCTGCTGGGCGTTAATGTTGGCACTCGGTTAGACGAAGAGAAACGATAACGCTGATGATAGCACGGACGTCAAGAAGGGTACATATGTGTACCAACCTCTGGCTACTATCGATGCACCGAAAGTCATGGAACTTGTTCAGCTCTTGGATGGTTAGTCTGCTATAACTTGACGCCCATGAGACAAAGTAGCTGAGCCATCTCACAGAGGCACGAGAGAAACCTGACTTCTTACGGAAGACATTCCCTCCTATGACCGACAAGCGGATAGCTGTTGGTGATGTGCTCACGAGCTGTAACTGGGTTATGCGCGATGGGTGAGAACAAGGCACAAGTCAATGACTATCGAACTGCGTACTGACACTGTGTGCAGAGCGCCAAAGACGGCCACCAAGCGCATATTCTTCATTACTGATGAGGATGACCCCCATCCTGGACCTAGCGGCCATCGCTTCATCACGTCCGCTCGTACGACATTGATTGTATGTTTGACCTTGCCGGGAAACGCCGTATATCTGAAGAATTCCACAGGATCTCATGCAAACCGGCGTGACCGTGGAACCATTTTTCATCGGTACCGAGGACAAACCATTCGACCCGGCCAAATTCTACTCGGTACGCCACCGTCTGCATCACCGCACCGAACCGACTCTGACACCAGGAACCGAATCTTAGTCGGTCCTGCTCCCGACGAATCTGACCGACCTGGACGATATTAGCGATGGTGACCCAGGATCCATTCTCCCGGAGTCGATCTCAATCACCCGAGTGGAGGAACTCCTGGCCCAGATGCGGTTCCACGAAGTGCCGAAGAGGGCGCTGTTCAGTGTCCCCCTGACCCTTGCGCCGGGTTTCATGATCGGCGTAAAAGGGTATGTCGCCAACCTCCGAATCCTGCACATTAGATGCGAGCGTGGAGACTGAATGAGCGGCGCCGCCAGGTATGGACTCATTACAGAACAGAAGAAGGGCGCATACAGATACTTTGCGGACCTTGGGGACAGAATGGAGCCGGTGACCTCGCGCGCCGCTTACGTGGATGAGGTCCGCCTTCGAAACTCCTCTCATCCTACGGGCCGCACGCTGAACACCTGACGGTATGGTCAGGATCGAGACGCAGAAGCCGACAAGGCTGAGATTCTGTATGGGATGGACCTCGGTGCGCCCTCGGCAGAGGTGGACGGCGAGGAGGGCCAAGACGCCAAAACGTCCGACGTGGGTACCCGGGCGGTGCAGCTTGGCAGCAGGGTGTTCTACACGGCGGACGAAGTGCGCTCGTTCCGCACGCTTGGGCTGGAGCCAGGTGGGGTTGCGCGCCTCCTCCAGCGGGGAACCGTGTCGCTGATTCAGAGCGGCCGCGTGCTCAGGGATCAAGCTGCTAGGGTTCAAGGACCGCAGCGAACTTGCCTTCGAGGACAACGTCAAGCACTCGGTATTCGTGTATCCAGATGAGATGGTGCGTGGCAATCTCGCACGACGTGCGCACCCTCACCGACGTCCCCGGCCATATTGACCCTCCGGCTGACCGCAATCCGCAGACTTACTCCGGTAGCAAGCGGACATTCACCGCGCTGCTGAGGACAATGATCAAGAAGGAGAAGATTGCGATCGTCCTCGCCCTCATGCGGCGCAATGCCTCTCCCGTATTTTGCGCCGTGCTTCCACAGGTGTGTGCCTCCATTATTGCCGACGTCTGCAATATGCCTTCGCTAGGCAGGGATATTGTCGGCGGACGCCTGTGTGGTAAGCAAGCTGACCGTTGTGCACTTTAGGCGGAGAAGGTAGACGAGAGCGGCTGGCGAGAGCCACCAGGTTTCCATCTTATCCCCCTGCCGTTCGCAGATGATATCCGGGCCGCCTCTCAGCAGAAAGGTTTTCGGGGTGAGGAACACTTCTCACTCCGTAGTCACGAGCTCATTTATTCATCTCGCCATCTCTCGACGACTTCGGACCGTTACATGTTCTGCACCGACGGCCTGAACTTTGAAATTTTACGGAATATGACGCACGTCATGCAGCATCGACGGAACTGGTGGCGGCCGCCCGCAAGTGGATCGAGAAGCTCAAGGTGAAGAACGGATCGTATCCGCCCGACTCGTACCCGAACCCAGGTGCGTCGCATCCGACGAATATCCCCTTCTCCCCGCGGCGCTCATCGATACGGCAAATTCTCCCACCCACGCCTTCCTATTGCAGCGCTTGCGTATCACAATACGCAGCTCGAGGCCAGTGCGTTCCGCGAAGATTTCGATCCAGACGCCTTCGAAGACCTGACGGTGCCGAAACTCGACATGATGCACAAGGTCAGCCCGGTGCCCCTCTGCCCGCTCTAAGATCCAGCTCTCACGCGACAGGCACAACTGCTTTTCCGATGCTGATATCTGCCCGTTGCGACGGAACCTTTCCCGCTGCGACGCGCCGGCATCTGAGCCAGCGCGCAGGCAAGCTGATCGAGGAATGGAAGCAGGCGCTCGTAGAGGACGACACGGCCAACATCGTCGCGGCGCCACCAACGACTGGCCGGAAACGCAAGGCGGTGAGTAGCCACGCCTCTCAGAACGACGGGCGTACCTGGCCGGCGGTCGACGGAGTGTGTGTGCTGAGCCACGCACTGTACAGGAAACCCAGGACGTCGCCGTCGACGAAGCAGAGGTGCGGAGGTTGTATGACGGGGAACAGCTGCACAAGGTGAGCCGCGTTCCCAACCCTGTCACTTCAGCATGAGCCCTCGTTTTAGCGAGGATCTGGACTGCCGCGCATAACGATGGGATGCTGACATGTTACGTCTCCAGCTGCGCGTCGAGGATCTTAAGGTTCGTCCTCTCCCCGGCATGCATGTGACGATTACGGGAACGCGACTGTTGGCGTCGTGTGTCGGCCGTAACGTGCGCGCGACGAGCTGTCAGGCTGGCTTTCCCGCCGACGCAGGCGGACGTTGCCCGTGAGAGCACCGTGCGGCCGATGGCAACGCATTCAGTCGCGACCGCATGTCGCAGCGCGCGTTCTGATCCCGCAGCCGCTCACGTCTTTCATGTCGCGCAGAACTTCCTCAAGAGCAAGAGCGAGCCCGTCTCGGGCAAGAAGGCGGACCTCGTCGAGCGTGTCGCGGATTGGCTGGATGCGCACCCGACGGGGTGAGCAGCGTGACCTTAATTGCGCGCACACGCCCGGTTCTGGGTGCGCCGTTCCCGCGACCACCGTGGATGGTGCGGCGGACAACTCAGTTTGACTTCGCTTCCAGAACACAGTGCCGCGCGGTGCCTGGCAACAATGGCCACGGCGCTGGGCCGTACTGTGTGCCCCGTCCCCCTCCCTCGGGCTGCGGGAAGTCTCTCGGTGCCGGAGGGACGATAATTATACTGCGTGCATGTACTGTATCATATTCTGGGCTTCTAGCCGTATTCTTGAGCGCGTCCCACGGTATGTGTGGGTGACGTCTGGACGTTCACATACGCGGTTAGATCTTCGTTTTCCGGGTCCGATGCTGCAGATATACACCGCTATTTGTGTAGGTGCATCATGTGGTTCGGGATGTGGAAGCTTGGGAGCAAGATCGTTGCAAGAACGCTGCGGTACCGGGCCTGGCACTATGCCGTTTCGAACCGCTGAACCTGGTCCTGAGCACAGATCCCAGTTATGCACAAGATTTACGGCCCCGGGGGCAATTAATCATACGTAGAGTTCAAGTACCTCAGTTCCCAAACTCGAGGGAAAGCTCGCAGGATCCTGGCAGAGCAACTATGCTTCATCATTTACGCATTTCCAGGCATGTCTAACGGAGACATATGATATCCTTTCTCTTCTGCAAGTCTGCGACGGGGTGACTAACAGAGAAAACGAGCATATTGCTATGTCATTCAAAGTATATTTCAGACGGTCTCAATACGAACTTGGAGTTGATTTGTATATGCGAAGTCCATTGGCAGGACTGGTGTACGTCGATGGGAGTGTCGCCATACGATAACCTCGGTTAACTGGCTTAAACCATATCTCCAGCGTCGGCTATGAGTTCGAGAGTTAGTCGATACGGCCTCTGATACGTTACTCGTTGTGTTCACCCCCACTTCAAGCGGAGTACACCGCTAGCAGGCCGATCGTGACGATGGTTTCCGGTAGAGACCTGGGATGGTGACTGATCAGTTCCGACGAGGTGCTGGTCTGTCGGTGAGGTACGGGCCTGTGGCTTGACCCTTCTCGCGAAGATGTATGAAGGCAAGGTGATGGAAGATTGACAACTTGGAATATTAGCGTGCTGTGATGATGCGGCTGCAGGTTGGCCGGAAATGTTCAGGCTGTCAGAAAAGCATTGACTCGTCTCGGACATTGCGTCGCCGCCATCAGGAGTGTAATCGTACGTCTGCAATCTTGTGTCAGGTTATATCTCTACAACGCAATGGGGCAGTAGTTAAACGCTACTCACCTCAATTCTTGAACGCGCACTGGCAGCTTGCGCTGCCAGGTCTCCCAGATATAGGAATGGTGGTAAAGAAGATCTGGCTACGCGACAACTTGCGTATTATCTGCCGGCTGCTGCGTCAACGATTCGGCTTCCACAGGGAATTACTGCACGGTGTGGAAGAAATGAAGTGAGAATCTCCTCGACCTGGCACGGCGGCCAGCGTCGTACTAGCGGCGATAGAGGCCCGGGTATAATGCATCCGCGCTCTCATTTCCGAGGAGCCATTCATCGATGTCTGTAAAGCAACTCAGCGTTCTCATGGACCCACCAGTGGAGCATGTTGTTTTTCTCATACCGGCGACCGCCTCGAAGGAGTCCGGAAGAGGTTCGTGAGTCCCAAATAAATATGTTCTAAAGTTATCTGATTAGATAACGTTTCCCACCGTGATTGCGCCATATCTCGCAAGGTTTGCTTATCAGATAACGTATTCCCGAGCCTCTTCAGTCATCTGGCTCTGTCCGCGCCTCAAAGCTGTCTTGCTCACTTCCTTCGCCGTCTGCTCATCTCTCATCCTCTCGCGTAGCTTGCATTACCACTGAGACGCCATAAACATGTCCACAAACCCGCCCAATTTCCACGAGGTCGAGTCTGCGGAGCACTTCCAGACCCTGCTCTCCGAAGATCTCACTCGCGTCTCTCTCATTAACTTCTGGGCACCATGGGCCGCGCCATGCAAACAAATGAACGAAGTCGTGCTGGAGCTGGCGAAGAAGTACCCCGAGGTCTTGGTGCTCGAGGTACGTCTGTTCCACAATTTTATACGCGAATGTGGCGGGAAGCGGAGTGATTTACCCCTGCATGCAGGTGGAGGCGGAGACACAGTCTGACATTTCGGAGTCATTCGAGGTGGAGGCCGTACCAACATTTGTGATCCTCAAGGTATGTCTGCACATGCATCATGCGCCACGCGAATGATATACTTAAGATCCTCCCAGGGGCACACCCTCCTCGGGCGGATATCCGGCGCGGATGCACCCGCGCTCACCGACGCCATCGCGGTGCACGCGCGCGGAGTCTCATCCATCAGCCCTCAATCGCAAACAGACCGCGCACCACCCGCCGCCGAGAGCCAGGAGGCGCTCAACCAACGCTTGCAAAAGCTGATGACCCAGGATCGCGTCGTGCTCTTCATGAAGGGCTCGCCCGACCAGCCGCGGTGTGGGTTCTCGCGGCGCATCGTGGACCTGCTCCGGACCCAGGGCATCGAGTTTGGCAGCTTCGACATCCTCTCGGACGAGACCGTGCGCTCGGGCTTGAAGGTGCTCAACAACTGGCCGACGTTCCCGCAGCTGATCATCAACGGCGAGTTCGTGGGCGGCCTGGACGTGGTGAAGGAGATGGCAGACAACGGAGAGCTGAAGGAGATGTTGGCGTGAAGAAGTTAATGTTGTATGGTATTGTTGTATTTTTGCCACCTTGCGATTCCATGAGCTCCGGGTAGAGTGTTGACAGACTTGACGCCTGGCGTAACAGTGGCGTTGCGATTTACCGATCGGTATGTGTTCCAAATGTCTTTTGAGGCGTGAGTTATAAGCAAGGGCGCGTCTTACCACCGGCATCGGTCTCCTCGGGTCGCTGATGGTGGCCATGAATCTGGTCAGTACCGTAGACGAACTTCAGCGTGCGACAGTGCGACTAACATCCGTGCCGTAGGTCGTCTTTGGGGCTACAAGCTACAAATCATAAATGGCGTCTAGCCAATGGAACCCTCGAAGCTGGAAATCGATTCTAAGCTGACTACGAAATAGGGAAGCAACTGAGACAGTCTCGCTTGCTCTTACGTCTAGACATCCCAACCGGGGCGCCGCGGCCATATGATGTCCAACTACAACAAGCGTTAAATTACCCCGAAACCGACGAAGCCCAGGGTTGAATGCGCTTTCGACGCCCGACGCCCGTCTCAGCACTGCCTGCAGCCGTAAGTGCCTTGAACATTGGTAGGCTCCATTTCGCCAAGAGCAAAAAGATACGTGCTAAGTATGTGCAGTAGTGAAGCAGGGCTGGCTACCCGGCCATATGTTGCTAGGCTATGAAAAGACCATGTCAGAGCCACAGCCGCCATGCCCGTCACTCAGGATTCAGGCGAGCAGTCGTGCTGAACAACGAATGTGTACTCAGATGCAAGGAGCCATATGTACGTATCCTTTACACCCACTGCACAACACACCGCCCGGTCCCCATGCTCGCACCGTCCATAATCCTTGGCCTCCGGGGAACAACAATCCATCGGCGAAAGTACCCGCTTCTGGGGTGAGTTGTCTCTGACACCCGCATATGCCCGGCTTTTGTACGGTTTGTGACCGCGTACGGGTGGTATGGACACTGTCGGCTGTGCCTGCCTGTGGGCTACATCGAGTCTCGAATCGTTGACATCCCCTCCCAACCCGAATATCAGCGGTGAGCAAATACTCGGAGAATATATATACTGCTCGTTTCCGTACTGTCCATCATCCCCTCGCAGAAGTTCATTCCCATCCATCTACGCTACTCAAAGCACACCCTACCATGTCCTCCATTCCCACTACCATGCGCGCCGCGGTGTATCGCCCGGGAAACCTCAACCTCGTCCTCGAGACCGACTTTCCCGTCCCTCAACCCGCTGCGGGGCAAGTGCTGCTCAAGGTCGCAGCCTGTGGGACGTGCCATTCCGACATCTTCACGCTCTCGAACACGCTCATCGAGAACCGTACCTTCATCATGGGCCATGAGACCGCCGGCACCGCCGTCAAGTACGCGTCCTTTTCTCTGTACTTCAGTGTGAATGCTGACTTCGGTCTACAGGCTCGGTGACAATGTTACCGGAATTACGCTAGGGAGCCTGTACGCCGTGCACGCGATTCTGCCTTGCGCGACCGGTCTCCCGCCGATTTTGAACAGTGACGGAATCGGCATGAATGGCGGGTACGCCGAATATGTCGTCGTAGACCAGCGCCAGCTCGTACCTGTGGTACGTATTCCCGCTTCTCCATGCGAGCTATGATATGCTAATGCGCGCAATTATCTCTGACAGCCCGACGGCCTCGCGCCCGAGATTGCCGCGCTTGCGTCGGACTCGCTCATCACGGCGTTCAATGCTGTGCACAACGTCGCAGGTGTAAGCTTCACGATATCCATGCCATGATCGACCTTCTGAAACCTGGTGCACATAGCTTCGCCCTGGAACTACGCAGAGGGTGCTCATCTACGGCATCGGCGGGCTTGGCCACCAGGCGCTGCAACTCGCGAAGTCATACGGGGCGACAGTCTTTGCGGTGGACTACAAGCAGGAGGCGCGCGACCTCGCGTTGCAGCTCGGGGCGGACCGTGCGCTGACTCTGGCGGATATTGCGAGCGAGACTGCTGCGGGCACGCTCAGCGTCGATATTGTCGTGGACTTCGTCGCCAACGAGCAATGTGAGCAATCTAGCATGGAGTGGTCACTGGGCAATTCCGAAGCTGACATATTGGTCGTGGACAGCGTTCGGGTTTGGAAAGGCCGTTCTGAAGGGCGACGCTTTGAACTTCACTGCGCCGCCTGGAAAGCTGGTCCTGGTGAGTCAAGAATTTTCAGCAGTCACAACGGTCATCGCGCTCATATATAGAATATAGGTTGGTGTGAGCACGGATAATTTGCCTTTGAACTCCGCAGAGGTCCTGGTATCTAACACGCTGAGTACGTTTAGTATTCTATGTCCTGTCGTATACTCGCTAACCCATTGATGGTGCTATCCGTAGTTCTTGCGGCCCTCTATGGCTCCCTCGACGACCTCAGGGCGTCTTTGGACCTTCTCTCGCAGGTAAGCGCCTCCAGACAACATTTTGTGCGTGGATCCTCTTTGACACCTCTGCAGGGCGTAGTCAAACCGGTCGTCAACACCGTCCCGCTCGAGGACGTCGTGGAAGTTTTCAACGACTTGAGGGCCAGCGCCGTTACCGGACGCACGGTCCTTGTCCCCACCCTGCCGCCTCCGACTGTTGCGAAGTAGGAGGGGCTACGTACGTAGACCTTGTAGCGTCGGATTTGTTCCTTCCAATCTCTCAATGTACTATTATGTGGCGTTCGGCGTACACCTTCGTATCGAATGCCAGCTGCTTTATCGCAGCCCGATGTAAATCAACGTCCTTTTTTTGTTTTTGGGGGGAGATACTATAGGACCCATGGAGGGAATTCACACTGTTCTTAATCACCGGGACCCCGTTGGCAGTAAAATTTCCGATCCTAATCTGAATCCGAAATTTGGAAAGTCCCAAATGAATCACACCCGCAGAAAAGCTCGGCGCCTCACCCCTGCAGGAACGTTCAGTCAGTACGTCGGCGGAGGGGGGTTGGAACTCCGCTGAAAAAGCTCGCGCTGACAAGCGTGGCCGACGCAGAACGCTCGGCGCGGCTTAGCTTGAGGAGTGTTCAGCGAAGACCATAGAGAGGTCGCGTAGGTGATATATAAATCAAGAGGACTAGACGTCTGTGCCCGTGCTACGCACGGGCTCCGCCACGTCTGAATGGTACACACATTAGCCTGTCGGTGATATTTGAGGTAAAGTGGAACGTCCTCGTAAGATAGGAGACTCACAATCCGTCGGAGTGCGACTCCAGCCCGGCCTACGTTAGAGTGGGTTCCTCCGTGGCTGTGAGACCCCCCGTAACAAACGACTCCTCCGGCCCTATGCGGGCTGCTTGAACCCGCCGCGCGCGAGACGCGTCCGCACCTGTCTGTGCCGTGTGCACGCGCACTCGAACCTGGCTTAACGCCCGGCCTATGGGACGCAAGCTCCCCCGGAGCTGTAAGACCATCTCGTAAAACGTATCTCACCCGGAGGATGCCAGACATACCTTTGTAGCGTATTAGGACTCGTAGTGGGAGTTGCAAAACAGAAGAACGATAGGAGGAGTATGGGTAACGTTCCTCGTAAGACGCCGGTACTCGCAGACTGGGAATCTTATGTAAGCGCATCCAGATAAGATCTAGATTGCATCCCACCTTTCGCCTCCTCGACGCCGACCGCGCAACGGTAGGGCGTATTTTTTCTTCTCAGTTATCTCTATGCAATGGTAAGACCCCGTGGGCAAGGTTGTGAGACTCAGTGTAACGGTAAGCCCGCGCAATAAGGCGCATCAAGTTTGTGTCACGACCTTAATTCACGTATAGATGGCGTACAACAATACAGAGCTACAGCGAACTCTTTAAAGCCACATGAAGCAGGCTGAGACTAATACCGGGTCCATATGTGCGAATGGGTACGTGGTTGCATATGGCGCCTCAACCTTCTCCACTAGCGTGTCGGAGGATGCACTGGCGGGTGTCGTGCTTGGAGAGCTCGGAGGTGGGGAGGGAGGGGGCGAGAGCTTCGGCGAAGCTTGTGTTTCCGTAGACGTCCGGCTGCTCGTCCGGCTGGTGGTGGTACGGCGCAGGATGTGCCGGAAGCTCCGCCACCGTCGCTCCTGCGACCTGTGCCCATGCTCGTTTGTTGACTCGTCGATGAGAGAGTACTGTGACCTGTTCATGTTGGCTAGATGGGCTCAGCCTGTCAGCGAGACTTCAGCGTGTACGTTTTGAGAGGTACGTACATGAAATGTGCCCGGAAATATTATGCTTGTGTTGTGCTATGAAAAGCGGAGGGCGAAGGGTTCCGGGGCTGCGTAACGCACGTCAGGCACGGGCATCTAAATAATGAGTGTCGCACTCACCTCGGTAGCGAAAGAGTAGGTTAGCGAGAAATCGAGAGGCAGCTGGCTGGCGGCGTGGTTCGAGGGATCAAAGATTCGAGGAGAAGGGGCTGACGTCAAATTCAGCGGAGGCTGCTGCATATAAATGACCTCCTCGTGTTCAGCGTCCGTGAAACACCCCTGAGCCTTTCATCCTTCTCGGGCGCGCGAGGGCTTCTACCGATGATTGCATCGAACTCAAAGCCGCGGAAGGTGACACGAGAGCTCTTTCGAGTCGCTGGCGGAAACTAGAAGCTCGCCCGAGCCTGGGTCGCCAGGGGCTCGCGGCAGGGTCTCTTCAGGAGTTGCTCTGGGCGTGTACGACGTGATCGAATGGGGCTGTTGCGTGTCCTGCACGAGTCCCGGAAAAAGCTTCGTCCTCGGCGGGCGAGACGGCGTGTGCAATCCCCGCAATGGCTTAAGACGATCATGGCAGTGCGAAGGAAGGATTGAGTTGTGCGTTAGTGCAGCGTTAGTACGGGCGCTCGAATTAGCACGACTGCGCCCACGCCACAATGTCGCCCCATATGGGAATAAGCCGCATCCGGCACGAGGGCTTCCAAGGTGGTGGCCGCGCAAGGCCAGCACAACGTTGCTGAGGACCACCACCATGAATTTCTTCAGCTCCAAGAAGGTAGAGCTGCCAAAGCACAACCCGGTGCTCGCCTATGCGCTCCAGATCCCGGCGCTGCAGAAGCTCGTCGGGAAACGTGTCATCATGGCGTCTAACAGCCCACGCCGGCGCGAGATTCTGCAGACATTCGTGCGTAGCTCGGACATGCGGTGGTCGTAGCAGCAGGCAGCTGATTCCTCTATAGGGGCTGGCACCGGAGGTTGTGCCTTCTACCTTTGAGGAGACGCTGCCGTTCGGTGGCTTCCAGGATCCACACGAGTATCCCGTAGCAACGGCCTCGCACAAGGCCGTCGAGGTGTACGAACGCCTCGTGGTACGTCCCGGTCAAACTCTGCTGAAAATGATATGTGAAGAGTGTCTGACTTCTTAATGACTCGTAGACCGAGGACCCTGACGATGCTCCGGATCTGGTCATTGCGGGTGCGCACCCCAACGAATGGCGTCCCTGAATGCCTCATGTACTGAGGAAGCGCACGACAGCGGATACGGTCGTACTGACGCATCCATTGCCCGGGCTTTCGAGCATTCCGCGTTTCGAGGATGAGGCGCCATTCCCGCAGGACATCCTGGAGAAGCCCATCGACAAGGACGACAACATGCGTATGCTCCTCGATCTTAACGGGGGCGTGTGCGAAGTCGTCACCGGCGTCAGCATTGGTGCGCGCCTTGTCCCGAATAGCTCTCAACGCACGGTGATACTGAGTAGTATTCTTTCTGTAGTCTTCCCCGTACTTGAGGCTCCAGGGTACAAGATCAAGTAAGCGTTAGTCGCGTGCAGCACCAAACGACTATACTCACAAATCGCTCTAGGTCGATCGAGGAGCGCACCCTCGTGTACTTCGCGGAGAACGACCGGCATGTGCTCGAGGCATACGTTGGGAGCGGTGAAGGGTCAGATCGTGCGGGCGGCTTCGCTATCCAGGGCCTCGGCGGGCTGCTCGTGAGCAAGATCGAGGGCGACTACAACAACGTCGTCGGCTTCCCCGCGACGTCGTTCTTCAAGTTCCTGGATTTGCTCATCGAGGAGGAGGTCGACTTCCTTTCGGACTAGATCGTGTTACCAGTTACCGGTACTTGGACGGACTTGCTATGTCATAGAACACTTGCTTGGCATTGTCGCACTTCATTTGTATCTCGACCGTGGGCACCTATATAACGTTTTTGCCTCCATATACTCGAGCACAGGTTCATGTCTAACTCCGTCGCCGGATGCTTGTATGTACGGAACGGACGCCTAATCTGTTCCTGAAAAAGTATACCGCCGCTTCCGGCCGACCTGAAGCGGATCGACACCGATCTCCGCAAAACTCGGAGTCACCGCGCTTGGCCTCTTGGGGTCGTCCGATCCACTGGGGAATGTTTTGCACCTTGTCTCCTCCCTCCATCTTCTGCACTCTCGAGGTATGGCTGGTCTGAACATGAGTATATGCACTGTCTCACTAGAAGTGCAGAGGACCGATCTCGTCGTTGGAATACGACAACCTCACGCACTCTCTTCACATTCAACTCCGGGTCCCAACCCGACACCGTCCACCCACACTCGACCGCGTCTTCGCCTTTAGAAGAGTCCAAAATGTCACTCGAGGACAAGCTGAACGCCGCGCTCACCTCGCGCGAAAAGCGGCTCATCCGGCGCAGACTCTACGACCCCTCCGCGGACGCGCACCTCGTCGACTTCTCCACAAACGACTACCTCTCCCTCTCGCGCTCGCCCGCCCTCCGCGCCCGCTTCCTCGCGCGCCTCGCCTCTGCCCCCGACGTCCTCGGATCGGGGGGCTCGCGCCTGCTCGTGAACGGACACGCGCACGCGGCGTTAGAGGCGCGCCTGGCGGGGTTCTTCCGCGCGCCCGCGGCGCTCCTCTTCAACTCCGGGTTCGACGCGAATGCAGGCTTCTTCGCGTGCGTGCCTCAACCGGGCGATGCAGTCGTGTTCGACGAGCACATCCACGCGTCCGTGCACGATGGCGTGCGCGCATCGCGGGTCGGCGCGCGGGTGCCGTTCGCGCACAACTCGATACCCGCGCTGCGGGTGGCGCTCGAGCGGGTACGCCAAGACAGGCCGGCGTTGGTAAACGGCGGGAGCAGCGTGTTCGTCGCGGTGGAGACGTTATACAGCATGGACGGGACGCTTGCGCCGCTATTGGAGATCGTGGAGACCGTGGAGGAGCTCTTCCCGCACGGGAATGGGTACGTGGTCGTGGACGAGGCGCATTCGACAGGGGTGTACGGCCCTCAAGGGAGAGGGCTTGTCGCGGCCCTTGGGTTGGAAGACAGAATATTCGCGCGTCTGCACACGTTTGGCAAGGCCCTCGCAGCCACTGGAGGTCAGTCACTACGTTCTATGCTCCGCGGGCGACTGGGCACGACTGACTTCGTCTTTTGTGTGTAGCGATTTTGCTGGTCACGCCGCTCGTGCGCGACTACCTGCTGAACTACGCGCGGCCACTCATCTATACCACGTCCCTGAGCAACGCGAACATCGTCGCCGCGGAGTGCTCGTTCGATATGCTGGAGGAGGGCGAGGCACAAAAGGCACGTACTCTCATCTCATATACTACCGACGCACTGACGCCCCCTCAGCTTTCCATACAGCTGCTCAGCCTCTGCTCACACTTCACGACCTCCTTCGCGGCACAACTAGCAGAGCACCGTATTCCCCCATCCCTCATCTCCATCCCCACAGACCTCGCCGTGCTGCCGACGCCGATCATTCCCGTCCTAACCCCGCATCCGCGGCCGCTTTCCGCGCATCTGCGGGTACGCGGACTAAACGCGCGCCCGATCACTTGGCCGACGGTGCCCAAAGGCGCGGACCGCGTGCGGATCTGCCTGCACTCACAAAATTCAGTGGAGGAGGTGGACCGGCTGGTGAGCGCGATGATCGAGTGGGCGGAGAGTTGGCGGGCGGCGCAGGACGCTGTCCAGAGGGAAAAGGGGGGCGCGGGCGCGGTGGTGGTCGCGCAAGCAAAACTTTAGAGAAGGAAGAAACGTAGAAGTAAGCATTAAAAAATCAAAGCGGACATCCGGAGAGCACGAACCTGTACGCGCTAATCTTGCAATGCCTCGATCTCCTGTGCGCTCATCTGCAAGTATTCTTCATACGAGTCCTGGTAGCCAGCTGGGCACAGCTCGCTCAATCCGGCTCTTGATTAAACGGAATGCACTGTAATAGACGCACCTGGCAGCTTCGCGCGCGCCCTGTAGCGGGCTACAATCTCGCGGTTGTGGCGTATAGCGGCGAGCTGTGCCTGCTTTATTGTGCCTGCAGATCCCCTCAGTCGCGCTCCCGCTCGCCGCAGTCTACCGCAAACAGCACGTACCGGAGACGTGCACGACATGGGGGACATACCTACGCCCGTCGAAGGCGGTAATGAGGGCCACGCCAGCCCATGCGGTCTTGTGTGGATCCCGCGCGACGCGTATGATGCAGAGGTTCGTGCGCGGCGAGAAGTACTTGACTGATGGGCGAGGTGTTCGCAGTGATCAGTGACTGCCGGGAACGGATGTGAGAAAGAACGTACTCGTCAGGGAAGACCCCACCGCACCCCAGCCTGTGTCCCCAAAGTGTGTGATGATGCTCTGCTTCAGCGCGGCCCATATCTGCTTGCTCGTGAGTTCCTGTTCGGGCTGGCCTGCGGGCGCGCGTCCTGGCAGGGGGGCGGGTACCGGGAGGAGCTCGACGAGGAGCCAACGGTTCTATCGCAGCACCGGAGCTACGTCAACATGATACGTGCAACATAGAGAAGATGGAAACGCACCTTGAATCTAACCATCGTCCACGCAGGTGGTTTGGCAAAGTTCCGAGTGTACTGAGGGCCTCGGAAACGGTTGGTGATGGCGGTTCCAGCGCAGTGCGAGCTCAATCACACCCCAGAAACTCAATTACACCCGCAGAGATCGGATTTCAATGACCGCAGCGTGCCCTCGGATGAGCATCGAGAGCTAAGATGATCGCGGGAGGAGAAAGGATTGCAGGTCAGTGGAAGCGCCTGCGCGGAGACTGCTGAGCCTCCAGATCCAGATCTCGATCAAGCACCAAGTTCGCTGTATTTAGGTGTAGACACGAGCGAGGTAGAATTGTGGATTACATAGTACAAGACAGAGGGTGCATAGTGGGGAAAACGATGTACAACATAAGGCGAGTACATACAAGTCTACATCGACGGGTTTGCCAGGATGGTCCGAATATGATATGTAAGTCCGTTCCGATAGATAGTATGCAAAGTGCACGGCACCGGCACCGCGTGTGGGTCGTAATGGAGTGACTGTGTCGTAAGGAGTGTGTGCACATAAGCCAGGAAAAGGAGAGGTCCGAGACGAAGAGCCGCGGCGGCGACTCCGACTTTCACGGAGATCGTACGTGGAGGGTTAGGGGTACACGCGTCTACGCTATCTAGCCGGTGCACCCAGCCTTCCTACGCTCACTCTCACTAGCCCTCCCTCCTCTCTCATCCGCCCTCGACCGTCGTTGTCTGTTGCACGCTTTGTGTTAGTATCATGAAGCCTCACGTGAACGACGTCGCCCACTCGCCCAGCGCTCGCGTCCTCAGACGTTCGTCCGCCTCAACCTGCGCACGCAAACGTTAGCTCTGCGAGATCGACTCGACGAACTCGAGCTCACCTATCAGCGCATCGACGCCCGAGCCACCGCGGTCAGCGAGTACGAGCAGGCAGAGAGGAGAGGAGCGTCGCCGGATGTCGATGAACAACACTCCTCGTCCCTCGCTCTCTCTCTTATACCTGCTCAGTTCCGGGCAGGCCCCCGCCTCAGCACCCTCCACGGACAAATGTACGTACATCCTTCCGTATTTGCCCTGGCAACCTGCTGCTCGGTACGCCCGTCGTCCGTCGTCCTCTCGCGTACACGCCTACGCTTGTGCGGGCTAGATGAGCGCCGGGCGATGCACGATGTGCGTTCCGGATCCGCGATAGCACCGCCGCCCCACCCATCTCCGATCCTTGTCCCAGCCGCGTAGTGTGTGCCTTTGCGCATCTGTCGTCTTGGGAGCCATCCCAGGGTCAGAGCGTCGTGTCGTCGTGCTATGTGGGGCTGGTCGCGAGGTCCGACACGGCGGTCGCGGGTGTGACTACACGGACGCGTAGAGCGGCACGCCACGCGCGGCGAGAGGCTGCTGCATGCCGAGTGGGCGAGAGCAGCGGACGCGGCTGGACGCAGCGGGACACGTTCCACGACGATGTCCCCACGTCGGGCGATGCTCGTCGTATCGAGTTCATTCCGCCACACAGCGTGCGCCGGAGGGCGGTGCTGCTGTACTACTTCCCTCCCATCTTTCTGCTGTATCCTGCATGGCGGGGATGCGTTCTGTATCACGACGTTATTCATTTACATGCACGAAATAGGCCACGATGTGCGCGCCGTCGTCTCCTTTGCTGTGTACAGCGCGTGTCATGCACAGTAGTCCCCACCGCGCGCACGTCCAGAACGCCCGCCCATCGACCAGCAAGCCGATTTACGGAAGACTTAGACGGTCGTGCACGATTTGCAGTCGCGGTTAAGGCCTTCGCGCGCGCGCTGTACCGGCGCCGAGGTGTACTCGGGCATCCCGCGCTCCACCCTTGCGCACGGACGTTCTCTGAGTAGGCCCACAACGACGCCTAGCCAGAAGCTAGCAGCCCCGTTTGCGGCGTGCAGAACACGCCCCGGCGCACGGCACCGCCGCCGATGTGCGCTGACCACCGATCCATGCCGTGCACGGCCGTCAGCATCCTTTGGGACGCCTGAAGTTCGTCAGCTCCAGCACGCGAGGAGCAAAATCCGTTGCCTTCGCCGTCTCGTCGAGCCGGGACTGGGTGTGGGGGTGTGGGATACACGCCGCACCCTGTATCGTGCGTTGAACGCCGCACCCATGAATCCAGTGTGCGCACCGTACCTTTGCTCGGAGGCGTACAGACGATCTGTATCGGCCGCGTGCGTCGATTACCGTCGCTGCGCTCGAGCTGTACCGCTAAAGTGGAGGGCTCGTGTCGCGCTCGCGCCCGTACAAAGTCCCTGTGTATCACGATAACTCCGCTGTTAGCAGCGCGCAAAGCTGGTGCGTCGAATACCCCTTGGGAACATGGGCAAAGTTAACATTTTCTGCCAGTGCCGAATGAACACTCCCCGACTCATGTCCGTTTACCGCCGTTAGCTGACACGTCTAGGAACCCAGCGAAGGACTCGCGCAGACCCCTCTTGGGCGTACGCCGTCGCCCTCGCGCTGTGGCATGCCGCGAGGTATGCAGTCCCGACCAGCTCCCGCCCCAGCCTTTCTAATCTCTCGTGCACACCAGCCAGCGGGGACTCGATAATCGCTACGCCTCGGTCTCGCCGACCTCGACCCGCGCCATCCCAGCACCTCATTCGTTGTATGGAGATCCCCGCACCCATTCGACAGGTGAAGCCACCGACGAAGCCCACAGCAAATCCACGCAGAACGCGCAACGGCGCGACAGGACGGGCGGACCGTCTCAGCACGGTCCCGCACGCTCTCCCGCCGCCAGCCCTCGCGTGCATGTCTGCAGCGATTGCGTCCCCGCATCCCCGGAAGAGGCCTCCTCGCACGTCTGCGGCTCCCGGCGCGCCCGCGCATTCCACATGTCCGGCCCCCTATGCGTGTCTGCACCACGGCCGTTCACACACACGACGCACCGACGTCCCCGCACCCTCTGTACCCATTTTCGAGCGAATCCGGAGAGGTCGACCTTTTTGCCCATGTCCGCGGCCCCGGCGCCTATCGCACTCACGCACAGTATTTCGCCCCTCCCGCCTCAACGCCGCCCCGGGCGCCCTCGAAACCGCGACGTCCATGTGTAGTGTACCGTCGCGCATTGAGCCAGCAAGGTCTCCGCGCGGGGGGCGCAGGGAAACGCAGGCTGTGCCCGGATATGTTGTTTTCGCGAAAACACCGAATCGCGCACTGCGCCTCGCCATCGTCGACCCCCGCGGCGGCCGTGCACCCACGCACTGCGCGGACACCGCTGCGCCGTCGTGCGCAGTTTGGCGCGCATCGGACGGGGTCGACCTTTTTGTCCATGTCTGCGCCCGCCTGCCCCGCGCAGAGATTCGTCGCTCCCACCGCGGCATCGTCCCCGACTCCGTCGAAACCGCGATGGCACGGTGCTGGGCGGCGCGGCGCATCCGCACATCACGATCTCCCCGCAGGGGATGCGGGAACACGCTCGCCATGTCCGGATGTGTGCGGGCGCCGGCCGCGCGGGGGCACAAAATTGCGGATTTCGCCTTGCCATCCGCGCATTCCAGGGCGTCCGCGTGCCCACACGTCACACGCGTCCCGCCGCACCCGCTCGCAGAGGTACGCGCGGATCCTGCGAGGTCGGCCGTTTTGTCCATGTCTGGTGCGACTGCACCCTGCGCGCAGAAACTCGCGCACACGCCGGCGGACGCCTATTCCACCACCTCCCGTTTCGGCTCCCTGCCTGCGCCACGAGCGTGGACTCCGCCTCGCATCGACACCCGCATCCGACGATGTCTCTCGGTCGCAGCTAGGGTTGCACACGTCGCCAGGGGACTCGTTCGCTGCCGGGGCATTGCCATGGCGCGGCCCTCCGCCTCGCTTCGTACGCTGCCGTGGCGCGTTCTAGCAACGTTGGCGTGCGTTTGTTCTGGAGCGTACAGCCGCGAAGGGCCTGCCGTCGCCTCGCGCTGGTTTACCTGTGACAGATGTGGGGAGCGGAGTACGAGACGTCGGGACTCGTCATATGTTCGCTGTCTGGCCTCCGCTCGCGCTCTCCCGGCAATGGGTGTTTGCACATCCTGCGTCCGTATCCGCGAGACTAGTGTCTGTAAGAGTATGCTGGGCCCCGTTCCTACGAGCCTGTATTCGTATCACGTTCCTTCAATATATCTCGTTACACCACAGGTGTCGTGTATGAGCACAAGGACGACGATTACGAGCACAAACACACAGATTTCCGGTTGCCAGATCCAGCGGTGGGTGTCCCGAGCTGTGGGCGCACATCTCGACGATCTCGCGAACGGTGTTTGATATTTCTCGGGTCGCTCTGCTTGTAGTTCAGGCAAAGACCGTGTTGCGCGTTCGCGAGAGCTACCCGACAGATAGGGACCCGCCCTTCCGATCTGTTCGCGTGTCTCGTGCGCGCGACTCTGGCATGGCTTTCCGCATGGTGGTCTACAGCGCGGAGCGGCGTTGTCGACGGGCGAGGAAGTAAATATATGTTTCCGAACGATATACATGAATGTAGATGTAGGAATACAGCTCGAGAACGGGAGCTTCACTCGTCGCGCGAAAGGGGACCTACGGGCCGCAGCGAACTGCCGATGGCAAAAGACGTGCTCGCCCGCATACGCCGTCTACGCGCCGGCAACTGGAATGGCAGTAGCTAGACGGCGCACCGTCCACGGTTTTGACGCACGCGTCGGTCGGGACGAAGGCGGAGTCGATTGAGGAGAGTCTGGACGGCGAGGCAGATCTTCCACGATCTCCCATTCTCGAAGGAACAGCGTTTCCCGGGAGTAGATGTACGCGCTCACCGAGGGAACGTGGGGCGGCACATTCTGATGCATCTTGCAACATCCTGCCGCGCTATTCTGACCGACAGCGCCGTGCAACGACGCCCTATGCGGATTCCGAAGCCTGGAGCTGTCGCTCCGGAAGGATGGCGCATGTGCTCGTGGCGTGAGCCGGAGGTCCCTGTACGTTGATCAATAACTCATGCTTGTTGCCCCTGAATCGATTGACGTACACTGTAGCTGCGGCTGCGATCGCACGCTATGAAGGATGACTGGTGGACGAAATACTAGTCACTGCATTTGTGATCACTGGCCATAGACGCGGCTTCACCGACCTCCTGGAGGCGTGTGCCCTAATTCCTGCTCGAGACTGACACCTAAACACTCGAAACTGTGTCACACAGCCGTAGGACGTCTTCTGCCATCGCCCGCGCCAGGAGGCACGTGTACGTCTCGTCGCAAGTTCTGGGAGTATCTATCGCGTGCGATTGAGACAGAGCCGCTCGACCGGGACCCAGGCCGGTCGTCCGAAACGGCTACACCAGGCTTGATTTACGTACCTACCGGCAGCTACATGGGTGCCGACTAATCAGCGAAACACTCGCAAAGTCGTGGCCCTGGCAGGAGGCACTGTGCATAGAAAGATTGTGAAGTCAGCCCCAAGATCTGGCTCGATCTAGCAACACAACACTCACCCGTCGCGCCGCAGCTCGTGAGGTATACCGGCGTTGGATGTCGGCCGTTGACGTAGGCGTGGACAGAGGGAGATCGGGGAACATTCGACGACCTAGACCCGGTTGCACAGGACGACTCGAAGGGTGTGTGCATGACCGTAGTCCCGCTCTCCCGGTCGATGGAGACGTCGGGTTGCTAGCAACTAAAACATCCCGGTTAGCAAAGTAGTGGCGGGATGTGAGAGCGCACGTACATAGCACAATCGTCTGCCGCAGCAGGTGCGCAATCTTGTGATTCGCGATCTTGACAACGCACGGTAAACGTACCTAGCTAGGCATACCGCCGGCTCGCAGTCTCGACGACGACGTATCCCGCTCGTACTCGGACCATGCAGCGAGGAAATTCGATCGTGGAGCGTGGTCAGTGTTGTGTGAATCACGGAGAGGCTCGTCGTTGTGTGTGGTATGCGAGCCCGGATATGTTGAGGAAATACAGTGTGGCAGTGGCAACGCGAGCTGCAACATACCGACAGCACCAGGGGTGCAGACGAGGTAGAACACGCGAGGCGAGGCGAGGCGAGGCGGGGATGTGGGCCGTCTTCGACGATGTCCGAGCCGCATCCCGCGGACATCTTCCGCACAGCGAGTGGACGACGCGGCAAGCAGCGTGCCGAGCTTGTTTCGTGCGGAACTTGTTGATTCCACACTCGAGAGCGGGGCTTCCCACAATCCATCTTCCCGATGTGCCTTCGTTGAGAGCGGTGGAAAGCCTTGCGGTCACTAATAATTTCGTAAAGCGACACAATAGGTGATGGGGCATACCTATTGGTCTCCTATGCCGGCGCGTCTTGTGAGCGCCGTACTACGCTGCCGCAGCCAAATCCAGGTACAGAATGCACGCCATGATACCCGTGCGGCTGATGGTGTATGTATACGATGTACGCGGACAATTCGGATGCCGGGCGTCGTAGTAGATCCAGTGAGCTCCACACCGATGACAATGGGCGTACAAGCTGTGCACTTCGGAGGCCGACGCCGTGGGCAAGCATGTACCACTAACAAACAACTTTGACTCACCTGGAACCACGATACGCCCTTCCCGAGCGGAATACACGCATGGAAGAAGCATGCTCACGCACGGAGAAGGGACCACTACCAAGGGAAGGCTACCGCCGTGAGGCGATCGGCTGATGCGTCGTAGCATACGAGTTAGCGAAGAAAGAACAGAACAGCACGGTTGCATACCTGCGATTACGCAGCATCTGCGTGGGCGTTGCCAGCAGGCAACACGGTAATGCGAAACGGTCGAGCTTGGCTGATTCCTAGATTTGGAGGCTCAAATTGAGCGGGATTGCCTATTGGTACAGTATACGATGGACGTACTCTTTGGTTATCTGTTCCTCTTGGGAGCCGGTATACATTGCTTGTCGCTCAAACACAGGCGTGCGAGTTCCGGATGCGTATCGCGGCGGGTCGGACTAAGTTCTGTGTCCGTCGACTAGACGAACCATCCCCTTGCGGCGGAAGATCCCGGAAGGCGTCTGGGCAACCAGGGCTTATCGATTTGAAGTCAGGCTCTGAGAACGATCTGGAACGATACGAAACTCACCGTAGGAAAGTGCCATATATGCGGCGCAGTACAACGTACCATGACCGCCGGTAAAGGTGTTTCTCGTATGGTATTTGTGCTAGGCGAGCGGCGGGGACCTTGATTATTGCATATGCCAAGTTCACAGCGTTGCTGAGCTCGAAGAAGAGTCCATGTACGATCGTAACGCCGAACAATGCTTTCCGTAACAGCACCCGCCCCGTCGATCGAAATCCAGGCACGTTGGTGGCTGGAGCGCACCAGTTAGCGGCGGAGCGGTGGGACTTAACTGCGCAGCTTGCTTACAATATTCTCATGCAACTGGCGATGCCGTGCGAGTCGTCCGGGTGTACAAGCGTCGGGTGGTCCGGTGTACGCTCTAGATCGCGGTGCACAGCCCTATGCAGCTTCAAGTACGATGTCTCCAAACCTGACTCAAAGTCCCGTGTGTCATAGGTGCCATGGACTACGGCGTGGCGTCGACTTCCCCTCGTAAACTGGGCCTGTTACTTGAAGGAGCGGGTCAGCGTATTCACGTACATCTGCGATGTGCAGCACTCGTCAGTCACGAAAAGACTGGGTGGCGATGCTGACGAAAGGGCCGCATAATTTCAGGCCGCGTGAGCGCAGTCTCGGTGACAACCGCACGACCAGAGACCCACCGCGGTACGGATATGAGTGACTCGACGCAGAGATCGGAAGATCTCAATTTGACGACGCAGTGCCGCGCGACCGGCAAAGCAGCTTTGAAAACCTACGTGTTAAAAATGATTCAGGCGCCGCAGCAACCCCGAAATTCACCGTGATCCCTTCCGCAAATGGCACAGGCCATGTGCGCTCAGGCGGCGCTAGCAGATACTCGCGAAGTACGCTTGCGCAACAGGAACGCACTTGAACCTCGAGAGGAGTAGTGGGATCTACCGTGAACACGACCGGGCCTCGAAAGGAGCTATGTGCACAGATGAGCCATCGTACTTTCTGTGTAGAGATCCATAACAAGGGATCGTCGTAGACCGCCACTCACCCGTTGTACAGACGGCCAATTCCTTGACCAGTTGATCGACCAATTCGAGCATAATACTGAAAGTGAGCGTCAAACGTCGAACGGGGCCCCGGGATAGGTACCGAGCATTGAGGCAGCACGACCA